GAGCAAATTCTGGGGATTGCCCAAGATCTCGACGGGACTGGCGAGGTCTGAGAGCAGAGCTGTCAACTATGCAGTATACTGGCCAGAATGGAGTTGTAGCGGTTTCGAGTGATGAATTTCCTCCGTTCGCGCATCAAGCACAGCCAGACCGTCCAAGTCGCTATCCAATGCTATCTGATGCAAGTATGAGAGTACTCATAGCCAGAATTTGCGCACCATCCAGGCTTTTCACCCATGCCGACTCATAGATTCATGCAGAACCATGTGACAGTATCTCAATCATCTTATCGCATCTGCACTTGCCATTGCCGCTGCATGCTTCAAGATGTATCTGCTTTTTGATAGAAGCTGCTCACAGATGAGCGTAGCTGTGGAAGCGTAATGACACAATTGGGGTATCAGGATCGCTGTAGCTTGTAGGACAGAGATGTTTGGGGACGCGGGAATCGAATTGCGCCTCGCATTGCTGGAACAATTTCGAAGGGTTGTGGGAACCTCTGCCCCGAACACCGTAGCTCAAGTCGAGACATCTAACTTCAGTGCCCTGGCGCTAGCACAGGCCCGCCTGGGAAGTCTGTGTCCCCATTAAAAATGGATGCGAACCTTCTACTTCGACTAGTCCTTTTGCGGCCTGAGGCTACGCCAAGGGACGAGCCGTCATCGTTTCAACGACATTCATGCGTGGTTGCAACGCCAAACATGATGACTCTGGCTTGCCGCAGCTTGAGTTCGCACTGACGCTTGGGCCAGATCTCACTCTCTCAATTAATGTTCCTCACCCATGCACTTGCTGATCAATTTCGTTGTATTTCCGCCACTTCCATTTCCATTTCGCAAGCAAGAGCTGTGTAAAGCAGAATCTCGAGTTGATCAAAGCTCCTCAAGCGCCTGATATCGGTGGAGTGTCCTTCCGCCTTTTTGCTCGCTCATCTAAGGCGCCTGAGCTCACTGAAACCTTTTGCACCATACCAAGCAGCGACTGATCGTGTTGACGGCTCTGTTGTCTTTGAATGGTTGAGTTTCAGTTTGGCGCTGCGCATTGACAAAGCGGTCACTCTTGGCCGTGTTAGAGGGTCTTAGTTGACCCTCAGATTTTGCGAGGATAAACACTTGGCTTTTAAGAATTATCAAGACAGGGTCTGTTACTTTACAATTATAATCTCGCACTGCTATAATGAAGCTCGCAAAATAAAGCTATTATTGAGCACGATATCAGTAGTTTGAGGTGCAAGAGACCTTGTAGACTAGTAGCTTAGTATACGTGAGACAGCGCTTGAGACACAAGACTGGGCACGGCGCAGAGCAGCAATACTGTAGCCAAGCCTGATTCACCTCTTGCCGTGCATTCGAAGTTGTTGCTACTCAACAAGGAGCAGCGCTACAAGTACGTGGGTAAACGATCGTGACGGCTGTACTTTAGTAAGCAAGTGTACGCTAATTGCAAGAACTTCGGTTCAAAATTGAATGACTTGAACACCATGATCTTCTGAGAATTAGCCAGTGATGTGCCAGTAACCGCTTTATCAGTGCGTAGCGCCACGTTCCGACTATAGTTCTCGACTTCACCAGCAGATCCATTTGACAGCTGCTGGTGCATTCTTGTTCTTGGAAATATAATGTCCAGAATTGCGTTCTGACACACTGTACTCGACAGGCTTCTAGTCTTCTGTTGCGCGCACTCGCCTTCTAGAATCAGAATCATTTTGCATGCTGTGAATCGAATGGGAGCTGTTCGAGAAGCACTCCTAACATCATTTCTGGACGCAGCAGCTGTAGCTCATACTTTGGTGGCATCTGTGGAGGAAAGTGCCAAACCGTAAGTATGTCTATCAGGAGAGTTATGGTACTCTACCTCTCAGGTATGCTGAATTTAAGATCACCATGGAAGCAGCTGAGCAAAAGTTGTGATGCAGTCCGTATAATTTTTTCTTTAGTCTATCTCGAAAGCTACAACCTAGCCTCTTATATCTATAACGGCCTCAATGATGTGGCTCAGTCTGACTACACGCTCTATTTTGTAAGACTACTTCACTTAATATCAGCAGCACTATCAGGCCTACTATACTTTACTCGCCTCTTCAAGGCATCAATTTGCTTACCCAAAACGTTGGTCTAAGCAAGAATCAAAAATATGCAGTTCTGACTTGTATTGCGGGTGTCGACACTCTTATATTATCAGAACGAAACAGATCTGCTCGAGCCTTGAGAAGCGTTTGGATCAGTATCTACACACAATAAGACTGTTTTCTTGAACTCATTACTTATCAGCACCTTGGGCTCATCCTTCGAAGAGGCTAAGCTCCAAGCTTAGCATGTATAGGGTTTCAGGCTCGGGCTTGATCAGGAACAAACTCAAATCCATCTACCTCTATAGGGCCCATATACAGGAATGGATGAAATGACTACGAAGCTTATGTGACCTTATAAAAAGATCAAATGACCAGATGAGAAGCTTTGGGCGATTGACCTTAACCCCAAATCAAGCTGCATCTTCAGAACCCACTTGAAGCCTTGAGTGCGCGAGGATTTGCGCCATCTCAAAGAACTGCCACGATGTTTCGCAGTCCAGGGAAGGACGACGAGATCCCAAGGGGTCATGCGGCAGACAGATGTTTGATCAAACCTCTCCGCGTCTCTGGTACACTCTCTGTTGGTGCGACTTTTATTGGCACATGCACTGTTGCAGACCGCTACGTTGCTGGTGACTTCCGACAACAGCGACAGTCCCTATGAAGCGATCCTTGAGCGGGCGTGTGATATCACGCTCGTCGAAACAATCTTGCCTGTCGGCACAGATACTGTCAGCTGTGACGGATCGTATCTATCATGACGGCTAGCATCTGATATGGACGTTCCTTGTGGCTGCGGGATATGATGCATGGATGTCAGTGTGCATCTGACAGACCATACAAATCTTTGTCGGTCGGCGTATCCTATTCATTCATGTAGACCTGCCGTCGCGTTCCCAAAATCATCGCACTCACTATTTATCGACCAGAGATGCGGTCGTACTCTTGGACGCACCTTCAAGCCCAGAGGTAGAGGGGAACTGCTCTTATCAAACGTTCTTAACTGGGCAACAAGTTTTACAGCGGACGTTCCATAAGGGGTTTCTGGTGCCTAGACGAGCTCGCCACTGGATAACCATCGCTGTTTCGGCCCGGGTGCGAGACTGGCTGATACAAGCTGCAGATGCTCTAACGCAGCTCATTCGCAGGTAGAGTGATGGTCGGCAACTGGACGTTAGTTGCGATCCTTAGGATAGGTCTGTGTATTTATGCTGCCAGTGTGGTCTAAGTGATCGTAGCAACCCTGCATATGAGCATCGGATCACCCAAAGATGGCTCGTCTATGAGCACAGACTTTTGCATGGACTTGGAGACTGAGATTTAGCGCGACGTGAAACGGAACCAGAGTTCCGTAGCAGATCACTCCAAAGAACTGCTTGATTGCTGGACACGCGGACTGAGTTTGATGATCACCGTCGCTTCGGCTACTCGTGCACTCAGCCTGCAGTGTCTGGGACTAGCTTCTATGTCGTAGTGCATTGGAAGCGCCAGACGTCGCTCAATTGTATCCACCTAACAGAACGAAAGAGCTCTCTCACTGGTTATGAGCTATTAAGTCCTCCTACAGACCCGTCGGCAATCAAGAAACCACCAATTCGGGCGTACTCATCCGGCACAGTGTTGCTGGGAATTTGATTGTTGTCTGTGACCAAAGGTCAGAATGCCATTGAAGCATGAGAACGTCTGATGGCGAGCGAAAATCATGGAGCCTTCCCCAGTCTGGTGCAGATGTTGGCGCAATCAATGCTTTCGCGGACCTTTCCACGCTAGAGACCAATGGCATCAGCTGGCAGCGCCGTCGTTAAATGAAACACGACGGGAAAATTGATCGTGCAAGCTCGCAGGGCGCATCGAACGTTGAGCGTCGGCGAATGTGAGCTCAATAGTTATCGCCGGGACGTTGGATTAGATAGGCTGCGTGATCTTTTCGCCGTCCATTTATCCGTGTCGCGATCATGGCAGAAAGAATCAGCCTTTGCAAAAGAGCTGGGTGAGGGTGAGAACGCCACTGTAAAGACTGTTGAAGTGGAGTCTGTGTGAGATAAGGACCAAGAAAGCGGCTGCAACCGCACTGGTCCGTAACATTGATACAAGGCCTATTCTGCGATAGTTACAGCCCCGCAATGCAGCGTTAGTCTTTTGCTGAGGCCTGCAGGAGATGGCAGAGTCCCGCTAGCTTCAGGTCGTGTCAAATGAGTTACCGCTCACTCCGAAACTCCTAAAGGAGCAGTCGACCTTTTAGTGTAGCACAGCTCGTGGCTTTCCCGACGGCAGAACCTCCGATTTATCGCACGATGTCCCTGTAGGCATACTCATGTCAACATTAGCGATGAGTAGTAGTTGTGACTTGCGGAATACCTGCGTGTGTAGGTAGAGAATGCTCAAGAGATCGTACATTGGAGGCCGACGACGATTTTGTGTGGTAGCCGTCAGACGTTGGAAGCAAGATGGAGTCGGCAGTATGCGCACGTGCAAGATGTGCATGGCTGACACCATAGGAGAGCTGGAATTTGCGAGCTTTGAGTAGCCTCGTACACGATCAAGCTCTTAAATCGAATGTGTGTTTGAAGTCATGATCACTGCTGTGCTCGTGAAGATGTCAATGCAATCTGTCGCCGCATTGACGAGGGTCAATACCAGATTAGAGGGCTAGCGACGGCATCGCAACGCTATGTGTTCAATGACGGGCGATGCTGGGCGATGAATGGGATGACAAAGAGCCGCATAGGGGTCTGCAGTCCAGTCCTCATGGGGCACGGATTATTACAAGTCGAGTCATAGATGTTCCCGATGTCTCCAAGATCGTCAATGGCAAAGTGTCCAGAGGTGCGACCAGGCGGCCGCAGGACCAGATAAATGGACTAGCTAAAATGCTCGACCGTCCAAACTTGCCCGACCGTTGCTCTCGGTGGCTCGAAAGACTCAACCACATCAGCGACCCTGCTTGCCTTCTGTCGGATGAATACTCTCCGGCAATGCTCTTTCCACACTTTCAGGGGCGGCCTCCTGGATGGATTCTGGCACTACGCTCGGGCCAGTTGCATGGCTCTTCGACTTGTTGTCGGAAGTGTCGTGTACAGTATTGGGCACCGCATTCTCGACCTCCTCAGGCAGCTTTTCTTGGACTTTCTTTGGGACTTAGCAGCGTTAGCAGGAAGTACGCATGAGTAGGCAATGGATGCGGACCGAAAGAAGAGTTTGGGTCGGCATTAGCGTGTGTCTTGTCGGTTCCGGATCGCAGCGGGCTAGTGATGTGCAGACAACGTGTAGCAGGCGCGAAAGGCGCGCGAGGGATGCGGACAGTGCGGGCGGCAGTGGTGCGTAGGGAGTTCATCATGGCGGCGACTGGCGGACAGTGTGGCTGTTGACTAATGTTACTATGCCTTCATGTATTCCGTTCATTCACAGCGCGGATGGGTGGTTCATATAGCAATCGACGGGCGGCCGAAGGCAAACAGTATTCCACTGCTCGTCATCGTTCAGCGTCATCAGCCAGAGAGTGCTATGCAGGATCCGGTGTCCGGGCTCGTGCCCGACACCTTCTGCTCGCCGCGTGGTCAAGAAATGGACGACTGCCTTACGAGATACCGGAGTTTGGGTGCGATGTTGATGAGATCACCACGTCGGATCTCTCTTCCGGATGATGAAATTGCTGCTACATCCCCACATTTGTATTCCGGAGCCAGTTTTGTCCGCTACACTAGTTGAGGAGGCTTTCGTATGTCGGGCCCGGATGCTTTTCTCCAGTCCGAGATACGATGACTCTTCCGACGGCTCCATTTATCTTTCAAGTCCACGCTCGTAAAGATGCCGACTTGTCCATTCATTATCAGGCTACCGACCTCCTGACCTTTAGTAAGTGCTCGCCACCAGCCAGGTTCGATGCTTCCCAGCCTCGTCGAGCAGCACTGATCGCGATCATAGTGCTCAGCGATCGTTCTTGAGAGCTCATGGGAGGTAACGATGGGGCATCCATTTACCTGACGCTTCTGCCTTGACGATCGCGAGCAACCTTCTACACAGCAGTACCAAAGCGCGGTGAGAAGTGGAAGTCTGGACTCGATGCCATATGTATGAACTCCTTGGGATCTGCCAGCCCAGTCCGCCTTCTGAACTCTGAGTCTGGCGGAAGCATCACCTTGGCAACGCGGAAACTAGGCGATTCCAGTTCCCGGAAAGCTTATTCGAGTGGACTTGGCAACTCAGCCGAACCTTTCGCTGGCAACAGTACATTTGCTTCGGCATCTTACCAAGTCGAGAAGACCGAGAAGCAAGTCACCGCGCTGAACGGCTTCAGTCGGGCTGAAAAATTATCGCGTGAGCACATCTTTACATAATGACCAGAAGAAGCCGTTGGCGGGAGCCGATTGTGGCTCTCGCACCGAAGACAAACCGAGCATGCATGTGTCCATGCGACGCGAGTTCAGCGGCAGGATGATTCGACTCAAGTGCTCAAGCCTCCATCGGACACGAGCCTGCCATTGAATCGCAGCGCCTATGCTTAGTGGTTGCCTGCAAGGTTCGCAAGCGGAGACGCCCGCAAGCACGTAATGTTGGGCCACAATGAGCAAATCGCCGTAGTGCACCAAGAGCTCCAACATCGCTGCTTGGCACGTCTCCGCTACAGATCTTAGTGCGACCGGAAAGGAAATGAACCAACCAGAAGCCTGCGCTCGTGAATCCAGAAGAGCGCAATTGTTCGAATTATGTGGCACAGTGGGTAGCACGGGCACTCCACGTGCGTAGAAGTCATGGCAAGGCAGGGACTTAATTAAGATATGTTCCGCTGCCGACCTTGCAGAGTCCTTCACAACCTCTTCATCTTTCAAAGTTCTCGAGATGGCAGACCACAAGGAGCTGAGTACCAGCGAGACGCCCTCGACAAACTCTCCGCATGCATCGGAGCGATACCCAGGTACTTAGAATCGTCGGGATCGGGTGTGCGGTTGCTCTTGAACTAACCATCTCCCTCTGGGCAGTGAAATGGTACCGATCCTCCTACTACAACGCCACGATCCTGGGGCTCTGCAGCTTTGCGGCTCCAGGCTTGTGGGGCGCCATGATGGGTGCCGGATGCGCCGCGAGTCCTGAGGTTGTCAACGCTGCCAAGGCGCTGACGTTCTGCTTGATGATCGTCAGCTGCTATTTTCGCAGTGTGCTCGTCAAGTATATTGGCATCCGAGGAGCCTTATGCTTCTGGCCTGTACGTCTGCACGCATTCTCTCCCCGAGAAAGACTGACTCGGCGTGCAGTATCAGCTTCGCACCGTACTCAGCAGGATTATAAACCAACAACCGCTATGGCACTGAGTGGCTGCTGCTTTTCGGCGCAGCATTGTGTGGCATCTCTACTGGAGTTTTCTGGATGTCAGTGTTCGGCCCATTCCCTCCATGTCGGATACTAATTGATTGCAGGTCTGAAGCTGCCATCGCTATTGCCTACCCAGAGCCCTATAACGGCGGTAAGATCCTTGGCTACTGGCTGACATACACCCTATTTGGACAGGTTCTTGGTGGCGCCATCAACCTAGGCCTGAATTCGGAACGTGGCGAAGCCGGTGCTGTGTCGTACAAGGTCTATCTCATCTTCATCGCCATTCAATCCATGGCACCGTTCGTGGCGTGGCTGCTCAATCCACCGCGCAAGGCACAGCGGACAGACGGGAAGGCTGGAGATTGTGGACAATGTGAGATCTGAGCTCAAGGAGATGGGACGGGAGTTTCTTGGTCGGAAGTTCTTGTTGCTGGTGCCTCTGATCGGCGCTGGCGTATATTCGGAAGCTGTGTATTTCACATATATCGCGTGTAAGTAACCGCATATTCGTGAGCCTTCCTGCTGACGCTTCACAGTATGGTTCAGTGTTCGCGCTCGAGCACTCGGCTCCTTCATATCGGCTATCGTGACGATCATCACGATTAATGGCCTCGGACGATGGCTGGATCACAGCAAGCTGTCACTGAAGACGCGAACTCGCGGCGCTTTCTGGGCCATCATCCTTCTTCAAGGAGCGTGGTGGACATGGGCGACCGTAAACGTCACGCGATACCGCCGAAGCTTCCCGAGCTACGACTGGTCTGATGAAGGCTTTGGCGCAGGTTTCGCAGTCTTCATCTTCCTTAGAGTCGGCTTCCAGTTCCACTAGATGTTCTTGTAAGTCGCCCTTCACATCATTTGGGACGAGACTGACTTATCAGCTTCTTCATTATCACCAACTTGGCACAAGACGAGCAACAGATCATCAGATACTCAGCGCTCCTTCGAGGTGCGGAGTCGGCATGGCAAGCCCTGAGCTACGGACTGGGATCGCTCTCGACAATGGCCACGGTTGGAAGCATATACCTCAACTTTGGTCTGTGGGCTGTCTCGATTTTCCCAGCGTGGCTAGTGGTTCGGCATGTTGGCGTTGACCAGGCGCCGTTGGGAAGGAAAGAGGACCTACAAGTTTCCGCAGAGAATCATCCTGTGGCGACGGAGGTGGACGCAGAGATCAAGAACATTAACGTTGTCATTGCATTTTGGCAGATAAGAGTGGTGGTCCATTCGAAGACTGCTTACACAACTGCAATGGAAACTTCCGAGCGAGTATGCAAGACGGTGCAAGCCGATGGAAGCCGTTTGTTTGTAGCAAGTTGTCGGACTGGAACGGAAGGAACTACTGATGCGGAAGTGATGGAGTAGGAGGGGCCGGAGCGAATGAGGAAACAACGTAGTATCCTTCGACTTGTCTGGGCCGAGATGTGCGGATGGCTTTAGCGTTATGGAACCGCCTCGAGGCCGATGATAGGGATTGCTTGTAGTGCGCAAGACGACGGGTATGTGCAAGGTCTGACTCTGTGCAGTCTCACCGTCAACGTATATCAGTTGAAAGGAGCTTCTCGTGGCTTGGTCAACAGAGTGTAGGCTTGATTAGGCAGAAGACCGAGTGTGGCAGGGCGCTGAAGTGACAATAAGGTTGCGGTGAGCTTGTTGGAGTGTTGTGCGCATCGAGGCCGACTTGTCGTGATCTTCCTGTGCAATCCAGGGAAGGCATGGCAGAAGGCATGGCCAGTAGACGACGACGAGGATCGCCACAGCAGGTCATCTTCATCTCCCCCGACGAGAAGCAGGACTGCTGTTGCGCAGATCCTGCACAGCGCGAGCGCTCGAGTGGCTCGTAGATCGGTGGAGGTGCACGCGCGTGCCGAGATGGCCTGACAGACATCGAGAGGAGAGACAATGCAAATACATCCAGTTCTCACCGCACGATATCGTTGTTTGGCCCAAGACCATACACTGCTATACGACAGCAACCGTTCCTGGCAGCTCGCTTACGAAAGGACGCCTCTGTGAATTTTGATATCGTGTTCCGGATCCAGTAGTACCATCCGGTGCGGATGGCACGCCTCCATCCCAAGACTTTGGTCGGGCACAAGTGTGTAGAACTCATCCGGTCCAGCAACTCGGTGTCAGCAATTCGCTGGCTGGTCAGCTAAAATCGCGGAGGTCTCACAGATACCTCAGAAATCAGGGAAGCTAACACAGTCGTACGCAGCTTCAGGGAAAGAACAATCAAGTCTTGGTACTTCGCGACTGGAAAACGTTTGCCGGGCACTGTCAGCGGAAGCCCTTCAGAATGCAGGCCTAGACCCCGGGCGGGGAAAGTTCGTATTCTCGCTTAAGCTTTATCGCGACCTTTTTCGGGACCTTCCAGCGTTCTTCATCAGCGACAACATGGCCACATGAGAAGCCCGAGACGCCATGCGGTTCGACGCGACTCTCGGCCTTCGAACAGCATGCCGCCGTGCCGCAGCGGCCCTCACGTCGATCTTCCGAGGGGTCCGACTCTCGCTGTGCCACGCATTCCGCTCCAGCAAGCGTTTTGAAGCGGTCACCAGCTGTCCGCTGTATTGCTACACGTTATTGATCACTGCGAACAACACAAGACACCATGCCTGTCGATTAGCTGCATGACCTCTTATGCCATCCAAAGTGGCTTTCGCTTAGGCTGATCGAGCTGCAATTGAATGCTTAGCGGTGTGGGTGAAATCCGGGGTACCTGGGGAATCGTTCTCCGGCCATACCGATACCTGGAAGCGCGGCCCGGTCTAGACTAACATGAAGTACACTGTTGGTTTGGATAGCATCTGAACTCTCTCTTTGTGTAGCAGGTACACGGTCTGCCTATGCGTCCCTCGCTTCCACGTGGACAAGTTTAACCACATCTACCGGCATATATACGCAGAACTCTCCCTGGAACTCGCTACAGTACATCACCAACAAGCCACGCGCCCTTACACGCTGCCTGATCTAATCTGCAGTAATGTCTGAGAAGGACCACAACACCACCATGGTCGAAGAGAAGGACACCCACCATCTCGAAAAGATCAGCTCGACAGCCGAAGAAGAGCACCGCAATGAGCTTGGCCAAGATGCTCATCAGCTGGATGGCTACTGGGGCTCAACACCCTTCATCGGCTCACTGGCTGCCATGGTCTTGATGGCCAACAGCCTGTTCTGTGGCTACTCCTTCCCCGTAAGTGCTGCAACCCAATCTTCACGCAAATCTGACAGCAACAGGTCAACATCCTTTCTGTCATCGATGCCGACATTGGTCCATCACCCAACATCTATCTCGTGACAATGGTTTTCACCTTGGTCGCGGGTGTGCTCTTGCTGGTCGTCGGACGTGTTAGCGACGTTATCGGCCGGAGGTACTTCTTCATTGGAACCCAAGTCTTTGCCGTCGTGGGCTCCATCATTGCCGCAAGAGCAAACAATATCAACACCTTGGTCGGCGCCACAGTCCTCACTGGAGTGGCTGGTGCTGGCCAGCAGCTGTATCCTCTCATCACTCAGGAAATCGTCCCCAACAAGTACCGTGGTCTGATGCAAGGCGCCATCTCGATGTCCGTGCTTCCGACACTCGGCTTTGGACCTCTCATCGCCCGTGCCCTTGTGAACAACACCAAGCTGGGCTGGAGATGGTGCTATTGGCTCAATGTCATAGTCGGAGGATTGTCCTTGATTCTCTTCATCGTCTTCTACTTCCCGCCAAACTTCCACATGATCAACAGCGAAATGACCAAGATGCAAGAGCTGAAGGAGCTGGATTATGTGGGACTGATCCTCTACTCCGGCGGCCTCGTCCTGGTCCTGCTTGCGTTCACCTGGGCACAAGGCACTTACGCGTGGGCAAGTGCTCATGTCATCGCTCCTCTTGTGGTCGGCGTCCTCACTCTGGTCGCGTTTGTGCTGTACGAGATGTATATGCCTCTGAAGCAGCCTTTGCTCCCTCTGCGATTGTTCAAGTCTCGGAATCTGGTCGCAGTGGTCTTCGTCGGTTGTGTTGGACAGATGGTGTATTACGCCTTGAATGTTCTGTTTCCTATCCAGATCACCAGCTTGTTCACCACCAACAACATCTTGATCGGCCTTATGTCGGTAAGTGGCGAAATCTTCCACAAAAAGAACACAGCTGACGACGTGCGCAGAGTACGATTGGTGCTTCACTCGCTGTTGGCGAGTTCATCTTCAGCCCTCTCTTCAAGACTGTCGGCTTGCCTAAGTGGCAACTGTTCGCAGCTAGCGTCGGTACCGGACTGTTCTGTGCTCTGATGGCACTTGTGACGGAGCACACAGAAGGCATGGCGATCGCCGTAAGTACTCACCGCTTTGCGCTTTGATGGCTATGCTAACAGATTCAGTTTGCCATACTCACCGGCCTCTGCGTCGGTTGGATCGAAATGGTTGCCATTACCATCGCCGGTCTCGTCGTTCCACCCAACGACATCGGTGCAGGACAGGGCTTCTTCGCCTCCACTCGAGCCGTCACCGGCACCATTGCGATCTCGATCTATGTCTGCATCTTCACCAACAAGCTCACCGCATATATCCCAGCAGATGTCGCCCCTGCGGTCATCGGAGCCGGCCTTCTGGAGTCCAGTCTCCCGGCCTTCTTCGTGGCTATGGCAAACGGCACCACCACTGCTTTTGATACTGTGCCAGGCGTCACGCCTTCAGTCCTAGCGGCTTTGGCGGAGGGAACAAAGAACGCGTATACGCATGCGTTCAAGATCGTGTATCTCAGCACCCTGGCGTTTGCGGGCATCGCCATCGTTGCGTCGTTGTTTGTGAAGGACATCGATAAGTATCTGACGGACTATGTCAACAAGATCATCCACAAGCCGAAGATTGGAAAGTCTGCGGAGGTGGACCGCGCCTGAGACTAAAGTCCCGTCTTTGCTGGTGTTGCGGTGTTGGCGCCGCTGTTTCGCGGCTTGTTGCGATACCAAAAAAATCAATTGTTCTTCCATCTTCTGTGAACCACAGATGCGACGTCTCACAAGCTTGACAAACCTTTCCAATATATCCTCCATTTCGAACACTGAAATAGCAGCCGTACATTGAGTGGCACAAGCGAGATCAGTCACCTAGTCGTCAGTTAGTGGGTAGGTAGCGTCACGGATTCCGGCCTCGGGGAAGGCTCTGAAGCTCTGAAATGATGAGAATTCGAGGTCTTGAGACAAGCCTGAACTAAGCGTTAACTGCGATAAAGGGGTTGATTTGACATTTCGGGCTCGTGAGGGCTCCGAGTGTTGAAGTCGTAGTGCGATCTTGTATCCGGAGTCTTGGAATGAGTCTCCCTTAAGCGTGGATCGTTTTGATGCAGGTCTGTTTGCTAGGGACGGCGCTCGAGAATTGAAATTTTTGTGCTGATGAACCGACGTGACGAGTGATCTGCAAGATGCTAGTCGTTTGGTTATTGGCCGTCACTTCAAACCTGATCCGAGGACCGCAGAGCTCAAGACCAAGCAGCCCAAGAACTCTGTCCGTTCGAGACCGCAGTTCTACCACATCAAGAATCCCTTCAGTTCCCTTTTGCATGCCCATTTGCTCGCCCTTTCAAGACGACGTTCCCGTTCTCTGCCACGGTAGTCCGCCTCGTCCCCGACGTCTTCGAGAGCCACTCCTGGACTAGACCTTCATAGTCGCGAATACTGTAATGTTCCCAAGTCTCCCGCCACATACGCGATAGCCACGAGCCTCCCTTCTTCCGCTTCTTCTCCAGTCCAAGATCGCCCATCAGCATATCCACAAACGGCACCGCTTCGAAAGCCATGTCGGGAAACCGCGCACCAAACCCACCAGGATACCGCAACTGCGCGAATTGGGTGTGGAGCGCAGTCTCCCATAGAATCTGTTCAGGGTCCATCGTGGACTGCTGCATCTTGAGCGACCCATCGAAGAAGGCTGTGATCCACAATGCGGCCGCCTGAGCGACCATCACTGTCGGGATCGCCCACGTGAAGCCCAGAAAGGCAATGGAAGGAGAGGAGCTGTTGAGATGCTTTGGTGGGACGAGAAAGCGGAAGAGACGGTATGGCTCGGTCCGCGGATCGGACACAGCAGCTTTCGTTTCGGGGTCCATCTTCAGTAAAGGCTTGTAGTTTGCGTCGATGACGGGACGGTTCTGCGTGAGCCACGGAAGCGCTATGCTGATGATTGCGTTTGCTTTGGCAACCATCGAGGAATCCACCGCCGATTCGCTTGACGGAATACCGAGCTCTGCTGCAAGCGATGGTGGCTCGAACTTCAGCGAAGGGCGATGGTCCCAGCCTGTGGAACATATCAACGCGCCTGCCGGTAGTTGCGTGCCAGAAGTCAAGTGGACAGTATCGGACGAGAGATGATCGATATCATCATCGTAGATCTTGATGGATCCGTTGCGAACAAGCGCCATGAAGTCGTCATCGTAGTTGAATATGCCGAGGGTGCAGGCGTACCACACGATGTCTCCCCATGGCTTCAGCTTCGCTGTATCCGGATGCTCGTCATAGCGCGACAACGTCACGACATCCTGGTTGATAAGTCCCCATATGGCGCTGACGAGCTTTCTTCCGATCCATGTCTGCTGCAGAAAGCCCCGTAACCATCCGAAACCTTCGTGCTCAGACCAAATACAAGGGCTCAGCCAGCTGATGAACCGAACACATCCGATATCTTCCAGTCGTTTCTTCAGGGGAGTCACTCGTGCCGGCGACATCCAGCACGGGCCATGGCCAGATTTCCGGATGACCCAGTGGACCTGCACACCACGCTTTGCATATGCATAAGCGGCATCAAAGGAAGACTTGGTTGCATTGAGTAGAACAATGCTCTCGGCTTTCACGTCGTAGGTCGCTCGATCTTTGACGTGCAAAACCTGCCTGCCGAATGTTTCCTGCCCTTCGAAGACCGGAATGAATGGCGCGTTGGTCAAGCCAGTGGCGATGACAAGCTTCCGTGTATAGACTTTGCCCTCGCCGCCTTGCGTCGAATACTTGACAAGCCATGTTCCGTCGTCAAGGCGCTGGACGGTGTGTGCTTTGCACCTGAGGCGAACGCGATCGCTGAGCCCAAAGTGATTGGCGAAGTCGCGCATGTACTGATTCATCACAGTACCTGGGATATGCTGATCGTGTTGGAGACCGTACTGTTCCTGGCCTTGCATCGGAAAGTCGCTGAATTCGTAGCCGCCTTCGAGGTTGTTCGTCTTCAATCCATGATACAACCTTTCCGTAGCCCATGTGCCGCCCACACTTGTACACTCGTCAAGCAGAAGCATCCTTGCGTCAGGGTTGACTTCCAGGTAGGTTTTGCCCATGATGAGGCCATTGGGACCTGCGTTGTTAGACACAGAACCAGAGTGCGCGAACTGTCGTACCTGCTCCCACGATGACAATGTCGTACTCCGGATCAGACATTGTGATGGTCATGCACTGTACAGTATTTTCTGGTGCGATCGAATCCCCGAGGACTTCGTAGCTTGAGATGGCGCCGACACGGTAAAGAATGGAAAAGTCGCCGTAGTCCGATCGCCGGCGACATTAGGTAAGGCGGACCGCCTCGAAGTTTCGCATTTCTAGCCTCAAACGTCAGCCGATCACCTATGCTGGGCGATATGCAAGATGAGCCGCCTGAACCAAGCTCCAGAAATCGGAGGGCCTGAACTCGGCATCGGCGCGTTAGGCTGAATGCGTGTAATCCTATGCGACGCGTATCGCACGGTCAGCTTGCACAACGAACACTGCAGGTACATATAGGAAATCCTCGGTCATGACACAATTGCAAGGCCATCGTCGCATGGCGCCGCACAGGTATAGTATGAGGCTGTAGCGATGGAGAATGGGGACTGCCAGGTGGCTGTTATCATTGATGCGTTATAGACGCCTTGATGTCTGCCCTCGAATGCTTCAGCTGATCATTCGACGGCTGACATTCTGCGAGTAGAGTTTAGCCGCGGCCAAGTCCATGCACGGCTCAAGAAATCTGCTTAATGACAGAGTCGAAGTCAGTCATGTCCCAGACCGCGTCGAATTTGACCCCACCCACGACGCGGTACAGTGTGAATTGCGTCGTCTCCACCTTTTTGCCCGTTGGCGGAATTCCCTGAAAGACTCCGAGATGGGTTCCGGTCACTCTGAAGTGCAGCGAAAGGAAGTTGTCGTCGATAACAAAGTGGCGGATCTCCCAGTGCCAGTCGGGGAAGCCTTCGACGAGAGGACGGAACTGATCGGTCACCCTCGAGGGAGTCCAAGGCTCATCGTTGATTCGAATGGCCGGAGCAGTGTAGAACTTTTCCATAGCCTGGAAGTCGTGTGCATTGCAGAAATCGATATAGTACTCGTAGAGGGCGCGAAGGGCCGATTTATCTGTCATTGACGAATTGGTGGAAGGCTCTTGCTCTGTCATGGCGGGCTTCGTGTTTGGGACACGGTCTGGAGAGAACAATGTTGTAGGGTCAAATCAAGCGCTGCGAGAGTGGTGGTGGTCAGAAGCTGGTAGAACATATTCTATACTCAAGATTGAAATAGTGGCCATCCAGTGAGTTGCACGGCTTTCGTGCGTCTCGAAGTCCTGGTTGCTGGATGCGGTCTGGAAATGGCAATGGATTCCTATTTCAGCCTCCATTATGCTGATTCGTAAGCTTCAAGTAACCAGCCAAGACCGGCTGCAGAAGCCCACTTCGAGCATTGCAGTTGGGTAGCGTGAGGTTTGTAGGGCGCGAAGCTCTGCTTAGCCAGAGATGCCCTTCGCTCTGCTGCACGCCATGTCCATCCGCTGCCAAGGGCGATAACTGGCGGGTTTTCAGCCTGGGGTCCTTGGTGAGATGCGTGCCTCAATGAGGAAATCTTTATAAAAGATCAGGCAGATGCTGTTATGCCGCATCTCGAGGAACGATGGGCGGTCCGCCCAGAATCCCGCCATCAACCACGATGCAGTGAGCCGAAACGTAGTCGCTTGCGGGGCTTGCTAGGTACACACAGGCGGCCGCAAGATCTTTTGCTTCTCCCCAGCGTTTCGCTGGAAGGCCTTTGAAGAGCTTCTCATTGAAGGATGCGTTATCGTACACCTTCTCCGTCATTCTGCTCTTGGTGTATCCGGGAGCGACGGCGTTCACGTTGATGCCGTGCCTGCGCAGTGTCAGCCATGGACCTCGACGAGCGGAGACTTCATTACGGCATCCACTCGTTGCTCATGGCTCTGGTCATGTTCAGTACGGCTCCTTTGCTAGCAGCGTAGGCCACGTTCTCAAGGTTTCCCTGGAAGCTCGAGATGCTTGCAAAATTGATGATCTTGCGATTGAACGGCGGTCTTTCGGATGCAAGCCAGTATTTGGCAACCTCACTTGCAACGACAATGCTTGCTGTCGTGTTCAGCCGGATGATGCGTTCGGTGTCTGCCAGAGCAAAATCAATGGTAGGGCCGGCCTGATGGATGCCGGCGCAATTGATGAGTATGGCTGGATCGTGCTCGCGGCATGCCTGTGTCCGTCAGCAGTGCCTGATGGTTTTCGCACAACATGCCTGCTCAACGACGGTTGGAAGACCCTCAACTTCCAGTAGATTGCAGTGATAGATGCTGCACTTCTTGCCTGCTGCCTCAACGACATCCTGCCAACTCAGCCAGATTCGTTGTGGAAGCCCGAGAGACGTACCTTGTTTTCAGTCGGCTCCGATGGCAATTGCAATGAGACGACGTCAGCGCCTGACTCTGCGAGGGCTTGACACAATCCGAGGCCGATTCCTGCGCGACATGAGAGGTTGTCTCGACCATCGACTGGGCATCTTACCGCCAGTGCCTCCGGTGACAATCGCCGTTCTGCCTTCAAGGGAGAAGTTCTGAAGAAATGGTGGCGACCCATCCATGTTTGCTGGTCAGCAGACTCGACGCGATCTCATCGTGGGAGCCGTATGATATTGCGCACCCAAAGTTCGATCGGATTCCCCGCAAAAGTCGCCCGACGAATAGCCTGAAGATACCCGAAAGCTGTGCCTTGGCATTTTTTATCTATACGCGTCTCGAGGCGCCAGTATCACAGCGATCTCACAAACACGACCAAAATGCCATGCGGAGCGATTGACATCCGTGGCAAGGTTGTGCTGGTCACCGGCGGCGGATCAGGCATCAACCTTGCCTTCGCGAAGCAAGCTTTAAAACGAGGAGCCAAAGTTCTCGTCGCAGATCTGAGGTTGACCGGCGAGGGACGGGCCTTCGTCAACGACAGCCCGTCAGAAAGTGTATTCTTCGCCGAATGTAATGTCAGCAAGCGATCCGAGCTGGAGAAGTTGGTCGCCGTATCTCGAGAACAGTTCGGCTTCATACCTGAGGTATATGTCGCCGGAGCTGGAGTGTTTGAGCCGCGCTGGTCGAGCTGGTGGGACGACACGGAAGAAGATCACTATGCGCAATTCCAGATCAACGCTTTGCATCCGCTGAAGCTTGCCCGAATAGCCACGCGAGCACTGCTTGCCGAGAACAGGAAGGGCGTGGTGCTGATAGTAGCGTCCTTGGCTGGGTATTCGGGCGCGTTCGCGGCGCCGTGAGTGGCAAGTCTCGTTCAGGAATATTTCTGACGTTGACAGCTTATACTGTGCTTCGAAACACGCGTGCATCGGCTTCGTACGCTCAATGCCAGAGCTCGACAGGTTGTCCAACATCAAGATCACGGCGGTTGCGCCTGGGTATGTCCACCATCTTGCCTGATGACCTGGCTGACCAATTCAGCATCGTCGCGACACCAATGTTCACGTCAGATGCAGAACAATCGAAGAAATGGGGATTCGACGCGGCAAACGCGGTGACTTCGGAGGAGGTTGCTGACGCAATGATGGACCTTGTCGTAAACGATCATCCGGAGGTACATGCCTAGAGGTGTCCAAGGCAGGCACTCGTGAATTGGGTGTCTGGAATATTCCTGCACCGACCATGGTTGGGACCGGCGTTGCTGCGGATCTGTCGGACAATTATGCCCGGCTCAACGAGATCATGGAAGCGGAACGAAAGAGTGCAAAGCTGTGAGCGCAGTGTATCATGTTGACGTCCATTGCAGCACCGGCATCAAACCGACAACTCGACGAAGAAGACGTGGTAGGCTGTCGCTCAAGGCAATGCTTTCGATGGAACGATTGGTCCAACAGATCTGGTGCTGCAGGCAGTTTCGCCTGTGTTTGCGAACATTCCAGGAGGACGTGATCGCCAGCCTCAGGATGAACATGCGTGTCGTAAGCATGCGAGGGTACGCATCGACCGGCTATCGATGTTGGACTCATAGTTCTAACTTGAAGGACAAGCTGTGAGGAACCGGCGATTTTGAAGGGTCGTCGGACACAGCGGGAGCCTCGGAACGACCCATTTCGGGCCCTGAGCTGCCGCGGCGCTTTCCATGGTCATGAATATGACGAGGGAGAACGTAGAAGATCTCGTCGAGTTCAACGCCACAGCGGTCTCTGCGACACGAACAAGCCCAGAAAGTGTACGAAATAAAGTGTCCGCAGGCGCGCCCCGAAGTGACGTAGCACCAAGCAGCAAGCAGTCGTGATCCGGATTGCAGCCGCTAAATCAACAGATGATATAATTGCACGCTGACGGCCTTCGTCTCTCAGGCACTACTGCTCACACGCGTCGTGAATGTGCGACAAGGTTCATAATATTGGGACTCGAAGCTGCTGCAAACTCGACGCCTTGTAGCAATATGGTACGCCTTTTGTGATCGACTTCTCCGGAAGAATGCAGAGATCGACTTTGGCTCGATCGACGGAGTTGAAGGTCACAGCTTACGGTCGAGCGCTAACCTCCGCATCAGCGAAATGGAAACCACAGTCTTGGCCGAGGTTGCTGGCTGCCTTATGTCATCCTTTCCCAGAACAACGACCGCTTGTCTCTACATGTAACGTATACGCCGCCCTCGTACCCAGACAGATTGATCGGTAATCATAATTACATCTACTCATTGCCGTCCGGTACGACAAGCGCATGCTTGGAAGAGAACGTACGGCATGTGTCCTCAACCACCATACTCTGTAGGACGAGATCAATGATAGAATGACGAAAGCACGGTCAACATACTTTGCATCTGTCCGAAAGTCAGATCAGATCCTCGATTCCAAGACCAGCAATAGTAGGGCCTCCCAACGGGCTGACCTAATATGGCAATTGCGAGAGTTTGGTCCTTCTGGAGCTCGCTGTTGTGTTTGGCTGGTAGACGAACGATGCCTGGAAAGTAGGATGTTGCTTCTGCAAGACACAGGGCCTGCCGAGGAGCGCCTATCATCACCAAAATATCGTTCAAGATGATATTGTAAGTTTTAACTGGATTGAAGTACATATCCTCAGGCTGTGCCACTGCCAGCTCACGCTCCTCCCATCCATATCACCCCTTCGCCAGACAAAGACAGCTCAAACAGCCCAAAACCCCTCATATCTCCAACAATGGCAACAGCAACAGCAACAGCAACCTCAGCTGTCCACACAACCCTAAGATACGACTCCCCCTCCACGCCATCCGTCTATTACCCCGGCACAGCCTCCGCCTTCACCATCAACCGCGAGTCCGTCCCCGTCACGATCCAAAATGCGCGCGAACATGACTCGTCCGAGTTCACCCTCGACACAACGGGCTTCGAGCTGCACTCGCACCACACCCGGGCCGAGTTCCCAGACGATAAGGAGGTTGTGAAGCAGGCCTATTATCCCGAGGTCGTGGATTTGTTGAAAGCAAAGTAAGTGTCTGGACGTATCTGGCAATACTATGCTCGAGCCCCAAAAGAATAGATACTGACATGATCCAGGACCGGCGCAACCCAAGTTATCCCCGTAGACCACCTCATCCGCCGGCACCTCTACGCCCCCGTCGCAGCCTGGGCCAAGGACGCCCTCGCCACCACCGACAAAGACCCTTCCACCATCCCAAACCCCACTGGTCAACGACCGCCGGGCCGCTTCGTGCACGTCGACCAGTCCTACGACGGCGCGGTGGGCTGGCTGCGCGACAACATCGCCTCGGCGGACCAGGCAGAGAAGTTGATGAAGACGAGGTGGGCGATCATCAATGTGTGGCGGCCGCTGACGAAGGGGAAAGTAACGCGTGATCCGCTGGGGTTGTGTGACGGGAGAAGTGTCAAAGAAGGGGAGTTGAGGGAGGTGGTGGCGAAGACGGCAGCGTTCCAGGATGTTGGGAGAGGAGGAGAGATTAAGGTGTGGATGGTGTTGGCGCCGCAGGCGGGTGCAGCCGCGAATGGTGACAGTAATGGTGATGGGGCGGTGAACGGGCATGCGAATGGGCATGGAGAGGTGGAGGGAGGGCATAAATGGTGGTATTATGAGGGGATGACGAAGGACGAGGTGTTGTTCATCAAGTGCTTTGACAGTAAAACCGACGGGAGGTGTAGGCGGGCGCCGCACAGTGCGTTTGACGATCCGAGGTATGAAAGTGAGGAGACGCCGAGGGAGAGTATTGAGGTCCGATGTTTGGTGTTCTGGGAGGACCAAGAGGCTTGATGGAGGTGGAGAGATGTGGATGATGGAGGAATGGAGAGCAGATGCGGTCTGGGACAGAAGTGGCTTGCACGTCGAAGTTGTGATGGTTGCCTCTGCAGTGCACTAGAAATGATATGAGGAACCACATCTTCTCTTGATGTCGTCGAGCTCTATCGGTAGCGATGGGCCTCCCGTGCTGGCCCTTCGTTGATCACATCAACTTTAGGGACACTCAGCGACCGTTGACGATCTCCCATTCGAAGAAGAGGCATAGAATCTTGTGTGAGGAAATATCCATCGTCAGGGCATTGCATGCCGCCCACCGCTACACCATCTCGGGGCGAAAGAGCAATCTCTCGGGATCCAGACCTCCACGCAGGGAATCCAACAAGATGTCGAAGTTGGCAAGCTCTGCAGGAGATTTGCCAAAGACGCCGTGTATCCACTCGTCTTCGTCGCAAATGTAGTCTGTGAGTGTGCGGAAAGCCCCTGGTTCCTCCATAGCCTTTCGAAGCTCGGCGTCAATGTCCAGCTCGACGAGTTTGGCGTCATCGTAGATTTCCCGCGTAGCTTGGAGTATATTGTTTGCATCTGACACAAGGCTGGAGATATCGGCGTCACTGTCGGTGAACACAAGCAAAGTGCACCTTTCACCTGCCACGATAGCGTGCGTGCGTCTCAGACTCTTGCTGTCCACCAAAATTCGTTTCGTCTCAATCAAGCTGGCTAAGCCCGTCAGGCGAGCACCCGGGTCGGACTCATCTGAGTAATAGCCGTTGCAGTAGTCGCAAAGCCCGTCGCAATCACGGGAATCATGTTCGGTGAAGTCAAGGCTGATGTCGATCTGCCGCAGCTTTGGAAAATGCGTGGCTGACCGACGCAGTATCGTTCGTAGGTCGGCCAGTTCGGTCCATACGTCGTCCTCATAGTCCGGATAACTCCTTATTAACGAGATGCGCGTTACGTCTGCTTTCGTCTTGCCGAGCAACCATCGCATGTCCCTGGTATTGTATGAAGAGCTTAGGATCGTGTATGACTTAACAGTGATACACAATTCCCTTCTAACGATTTCATCGACTTCTGCTCTGAGTGCCTTGCTTGTGAGTCTCAAGTGCACCACGTCCTCTAACGCAAGGTAACGCGTTCGGGTAGGTGTCGGCGGTCGGCTCGACCGTATGCAAGAAAGGGTGTTGATTACGCTGCCGTCGTCATACTGAGTGAACGGGGAATCAACCGGTCGCGTGATGACCAGCGTACTTGGTACAAGATATGAGTAGATAGCTGTGCGGATCTCAGAAGGCAACGTGAGGAGTGTCGAGGGAGCCATGGCGAACTTCTCAATTCAGACGTCTGGTTAAGTTGGCCGACGAGTCGCAATGATTTCACGCGACGCGTTTCGATCACGAAAACCGCATATGGCGAACGTCAGTCGAGCGAAAAGAGGTGAGCCGGTACATCCTTGCGGTCGTGGCTGCCTTGCGTGACTCGCGCTGAGATCCAGTTGCGATTGACTCACTTTTCACGTCAAATTGTCGATGCCACGTGACACGAGAAACACTCGGTTCTTGTCTGGTCCACTGATGACTTCAAGCGCTTGCAGCCTTACTTTCTGCGGCAGTAATGCGCGAAAGGGATGAGTCTATATCCATTGTCAAAAAGAACAACTGCCAAGGATTTCGATCATTACAGTACACAATCTGAACTGGACTGATTCACAGCATTCTTCAGACCATAGCGCCATCGCTCTACGTTACTGCCTCCCTGGTGGCCCTCAGGCTCGACAAGCCGCATCCAACTCCGCCAGGCACGCCAAGGCACGTTGAAAAGTTGATGATCATTATTCATAACTGCATCATGGTGCCATTCACATGCTAAACTCCTAGCAATGCCCCTCCTCACATGCGCTTGGCCGCTCCTCCGATCACTTCGATGACACTCTCTACGACCTCTTCCTTCTCCATTTCCCAGTGAGGAGGCTTATCTTCCTCCGGAACCTGTTTCTTGGGAGCCCGCTTCTTCAGCGCCCATGCGGATGGGCTGTCCCGTCCCTCCATACTGTGAAGCGTTGGGACGCTGGCTAGGGGCTGAGATCCCGGCAAAGCATTTCCGGCATTTTGTCCGGACGGGCTACTGCCACCTGGTGAAGGAGAAAGGGTTTGCTGTGGAGAGAGGGTGTGCTGAGGTGAAAGTGTCTGCTGGGGAGATAGCGTGTGTTGAGGAGAAGGAATGTGCTGTGGCGAAAGTATATGCTGCGCCTGTGAGGGCGCAGGAAATTGCTGGGACTGTCCAGGCGGGGAATAAGGATAGTGTTGTGGCAGGTGGCCTTGTGATGGAGGGGGATGGGCATAGGGTGATTGTTGCGGGTGCGTCGGTGACAGGGCGCTGTTCGGACTGTTTGGTAGATGTGGTGACCTCCTGGCTTCAGCAGCGTGTTTTGCTTGATCGCTGTGATGTTGGCCAGGCGGAGCTCGTTCTCTTACGGGAGGCTTCCTGAACAGCTTGCTCGAGGCGCGGTCGAAGATGTCGCCCATGATTATGATATTGGCTTGCCGATCTCGTCAGCTGTTGGGTTCGTTGACCTGATGCTTAGCGGTCGCTGAGAAATTCCATATATCCGTCGGCCAGATGCTTAGCGCTCGCTGAGAAAATGTAGGTTTTACACGGATGGGATGAACTTTTGTAACAGGATCTGACGCCAAGTGCTGAACGCCATGACGTCGATGGCGATGATGGTGGTACTACACGTGGTTGCGAGAAGGAGTCCCAGTCGAACTGGAGGGGCGGATGCCCTTGGCAAAACTGCCCATCTGCCAATCCCGAGGGCGCGGAGATGGAGCGTTGAGCCGATACGAGGGGTGCGGCAAAATCATGGAAATTCGTAGCACAGGTCGAACGTCTAGACGACTTTGCCGTGTGCTGTTTCCTGTTAGAATCTCTTGCAACGTGACGTGAGCAGCATATACCTCAGCGTGGGCAACAGCAGCAAAGGGTGGAAGCTCTGTGGTTTGGCAAAGTTTGAGAACGGTTGCCTCGCCAAGGCAACATCTGATTATTTAGGTACGCGTCCAGTGACTTGTCACAGCACGCATTGGCTACGCAAGATCGGCCCGTAGCTCAACGATCGCTGTGCAGCGATCATTAAAACATCTTGACGACCTGAGTTCTTATGGCTTTGTGCATAGCAAGTGCCAGATAGTGCGTCGACTATCTGCTGAGAGAGCGTACCTCCACCAGACCTCAACCGTCCCTATCACAAATCCACCATGTCTGTGAACAGCCTTCCATCTGGGTCGAGACCGCCTCTCATGGGATCAATGGCGTAGATGGCGGCAGGATCTAGAGACCCGATGACGTCGTATAGCCATTCATCATCGCTTTCCCTGTGGTGTTTCGCAAACTCGTGGTATGATCTCGACGACTGCATAGGCTGTCGTATCTCGGTGTCAATATCGAGCTCGACGAGGCCGGCTTCATGACTCATTGACAGCTCGCCGCGCAGATCAGTCTGCTTAATCTTAGTAACATCCGTGCCCTCTTGAACCAAGAAGAATACCGCACAGTCCATCGAAGGAGCCGCATAATCACCGAGGCTGTACACGCATTTCATTGTCTCGCTGGCCGTGGTGAGTCTTTTCAGACCGATCAGATAGTCCAAATCTGGTGTATTTCCATGAAAAAGTAGGTCGATCTGTTGGAGCTTCGGAAAAGTGGCTGACTCTGGATGTAACAGCTCTTGCAGTGGCACGAGCTTCGCATCGATGTGCGTCCGCCCATAAAGACCCAACCATGTCATACTGAGATGCGTGATGTCTGCTCGTGCGCCTTGAGGGAACAATTCGCGAGCTACGGGTTGGGTACCGTCCAATTGGAGCATAACCCATAATTCTCGTCCGACGAAATCGTCAATGTCTAATTTGGCCAATTTGCTTGTGAGCCTGAGACTGATAACATCGTTCATTGAGGCGCCACATCTCCTTTCCCATACAATGTCTTCGGGGTCACACGGCCATCCGAGTGGGAGCTCAAAGACCGGCTCCTTGGCCTCTGCCTGAAGGCCCACGAGATCATCTTCGTCGTTGTATATCGGCTCGACAGTCAACATCTTTGGGACGAGATATGTGTAGATTGATGTGCGAATCTCATAAGGTAACTCGAGTAGTCTGAACGAGTGAGCCATGGTGTTCTTTCCAGTCTTGTGAGGAGTCTGTCGGACAGATGCGATGCGTGATAATGCGCGGTTCTGAACGGTGCTTCTTGTTACTGTTAGAAGGCATCGAAACAGTCGGGACTGATGTGTTTAAGAAGCAGCCTGTTAGTGAAGACGCACAGTCATTTTGATGGTCGTGACTGCTGCAATGACTCACTTGCAGTTTCAGGACGGGTTGCCACGTGGTTGTCTGGTCACTGACCCCACTGCGCTGAACTCGAGCAAAGCTTTTGTAACGCACGTGAAGGTTCCGTCAAGCAGTGCCCAGGTGAAGCTAGACCGCAAGACTGAACGAGAAACTTGTCTCCTCCTGACCCAGAATACGCGTTGAGATCGCGAGCTTTCTCGAACAAGGGCTCAACCACCGCCGCGCCCCACCGTGGGTAACCGGACACCCGGTCCAACAGCATTGCCTCCCTCGCATCAACACAGGAAGGCGCTCGACCTTCGACAGACGCCTCAATTGCAGCTTACACGATGCTCGATCAGATCAATTGGGCACTGGCCTGCTGGCTGCTGATAGTTGTAGGCAGCGAGTTCATCCACCTAGCCGTCACGAAGCCGATCGGATATCTTGCTCCTAGTTCGTGGTTGATGAACTTGGTTCAAGTCCTGCTTGATGTCCTTAGCAATGGAGAAGCGCGCAAATTAAGCCCAAGCCTCCGCCTGATCGATGTTGACTCCGATGGTCCGTCTCCTCACAATCACTCATGGATCCTAAATCAAATCTTCGTCAACTTCAGCAACCACGCCACCTCGATGATGCCCATGACTGTCGGAGTCTTCAAGTTGCCAAAGGGCGCCAGAAAGACAACAGATCGACAGATCTATGCCGCTCATTTCATTAATAGCTTCCAGTTCTCAACACTCATGTGGACCTATTGGCACGGCGATCCATCGCTTGCATTTTTCGACGGCCTAGCGCTCCTGACGACAGCTTTTGTATGGTTGATCTGGAACAGCCCGCATTCTCAACAGAGCCCCAGGGCTAGAAGAACCAACAGAAAGGCGCACGGGACATTCATCCTAACGGCCGGCCATCGATCCCGACATGCTATGGTCATCATCAGCGAGGAGGGATCTGGTATTGATATCGAGAAGCACGCGACATCGACCCACTCCCTCGGCTTCAGCTTCTGGACCTTGGTCGCCTTCTTCAGACTAGTATGCTCAGCACTCCTCACGATCAACATGCTCCAACTCCCAGCTACTGGACCCATCGTCGCAGCTTCTCTTCTGGGCGTTGTGTACAACGTGTGGCTAGCTTTTCAGCCCGGTGGTTATGGCATCGACATGGAGTTTGTTCGTACTGTGATAGCCACGGACGGGAAGGTCTCCACGCTCGTTGACCGTCTGGAGGATGCAGTCAGAGGGGCGGGTGGGATGTTGTTATTATTCATGGGGTCTGCCCGGCATCGCGATGCAGACAGTGACTCCCTGGGCGACTGGATGGTGTGAATGGCATCACTTGATAATCGAGCAGCGCGGCCAACAGCTGAGACTCTCCCCGTCCCTCAGGAGCAGAGCAGTCTTCCGGAAGAACTGCTGTTCCATGGCACGTTCTTGATAGGCACATCCAGGCGTTCCATTGTAATATCCTAGAAGAGCACAAGCTTGACTCTGATGTCTGACATGTCACTGAGACTTTCATCCCGGAGGGATGAGCGATACCACTTAGTTGAGAACGAGCATTCCAAGTTGCCCTTTGCAGCATATCCCTGACCCTAAAACCTGCAATGATTCGGCCGCAAAATCCGTAGCTGCACCCGTACACGACCGCCATCATAGTACCTGCGAGTTTCCAATCCGGGGCACCTAGTCGTAGTTCGACCTGACTTGTCGAGATGCCATGGTGTCCTCCAGCCTACCAATCCAGTCGAGACGCCGAACTACCCGCAAGCGATTGAGAACTCAAGTCAATATTGCTCCTCGCAACGTCCTCTCGAGCTCGTCCCAGGCGCGATCAGAGCCGCGACACGAGTTCATCATAGCCAGCGCAAGACATCTCGTGCCAGAATCCTCCCTCCGCGCATATTGATACATTCCATGGTCGTTCGGGAGATCGAACATTCAGTCTCCGCCTGAATCCAGTCTATCCCAAAGACTGATTCATAGCTGTATTCATAACCTGGAAAATTGCACCTCTGAATTTAAGCGCCTCATTATGTAAACATACACTCTCGACTTTCATCTCTACAGTGCGCTTGATGAGGGCGTCTTTCGTTGACCTATCCAAGTCGAGACTTTCGATGAATTTGAAGTGATCTTCCAGTTCAGCCTGCTGTTTCTGAGCATAAGTGACGCCCTTGGAGACGAGGCGATTTGTTTGCGAGCAGCCTCGATGAATTGGTCGAGACTGGGTGCTGAAGATGGGGATGACGTTGTGGCTGTCGTCAAGACCTTGGTCTTTCTATAGACAAAGGTAGCTGGTTATCCTGAACTCCGAGCTGTGCTTATATCAATCAATAGTTGGTCACTTTATCTTCTGGGGGCCATATGGCTACGGGGAAACAGTAGCATGGCTTCACAGGGCAACAAAGGGAGTCCTGATGTATTCTATTTCCTCCTGTCGCTGGGCATTCTCCGCGTCAAGGCAAGCCAACAGGGTTGCGCCGCCATCAGGGAGTGCTCGCATATTTCAGGTTGCCAGGAATATGATCTGTAACGCTGTCATCTAGCAGGCTCGAAACGTCCATGATGCATGCTAGAATATATAGGGTTAGGGTGGTGAAAGCTTCGGGAAGGGCAAATTTGGCCGCACCGATGACACGTGCGGCGATCTCGACGATTTCCTTGCGCCAACCTTACCCAACAATTTCTCTTCAGCCATCACTCATTCTGGCTGGTTTCATTCCTGCATCGAAGGCCTCGGAGTCGCCAGATGGGCCTCGATGACAGCCTCAGAGTCTGGTGATGCTCCTCCACATCCATCGACTGGCATAGCGCCCAACCTTGAGCAGCCCAGTCTTTTCTGGCGAACGGCGAGTCAGGCCACACTACTCGGAACAGCGACACTATGTCGTCTGTTCCTCTATGGCCTGAATAAGACTGAAGTGCACGGCTTCCCGGCCTTCTATGAACTCTTGAGATCCCGCGACGACCCTACAAAGCGGGAACGTGGACTCTTGACTGTGTCCAACCATGTCTCGGTCATGGACGATCCCATAATATGGGGAACACTGCCACTGTCCGGACACCGTTTCGGCGCGCCGCAAAGGATACGATGGGGTTTCGGCAGCCACGACATATGCTTCACAGCCGCCTTCCGCTCCCAATTCTTTACACTGGGACAAGTCCTACCCACCCATCGATCCGCCCACTCCCAGTTTGGCGGGCCATACCAGTACACCATGACCGAGGCGATCCGCCTCCTCTCGCCGATACAGGCTCCGCTGGCGTTCAAGAGAAGTGGAAGACGATGTCCAATACGCCATGGTCCCACCCGTCAAGTCTGTCCACCACCTCTCACCCACCAACCTGGCCCCACGACGCAGTCGATCCCTTCTCCGACCTCCCGCTCGCACCACACTACCCCTCGTACCCCGCCGACGAACGCAACTACCTCGCACCTTCCCGCTATGCGAGCAACAATTTTGCCTGGGTGCACATCTTCCCGGAGGGAATGATACACCAGTCGGAGAACTACGACATGCGCTATTTCAAGTGGGGGATTGCGAGGTTAATTTTGGAGCCGCCAGTGTGTCCGGATGTTGTACCGATGTGGATTGAGGGGACAGATCAGGTTATGCATGAGAGTAGGGAGTTTCCCAGATTCATTCCCAGGGCGTTCAAAAGGATTTCTGTCACGTTTGGAGCGAAGGTCGACACCGATGCCCGGTTTGGGGACTTGAGGGCACGGTGGGAGGGCTTGGAAAGGAGGAGTAAGGGTGTCAAGGACGCCAACCCGTCGTCAACAATTTCGTTCTTACGACCCGGCTCAGGATCATCGTTGTTCTCGTTCTCCTCGCTCAAATCTCTCCTTTGGAGAATACCTTTAACTCCTGCGGGCACCACCCTCGCCAGCAACTCGACCCAGTCTGACCGTTCAACCGAGCCAACCAGCGAGCAGGCAGAACAAAACCACCTCAACATCGGCCTCCCTCTACCCAATTTGGACAAGACTCCACGCCTGCAACAAGAGATCGAAGCCCTATGGGAGGAGACAGCTTTCCGTGTCCGCGAAGAGGTGCTGAAGCTACGTCGTGCGCGCGGCTGGCCGGACGAGGACCCGAAGGCCAGTGCCGCGGAGACTTGGGCTAGGGAGGGAAAGGTGGTGGAGGAGAGGAAAGCCAGTGGGATCAGGAGTGGGAGGGAAGGAGGAAAGGCCAAAAGAATGGAGGATGGGAGCTGGGTTGGTGGTCCTTGACTGTTTGTTGTTGGTAAACTTGATGGACAACAGCACGGTGTAATTAGCGCACCGGAGAAGTCGGAAAACGATCAAAGTAGAGATAGAAAGATCATTCTTATTCAGCACTTCTCTATCCAAGAGCGCCATTTGGTCTGCCATCCAAGCGTGCTATCCCATGTTCCTCCCAAAATCTCTGCCATTCCCTATAGAGTCTCAAAAAAGGTCGAAACGCCAGACTCGTATGCACGCGGGGTTCCGCCGCTCATGCCGCTTAGTATGGGTATCCTGACATCGTGTGCCCGCTCGAGGTATCCACGAATGTGGGTTAGTTGTGGTGATACATCGCCAGCAACCAGAACTCCGTGCGCTCTTTGCTGTGATCATCGAAACCAACGCCATGGCACTCCGCAAACATAGCTCCAAGCTCAAGCTGCGACCTCGACCACTCTGCCCGTCTCCGGCACCCCAACCGATTCGTCGCCTTCCTGGTCAGCACGCACGTCCTCAGCCCAACTCCCCCACAGCCCTCTCTTGCCCCGAATTCGTAATGGCAGCCCCAGCGCTCCACCGCCCTGCTCCACTTTGATCGCATCTTTCGTCGCCAGCACCAGTGTTTCGAAGAACATTTTTGTCGCGTCTTCTCTTGAAGCCCTGCCTTCGGGGATGATATCTTGCAGGAGGACACTCTTTTTGGGACTAGACGAGGTTTCGCTGCCGCCGAGCTTTTCGCGGAGCAAGTGCACAGCGCGTTTCGTGCCAAGACTGACAGCGCCTGAATCAGCAGGGTGGATCAGCGGGATAGTGGTGTCGTCGAAATTGGGGTGACTGTCGTCTAGACCGAATATGCCCTCGTCGTCTTCGCCTGTCACGATGTCCTGGAGCGCAGGGTTAGAGGGGTCGATGGGTGAGTGGTGGTCTTCTGCGCCGATGCCTTCGTCTTCAGGATCCTCGATGCGAGGGGATTTGGATGCCTGCTCTTCTTCGGAGTCGGAGATGCCGGCTATGCCACTGTCACGCTTGCGTTTCCGCTGGTTGGATGAGGAAGAGAAGCGGAGGACGGCGTCGAAGGACAACAGGCCTTGCAGCTCGGGCGCCCACAGGGAGTTTGTGTCGGTCGTATTGACGAAGGCGCCGGATTTGGAGAGATTCATCAGGTTGAGCAGGGATGGGTCGCGAGGGAGGAATTGGGGTGCCTTGAGGATTTTGGAGCGGTCTTCGGATTGGGCTTTGATCTCGCGGTTGTGGAGGACGGTTTCGAGGTCGGGTTCGATAGGTTTGAACTTTTTGGAGCGTTGCTTTTGTTGGACTGCGATGGAGGTTGTGGTTTCGTCTTCGGCGGTGGGTTGGTTGAAGGTGGTGTCGAGGTCGCGGGCTTCTTCGGGGTTGAGGTCTGAGAGGGGAGAGGTACCGCGGCGGGACTGGGGGACGGTTGAGCCGCGGATCTGGGCTGTCTCGTCTTCGGGGAGGATGATGTGGCCTTCGTCGTCGTCCATTGGGAGGGGCATGTCGTCGTCGTTGGTGGTTGGGAGTGGAGGTTCGTTGTCGCCGAAGTCGAGGACTAGATCGTCGTCTTTGTAGAATTGCTCGCCGCCTAGAGTCTGGTCGTTGAGGTCGGCTGGAGCATTTCGGCCTTGCTGGATGCTGACTGTAGTGTCCTCGTTGTCGCCGAAGTCGAGCTGTAGATCGTCGTCGTGGATCATGACGTCGTCACCGGGACTCATGCGGGACTGTCCGCTCATTCTGGGGTTCAGACTGCTTGTCCAGTCGTTGTCGTAGTCTTGTGTTGGACCTGGAAGAGCAGGTTTCTGTGACATTGTTGGGTATGCGAAATCCATTGCTGGGAACAGATCGTCGATTGTGAGGAGCTCTGGAAGATTTAGATCCGTTCCTGTGATGGCGTTGGCGGGCAGATCATGGCTGCCGGTGTTCTTGAATGTCATCCGGATCTTGAGGAGTGCTTCGTGGCAGTCATCTTGCAGATATTTGGCCTTCTTGCCGTAGATGCGGACAACACCCAGCATGAGGTTGCCGTGCAGTCGGAGTGCCATAGGAGCATTGTTCTGGTTGAGGATGACCTTGATGTCCTGATCAATGTCGGATTGCAGCACTTGCGACTTGGACAGCTTGCGCTCAATGTTGGCGGCAAGCCACACCTTGGCCAGCGGGCCTGTCTTGGACAGGAGCTGGTCGACGTAGAACATCCTGGCGACGCGATCGCGTGTCTGTGGTGTTCGAGGGAAGGGTGCGCACCGTGCGCAAGGTGTCACAACGCGTCAGATCAGTGCCCTGTTTGTATATTTGTCGCAACCTTCAGCGCTCGCGCGTCCAAAGCGCAAACTCAATTGTACGATATCCAAGAACCGATGAGGACTATGCGATGTCGGATGACGGATGTGGGAGGGACGAAAGATGAACCTCGATGAGTGGTGTGTGAGGCGACGGTGAGGAGGACAGAGCGTCGGCGGGAGGTTGGCGTTGAATGTCAACTTCAGCGCGCCGCGCCGCAGAAGGGGGGCTGGGTCATTTGAAGCAAAATCAATGGTGATCTGGGTCATTTGAACACGCGATTCGGAACTGATCACCGAGGACATCGATCGCGGCCACCGACGTCAAGGTTAAAATGTTCACGTGGACGAGACAGTCGTGTAGAGACACGGGTTTCCAATACCTACCGAGCATTGTCCAAGGCTGAAGGTACATGTCGGAGTCGCCTGGGAGTCCTCCACGCCTTCAAGGATGCATACATTAGATTAATATAGCGTCCACGAGACCGCCACTGCTACGATGGCGAGCAAGAAGTCTCAGCAGGAGATGGTGCAGGTCGGTGTGTGGATCTCACAGCACGCGATTTATCTGGTGCTCTGGCTTGTCAAGTACTAACAGAGCTATGACACAGGGAACAATGAGCGATCGGCCTCGCCTTTTTGGCGGAATCGACCGTCAGTCGAGCGGCAGTCCTCTGGCACCAAACCAACGAAAGTCATAGGCGCCTCCTATTCGCACGCCGATATGCTGAAGTTTGACTCGCTGTCGCTCGGGTCTGGCTCACGGCCGCAGACGCCGCCTACGACCTCTTCGAATCGAGCATCACCCACACCTCCGGTCAACCGATTCCAGTCGCCCGGCCGAAAGCCGTATGGTGGTTTGGGCGGCTCCAGTCTGGGCAGTTGGGATGTCATCAACTCTCCTGACGGCGACGACGACATCACGTTCAACGACGAGGATGAGGACGAATTTGGCCTGCCCAGTCTCGAGAGCATGCGCAAGAGAAGGAATGTGAAGAGCCCTGGTTTTCCTGATCTGTCGCCCCAGCCAAGTCACACGAGCTCGCGATATGGCCAGTCGTCGATGCTACAGCATGTTCGGTCCAGCAGCTTCGATATTGCCGAAGAAAGGAACCCGCTGTCATATCCGAGCGCGAAGAAAGGTGAAGGCAAGATTCTAAGACCACAGTATAAGGACCTGTTGAAGGATCCAGCCAATTCATTGCATCTGATTGATCACCCGACGATGGCTGCGGGCTCCGATGCGAAAGCAGCCGAAGCACACAACACTCGAATATCTCGCATAAACAAGTTCAAGAGAATATTACAATCGAGTTCCGTATCAATGTCCGAGATACGGTCCGCGGCGTGGTCTGGTGTTCCGGACGAGGTGCGTGCTGTAACATGGCAAATACTGTTGGGCTATCTCCCCGTAAACAGCGAACGAAGAGTGGCAACACTAGAGCGTAAACGAAGAGAATACGCGGACGCTGTCAAGCAATCTTTTGGAGCCGGCACGACAGGTACCAAGAACGGCACTGGATCAGGACTGGCCGGAATGGCTTCCAATCCTCCCGTCACCACTGGTCGTGGACGTGGACTAGACGAATCTATTTGGCACCAGATCAGTATAGACATCCCACGCACGAGTCCGCATATTCCTTTGTACCAGTTTGAGGCAACTCAGCGGTCGCTCGAGCGTATACTGTATGTCTGGGCGATCCGACATCCTGCCAGTGGATATGTGCAAGGTATCAACGACCTCGCTACGCCGTTCTGGCAGGTGTTCTTGGGCATGTATATCACTGATCTCAATATTGAGAGCGGCATGGATCCTGGTCAGTTGCCGCGGCCAGTCCTGGACGCTGTAGAAGCGGACACATACTGGTGCTTGACAAAACTACTCGAGGGGATCCAAGACAATTACATCGTCGGCCAACCTGGAATTCATCGCCAGGTTGCCGCCTTACGGGATTTGACCACCCGAATAGACTCCACGTTGGCGAAGCACTTTGAAGACGAAAGTGTAGAGTATATGCAATTCAGCTTCAGATGGATGAATTGCCTTCTGATGCGGGAGCTGACCATCCGGAACGTCATCCGGATGTGGGATACTTATATGGTACATGACCTCTATTCGTTGCATTTATGCATAATAGCTAACATCGATCGTCCAGGCTGAGGAGAACGGCTTTTCTCAGTTCCACTTATACGTCTGCGCAGCATTTCTGGTTAAATGGTCTGACCAACTACTGAAGATGAGCTTCCAGGAGATCCTGATGTTTCTGCAAGCTCTGCCGACACGAGAATGGACCAATAAGGATGTCGAGTTACTTCTCTCCGAGGCTTTCATCTTCCACAGCCTCTTCCACAAGAGTAAGGCGCACTTAAGAGGAAGCAGCAATAATGAGCTCAGGATGGGTGGGCTTGGTCCGCCTGGGTAGGTACTGTAGAATGCAAAATTTTACAACAGCCAGGCAGCACTCCGAAGTCTCGAACGCAGTTGCCAGACGAACATGCAGTTGCCTTTCCATGTAGTACGAGGTCTGCGCCTTCCTCAGATACATCGCTTCGCAGAATCTCTAGCTACCTAGCAGTCACTACCTACTCGAGGGAACCTTGGAGTCCGGGGGAATTCGTTTCATCGTGTACAACCTCAGGTGAGCATCAGCCTCTACTAATGCTGCTTCCAGAGCAAAGACAAGACGTTACAAGAAGATTGCGTCTCTACACCTGATGGAAGTCGGGCGCTAGTCACAGAAATGTCACGTCTTCGATTCTCTCGGAGCGTTTGCCGGGTCCTTTCGTCACCCCCGTTCTCGAAGAACATCTGCTCTCAAGTATTGACCCCGAAATCCGAGTGCTTCACCCAGCACTTGGCAACTTCAGCACGACCAGAACGACTTCACTTCAGCTTATCCGAGGACTGATGTGCTTTTCTACCAACAATACTGCGATCACCTCACTTCCCAGAGCCTTGTTCTGTCCGCAACTGACAGGTAACTCCAGGATCTCATTGAGCCCTGCCATTGACCTGGTTGCAGCTGTCCTTTGATACTTCTGCTAGTCAGGATGCCTCGCCAGTTCTCCAAGCCCGATCTGCAGAGGCTTCTGCAAGCCGAAGATATCGCTCAAGTTGTCCTTGAGCCAAAACTCGTGCTGAGATCAACACCTCCGACACATGCTGTTGAGCAGAGGCACACAACACAAGCCACAGACATCATCGCCAACGAGAAAATCAGCGAGAAGAGGAAGCCACCATTCTGGAAGACTGCGAGGCGTAAGCAAAGCTACACGTTCAAACTTGTGACCGATGCTCTTCCCAATGCCGTCGCAACCAACGAGCCTACTGGAGTCATTCAAGCACTGCTTGACATCGGCGGCAGTTCATCTTATGTAAAGAATGCAGAAACAAGGAACAGTCTCGAGACATCACGATCAGCATTGCTACTGCAGGCTACGAGCATCGGCAACCTGGATACTATATCTTTGCTAGCGTCCATCATACCATGTCCCCGTCTCGATGAAGCACTCGCGCAAGCGCTCGCTTCCGCAAACCACAGCACAATAATGCGTCTGCTGGAGCATGGCGCCAACCCCAACAGTTGCAGTACACAGATCATGGCGTTTGCCGCAGCTGGTCAGCATATGCAGCTTGCGCTACTCCAACAGGCTCCGAGACAAATTCTTGCCGGGCTGGCATTCGCTGCGCTTGATGGTGCTGTTGCGAGTGGCTGCAGCAAAACACTATCCTTACTTGCCAGCATCGCAGACCTGCATGAGCATACTGCTGTTTCTGCTTTGTCGGAGACGGTCCACAAGGGTGACGTTAAGATGCTGCTGATCATTCTTGCTCGATGCTCTGAGTTGCTGAGGTCGGATTTACTCGACAAGCACGTGCTCGAGGTGTTTGAGAGCACATCGCTCGACCCAGCCTTAAGATGCCAATTCACCGATGCCCTTCTGTATGCTGGGGCTGACGGCAATGACACCAGTGCCACCTTCTGCTCTGCCGTCGAACGTGGCGAGGTGGGCGTCGTTGAGTTATTCATCAAGCACAAGGTCGATGTCAATTGGCCGAGAGGGCAAGCTCAAGCTGCGTGCTTTGCTGCGCGGACTGGAAACACTCAGCTACTCCAACGTGTGCTCAGTGCGGGAAGTCTGTCAACAGAGGGAGCTTGCCGAGTCCTCGCAGGACTGTCTCGAACTATGCCAGCAAGTGAGCGGCTGGCCATGCTCAACAAGCTACTTCATGCCGGCGCACGCGGACCAGCCGTTGACCAGGCACTTGTCTTTGCAGTTCGAGATGCGAACGACAACGAAGTCCAGTTGCTGAGACACAACGGCGCACGTATCGGCTCTGACGCTACTGCTCTTGTGGAGGCAATTAGCGCTGATCGGCCTCAAACTGTGTCAATCTTGCTGAGCGGCAATGTCGACACCACCGTATTGCAGCGGGCGTTCCCAGCTCTGCGGCGAGCTACCAAAGACAGAAGATTCGAGATGACGAAGATGCTCCTCGATAAAGGTGCTCGGGGCGAGGCGATCTCCGCTGCATTATCAGAAGCGGTGTGTGATCAGAAATCGACGCGTGACGAGAGACTTATAGAAATCCTGATCAACGCTGGTGCCGACCCATCGTTTGGCCGCGCTAGCAGTTTTCGTCACGTTGTCAGTCGTTGTGATCTGAGGATGTTCAGTCGCTTGCTGCACTCGCCGATATCAACGGAGACTGCATCGGACATCGTGTCGGACGTGGCAACGAAGAGCGATACCGATACAAGGTATCGCTTCTACGAGCAACTAATCGCAGGTGGCGTACCTCGCGAGGGCATGTCCAGAGCGCTCATTTTGGAGCTTTCGAACACGCACAGCAACACAGCCATCTGCGAACTGTTGCTACACAAGGGCCACGCCGATATCAGTTTCGACTCCGGTAGAGCTCTTGCAATCGCAGCAGCCAAGAACGATGCAAGCATGCTCAATCTGCTTGTCAGTGGTCAATCGGTCTCGGCTACTGCCGTTAGGCCTGCTCTTATCTCCATTATACAGTCAAAGACATTCGATGATGAAACGAAGGCTTCTAGAATCAGACGACTGAACGTCACGCCATTAATTGCTTACGAGGGCATTGCTGCATCGGTCCAGTATTGCGCAAAGCACTGTGCCTCCGGATCTACCTGGCCTTTGGCAGCATTCTCCGCTTTGATCGACCAGAAACCCGACATCAATGCCGAACAAGGTGGTTTGCTGGGAGACGCAATCGCGCATTCAGCGCTCTCGCTTCTCCGCCTCTTGCTGAACCTGAAGCCATCACAGGCGGTACTTGACATCGCCCTGATGAGCTGCTTGTCAATCACAAACGAGGAGACTTGCATTGAGCATCTGGAAGCACTTCTCAAATGTCAGCCGACGAAGGAAGGCATCTCACGTGCACTCGTTGCTGCCTTCCAGCACGACAAGCCCTTGTCGATCTGCAAGCTACTTCTCAATCATGGTGCTGATGTGGAGTATGGCAACCACAAAGCTGTCGTCTACGCATTTCGCAATCAGAACGTTGGCGCTATCCAGCTTATCTTCGCGTCTAACTCCAGTCAGCAGATGCTTGCCACGGCATTCGATTCTGCCATCCAACAATCAGACCCTACTGTTGTTTTCGACTTGGTCAGCTTCACACTCAAGGCAGGCTTTCGAGGGCTTCCGGTATATACATTGGTACTGAGTATTGTGCAAGCCCAGCAGACGGACATGCGATTGCTGCAGCTATGCATTGATCATGGCGCGATGAGCTACGCTCAGGACAGCCAGTGCGCCGTACATGCCACCATTACACAGAAGCTCGACGTTGTCCGCGTGTTGGCGCAAAATGCGTTCACTTCATCGATGGCTTGTGATTGCATCAGGGCTTGCGTCGATCAGGGTGTTCTTCTGAACTGCAGCGCCGACCTTGTAGCCCTCCTACTGGGGAAGGGCGCGCATGGGCCAGTGCTCTCCGTCGCCTTGCTTCATGTTGTCGTTAACTCAGCGGCTCGCGACAGAAGCTCAAAGATTGATCTGCTGGTGAGGTACGGAGCAGACGTCAACGCCAGCAATGGAGAGGTGCTCTCAAAAGCGTGCGAATTCGGCGACCTAGGCCTCGCCTTGGCTCTGTCGCAAGCTAGGTCACTGCTCTGACTCGAGCTCGGGCTTTGCATACATTGATCGACACTGAACCCAGGACAGTGCCCACCTCGACCTTCTGCGCCATTCTCGACGTATTGCGGCAGAAGTACGAGCGGGATCAGGTCGAAGCAACTTTCGGGTTGGGAAGGGTCAGTCAGCTGCCTGTGTTGCAGGTATTGCTCACTCGTCGACCTCAGGGCGAGGGAGAACTTCAAGCCATTCTCGATGCGGAGCCTGAGCTTCTGAAGAACTCCCGTACACCTGTCACACTCCTGCCCGGCGGACCCCGGGCGCATATGAACGGGCCGACGGATCTCTTTCATTGGGCACTCGAAGCCTCACCCCGAATTGAGACCAGTCTTCTGTGCATACTCGTCGCGAGAGGCATCGATATCGGCCATGTCAATAGCAAGGGCGAAACGTCAATCATGGTCGCAATAAGGACTGGTAGATCGCAACTCATTGAGCCTCTCCGATTGCAAGGAGCAGATATTTCCCGTCGTGATTACAATGGACGTGCCCCATTGCTATATGCTGTTGAGTTGGGTCAAGCCGATGCTGTCGAGAGACTGGTTTCATTCGCCAAGCCAGACGATGGAAGCCTGCACCAAGCAATACGAAGGCTCGATACTCGCCTGGTTGGTCTGCTATTGAACCACGGACATGACGCGACGATCCCATCACAGTATACTGCACATGGGAAACATACACCCCTTATGGAGCTCTTGTCGCTCAATGTTGATCCATCTCAGCACTATGAGTTCAAAGAGATCGTGCGGATGCTTGTGTCGCATGGTGCTGATCTGACCAAGAAGGTCGACAACAAGCCGTTGATCTGTGCAGCGTTAGATCGGGGTTACGCTATCACTGAGGCTATCCTGGCTGCAGGGCTCAAGGCACGTATAGACGAAGACTGGAACAATTACAACGACGGTCAGCATTGCTATTCCCCTACCCAGTATGCGGTAAGGATGCTCAAGGGCAGTGACGAACATCGCGGGCGCCTTCTTGAGCTTCTGCGAATGTACGGCGCGCAGAAGGAGATCTACTATAGGCTTCAAGGTCCGCAGCCAGACGATGCGGTGGGCATGCCACCTCACCTTGAGCGCCTTGAGCGTCAGCGGCGCGAGAAGCTTCAGCGTGAACAAGATGCCCGAGAGGCCATGGAGCGAGAACGTGAGAATCGGAAACAGCAGCAGCAATTCGATCTTATGCTTGAGCAAGAGCGTCATGATCGAAGTTGGGATTTGAGGCAGGATACTGCAGATCGTGAAGCCAACATCCGCGATGCGAATCATCGCCGGCAAATCGGACACACCAGAGATATCCGCGCAGAGGAGGAAGCGGATCGAGAGTTGGAGGCACGAGCTCGTGTTCGTGAGCAGAATGATCTGCTTAATTACGAAGAGGAGAGAAATCACAACGCGTTAAACTTCGCTCGTCAGCAGCAGAATCTGGAGGTCAAGCACCGTAAGGCACTATTGGGTGCCCAGAATGACGCTCTACAGCGACAGATGCAGTACAAGGGGATGTATTACCAGGGAAAGAATGCTTACGAAGAGGAACAGCATCGCAGATCAATGGCTCGACGGGAGGCATCCCAGTCGAGCAGAGTCGCCAGCATTGAAGACAGAGAGTGGCGTGCTCAGCAGCGACATCAGAGAGCCATCGAAGCTGCACAGACCCGGGACTGGCGTGAGGAGAATCGCCATGAGAGGCAACTGGAGCAGCAGCACCAACTCCGTCTCACACAAGGTGAAGAACGCTATTCTGACGAAGACAGCGTGGGCGAGGACGACGATGAGGAGTCCGCTGACGAGGAATTTGATGCTCACTCGGATGTAAGTCACATTTCTTCCTTCGAGACTCGTCCAAGACTACCGCCTCCCGGCGTGGCAACTCGGACTGTCTCGAGTATTTCCACCTATCCACGGAAGGAGGACTCATCCGTCTCGAACCCTGATGCCCTCGACGTACATCATCCTTCTCCATGGGTAGGTCTGTCCACGCGAGAGTCGTCCAGCTTCTACCCAGGGCAGACTCCCGCGTACAGATCGGATCTATCTCACTCAAATCCGTCTTCGCTTCCACCTTGTGGTACCACATCGACGAGACGTCCGCTGAGTACTCCCGTGACAGCGGACCGTCCTTCGAGGACTTCGCACATCTCCAGGAAACCACTTCGTCCTTCCGGGCATGTGTCACATTTTTCCTAACTTCTGATCTTAGGATTGGCATCGATGAGACGACTTACTATGAGAGAGCTGTCAACACAGCGTCTCTCGAATGGCGTCTTGTAACCGACTGTCATTCGTTCCTACGATTCTGGCTGGGGGACAGTCAGCCGTGCTATACGCGCGCCATCCGCACGGTCGATCACTAAAACAGAGATTCCCAATCGTCGGCCGTGACATGTGCCCTGCTCGTCGGAAACCATATAAGCGCACCAGGAATTAAGACTCACAAGGACTTAAGAGGGCACATCGCAAAGATGGCGGGTACGACGGATACGATGACCGAAGCATCGTTAGTCTTCGGCACGTCAAGGTGTCCGACGCCGTAATCAGTAGCGGGCTTCAGGATGTGATTGGCTCGCTAGCATCTTCTTTCACCCTGGAAGGAAGCCAAGTCCTGGTTGCCTCGAAATGGCAAACCGCTGTTATGTCGACCTCGATCTTCCAGTGCAGCATGGCACCTGAATCTTGCAATAGCGGCTAAAGAACGAGAGCATGCATACCCACTGCTTCTCAAAGTGCTTATCTCATCCTCGATATGGCGTGTATATATGCTCCACGAACGCCCGCATCCGTTTTGGTCTGTTTAGCATCGATCAGCGCCAGTGCAGGCAAGATCAGACCAAACGAGCATGCCATCATTTCTCGGTCTGCCGCTTGAACTTCGAGAGACCATATTCAGCGACGTTCTCGCAGATCTCACAGCATGCCTCGTCATAACCGACACTAAGACCTCTGTCTCAACGACGACACAGTCCTCCTTCAGCGTCTGCGACTTCAACAAACACATCGCTAGTCTCTCACGCCATCATGCTGAGCCAATCACGACCTCACTACTCAGCGTGTGCCGCCAAATTCGGAACGAGACCATTGCCTTGGCAGGTCGGACGCTGGACTTCGCTGTCGTCATCAGCAGCAGCAACGCTGCGCTCGAAGCGACCACTGCCCACATACTGCAGCGACCTTGCATTCCGCCTGGATGGACAATAAAGCTACGCAGCCTGTCAGTGACCACCTATACTTTGGTTACTCATCATGCACCAACTTTCTGGCAGGGCTTTTGGACGAATGTGAGCTCGATGTGCCCGTTTCTGACACACGGGAGCGTCAATCGCTTGAGCTCCAACCTGCAGCTTCTGGGTGGCCAGAGCGAGACTGCGTCCGTGATGAACTACTGCTCGACGAGTTCTGGCGCAGCAACAAAAGTTGATGATATCCTGACTGATGGTCCGGTGATGGGCAAGTACAAAGCAGAAGCACGCGAGCAGTTCTATAGGGTCATCAGCGAGATGCCACTCAAGGGGGAGAGGGGTTGGCGAGTGAGTATGAAGCTGAAGTTTGTGGTCTGGATCACTGGAGTCAGTGTATATGGGTATGATGATTTTGGATGCGTAAGTTCCTTGACCCAGAGTCACTCCAGGCTGGCGTGCATGGCCATGATAGCAATTATCTTCACAAGTGCGCACGCTGACTTTGAAGCAATGCAGTACGTTACAGTGTCCGAGAATGGCGATTCGGCGGCAACACGAGACAGCACTGCCGATCACGATACTCTGAAAGGACACGTCGTTGTTCATCGTCGAGGTGCAGAGGCACGGACACGGGAGACATTTGAGCCTGGGGCTGATGCGGTACAGGTGGCCGTGGGCGAAGTGATGAGTGTAAAGACTCTATCGAGAATTCGCACATGAACAACTTTGTTGACCATCGACAGGCTGGACGAGTACAGAGTTTCGTTGACATGGAGAACATGTTGATCGCCTAGGTTAGAGGCTGTTCATAAAGCCAGCTCGACAGAACATAGAGGACGAGACATCGCAGCAGTCCCTATGCAACGAGCGACAAATCGCACGATCACGCACAACCGGAGCGTTGCCAGAGCCCGCCCCAGCGGAAGTCGGGGCCTCCATGGGACTAAGCCAATCAGGGAGCATGGAGTTCCGAATCGGGTCTATGGCGCGAACCTCCGCTAAGCCGTCCGTCCGCGGTCATCAGTGTTCGACGTTCACTTTCCGTTGTGCTCGTTCGGCAGAGAACGGCGCCTTTAAGAGCGTCGTTGTCGTTCTTCGATGTTTGAGCCAACTGGATCAATGCACAGGCGAAACTGCGAGAGACCGGACATGCGCATGGACCATCTAAGCGACGTACACGGGCAATTCGGGGAAGGCCCTGCGGATGCATATAAAGGTCGAGCCCTCTCCCACCACCTGAGGATTCAGTCCTCACGACCAGTCTCTACACCCGCATCGGATCAGCTCAGACGACTTGAAGCATCCCCACCATTACCGGCGGCATGGCACCGCAGAACATCTACGGCTCAGTAATAACTTGGTGTCCGACCACAAAGATTGGCACCATTCGCGTCACTTCATCCGGACAAGAACTCGCGTTCGGCAAAGCCGATATTGCCGCTACTCGCTGTACGTTGTCTCCCAGATTCTCGGTCAACGTATTCGGGCAGCTGCTCTCCTGTACGATCGTTTGCTTCCCTGTGATGGCACTGTACAGGCTGGCTAACTTTTGACGGGACACAGTTTCTGGCCCATACCAGCCGAAAGTTGGCGATAAAGTCATAGCGAGTCCCAAGGAGGGTGGAGAGGGAGGTCTTTCCGGGATAATGGAGTTCTTGTGAAAGGCGAACAGGCGATTCCTGTGCAGGAGATGTTCGTCGAGGATTGATCTGTCGAGCATTTGCGAGTGGAAAGGCATCCTAGGACATTCTGATATCTGCCATCCGGTAGCACGAGAAAGTTGCTGGTGCTGGGGTCGACATTCGCCGTTCATCGTCCACGCAAATTCGATCGACCATCGCCCAGGGCCACAGAGGTATACGCTGCAGATTCTTTATTTACGTATTAGACCCCATAATCAGATGACGATTACCATTCAGTGAAGAGTTCCCTGTATGCTCTTACATTGCGAAGTAGCGTACGCAATATCAATAGCTGAGACCGGATGACTGCAGTTCTGTTCTGTCCGGCCTTTCAGCAGACCGGTTGACTTTGCACGCGCCTGCCTCGTTACACACTTTGTGCAGCACTGCGGGGGCCATTGGCCGTGCGCATTCGTACTGCTTCCTTGAACACTGCCTCCGGCAGGGCAGGAGCCACCGGCTGACAGTATTCGCGCCTGCCTCGCTAGACATTCGCTACAGCACGGCAGGAGCGATCGTCAGATGGCATGCGCACCTACCTGCCTCTTCAGATTTTCTCCGCAGTGCTGAAGGAGCGACCGGCTTACGGCCTTCGCGCCTGCCTCCGTGTCTTGCCTCGCTCGCCGGTTGACATGACTAGCACAGGCTTTGGAGAGTCCGGTTGAAGACGAGCGTGACTGGTCACTGGTAGCGTCGGATGACAAGGTTGCTCAAATTGGGCCTTCGCAAGACCGGACGATCACGACGCCGGATGACAATGCATCAGACACGCCGTTCTTCCTGAAACTGGATCGATAAGTACGGGCCTTGCACCGCCCTACATGCCGGTTGTGAAGAGAGATGATGCTGTGCTTCTCTCATCAGCGGGCTCTGCGTAGCTGGTCGGAGGTTTTCTGCAGGTTTGTTTGAACGACGATGCAGTTTTGGGAAATCGCAGATATTTTTGGTGGTTCAAGTGTCTATATAGTAAGATGCAAATGGCATAAAGGGTTGGTCTTGCTCGATATAAATGCATCCAGAAGATCAAGATAGTAGTGACACCTAGAGTCTGCAAAGCGACGTCGCCGGCAGTAATGATTATTTACAGTATGTGATGTAATGCTGCGCTGTCCGCACCCGTTAAAACGCAAGTGATTCTAGAATTTTGCTCCTGGATCCCATGAATGCGAAGCTGTATATCGGATGCCAATGATAGACAATCACCTCTCATCGGCTGTCGCCAACTGATGATCTAATGATCGCCCCAGCCGCCGTTGTCTTGGCCTCCTCCGCCGCCGCCTCCTCCGTTGCCTTTGTCGGGTCCTGGACCATTCGGGGATGGCCCGTTAGGTGACGGGCCGTTCGGACTTGGTCCGTTGGGAGAGGGGCCATTGGGAGAGGGGCCATTGGGAGAGGGGCCATTAGGGCCTGGCCCGTTCGGTGATGGGCCATCAGGTGACGGACCGTTTGGTGACGGTCCATTTGGAGATGGCGGCGAAGGACCTTGAGGGGTAGGAGATGGCTCCGGCCTGAATATTGAGAGAAAATTGCTTAGCGAACCGAAACGAGAAACCAGGCGTCGAGACCGGCGCGGTTGCGGTGTTGAAAAACTTACTGATCGCGCCAGTCGCGGCGGGTTGTGGTTGTGGTTGTGGGTTTCTTAGTGGTGGTCGTCGTCTTGGTTGTCGTGGTCGTGGTCTTGGTTGTGGGAGACACGGGTGTAGTCGTGCATTTAGTGGACGTCGTCGTGCTCTTGGTCGATGTCTTGGACGTTGTTGTGGTAGTCGTTGGCTTTGTTGTCGTTGTAGTCGTCGTCGACTTTGTTGTGGGACTTACGGGTTTGGTAGTCGTGGTTGACGATGTACGGACTGGCGTTGTGCACTTTGTAGTAGTTTTGTTTGTGCTGGTGGCTTTGGTTGTGGTAGAGGTAGTGCTGGATGGTTTGGTGGTGGTCGTGGTTGTGCTACTGCTCTTGGTTGTAGTTGTAGTCTGTGCAGCATTAGTATGTTATGGATCGAGAGGATAATCTATAGCATCGAATACTCACATTAGTCGTGGGCGCGGGCTTAGTAGTGGTCGTTGTTGAAGTCGTTGTCGTCGAGGAAGTCGTTGTCGACGGAGTTGTTGTGGTGGTGGTAGTAGTCGTGGGAGAGGAAGTAGTGGTGCTGGCAGTAGTGGTGGACGAAGTGGTCGAAGAGCTCGTGCTCGAGGTAGTTGTGGTGGAAGAAGTCGTGGTCGTGCTCGAAGAGTCGCTGGTGGTGGTGGAAGAAGTAGTTGTCGAGTCGGTCGAGGTTGTCGAGGTGGTTGAAGTGGTAGTCGTCGAAGGTGATGTGGTTGTCGACGTTGTGGTGGTAGTGGCGTCAGTTGTGGAAGACGAGGTTGTGGTGTCGGTGGTCGTGGTCGTGGAAGCGCTTGATGTAGTGGTGCTCGTTGTGCTTGTCGTAGTAGTCGTCGTTCCATACTCCGCCCAACAAGCTGAGTTAATCTGGTACACATTGAGGCTATCCTGTCCACCGCAGAACTCGGATGGAGCACCTTCACACGTCATATCACAGCCGTCCGTCGTGCTTTGAGCGGTGGAGGCCAGCGAATTCCCGCACCAACATTCCTTGCCGTACTCCAGCCCAGCATAACCGAAGCCCTGCTGCTGACAGGTCTCTGTGCAAAGCTCTACGGAACTGCTGGCATCGCCTCCAGGCATGCTGACCCGTCGTTCGAGGGAGCGAGCGCTGACGGAGTCAGTGTAGCAGCCAATCGACGACCAGCAGTCGTCGCCAGGGTAGACGTGAGGGGTGAGTGCCGGATTGGTGTAGACCGTGATGCCTCCCGGACCTCCACAGACTTCGGTTGAGTCACCCGGACAAGGCATATTGCAAGAGTCGGAAGTGACGGTCGGCTGATCGAGGCCACAGTAGCACTCCGTCGAGTACTCGGTTCCGGCGTATGGGTAGCCATTGGAGCCGCAGAAGTTCATGCATTCCAGTCCAGTCAAAGCGGCGTCATCCTGGAGGAAGGCCGACGAAAGAACACGATTGGACGGACCTGAAGCGATCAGTAAGGGTAGAGAGATGATGCTGGCAGTTCGATTCTCAGTCGTCGGCGGAGAGATCACTCACTGTCAGCAAAGCAGCCAACGTAGCTCCACCCAGCTGGAGGATGAGAGGATGGGGTAAGGTTCGAGCTGCTGGGATCATCAGTGCGTTGTTTGATTGTCGCCGCGAAGGTGGTCGCGGGAGCCAGTAGTGCGAGTGTAACGAGTGACTTGTACATAATGTACGATAAAGCGAGTGACTGCAGTGAGTTGCGAGATCTTCGGAAGGCCTGCAGGACCTTTGGAAGAGCTGAGCGCTGGCTCTGTACTTATTCTTCCCACCTGGTGCTCATCTAGAACATCCTCGGAGCTTTTGCGGCGGAGATCAGGAGTCATGCTCGGTGCGCGCTCACTCAAATTCTTCCACAACGGGTCATTCGAACACATTTGCGAGGATGATGGCTCACAGCCACAACCCACAGAAAACAATAGCATGGGAGCGCCCGGTCTTTTCTGGCTTGTGTGGCCGCCCAGTGTGTTGCCAGATAAGCAACCGAAGCAATAAAATACGTAGCCGGCAGGTGCAAACAAGTTTTGCTGAATGCGTCGACTATTGAAGCCACAGCAGGGAAGCAATCTCGTGCAGCGGTGTGTGGTGGGTCCATGGCTCACGTGAGTGGATCGGGCTGAAGCGAAAGCTTAAATCTGAGCTTAAATTTCAATACCGATCAATCCAGATCTCGGCCCCTACTAGGGGTATGAGTGCCACCTTCTTTGGGCAATCACATCCGTGCTGGCAGCAGCGTCAACAGTGGCGACTTTGGCGCAGGCGGCCCACACGCACTTTCGGGAATATTGCTGACAATTTTTGTGTCATCCGTCCATTCATGACATGCCCTGCAACTGAGCCATGCACTTTGGGGACAGATGCTGAGAGCATTGCAGGAGGGCGTTGTGCCATGTTCACCACGTTGACACTTTATCATGTCTTGGCACTTAAATGCAGCTGAAGCTTGAAGGGTCCGTAGCACCGTGCATTAATCATGGTGGACATCTCATCCTCTAGCCTATCGTCTGTACAGTATGTTTATCTCTAGCAATCGATTGCTCCGAAACTGGTCGTCACACCCCGACGACCTTTCCCTCTGCCGTCTTCTCGTCCGTGGGAGTCTCCGCCCGATGCCCGTCAACCTTGACCTCCTCGCTATCCTCAAGCAGGGCAACACCCAACTTGGCGGCCTCGCCTTCAGTGAAAGTCTGGTAGTAATCGACATCGTCGAATTCGCCAGCTCCTCTGGGCGGGAACACTGTGCACAGCCCGTAGTAGACCACGAAGCTGATCACCAGGCCCAAGGGAAAAGCTAGATAGTACAGTTCCATGAGAGCTTTCGGGATGGTGATGGTGGTATTGACAGTTGCAATAAACCCGGGCAGCTGGGACGCCCAGCCAACGACCCATGCGCAGAAGGCGCGAGGGTTGATTCCAGCAACGTAGTAGTAGATTCCTTCTGATGATGGTCGGTAAAGGTCCGAGAGCTTGACACGCTGCTTCTTGATGAAGAAGTAATCGCAGATCTGAATGCCGCACATGGGCCCAAGGAAGACGCTGTAAGCACCCATGACGGAGATGAATGTGCTGGCGGACGAAAGAAGCTCCCATGGACACATGGCGATAGATAGAACTAGGGCAAAGTATGCGCCACGTCGGATGTTGAAGAACTTCGGGAACAGTCCAGCTAGATCCATACCAGCCGAAAACGCATTGTCGATGGTGTTGATAGCCAGCTGACAGGTAACGAGACCACAACCGGCGAAGAAGACGGCGGCGCGACACTTGGAGCTGTATGTGTCGTCAAGCCACTTGAGGAGCAAGTCAGGAGGGTTCCAGTAGGCTTCGCCGTACAGTCCGACCGTGGCTGAGCTGGTGAGGCAGCCGAACAATGGCAAGATCGTGCCCAATGTAGTGATCTGTTGTGCATAGTCAGTCAAATAGTCACCGGGTAGGGGGACTGATGACATACGGAGAACCATTGACCAAACACTTGGTCACCAGGCCTGCGAGCGAAACGCGAGTAATCGGCCTGGTTCGTAAGGCCCACAGCGATACCTCCTATGGTGATTGTGATACCTTGCACAATGGCCCAACCAAGCTGACTGCCTGACTGAGCCTTTGCTGGAGCGGAAAGGAGCGGACCAGCGCCCTTGGCAGCGCTGAGGACGTAGATCATCATGGAGATCAGGGTGACAACAGAGATGGTATTCATGGCGAATAGTAGGCGGCGGGTCTTCTCCGGAGGAATGTATAGCATCGGAATGGTGATGATGTTATACACAATCCAGCCCGTTAGGTTTTTGGTGGTAGTATTGGCTGCGGCTGGCAGGGTATTCTCCATATTCTGGTACGATGAGAAGATCGAGCTGAGTACTGCAGAGACGCAGAGGCCGCCGGTCCATGACTGCACTGCGAACCAAGTCAAGCTGAGTATGATGCGCTGAACGATGATGAAATAAGCGCCGTAGACACCCCAGATGGATCGGCTCAGCACGGGAAATCCGATATGCCAGCGTGCGCCGATGGAGCCGTTACACACTGCAACCATAGCGATTATGATCTTTCCGATGATTGTGGCAATCATCGTTTGCCAGACCGACAGGCCGACTCCGACGAGGGCTGCACCCAACTGCCAGTTGCTAAGGGCGATCTGGTTGATTGCCCAGAAGGAGATGTACGCCCACATGTCCCAAAGCCGTCGGGAAGGTGGCAAGGGACGGATGTCATCGTTGATCCAGATGGAGCTCTCGCCTGGTAGGCGCAGGTGAAAGTGGCGGGCTTTGTAGCCACTGAGTCTGTCGCGGATGAAAGACATTGTGAGAGATGAACTTGAAGACACTGATGCTCCCGTATGATGATCTGTGCTGGATCTGGCTCGGATGGGTGGAGGCAGGTGTTGACTTTATAGCTCGCGTGCCCTGGTGTGTTATATCTTTATCGACGGTCTAGAATAGCAGACTGGCATTGAGCTGTGGGTCTGGAGTGAAGGTTGCTATCGTCGAGCTTGGGACAGACTTTATCCAGATAGGTTGGAGATAGGGTGCATCGTGGTGAAAGATTCAGGGTAACCTTGGCAAGGGTCGACCACGTAGATTGCGCAACAGCTGAGTCGTTGTATATGTCGGCGAGATGGTTGATGGGTCTCTCCCATGCATGGTTTACCAGAGATCGGCCGGGAATTGAGGATAGGCTGCATGGCGTGGGCAAACTCATGCCCACCAAGGAGATGCCCTATCTATACTTGCCTATCTCGGTGAATGCAGCCAATCAGAACGTGCGAATTCATCGACCAACGACAACTTCGCCGAAAGCTTGTCTGAGGGCCAGATCTTGTGGGGCTGATAGGTATCTGGGGTCGTGGCGGGAACACACTTACCGTCGGCGTTAATTACCGTCGCAGGGTCATGCAATTGGAGTCGGTTCAAGCCAACAGCATGAAGGCATGAGTTATGAGAGCCGGCCGTACATATATTGGAGATTCCAGCAGACTGTAATTCCAGGTCGAGCAACAAGGCCTAACGACTAACTGACACAATGGGCTCACTTGCGCCGCCTCGCAGATTGAGAATCGGCGTCGATGTCGGCGGCACTAACACCGACGCGGTCGTCCTTGACCTGAGTGAAGCACATCAACCACACCGGGGAGTACTGGCTTCGCACAAAGCACCAACGACAAGTCCCAATGTCACCGATGGTATCGAGGCTGCTGTTGGGAGCGTTCTCGCACAGACGAACTGCGCAGAGGAAGTTTCGTGCCTCATCATCGGCACCACTCACTTCCTCAACGCCGTCGTGGAGCATGATAGTCGTCGACTGGCCAAGGTTGCCGTGATCCGACTTTCAAAGAGCTTTACCAAGGACATTCCACCATTCTCGGACTTCCCACCATCGTTAGCAAAGCTGCTGAACGGCTACCATGGATACGTTGACGGGGGTCTGCACATCGACGGCGCGCAGGAAGCCCCGATCCAAGAGGAGCAGATCCTACGCCAGTGTGATGAGATCGAAAAGCTGGGCTTGAAGGCAGTGGTCATATCTGGTGTCTTCTCCCCCATCGATCGACACTTCCACCAGGAAAAGCGCGTTCGAGACATCATGCAAAAGCGTTTGGGTCCAGATGTCGACATAGTCTGCTCATCTGATGTCTCGAATATTGGACTTCTTGAGCGCGAGAATGCTTCAATTTTAAATGCCTCAATACTGAAGTTCGCCCGACGCACTATAAAAGGCTTCCGCCAAGCGATGAAGCGTCTTGGACTTGACTGCTCGTTGTTCATCTCACAGAACGATGGCACTGTCATCGATGCAGCAGCTGCGGCGGAGCTCCCGATCAAGACGTTCTCGTCTGGACCCACCAACTCCATGAGAGGTGCTGCCTATCTCGGATTGGCTGGACAAGAAACAGAAAGTCGTCAATCAACTATCGTGGTCGACGTTGGAGCACTACAACGGACTGCGGAGTCTTGCTGCCATCTGGGTTTCCTCGGGTTGCATCTGCCTATGTCACGGTCGCTGATGTCACTATCAACTTCCCGATGCCACATATTGAGTCGATAGGACTAGGTGGCGGATCGCTGATCAGACAAAACGGCACCGAGTACAGCGTCGGTCCTGATTCCGTTGGCTACCTGCTGACATCCAAAGCAAAAATTTTCGGCGGCGACGTACTGACGGCTACGGATATAGCGGTAGCCAGCGGACTCGATATAGGCGATCGATCCAAAGTCAGCGACATCAGTAGTGAGATGGTTACAGGAGCCCGGCAGAGGATGAAGAAGATGCTAGAGAGAGTCATCGACAGATTGAAGCTTACTCCCGCTCCGTTGCCGGTCATTCTGGTTGGCGGAGGCTCAATCATCTGCCCGTCAGAACTCGATGGAGTCTCAGAAGTCATCGTTCCCAGGTTCCACTCGGTAGCCAATGCTGTTGGAGCAGGAATCTCCCGGGTTTGCGGCACCGTTGATGCCATCTGCGAGACTGGAGACAAGACTTTGGCAGATCTGATCGAAAATGCAAAGGCGGAAGCAATTGAGAAAGCGGTTACTGCAGGTGCAGATGCCAGGACTGTGAGAATCGTGGAAGTCGACAGTCTACCGATCCCTTACGTGACTGGTCAAATCCGCATTATCGTTAAGGCGGTCGGAGACTTGTCCATCGATTTTGTCTCCAGGTCACAGAAGAGTCTTGACGAGGAGGAAACGGAGATCCTAAGCCTGGAGATGGCAAAGAATGATGCCTCAGATTCAGTTGCAGAGACAACGCGTGTCGACTTCGACTCGTATCGACCGCTCATAGTCAAGAACAAGCAAGGAAACCCAGAATGGCTGGTTTCTCAAACAGATCTAGCATGGCTCCGAGATGGGTGCTACATTTTGGGCTGCGCGGGCGGAGGCTCGCCCAAGGCGGAATATCTGAAATTGAGGGACCAGTTGCGCGCCGGCCATACTGTTCGGATCATCGACAGCTCGTCGCTAGGTGAGAAAGATCTGATATACTGGGGTGGCATGATGGGCTCGCCTGCTGTGTCGATTGAAAGACTAAATTCTGGTGAGTGCAACCAAGCATTCGCAGATTTGATGGAGCTGCTGGGACACGAATCTTTCGACGCAGTCATGGGTCTCGAAATTGGTGGTGCCAACGGTCTGGAACCACTGCTGCTCGGGACTTCTGCAGCCTTCGATCGACCGGTCATTGACGGCGACTGGATGGGACGCGCATATCCAACGTACTGGCAGACCACCCTTGCTGTTCACGCGCCTGGACAATTGACACCGTGCGCGATTGCTTCTGGTGACGGGAAGACCATCATCATGACGAAGTATCCGGACGATGAGATTGTAGATCGCGCACTTCGTGCTTCCTGCTCAGAAATGGGCTCCAGAGTCGGTATGGCTGCAAAGCCGACATCAACGCACCACGTTCGCAACTTCGGTGTACTCAACACGTTGTCGCTAGCCTGGAGAGTCGGTAGATGCGTCGCCAGAGCTCAGCAGGAGAACAAGACTCATACGGTCGCTGAACAAATCATTGAAGCTGTTGGCGGCCCATCGACCGCGAGGATCTTGTTCCGAGGAAAGATCGTTGGGGTTGAGAGGCGGCTGTTCAAGGGCCATTCTTATGGCGAAATTTGCATCAAACAGACGCTCCAAGAAGAGGAGGAGAGCCAGCACGATACTCCAGCGGTGGCTGAGGGTGGCACGCTGATGATCCCGTTCAAGAACGAGAACATCTATGCGAAGCATATCGCCGAAGATGGCGGCGAGAAGTACATTGCTACTGTTCCGGATCTGATCTCGGTCATCGACAGCCAGACTGGCCTGGCTCTGGGAGTGCCCGAGTTCCGCTATGGTCTCCTGGTAACAGTGCTGGGGATCACATGTTCGCCACGCTGGACAGAAACACCGCGGGGCCTCGAATATGGAGGTCCGGTTGCCTTTGGGTACGACATCGAGTACAAGCCTTTGGGCAAGTACGTCGAGCCTAAAAGCGTAATCGCAGAGTATGCTGTATAGATGGGCTTTGCATCGCTACTTAGTAGCTCGCATAGCGTGGGCGTTTTGGGATTTTCGAAAAAGCTTGGGTAGCAGAGATGCTGCGCGATCTTGGAGCCTGCCTGAATGCAATTAGGCATCGAGCAATCCGTCGCGACCGAAAGCAAAAATTCCCATTGACGCGTAGCACCTAAGTAGATGAGAATGAATTAAGCCATGTGGAGGTCTCGACCCCTCGGTCGCCCCTGCCCTGAGGCCAAGTCTAATGTCACGTGACGTTTGTCGGTCGTCGTCAACTTCCAGCTATCTCTCCTCATCTTTCGTGAACATGCACACGACGTCACATGCTTTCCTGGAGGCCGGAATCAACAGATCGCTACAGGCATATATGCTGCGCAATCGACGCGTGCTAATGATGTCGTTGCTCGAAATATGGTGAGCAGAAGTGTCCGGATACGGTGCCATGGCTGAAGCGCGTGCGGCCATCTACACCACGCCACGTAGGAAGCAAGCGTAAGTCAGCACTACTCGAGCGCTTTTGCCCAACATTGACGACAATTTGAGATGTCAGAGATGTCACAACAAACGAATCAAATGCCTGGGAGGTATGCTGCTTCTGTTACCAACACAGCTCTGTGCCAACTAAGATGCAGGGGTCCCGTGTCGAAACTGCATCATGTCCGCGCAGTTATGTACATTTGCAACGCCGAAGAAGTCGCGCACAGTATCGAGTACATCAGTTCCGCTATTACCACAACCCATCGTGCCAGATCCTCCCTTTGAGCAAAGTCCAACGCCAAGAACGCCCTCCTTCTCTAGTCCTGGACAATACCGTCGGAATGAAAAAGACTTCGCCTCAACTCGATCTAGCAATGATCCGCGTGGTGCTCGTCCGAGCTACAGAGGCGATCCATCATGTCAGGGCTTCGTCGACCACTTTACCCAATGGGTCGATTATCTCAAGGACGAGGTGAGCAGAAGTACCGAGGCCTGGTTTGATCCGTCGTGGACCACCTTGGACTCTGTCAACCAGCAAGTCTCGGAACCGGCCTTAGAAATCTCCATCGATACAGTAGCACTGGAGCCAGCTTCGCGAACTGCGAATGCTAGACCGGTGACAATCAAGTTGCCTCCATACAACCACAGCACCCGCTTAATCCAAATACTTGAATCTACGATTGGCCATGAGCAGCACTACTTCCGACGTAAAGAATTACGTGACAAGGTCTACAAGATGCATCAGGATCCTAGTTCCCCGCAAAGCAAAGACCACAACTGGCTGTGTTACTGGCTCGCAGTAATAGCGTTGGGTGAGTTGTACCAGGGTGGCGATCTTGCTGCTTCAGAAGACTCTGTGCCAGGAACCACCTACTACAATCAATCAGTTGCACTCCTGCCCCAAGTTGCGGAAACACCAGACATGCAGTACATTGCAACGCTGTGTTTACTGTCTCTGTTTGCGCTTGCAACGAATCGCCGAAACACTGCCTACATGTACGTGGGGGCTGGTTTGCGAGCAGCTCTGGCATTGAGCATGCATCGAGATCCTCAAGAATACCCTTCAGAGCGCTCTGCTCTCTCCGAAGCAGATATGGAACACCAAAGGAGACTATTCTGGACGGTCTATTTCCAGGACTTGTTGACAACCACAGATACCGGCCGACCGTGGGGCATTCTAGATGACGAAATCAGTGTTTCTTATGCCTCGTCGATATCTCATAGTGGCGATATGCTCCTCGAGTTCTTTGACGCCGATGAAGCCAATCAGCACCTGGAATTGATGCGCATAAGAGGGCAGGGCTACTCCTCCTTGTACGGATATGCTGGAACTGCAATCAATCCACAGTCCCATATCTGCCTCTTACGTCATGAACTCGGAGAGCCTCTCACATCTCAGCACCTGGACAAGATTGCTGAATTCATAGACAGCTTCGCTTCCTGGGAGAGTGAGCTTTCTCCTGCAATGAAGATTGGACAGGACTGGAACAACGTCATGACAAATCTCAACCGGTTCAATGCCCACCTGTACCTGATCTACTACCAGGTGAGCTCAACCCAGACCCCGGCCGTGAGGGCATCGGCTAATTGTGTAGTCCATACTTGTTATGCTGCGGCCAGCACTTGTCTCCTTATTCAACGAGTGGTACAAACATGCAACTAAGCACGGAGAACAATATGCAAACAACCGAATCGATGAGTCGGGAATGGCGCTTACAGCACAATTGCTCAAAATGTACACCCAATCTCTGAATGCTGCTCGCCAAGCCTCGATTCTCGTACGATGGCTGTCCGATCAAGGTGCTCTTTGTAAGTTCCTGCCAGCTTCCTGCTTCCCAGCCTCGGCCCTTCGACTGACGTCGAGTAGTGACGTACAGCTACCAACATTCCACTTATCTCTTCACGACTGCCATCACTCTCTACATTGCACGTGCCATGTCCACGCAGGGAACCTTCGGAATGTATTTTACTCTTGAGGATCATGCCCATCTGAGCGCAGTCGCACAGCTCCTGCAGAACCAAGCAGCCGCCAGGAGTCCACCAGCCATGGACTTTACCAGAAGGCTAGAATCGCTGGATTCCAAATTGCAAGTACTCGGTGCGTATCTGCACGATATGGGCTTTTCTAACGGCGGTCTATCTTTCTGAATGATGGACCTCGTAAGCGAGCACATCAATTACCGTAGGCGGGGTTACACAACAACTTTCCACCGACAGTTCTTCGCGGTCCGAACTCTCACCGTGTAGTCAGGCCGACTCGACATCCTTTGCTTGACAGTCCAATGCAGCAACGGCGCTCGGTCACCTACACCCCTATACCGACCCCAATTCGCCATCGTCCTCCGCTCGACCTCACCATTACCCTTGGGAATCTTCACTTCCACAGGCCACAGCTCTAGAATCCACCAGTTTGGAGCGTCAACCAGCTGATCGTTCAGCGGCGCGAGCGAGTCGTAGTAATCCTCCACCTGCTCTGGCGTCCAATCGTCATCTTCCGTCGACTTCAGGTGCAGAAGGTGCTCATGCCGGTCCTGACTCTCCTCGTGCGCCTTCTTCGCCAGGGCGTGCTGTTTGTCATGCCCAAGCGACACCAACTTACCTTTCCTCACTTCACGACTCGGTAACTCCTTCCACTTCTCGAGGAAGCTTGGAGGCGGTCCATGCAAACTTGGCACCTCAAGGTTGCGATATGTCGGCCACAGTGTGTGCACATCCAAACCGAACTCCGCGAGATGTCGCGTCTTGAACTTGATGCCAGTGTCGCACTCGAAGCACTGTCTGATCATCCACCTCAGAGGGATTTGTGAGAGCTTGTGTCTCTCAGAGTTTAGCACAGCGCCTCCACCAACGTCCGCATGGCAGCCTGCAAACCAAACTTCTTTGACGTCTGTGTCGAATACTGCGGAGGGCTCTGTGAGCGCATTGTATTCATCGGAAGTGACATTGGGGTGGTAGTCGGGACCGTAAGGAGTTTGAGATGGATTCCACGGCTGATCGCTTGCACCTTTGTCGTCAGCGTCGTCCGCATCCTTGTCGATGTGGTCTTTGTGGTCCAAGTCTTTGGCAGTCTCATAACGGCAGACCTTGAATTTCGCCCTTCGCTCATCTAAGGCCATCGCATGTCGGAAGTACCTAGATTTGTTCGTGGGTGTGGTGCTGAGTGGCAGCTGCCTCGGGATGAATCCGATGCTACCGACGCTGTCGAAGGCCCCTAGGAAGTACACGCTGACATCGATGCTGAAGGTCTGCTTGAAAAGACGGCTCTGTGTCCAGCCGTTCTCGCTACTATCGGCGTAGAACTCGTACGCGAACGGAATCTGTTGGTAATTGCGCGGCGGCAGCAAGCCGACTTTGTGCACCATACCTGCCACACAACGTGCTGTGTATGCTCCACGACTGAAGCCAAAGATGCAAATCTTGTCGCCTTCTTTGTAGGAATGCATCAAGAACTGATAGGCATCCCTGACGTGTAAGCCCAGGTCGGATCCGACCGCCATGTCTAGCGCAGAAGAAAAGCCTGAAGACAGCCCGCCGGCTTGATTGTACGTGCCAATTCCAGCTTGGTAGTAGCTGACCTGATCGGGATCATCCTTCTTAAGGGCTGAGACAAGCTGCACGATATTGCTGTTGTCGCTGTCGAACTTATCACCTGTGCCGTCAAGACAGACGACGATGGTGCGGCTCTTGTGTCCAGCTGCCGATATCGGACTCGTACTGGTGGCGTCACGAACAGCGCGCAGGTGTTTTGGAAGATGTATTGGCGCTGGACTGCTGGAGGGTGTTTCGTGGTCTGTTTGAGGTTGGGTTGATGCCAGGGAAGATTCTGCTGAGTCGGCGGAAGAGTGATGCCTTTTGTAGACGGGAAGGAATCTGCGCCTTGCAGTGGGTAGACGCCTCGGCGCCATTGCTGACTTGACGGGGGCGCTGGGACGTCATTGTGACTGGTGTTTGTTTCGGTCTGGCTTTGAGGTGATGGCGGCGGTACAGCGGCTGTTTTGGACTCAAGTTTCGAAGCAAAGCTGAAATGCTTACCCGCGAGAATACTATTGTCTTCCTCAGAAAAATCGCCTTGATTCCGTCCAGCCGCGCTTCCGGTACTGTATGCGTTGTGCCTCATGTTCATCAGCGAAGGCAGATGCTGCAAAGGATATGTCCCTCGTATCAAGGACTTGCCCCTTGCTCTTCCGTCCGGAATACTTCTCGGGTAAGGCGCTTGCTGGTCAGGTGTTGGTGGCGACCTCAAATTAGCGTGAGAAGGAAGATGTTGCATAGGATATGTACGTTTACTGAACCTGCTCCTGTTTCCAGGAGGCGTAGCTCGGGCTGGTGGTTCATGCTCAAGTTTAAGGGTCGATGGCTCATCTAGCGAATCTTCACTCCTGTTCTCGTCAGACGAATCTGGGGGCGTTGGTGGTCCACGCAAGTGTAGGATGCTGGCCGGAGATTGCAGCGGATAGCCATGATGCGACCGGCGCGTGTACTCAGAGGACTCCTGATCGCCCTTTATCGAGCGCTGTCTGGCCTGCTGTGCGGCTTCCATGTTTGGCTCATATCTTTCGGCGGTGTCGTTTATCAACGAGTTTTGCAGTGAATAAGTTGACCGTGATAATCTTCTCTCTTGAGTTGTTGGACTTGTGTGGCTGTGGCCTGCTTGTGTTAAACCTGCCAAGTGCTGTCCCTCGTCCGTCAATTCCTGTCTTTGCTGTCGCGTGGCTAAGTCTTGGCCGTGCTGCAGAAACATCGATCGTGGAGAGACGTCTGGCTGATGTGCTTTCTTCATACCGTTCTCAGCAATTTTCGTGTCGCCCTGGTGCTGTTGCAATGGATAACCTCTTCTTGACCACCCCGTCGTAGTGCTTTCAAGCGCGTCAGTGATCGCACCGTCTCCATCATGTGACGCTTCCGTCGAACTGACGCCATTTCCAGGGCTAGCAGAGCTCAGTGACAAAACATCGGCTCTACCGGACACATTCTCGAGCTGCTTTACCCCGCGGTCGGTTTCCATGCGATTTGCACTGCCTGGATACGAGCTCCTGCTCCAAGTCGATGGTGCGGGTTTCATGGGGGCGGCAGAAGGCCTCAAAGCCGTTGAAGCATTCACCAAAGCCTCCCCAGTCGTAACGCCGCGAGGCTCACTCTGAGCCCGACTCGCTGCTATCAGAGATTGCGATCGACTCATGAAAGCCGGAGGGCTTGCGTCGTTGGCTAAGATGTCATCGATGGATTTCCGTAGGGCGAAAGCAGTATCGCTGCCAAGTTGAGACATGATAGCATACTTGGAAACATCGTCGCTCATAGCAGATACCCGAGGTTGGGCGATTTTGGCAGAATTATGCTCAATAAGATCGTCCTCGAAGTGCCTCACAACGGAGTCCTTCCACTGCACAAGTGTGCTGAGACATAGGGAAATCAAGACATGAGATCCTTCCAATGATGTGATCTTTGAGTAATTCTTGGGCTCGGCAGTTTCGATTCGCCCAAGTTCACAACGGCAGGAATTATGGCAAACTCGGCATCACCTAGCAGGATTAGTTACACCGCTTCAGCATCATGACTCGATGTTACGTGGCTCATTCGGGAGCAAACTGCTGATCCGAGCTCGAAGGTACGCAGTCCACTTCGGTGGCTCCAGCTTCGTGCTGCAAGGATGCAGCTGTCAATGGCAGATCTAAGAGGCCAAGATCCAATGAATCCAACGAATCGGCCTGAGCGCGATCATTCCGCTCGCGTAAGTCCAACAGCATGTCGCTGTATAAGGCTTGTCGAGTGCGATGCATAGTCAAGCAACTCACCGTCCAATAATTGAGGACTAGAGACTTCGATCAATGACTCGGAAAATTTGATGTATCTCAACACAAAGCGGGGCGTCACGATCCGGAGCCAGGATGATGAAGGCGGTAGCGAGCTGCCGGCAGATTGCCGAGCACGAACCCCTCCTCTTACGGAGATCATCCCTTCACTCAAGCTCCATCGGTCCTCCATTTGACATCAAGAAGAAGTGTCAAACTCTCCATCGGGTGACGGCTTCATTGAAGGCATTCACAACTCCGCCGAAAAGGGACTCTGCATTGCTGGTTGGTGCAACCATCATGGAGCCATGCAGTGCACCTGCACGAATCAATGGTCCGATAACAGTAATGCCACACGAGACATGTGCAACGCGCGGACCTGTCCTGCGACACTGCTCTCAAGGAGATCAAGCTCGATCGGATGAGCTAGCTGCTGAGAAAATGCAGAGCACAAAATGCATCAACGTCTTCCCTAGCGACGTCCAGTACACGAACAAATTACTGTCGCAATTATGTCATTCATATTGACGGGACTCGTCCTGGTGGCAAGCTTGATCGTCGTCACTGCGTGGTCGAGCGCCAAAGGGTCGCCACTGGCTACGATATGGAATATGGTAGCGAAGGCAGCGCCGTCGGCTCCGGATGGAAGAGCTGATGCCGTTCAGTCTGATGCGAAATCCTCCATATTCCACGACCTGATCCATCTCGGTGGCAAGAACACCAGGACTATGGTCCAGGCGTTCAACACAATTGCTGCTGGGGAGCCACTGGACGATAAGAAATGGCTACTCGAACATGGTGTTTCCATGCTACAGTCTCTGCCTCGCAACAGCGGATTGAGCTCGAAGGTTTCTGGAGGCTTCATCAAGATGCTGTGGCGCGATCTACCTCATCCTCCAGCGGCTCTGGCCGGCCCCGAGAACCGCTATCGTCGTCATGATGGTGGCAACAACAATCACTGGGATCCTGAGATGGGTAAAGCTGGTAGCCCGTACTGTCGGAGTGTGCCACCAGTCAAAGCGAAGGGTCCTAATCTGCCAGATCCAGAATTGGTATTCGAAAAGCTTCTGAAGCGGAAGGGTGCATTTCGGCCACATCCTTCAGGACTCAACCGGCTCTTCTTCTCTTTCGCCACAGTGGTCATCCACGAATGCTTCCAGACATCACGCGATAAACAGTGGATCAACGAAACATCGAGCTACGTTGACCTGAGTACGCTATACGGCAACACTATTGACCAGCAGAAGCACATTCGCACTCATCAGAATGGTCTTATACATCCTGATGCAATCGCATCGGAGCGGATCATGCTAATGCCGCCTGGTGTAATAGCAGTACTCATCATGTTCTCACGCAACCACAATGAAATCGCTTATTCTCTGTGGTCTGTCAATGAAGATGGTAAGTACGGAGACTGGGACGAGTTGTCGCCGGAGAAGCAACGGGAACAGGACGAGGATATTTTCCAGCTGGCTCGCAACATCAATGTCGGCTTCTTCGCTTCTGTGGTCCTCAAAGACTATGTGGCCGCCATCCTAAACACCCCTCGGGCGAACTCTGAGTGGTCTCTCGACCTTGGAGGCGAAATCAAGCTGAGAGGTGACCGCGTCGAACGCGGCGCCGGCAATGTCGTGTCCGTTGAGTTTGCTGTACTGTACCACTGGCACGCAGCTCTGAGCTCCGCAGATGCTACCTGGATGGAAGAAATCATCAGGAAGAATATACCTGACTTGAAGTCGTTGGATGACATGACACCAGATCTATTCAAGAAGCTCATGCACCAGGAAGGTGGTCGTCTCTTCTCGATGCCTCGCAAAGAATGGACTTTTGGTGGTCTCAAGCGGGGCCCTGATGGCAGATTCAGTGACACGGATCTTGGCAAAATCATCAAAGATTGTATTGAAGAACCAGGTAAGTTATCATAAGTGTTGCAACAAACACCTTGGCGATATGACCCTGGCTAGGGGATCACCTTTTGTCCCTGTTACTGTGGCTCTTGCTAATCCTTATCCGAACAGCACACGCTTTCGGTGCTCACGGGACACCAGCCAGTCTCAAAGTTGTGGACATCATGGGCCAGCTTCAAGCAAGGAATGTTTTCAACGTCTGCAGCATGAATGAGTAAGTCCATAACCTTGCAGTACAGTGTTCAACGCCGCTCACATTTCGTGTCAGATTCCGCAAGTACCTCAATCTGAAGCCTTATGAGAACTTTATGTCGTGGTGTGAGGATGAGGAGACCGCTCGTGCGGCTGAGTTGTTGTATGGCCACATCGACAATCTCGAGTTGTATCCGGGCTTGCAGGCCGAGTGTACAAAGCAACCAATGCCCGGTAGTGGAGTGTGCCCAGGACAGACAACCGGCCGTGGCATTCTGGACGATGCAGTATCTCTGGTTCGCGGAGACCGCTTCTTGTCGCACGACATGAACAGCAGCACTCTCACCAACTGGGGTATGTCCAAACTTGGCTCAAGCGTCGCAGCTGGTAGCTACGGCGGCGTTCTGCCCACGCTGCTCTTCGCCGGTCTTCCTGGAGAGTTCACAGGCACATCTTTGTATGCACTCCTCCCGTTCTACACTCCAGCGGCAGCACAAGGCATAGTCCAAGGAAACGGCGCCCTGGACAAGTACGACACAGAACGACCAGCAACCAATGCCACCAAGATCATTGGCATCCACACCCACGACGGTTGCAAGCAGGTCTTCTCTGATCGGGACACCTTCCGCGTCATGTACCAAGCTGCTATTCGCAACTGTACGGACAATCACGACTTCATGATCGGGTGGGACAACGCTCATCGACACGATGAGCGCTCCGCCATACTGCATAAGGTCTTCTTCGAGCAAGACTTCGAAGCAAATGTCTCATCCTTCTTCAGATCGACTGTTCGGTCGCTCATCGAAACCAGCTCACTAGCCTACGCCGGTTCAAGACGCTCCATCAACATCGTACGCGATGTCTGCAATGTAACGCCGATCCTTTGGCTCGCCGAGCGATTTGCTATCCCTCTCAAGACCAGCAAGAATCCCAGAGGCCTCATTACACGAGCCGAACTCTTCGACCTGTATCTGGTCTTATTCATGTATCAGTCCTTCAACATTCTGCCGCAAAATGAATGGAAGCTGCGCGAGGCAAGCATGAAAGTCGCACCACTTCTGCGTGGCATCCTACATGCACACCTAAGCACGCAGACCGGCGGGTTGAAGGAGACCTTCACTGACTTCGTTGAGAAAGGCACCGCGTACGAAGTCGGTCCTGACGCTGATCGACTTTACAAATCTCTTGCGGCTTCCGGCCTCCCATATGGTGATCTCGTGGGCGACTGCATTGGAATGGCGGCCCCTGTGGCTGGCAATCTCACCCAGCAGGCCTCTCTCCTAATCGACTTGTACCTGTCGCCTGGCTACGAGAAATACAAAGCCCGTATCATCGAGCTCTCGCACCGGCCCGACCACGACAAAGACGCTCAGCGGGAACTGCTTGGTTTCGTATACGAAGGCATGCGGCATGCAGGCGTTGTCCCCGGTCTGCCACGCGTTGCCACTCGAGATGTGGTTTTGCAGGATGGCCAGCGTGGATCCATAAGGATTAAGGCAGACCAGACTGTACTTATTGCTACGAGTCGCGCTGCGATGGATCCTGCTGCGTTCCCTAGGCCCGAGCTGCTGGATCCGCATCGCCCAATCAGCAGCTACATTCTGTTAGGCCACGGCCTCCATTTCTGCTTTGGGGCGAGACTGGTTGCTCCGGCTCTGGTGAGTACACTAAAAGAAGTTTTCAGACTAAGGAACCTGAGGAGGGCAACTGGCAGGCAGGGCAATTTCAGTACCTTAATGCATCATGTCGCTGGCGTGAACATGCGTGTGTATTTGGATGAGCAGAGTCGCGAAAGTCCGATTCCGACGACGCTCACCCTGATATACGATGCGGAGGATGAGCATGCTATATGAATGGCAGCGTGAACGGACATGCTCATTGATGAATGGATAGGCTCTAGGTGTCGCCGGTTGACACGCATTTATCCGAATAGAAGTTCCAAATGACGCGGCAAAGGCCTCGCCTCTTTTTCCTTGCTATCACTCCACTGTCACCCACGTCGGGACATAGGCACAACATATTATCATTGCTGCATTTATCATCAATAATTCATGTCGCCAATCTCGATTGCGACCGTTTCCCTGTCGGCTTGCTCTGATCAGGCAAAAGGCTGGCCAGAACGTCACTGTCGCCATAGCTGAAGTAGAAGCTCTGGGTAAGCGCAAACGACTCTAACTGATACGGAAGTTGCGGCTGTAACCATGATGCGCCTCTTTGTGGCAGGTACATATATATGTGAGTGACCATGGACAAGCCTTGTGTGCTCGGGGTGGCGGCTGTCTGCGTTCTAGTAGATCGAAATCATTGATTATGACCTTGGACGCGTTTGACTTCATCGTGGTGGGCGCAGGCCCATCCGGCGCGACACTTGCCTCTACCCTCGCCAAGGCCGCCAGTCGCCCAACAGTCCTTCTACTCGAGGCTGGGAGTTCCGATGGCAGCGACGAACTCGGCCGAGTGGCTGGCGAGCGATCATTCTATTTCCTGAGCGAGCACGCCCGGTCTTCGGTCATCAACTATGAGACCGTGCCACAAGAGAATCTGAACGCACAAGTGATCCCATACACACGTGGTCGCGGACTGGGAGGATCCTCTGCGGTCAACTTCTCCATGTGGACGATTCCGCCAAAGGAGTGGCATGACGAAATCGCGGCACGGACTGGGAATCGGCAGTGGAGCTGGGCCAACGCCCAGAAGAGGTACATGCGTGTGGAGTCGACTAGACTTGCGGACATACCATCTGAATATGGTCAATACCTGCAGCCCAAGCCCGAAGACCTGGGCAAGGTCGCTGGAGGTATCAAAGTTGGCTTTCCTCATAAATTTGAAGACAGTCTTCTCCCTGAACTCGATGCATGGCGAGAAGTCGATGGACTGCGGGTCAATCCGGACTCTAACGATGGTGACACTATTGGTCTGTCGGTCTGCTGGAATAGCATTCACGATGGCCGACGGTCGACGGCCGCTGACATGCTTTCGGATACATCCGAGCTTCCAAACCTCACTATCCTCAAAGACACGCATGTGACCAGAGTCTTCTTCGAAGAATTGGTTGCAGTTGGTGTTGTAACTGCTGGTGGAACCATACATCGAGCCTCGAAAGAAGTGATCTTGTGCTGCGGAACTCTAGATACGCCGAAGCTCCTTATGCATTCCGGAATCGGCCCAGCTGGTCAGCTCTCGAAGTTTGGCATACCTCCAGTACGCGAGAATAATCACATCGGGCAGCATCTCCACGATCACTGCAATGCCCCTTGGGTACTCGCCAGGTCACCAGCGAGTCTGCGATCAATACGCACGGACTTCTACCGCTCGAAGGCCGCCCAAGCCGAAGCATTGAGCCAGTGGAAGAAAGACCGAACAGGGCCACTCGCGGAGATCAGCGGTGTCATCGGACTGGTCCTGCAACGACTCGATGCTATCGATGAATCCGAGGAAGCCAAACAGTTAGCCCAGACATCGGATGGTGAGTATCTGCGGCAGCCTGGGATACCTCCATTCGAGATCATCCTCAATGGACCGAACTTTGGACACTACCACGTGCCGGACAAGCTGCCACCTTCACAGGCGTATACGATCGTGCTGGTTGCCACACAGTCGCGAGGCGAAGTAACGCTTCAGTCGAGCGATCCTAGCATACCATTGCTCTTCAACCCTAAGATCTTCTCGCATCCATATGATCGGAGAGTTGCCATAGAGGCCTCCAAGTACTTGATGGACGTGTTAGAGCGACCGACATATAGCAAAGATACGACTGGTCGAATCAGGTGGCCGGCTGGACGTTCTGACGAGGAGCTACTGGAATACTGGCGTCAGAACACGAAGAGCACATGGCATATGTGTGGGACAGTCCGCATGGGCCAGAACGGAGAAGATAGCTGTGTGGACAACAAATTTAGGGTGTGGGAAGTGCAACGACTCAGAGTGGCTGATTTAAGTGTGCTACCGGTGATTCCGCCGTGAGTACCATCGATCTCCGATGAAAGTTTGATGCTGACACGATGTATAGAGCCCATCCACAGACTGTTGCGTACTTGGCGGGATTAATGATGGCAGATCAGCTAGTACATGAGTACGACCTAGACTAACGGGAAACGGTGAGCACGACTCCGGTACGAGTCTGAAGCCCGCCCAGAGGATGCAGCACAGTTTCATAGGCCAAAGTCGTGAGTATGATGATCAAATGAGTGTCTTTCCATCTGCTTATGCTAAGCTAAGCCAATGAAGTTTTACTTTTCAAACCAAAGACCCAAGACCAGCCAGATCCAACGATGCAACAAATGTTCCGCTCAATGCAAATCTATACCGTGGCAATACTGCCAATAATCAAGACGCCGTCGCTATGATGTGTTCGAAGCTCTCCTTGCTGCCCTGTGGACCTAGTTGCTGCCACCAGCGAGCATGTCCATGAGGTTTCCACCATTTTGCTGACCCTTCCAGCCACCCTGCTTGCTCCAAGGACCCTGCTGCTGATCGCAAGAAGCAGGCGCAGTGACAGTGACAGTAACAGTCACCGGCGCAGAAACTTTACCTGCACCCAGAACAGGAGGAGAAGTAATGCCAGCAGCAGGAGCACTTCCGACCGGCGATGCAACAGCGCCTGTGTCGGCACCAGCAGCAGGCTTCGGTGCAAATGGACCAACCTTAGCAACGAACTGCTCGACCTCGAGACGGGTGTTCGCACACCAGTAGGAGCCAATCGGGACAGGGGTGTTGCCATAGCTAGCGGGCCGGACAGAGTTGAAGATGCCGTCCTTCTTCTCGTTGATGCTCTTGACCACGTTCTGCGCTTTGGCGTCACTGAAGCCGGCGCACCAGGGTCCGACTTCGTTCACGGCGGCCTCGACAGCGACATTACCGGGGTTGGTGGGGGTAGTGCCAAGGATTAGGCCATCGACTGTGTTGGCGGTGTCTTGACGGTCGAGCTGTTGGGTGATGGTGAGCTTGGTGCCTTTGGGGAGGAGGGAGGCGGTGGCTGTGGCTGTAGCTGCCGATGCGGTAGTGGTAGTAGTGGTGGTTGCGCTAGCGGCTGGATTGCTGATGGCTGGAGCCGCGCCAGTGTCAGGCTTGGGAGCAAAGGGACCGATCTTGGCGACGAACTGCTCGACCTCGAGACGCGTGGCGGCGCACCAGTAGCTGGCGATGACCACAGGGACATCACCGTACGAAGCCGTGCGTTCTGAGTTGAAGATACCGTCGAGCTTGTTATTGATCGACTTGACGACGTTTTGGGCCTTGTCATCGGAGAAACCTGCACACCATGGGCCGGTTTGGCCGGCTGGGCCGGGAAGAGTCACAGCTGCTTCCACGATGGCATTGCCAGTCTCTGGACTGTTGTTCCCAAGATCTTGCCGTCGACAGTGTTGGCGGTATCTTCGCGGTTGAGTTGCTGTGTGATGCCAATGATTTGACCCTTGGTGAACGCTGGGACTGCGACCGTGCCTTGTGGTGTGGGTGCTGCGGAGGCGAGCAGGGGCAGGAGGGATGCGAGAGCGACGACTGACTTCATTTTGATTGTGTTTGATCGGCTTGGGATGATTAGAATATGCTTGATGAGTGTGAGGGAACGTGATTATGGCAAAAGCTGGACTGGACTAAGTAATGGAATTGATATGATAAGAAGTGAACGACGATAGGAAATAAACAGGTAAGGAAAAGTTCGTTGAAAGTTGTGTTTAGAGAGTGTTGTATGAAGAAGCAACATCAGAGTACGGTCGGGAATCTTAGCTCTTATACACATCTCAGCCCATACTGTGGTGCGTGCCTGGCGCTGTTGGGCGTAAGGATAGCCCCATCCAGTGGCCGAGAGAGCATCAGCAGTAGGCAAGTCTAAGCAGTCTGCGAGCGAGGCTTAGTCGGATGAAGCATCGACGCTGGTGCTGCGTCCCACGTTGAGCCCAATGGAGTTCGGTAGAGGCACCGCAATCTACCACTTCTGGCTGAAGGTGGAGGCGTGGAAAGGTATCAAGTTCGGCAACGACATGGATCCCCAGACTCACATCCGAGAAGTGCTTACTTAGCAACTAATCTTTCTAGCACAGCCAGTCGGAGTCTGTCCAATACGTGATCTTGCTGAGCGCTGACCCCCAGACACTCAAATCAGTGCTGCATGCCGAACACGATAAGATGCTGACTGCTAAATCCGGGAGCGAGCTGATTCCATGATCACTTATACACTTTAGGGGTTTGGAGTCGAGCAAACGTGGCGAAGCGATTGGCGGGACGAATCCTGGCCGCTGCCTATTCTGGCAATGCCCCTAAGCTTTTTGGTTACTGTTGCTTATTTCTAATCTTGTGTGGAGGTCTGGTCGCCGATGTGGAAGATCTCGGCAGGATATTTGCAGAAATGAGAGTTGAAGCGGTGGTTGTTGTTTGCGTCGATCGTGACCGGGGACTTTGGGAGGCGGCTCAGGTACTTATGATCTTGAACTGAATTGTGCGTTGCATTCCATTGGCTCGCACGGGACTCGTAGCATCTTTCGGAAGTACTTTGGATGATCATGAACAAAGTCAAAAGCAACGTCTCTGCTCCTTGATTGTGTTCCCGTGCATCAAGGGCTTCCAAGGTTGTTCTTTGAGCTTCTGGTTGTGTGATGTTGTCATTTGCTGTTAGCAATCACGCGTGGCTCACCTCTACCAGCATATAAGCTGAAGTTGATTTGGTTTCCAGTTCTGCTTTCACCATAGCATAGATATATAGAGGCCTCCCTGGTACAGAAATCGAGAAGATGGCAGGGAGGGCTCCAGGTAGTGCTGCTGTTGCTATTACTGGTGTCTCTGTATGCCAAATGGCTGCACTCTTGCTCCAGACACGTTCACCAGGCAACTACGTCTTGGCAGCCAAAATGGCGCACAGCAAAGTGTTCAAACGCGTTCTAAAGTCCTCCCCGGTAGCACATTCTCACATTTTGGACTGCATACACCATTTTGACTCCTTCTTTGACCGAAATCACAATCAAAATGGCGCAGAACATGCAGAATGGCCACCCAAGCTTCCTCGATGAGGAGAACATCGACCCAGTGCTGCGCGGCGACGACGACGATGAGGAGAACGATTCTGGCGACGAGGAGGCCTCTGCAGCACCAGGATCAGCAGCAACCACAACAACAACAACAGCAACAGCAACACCAGCCAATCCGTTTTCTGTTCCTCTGCTCCCTCCTCTTCCAGCACCACAACCAGCAGCAGCAGCAGTAGCACCAGCAGCCGCTCCTCCTGCTTTCCGCCGTCCCGCTCGCGCTCACACTCGCGCTCGTCCTCGCTCTCTCGCTGCCGCCACCCACCCCTGGGACATCCCTACCGCAATGCCGGCCAATCTCCAGGCGCTCCTCCTCGCACAGCCTCTCCCACCACCACACACCACCAATTGGCTCGTTGGCGAGCGTACCGCGATGCAATCGCAACGCAAGCGTGGTCGGCCGAGCCGGCAATACAACTTCTTCCTCAAACGCACCAAACAGCAGCTAAATGCTGTGTTTCTCTGCTGCACCCGAAAGGGCAGCAACACCAGCGCGGGAAGGGGAGAGCAGGACAGGAAGGGCGTGATTGTGGTGTCTGGCGCGTCGCTTTCGGCTCCGGTGATCATTGGGCGGGCTCCAAAGCCCAATGGTGGTGCTGCGCTGTGGGAGTACTTGCCGTGGAACGGCCTGGACGCGGCTGGAGCAGATATCTGGGGTCTGGACGCAGAGAAGGTGGTCAAGACCTTCGACAACTCGATTTGAGCGCCAGGGAGGGCTTTGGCTGGATTCTTGTCTTTTTCCTCGTTTCTACGCGTCCTATCGAAACGGACAGCCCAGGAGGGCTTCAGATCAGCATGATTTGCTGAAATCAGAACGAACAGCTTCCTCTCTTGCCTCTCTTGAGCCTTCTTTATGGCTCTTCTTCGCTTCTTGTGAGCTCTGCTCTGCTCTTTGCCTGCTCTCGTATGAGTCGCACTTCAGCGTGCCTCATAATTGGAGTGTCAGTCACAGGGAGTTCTCACTTGCCTTACTTCTGCCCCATCTTGCGACAAACGGTTTTGCTTTTGATCTACTCCTTTCTCTTCACCTGACAACATCCATTAGCGTGAACTTGCTCTCAAAATGACTGCTTGGCGCACAAATTGCACCAAATGGGGTGCAAACGGACTGCGCAAGATTCTTCAGCCTTCTGCAACCCAACTTCTACTATCTTCGCGCCGTGCAACCAGAACAACCACATCTTGCCGCGCAAACCTCACTGAAAGCACAGACAGCCACAGACAGCCACAGACAGCCACAATGGTGCAGCTCACCCTGATTCCGGACAACACGACGTCCACCAACCCGACCTCCGACTCCGCCATCACTACCACACCTGGACCAGCAGAGAACTGGGTCTTTCCCGCCTCCATCCCAGCCCGCATCAAAGAACTGCTCATCGCGACAGGCGATCTTCCCACCACTGTCGTACCGTGGCTCATCGGTCCACAATGGCCATTCCGTCTCCAGCACAAGTCCAACCCGGCAGGCTACTACCACGTCGCGACAGGCCACAAGCTCAACGTCAAGTACTACCGTCTCACCCCAAAGCGTAAGGGAACAAAAGACGCGAAGGGTGTCTTGGTGGTTGAGGGTGAGGGCGATTGGTTCTCTCGTGGTCCGGTCATCTTGGGCAAGAGTCCTGCGCGTGGAGCGGGCTATTATAGGCCGTGGAGGGGTCTGAGAGCCGCTGATGGGGCGAATGTCTGGGATGACGAGACCTTTGAGGTGGCCAAGAGAGAAGGCAATGATGATGTGGAGGTGAACCAGACAGAAGACGGAGTCCAGGAGTTGGTCAAGAAGGTCGAAGAGAGGATGAAGAGGCTGGCAACGACAACAGCGAGCAAGTCAAGGGCCGAAGCAGTGGCAGTGGCAGCGGCACTGGCAGACGTAAGAGCAAAACCGCAGAGACAACAAAGAAGACAATGAAGCTGGCCACTGTTCCGGAGGCGTACGAGGACTATGACGAAGACGGTTCGTTCGCCGTCATCGCGAAGCAGAAGAGAGAGCGCGAAGCCGAGGAGGCAATGGAAAACGACATCCAGAACGACTACGGCATCGACGACGGCGATATCGAAGGTCCAGAGACCAAGAAGCAGCGCCTCGAGACCGGTGACGAGGAAGACGAAGAGGACATGGAGGTCGAACTGACGTGGGAAGAAATGGAGAACGCCTGAGGCTTAGGACAAGGCAACGTGTTGCGACTACGGCGTGCCAGAGCACGCGACCAGCTCTCCACGGAACTCCGTGGCCATGGGTTAGGTAGGATATTACACCGACACCATCTTCGGTCTATCTCTGGTCCAAATATGTATGTGGCCAGGAAGCTACAGCGAGAAGTAGAGCCACGGTTCATAATCATGATGCATTTGCAACGGTCCTGCTTCTAGATTTTTGCCTCACCATTCTGCTTCGCCTTTGCCTTCGCCATCATTTGCTCTATCAGCCATACACATGCTCCATGATCGCGTCAAACGGCGCATCCTTCGCCCGTTCTCTGATCGCCTTCGTACTCGCAAGCAGTTCTTTTCTGGTCTCCAGCCAATCCACACCAACAAGCTCACCACCTCGCTTCAGGATCCTCCCATCCACCATCACAGTATCAACATCACTCGCATTCGCGTACATCACCAGCGCCGCAATCGGATCGCTGACAGGCGACATCCTCGTAGACTTGCAGCTCGTGATAATCAGATCCGCTCGCTTGCCTGGCGTGATGCTTCCAATGTATTTCTCCCTGCCAGCAGCACGTGCACCGCCTATCGTGGCGAACTCTAGGACTTCTTTGCACTTGATGGGGACCTCTCGAGGCGGGCCATTCTCGTGAAGGAGAGATCGTGTCTGGCGCTCTGATTGCAGCAGAAGGCGCATCTGTGTGAACATGTCTGGGGGGTTTGAGCATGATACATCGGTACCGAGACCGACCCGCGAAACGCCGTGCGAGCGTGCCTTGAAGGCTCCGGGCGGGCCCATTGCCATCTGTAGTTCTGTATCGGGTGTGACCGCGAGACCACAGTCGCACTCCTTGACGGCAGCATACTCAGACGGAGTCAACGCTGCGGTGTGACTGAAAAGCATATCGGATTTGAGCAGATTCTTCTGCTTCAGCTTCTCAACGATCTGCACACCAAAGTCGTGCTTGCCCAGAGCAGCGTGACCAGTAATTGTGGCAGCTTCGATCGACCGTGCATGTTCTATCTCCCGTACAGCTTGCTCGATTGGTTGGACCTCCAGCTCGAATGGAGCGATGCCGAAGCGAAGGACTTCTGACGGGCCATTCTTCGCGAAGAACTTGTCCTTCACGCGTTTTGAGTCAGCGAGTCGCCAGTCTGGATCGCTTGGTGGTTGGATGCCGGTGTCGTCTTCTCGCCAGACAGGTACGTTGTTGATGAAGAACCCGTAGCAGAAGACACCGCGAATATGCGAGTCGAGCAGGCCTTGGACCGCCGAGTCAGAGTGGTTCGCTGAGTTCATGATGTGCGAGTGGTCGATGATGAAGGTCGTCCCGTTGTCTAAGCATTGTAGGGCGCCTACATAGTTCCCAAGGTAGGCGTCGCGAGCGGTATAACAGCTTCCGTATACAGATCGTACGTGGCCAAAGTATTCAAGCTGATCTACTTTAGTACCTATTCCTACACAAACTTCGTTGGATTCATACCAGGGTGTGGTCCGACATCAGCCCAGCAAGCTGCGTCTGCCACATATGACGATGCGTGTCAACGAAGCCAGGTGAGACTATGCAATCACTGCCATCAATCACCTCAGCTCCAGATCCGTCCAATTTTGAGCCGACCGCCTTGATCGCGCCTTCCTCTATGAGCACGTCGCAGTCGTACAGCACTCCCAGCTTTTCGTCCATCGTGACCACCATGGCATTTTTGATGTGGTAGCGAGCCATCTTGAGTTTGCTTCACCTGTCTTGTGTCTGGGCGCAAGCTAATTGAGTAGCGAGAGGCGACTTGCAGGGGCCGACAACCGCTTCATATACGATGAGGACAGGACAATCTGGAGTGCCACCAGAGCCGCGCTTTCATTCCGCGCCCGACATCATTCTTCGCATTCCGGGAGCATGGAGATCCGATATACCATAATCCTGACCTGCGTTGCGAGGTATCCAACGTACCAATGAGACACAAGCTTGGCTGGTTGCCGCATTGGACCCCAACCAATCCAAATAGTGCCAAATGTCCGTATGATGGATGCGGTAGTTACCAGTGACCCGTAAGCTGGGCATGAGGCTCGTACGGATCCGAGCTGAGCGCAAGCTTCTGACTCCTTGCGTAAGAGCACAAATATATGTGGTCGCTCAACGTTATGTCGGGCATTAGTCACCCAGCGAATCATTAAGCCAGTCTGGTTCCGCATCGTCCTCCTCAGGATCATGGGAAAGAACCGATTGATCGGACCTAGTATCCTCTCGAGTTATACTGACGACTTTGCTCGCAGCTGGGATGTCAGCTTCTGCTTGATGGTTCTTTGGCTTTCCTGTTGCGTTTTCATCGCTCTGAAATGCAGACTGACGAGCCGAGAAGCGCTTCTGAGCAGCTGCGAGCGCGGGATGGTCATCACTTTTGCCATCGACCGCAGGCATTTCGCTGCCATTGTCAGTGGTCGGTGCTGTATCAGTTTCTGCAGCATGGGAACCGATTCGTGCACCAGATAGTGCCACAGGGTGGTCTGGTAACTGTGGCTGGCCGCCATAGTCCGTTGACAAGAAGCCGCCTGCACCAGGATCCGCGGTCTGCTCAGGGTCAAGGTCTTCTAGCAGGAATCCGCCAGCAACTTCGTCCGGCTCGAACCCACCTGCACCAGTGTCTGCGGCGTGCTCGAGATTGGTGTCCTCTGGCAGAAAGCCGCCAGCTTCGTCTTCTGGCTCGAAGCCACCTGCTAGTTGCGGACTTGCTGAATTCGGCATCAAATCTCTCTGCAAGCGCACCGACGCCTCTAAGCTAGATTTGCTGGCCTCAGGTGGCTCATGCGGCGAGTTGACGACCACAATAGCTTGCCTCGCGGGAAGAGGTGGCAGGCCTTTCAATAAGAGCTTGGACAGAAGGTCCTTGCCTCTTACGCTGGTAGATTGAGGTGCTACGGGGTCAACCGTTGGTTCTTCGCTGCCAGGTACAAAACCGCCAGCCATACGATCGTCCTCCCCGCCACTGTACGTTTCGTCTTCTTCGTCGTCATCTGCAACGTCGCTTCCAGCATCTCCATATTCGCGCTGCACTCTCTCACGGATGCGTAGGGCTGTCAGCCATCTTGACCAGAGACCAAGCATAAGCACTCGTCGCTCCTGCTCGGCCTCCTCAACAGCATTGTCTTGCAACCCAACAATGACAGCGTCCAGACCGTAGCGAACATCGCGAGGGACGACGACGCCGTTGACGATTGCAGTGCCTTGCCTTCCCTGGAACTCGAAGCCTGTCACTGCATCGACATAGTCGACTCCCATAAGCTTTGCAGCCTGAGCAGCAAGTGGGTGCTGAACGTGGATGGCGCCTGGCGGAATCATGGAAGGCACATAGACATCAAGATTCCCGAAGCCGTTGCGTGGAACCTTTCCATTTGAGACGGGAGGCGGCACATAAATCTCTGTCTGATATTCGGCATACAGTGCAGCGGCGTCAGCTGCCTCGCCGTCGTCATCGATCTCTGGTGTCCGTCTTGATTTTCGTTGCACACGTTTCAGTGGTTGCTCGCCTTTTTTGATGTCCCGGCCACGACGATACCAAGCGTCTGAAGTGCGGCACAAGTGGACATCCTGCCGTCGGTATACTGATTCTAGTTTCGACTCCTTCTGACTGCCGACGGAAGTCTTTCCGACTTCACGCAATGGATGAATGACTTCGTTCATGCGCAGATGGCGTTCTAGCACATAGACAGGATGTCCTTTGAAGTCTTGTATGTTCTTCGGCATGCCTTCGCTCTCAGAACGTCGCAGCAGGTCAGCATCTTCAATATCGTCCCGCGTTTCGGAGAATGGCTTCTCGAAGAGCCGCAGCGTTGGCTTCATCCATTCTTCCCCTCCCTTGACACTTTCTAGACGTACCTTCCGTGTCTTAGCGTTGAACCATTGAGCATACCGTCGAGTCACGTCTCGAGCGGAGCCATCGTCCTCAAACGCAATTACGTAACTCATGGTGTTGAGTGCATCTGATGCCGGTGGCTCGAAGCCAGTCTTTGGCTTGTTGATGGTATGTCGTACAAGCGGATCTAGAGGTGTCCATGTCTGTGACAATGGCGAGAGGACTTCGACCCAGTACACAGGATAAGACGACTCTTTTTGCTTCTTCTTGAAGCCGCCTGACGTGGATGAACCAAAGTCCTGCCTGCCAGCATACGCATAGTCCTGTTTAGACTTCTCGGGCGTGGTCCCTTTGGCCGAAGCTGCAAATGGCAGAACTTGTAGCGAGCTTACAAGCCGACACTCAACAGCGACTGAGCGCAACAGAGCACAGAAGAGCTGTGCCCCTAGATCTCTTGACCCACGCAGAGTTTGTGCAGCAGTTTTGAAGTCATCGAAATCGATTTCTTCGTGCAGATCGCTCTCTTTCTCCAGGTCTATTCCATCACGCCATACTGCGCGTTGTGTGCCTTTGCCTACGATGGTCCAAGAAGTCCTCCATAAAAGGCAGATTTCTTCAACGCCTTTCGTGAAAGAATAGTCCCGTTGCAGAGCTGTTTTGCTTTCGTCCTCATGGAGCAGCCTGATCAGCTTCCGGGGCACTAACTTCTTGAGGGGCTTTTGTACGTCTGGGTGCTCCGTCCATCGATTGCGGCTCCACAGCGAAAGCAACAGTAAGAAGAAATGGGCTTTGTGCCACTCGATCCGCAATCTTCGTTCAGCAGCAGTCACAATTGGACGTCTCGAACGACGGATGGGAGTCGTGACCGTTTCCGAAAAGTCAAGGGTCAAGATCTTCTGCTCCGGCTTCTCAGCTGAATCGGCAACTTCCAGGTCAACATCCTCAAATTCAACATCATCCTCGTCATCGTCCTCGTCGCTCCGGAAATCATCGTATATGACCTGCCGACGATCCACAGGATCAGGACTGGGTTTAGCATGGTTCAGTGGTCCCCGAGCAATGATCGCGTCCTCAGACCCAGTTTCTGGATCCACATCTATCTTACGTCGCTTTCTCGATGGCAGCTCGTCTGTTACCTCGGCAGCGGCCGCCTCTTCAGCGGCTACCTCTGCAAGCATCTCTCGGAACACGACTGGTACGTCCGATTCTGGTGCAGGTCTTGAGCGAGCCGACCGGCGAGGCGTGGCCGCCGTGGCGCCCGCCCTAGCTCGCTTCTTTGGTGCCATCTTGAGGTTGGTAAGCAGACAGCAGAAGGCGACATCTTTGCGTGCGCAACAGAAAGCAAAGCTCTATTCAAGGCGAGGCGCGCGCACAAGTGCTATCGCGTGAAAAAGGAGGGTTTCGACGCGTCGCTGCTCCAGGGTTCACAAATGCCAGGTGTTTGGCGATCATGGTAGAAAGCGAAGACGTGACGTAGCTCGCCAAGGGCTTCAAAGTACGCCCAGTCACGTGATTCCGAGGGGACCTCGACTTCGAGCCGTCGAACCGTCGAACCGTTTCGATTATACTCACTGACAATGAAATGTGGATAACTTGTTCTTGGGTAATTTAATGCACTTGGATACACAAGTGAGGAACTGTCGCGATAGCGCTTGAGCCGGACCACTATTCCAGCACAATCGTATTCGCTTTGTCACTGGACACAGGATGATGTCAACTTGACTCGAGGTCCCTTTCTATGCGGTGGGAATTGCGCCGAGTGTGAGATTTTGCTGTCGCCTTTGGGTAACATGGGATGGACCGAGATTCCTCTGGACTTCGAACCTGGATGTTGCCCTGCCGAAAAGCGCTTGAGCATATGCGCCTGCTCCCCGTGATGACGACCGGTGCGAGGCACCTGAGTATTGGCACTGACACACAGCGAGCTCGACTAGAAGTCCCACCGATTAGAAACGTTGACCAACATGGTCGCTACGTTGGACCTGAGTTTAGTCCCGCCGATCTACATCCTGCCAACTCATCTCTCGACTGAAGATCTGCATGAGTACGAGGATCAGGTATACGCCGCTCACGGTCTATTGACATACAATGCATCAGAAGCACGTATCTTCGTTGGTCGTGTCTCCCAGAAGAAGCGAGCTTTGTTCGAGCTCAGGGCACAGGGAGTCTATGTTGACCTCACTGACCAGCCGGCCGTCCTACAAGATGACAGTAATGGACCACGAGGCAGAAAGCGAAAGCTAGGGGAAGACGAGCCTGTCTCAAGCGGCGACGAAGCCTCGAGCGCCGCGAGCGCTACCTGGCCGGATCTGACATCTCACATCCTTGTGGTAAAGCTGGAGTGGATCGATGCTTGTCTCAAACGAGGCTCAGTACTCCCTTACCAACGGCAGTTAGTCCTCTCCGGCAAGATTACGTCCAAGACTGCAGACCAGAAGACACCTCCACCTCAGATACGGGACTTGTCACTTACATCAAGCTTCTCCCACCACTTCCACACAAGCTGGTCCCTCATCTCATCCTCCGGCACCTCGACCATTCGGCTCCGAACACATACGCACCTTCCCACATCACTCTAAACGCCCCCCTCGCCTCGAGCACGGCCAAACCACGCACGACGGCTCCTCTGACTCCCGCTCCTCCTCACCGCGCAAGAAGCTTCCACCTCCACCAGACTGGGTCCACCTCCCTAACTCAACCTTCGCCTGCTGCCGCAACACGCCCTTGAAAACAGCGAACGCCGCCTTCATCGCCCAACTCGAATCCATAAAACTCTCCCGCATCCTCACCCGCGACGAAATCGGTGTGCGCGCCTACTCCACTAGCATCGCCTCCCTGTCCGCCTACCCCTCCTCCCTCGTCTCCGAAACTGAAATCCTGCACCTCCCCGGCTGCAACTCGCGCATCGCAGAACTGTGGCGCGAATGGCGCGACTCCGCCTCCTCCGACTCCGAGCGCTACCTCGAAGTCGTCCGCCGCTTCGAGAGCGACCCCGAAATGCAAACCCTAAAACTCTTCTACAACATCTGGGGCGTCGGCGCCGACACAGCGCGAAAGCTCTACTACACCTTCGGCCTTCGAGACCTCGACGACATAGTCGAATACCACTGGACCCAACTAACCCGCTCCCAACAAATCGGCCTGAAATTCTACTCGGAGTTCGAATCCAAGATCCCCCGCGCGGAAGTCGAGTCCATCGCGTCCACGATCCTGCACCACGCGCGCCTCTGCAAGTCCATACCGGAGGAGCACTGGACCCCCAACGCAGACGGCAGCGGACATGCAAACGACATGGTCTGCGTCATAGTCGGCGGGTACCGACGCGGCAAAGCCGAGTCAGGCGATGTGGATGTGATTCTCTCCCATCGCGATGAACACGTCACGCAGGATCTTGTTGTGGATGTAGTGCAGTCGTTGGAGACTGCAGGGTGGATCACGCATACCTTGACGCTGCAGACCACTACGTCGGATCGAGACCAGCAGACGCTGCCGTACCGTGGGGAAGGGCATGGCCATGGGTTCGATAGTCTGGATAAAGCGCTGTGTGTATGGCAGGATCCGGAGTTTGATGATCAAGAAGGGACAATCACGAAAAATCCAAACGTCCACCGCCGGGTTGACATTATATTGAGTCCGTGGCGGACCGTGGGGTGTGCGGTGTTAGGTTGGTCTGGCGGGACGACGTTTCAGAGGGATTTGAGGCGGTTTGCGAAGAAGGAGCGTGGTTGGAAGTTTGATAGTAGTGGAGTTAGGGACCGGGGGACTGGGGGTGTGGTGGACTTGGAATCTGGTAAACCGGAGGGCGGTGAAGCTGAGGTAGCTGAAGGGGAGACGTGGATGGAGAGGGAGAAGAGGGTGATGGAGGGCCTTGGAATTGGTTTTCGAGAGGCGTGGGAGAGGTGTACGGGATAGAATCTCGATGACTTGGAAGAAGAACATGGAGTGTCGGATTGATGGAATTGGGGTGAACATTGCTGCTTTGTGGAAGTCGCGTGGCGACGTTGGATTAGTCATTCTGGATATCCTTTGCTGAAAATCCCTCCTGGTAGCCGAATACTTGGATACATGCAAATATACAATTTCGGAAAGAAACCAACAACCTCACCAATTCTCGAACACCCACTCAAAGATTCGGTATTCTCAACTTCAACGGTGCCCCTGACTCGCCTCCTCCATCTCCTCCAAATCCTCACGCCCAAACCCACCCCACCCCTCAAACTCATCCGCAAACCTCACCGCATTCTTCAAGAAGAACCCATCGTCATCACCCCACGCCTTCGCTCCCGCCAACATAGCCCGACAACCCTTGACGAAATGCGCATCGTACTTATGCCCACCGTGCAGGGCTTTGTCATTCACAAACTCCCACCCTCGACCTTTCAGATCGTACGCCTTCTGCGCCTCCGCAGCCTGTGAGAGCGAGGGGCGTAGTTGGGCGATGTAGATCGCTAGGGTGATGAGGAGCCATTGTCTGACGAGGCGCAAGTGGGTGTGTTTGGGGAAGAAGGGGAGGAGGATGCGGATGGCGTGTGAGGTGGTGAGGAGGTGCACGAGGAAGAAGTCGTAGTCGTGGCCTGGTTGGGGGAGGAGTTTGGATGTGGAAATCAGGAGGAGGGAGGCGAGGCGTTGGGATTGGGCGAATTGTTGGGTGGGGTTGGTGATGGTCCAGCTGTGGAAGTGGGCGAGGAGGGCGGAGGTAAGTTTGGGGTTGGAGAGGAGCGTGCCGAGGTTAGAGCCGCCGGGGCCGGTGAAAAGGTTGTCGAATGTAGGATCGGTTTCGACGCGGTTGAATAGAGTGAAGAGGTCGGATGTGGGGTCTGGGATGTGTTTTGGTGGTGGTGTGGTTGCGAGGGAGGCTAGTTGTGTGTCGTAGCATGTTGCGGCCAAGCCGAGTGCTTCCATGGCTACTTCGCGGGAGGTAAGTTCGAAGGCGTAGCCCAGGTGGATGAGTGGGTGGCCTAGGCCGGAGACGAGGCAGTCGAACATGGCGTAATGTGAGTCGCATGACTTGGGGCCGATTTCGAAGATGTATTTGGTGACGACGGCTTTCCAGTCGTAGCCTGCTTCAACGAGTTGGTCTTCGAAGAAGTCGACCCAGGCTCGTTGGTACTCCTTCTTGCCGAGGAAGTCGCGGTGGTCGTGCTCGGCGATTTCGGAGGGGAGTCCTCCCACTGGTCGAGATTGTCGTGCTTGGAGATGTCTTCGTAGATATTGGTTAGGTGGTCTGCCGGGGCTTTCAGTAGGTAGGCACTTCCGAGGATGTGTGGCGAGTGGTTGTGGAACGACGCTTGTTGTACAGTATGGAGTGCTCGGAGTGATTCAGCTTCAAGAGATGTTTGAGGCGTCGGCCTGTTCTGTCGGCAGCGGTCCCAACGTCGAAAACTTCCACGGACGCTACGTCCACCCCCGGGCTGCTTGCGCCCAGGCCAACATATGACATAAGTGTGGACAACATGGTGGCTGCGATTTTCTTAGACCTATCACAATTGTGTTCCAAGTGCCATCGAGAGACTGCTCATGGTGTAAGATGAAGAGGAATACTATGATGGCATACTGTTGAATGGAGCAGGTGGATTTCGCTTTCCCCGCAATCATGCAAGCGAATAAACTTGAACGCTGACGGCGGCTTCTTGCCAGAATACGTCTACCAGCAAACACGAGCCCATCCAGAATAGGACGTGCATGCAGATCTACTAAGCTGATCAACCGCATATAGCATCGCATCAAGGAGGCTTCGAACGTGCGAACATGACATATCCCTGGAGCATATCATCTTGTGCGTGTATCAGTTCGATCGTTGAGATAGAGGCAATCGCGGGCAGATTAAAGCCGCCCCGAACTCCCCCAAGTATTGGGATGGAGGTGAGGCCGTTTCACACTGACCCACAGTCCTAAAACCGTGTGTGCGCGCACTTTGAACCACGATCGTGCTGGAGCGCCAATGCCTGGGCGTCTTGAATGGCTGGTATGGAACATTAAGTACCTATGATATCGCCTTATAACGTCACATCAACAACATCACCAGCGGGACCAAAAAGTCCCCTGTACCCAACATACGGAAAAAGCAACTACTGCAGCGTGAAATCAATCACCGGCGCCGGCGGTGCCACCTCGATAATCGCTGGCCCAAACAAGATATCCGCGTCCGGCACAGTCGCATTCTGGCTACTCTTGGTAACAAATACATAAGTCTGGCCCGACGCACTGGCCGGAATGGTCGCAACGACGACCTTGCCATTGATGGAACCTGCACGCTCGCGACACTCAAGCCGGAGGCAAAGGTCACGAAGCTGCCGGCGGGAATACTGTTGGCGGCGGTAAAGGTGTAGGGTGAGCCGGCGGCGGCGGCACAAGCGGCCTTGCTGGGGAGGGCGCAGCCGCCTGAGGCACCTTTGGTGCTGGTTGGGGACGCCGCGACGGATGTCTTGGTCGTGGATGATGATCCCCAGCCTGATGGGTGCATAGCCTCAGTTGTGTGAGCAGCAGCGGCAGATGCAGTCGCAGACGCAGCTGTAGGGGTCGAACCCTTGTCGGACCAGTCAGTGGATCGGTTGGGAGTGCCTGTGGGGGAGATTAGTGGAGTGTCCGACGGTGGGGATGTTTGATCAGGGACATACTGCTGGTGTCGTCCCAAGAACGCTTCTTCATGGCTGGGCCCTCGGCGACGCAGGTGCCGCTGGTGGCGGTCAGGAGTGGGAAAGGCTTGAAGGGTAGTGGCGGATTGGTGGCTGGGCAGTTGACGATGAATTGCGCTGCCAGCGTGTAGACGGGGTTGGGGTTGAGTGGCGTCTCGAATGGGTTGGCCATTGGCACCTCACCGATTGCGGCGCGCTGGTAGCTGGTGTGGAGGGCTTCGGTGGCGAGGATGGCACCGGCGACAGTCAAGTAGTACTTGCTACTGATCAACGGGGCGCCGCCCAGATACGCCGATGTTCCAACACCCTCCAGGATGGAGGACAGGGTAATGAAGGAGCGACGTCGGTGTAGGGGAAGCTGTACTGGCAAGCTGCAACTGGTGTCTGGCCGTTTGCTTGGAGGGCGGCAGTCAGGACCTGGACGTGTACCTGCTCGTCATTGGCGATGTATTTGAGATTGTTGTAGTACTGGTTTGTCGTCAGCAAGATAGACACCGGTCATGCAGTGCGGAGCTTACTTACCGTTGCTCCATAACCAGCGTCTGCAAAGTCTTGTGCAGTGAAGTTCTTGATGGCACCTTCGTAGAAGACGTTCTCGAGATGCTCGAGGGTCAAGGCAAACTGGAGAACGGTGTTGTCGATGTTCTGCCTCTTTTCGAGGGGGGCAGAGTAGACCATGCCAGCCATTGAGGCGGCAGCGACACAAGTTGAGACCTTCATGGCGCTGTGAACGACTGATCAGAGCGAGCTGGGAACGAAACGAAACAACAGTCGTAAATGCCCGAGATCAACAGGCAGTTGTATATAGAAGGATGGGAGCGTGCTACATCGACTGGGCCGCTCTGGACATATAAGTGATCTCAGCGACGGCCCCTTCGGTTTGTGATGATCTGCTGGTGATCTCCCAAGTATTCGAATGCTTGAAGCAATTTTCTCCCGGAAAGCGCCACTCCGGTCATGGTTGCATGAAGCTCTTCTGCTCGCCCAGACGGCAGACGACTATGCCGATGTCTCACAGTAATGGCAGAAGTGGTCGCAACCTAGCTTGATTCTGCAGTGTGAGTGAGGGCAACAGACACGTACCCACTATTGGCTTCGAGGCCAAGCTCCTGTCAGACGCGAGCCTGATCTACTGTGTAGTGGCCCGATGAGGAGGCATAGTATGCGCTAGACCTTTTTTGGTAGACAAATTTGACCGCAGCAATTGAATTCCGCTCGGGATATAGCACATCCGAGAGACATGTCCCGATCGAGAGGAGAGTACTCCCAATTCGCAACGCAGTGCTCACTTACAGTTAGCCTCTCCCCAGATTCGTTTGATTGCCCGGTAGAATGGCATGAACTGTGGATCCACAGTAAGCGGTTCATCTGCACACGTGCAGTCGTAATGTGCTGCTACTATAGTGTTGGCCTCCGCTACGTAGTTTGATCATCGACGGTCACGATAGCGGAGCCAGGTGAGCAGTAGGATGCATACTGACGACTTAGAATGCTCTTACTGGACAAGATAGAAGGGTCGCTGCTGGTCTTTCAGGGAAACGCAAAGGAGGTTGCGATTTTCCACACCATCGGCGGTCAAATTGTCATTCGCTCGAATGAGATTTGTGAAAGTGCAATGTGAAAAGCCGGAAGTATGTCGAGTGGAATAGATTGGCATGCCTAACGCCGGTGAGACATATCCTGAACGGATGACAGAAGATTTGAGTGGCGATTAGGTATGTACAGACATACTAGGATGCATGACCCTTGTCGTTATTGGGCATGGAGAGTTGCTGGTTCAGAAACCCAGAAGTATAGCAGAGAGGATCCCTTGAGAGTGGATTTGACCACAGTCCTTGTTGGGCAAAGGAGCCGTTTCGAAAGCCGCAGTTGGCCAGCTGTAGTCCAGGAAGCTGATCAGTGAGTATGACTTACGAGATCAGGCAACGGAGTATTAGCATTGCTCTCCGCCTTAAAACGAGGGCGATGACTCTGAAAGGCCGACGTTGGTGACGTTAGGGATAGACTACCTCAGACCTCGAAGCGCGGCCCATCTACAAGCGTCGAATTCAGCGGGCGATCGCTCGAAGTTGTGTACACAGTAGAAAGTCGCGGATGTGCTGCAGCACGTGAGGTTGACACTGGACAGACTGCCTCGGTGCACGCTGACGCTCATACGATCATGCACCAAGGTACTTCGTTGGCGTGAAGAGCCAGGACCCAATGCAGATGGCGAACGTCCTGTCAATCAGGCGTTCATACTCAACCACTTAGATCACAGTATGTTGCCCTGGAGGCAGAAAGATCTCTGTTACGCTACAATTTCCTGGCGAGACCGCTTGTCACATTCGGCGCGGCCAAACGGATGGCTGCTTCCTGAGGTATGTGTGGAAGGATGCCGGTGATGAGGAGTACCACTATATCGTGACGAAATCTTGCGACATCGTCAAGATTAGCCATCTGGCAGGTCCACTGGTGCCAAGCATCGGTACCGGAGATCAAATCCGAATCCCGAGGAGGACCCGCCCAGCAGCGAGTTGCAACTACTTAAATACCTGACGACTTTGAGTCGGCGACTACTTCGAATCCTGTAGACCTGACGGCAGCAGCGCCGCCCCCGACCAGGCTTGTTGCAGTGTCGAATTCGCACAAGCTCGCCATGTCCGTCAATGGCTCCTCGGCCTGCCAAAAGGCAGCGAAGATCGACTCGAGTGATATCCGATGATGAAGAGGAAGATCCGGTCCCAAACGGATCGCCCAAGCCGACGCCCAGAACTCAGCGACAGTTGTCTCTCAGTGACAACGGCAGCAACTCATTGTCAATATCACCGGTGTCAGCTAAGACCTGGAATGCACAATCTACGGCCAAGCGGAAACCAAAAAGCACACCGCAGACCAGTCCAGAGAAGCCACGAAAGAGCTCACGAATCAAGAGCGAGCCTGACAAGTCGAAGTCGATACAGAACTTCTTTGGGAAGGCGACAGACGACCAGAGATGGCAACGGAACAAGTCAGGCACTCCTGAAGCGTCCGGCCTAGGAGAGGTAGAAGCAATTGAGGACGATGAGCTGTCAGACGATGCCTTAATTGCTCTGGCAGAATCAGAGACTGTTTCGTCCACTCTCAGCCGGAAGATTTTTACGTCTACATCCAACGGCAAAACGACCACCAACGGCCACAGGTTCCTGAAACCTGCTGTACCATTCAAGAGGCCTACCTTACCTGCGCCTCCACGACCTGCAAAAGAAGAGTCAGAGTCGCAGCCACCATGGTCCGAGCGATACGGACCCACAACCCTCGATGAGCTAGCAGTGCACAAGAAGAAAGTCACAGACGTGCAGCAGTGGTTTGAGGCAGTCGTCTCTGGTCGCTCGCGGCAGAAGCTGTTGGTGTTGAAAGGTCCGGCTGGCAGCGGGAAGACTGTGACTGTGAACCTTGTTACGCAAGCCGTGGGTCTCAATACAATCACCTGGCAGAATCCAGGCATTGTCGACACCACAGTCAATGGCTCAGCAGCAGCTCAATTCGATGAGTTCCTCAATCGTGGTCAGTTTGGTAGCCTCGGGTTCGATGGTGCCGAGTCTAAGGCGGATCGCAGCGCTCAACATCAGGCGCTGATTGTCGAGGAATTCCCGACGTCGTCATCTCGCTCAGTTGGCCTTGACTCGGTTCGTGGCGCGGTCAGTCGCTTTCTGACAAGTGGTTCTGGCTCTGCCCAGCCCTTCAGATCTACGAACACCGAGCCCGCATGTCCAGCCGTCATGATCATATCGGAGACGCTGTTGAATTCATCCACAGCATTCTCTGACAGCTTCACGGCACATCGTCTTCTCGGACCAGAAATCCTCAATCATCCTGCTACCACTGTCATCGAATTCAATGCTGTCGCGCAAACTTTTGTCCACAAGGCCTTAGACCTTGCTGTGAAGAAAGAAGCTCGTACTTCGCTACGCCGCCGGATACCTGGACCTGCAGTCATGCAAAGATTGGCCGAAATGGGCGATCTTCGAAACGCTGTCAATGCGCTTGAGTTCCTTTGCGTCCGAAACGATAGTAATTCTGACTGGTCAGGCACTGTTGCGAGCAAATCGAAGAAATCTGCTAAGGACCAGAAAGACCTCACAGAAATGGAGAAGGACTCGCTGAAGCTAGTCAGTCAGCGCGAAACCACGCTCGATATGTTCCATGCTGCCGGCAAAGTAGTGTACAACAAGCGAGAGGATGCTCGTGTACTAGACTCTCGAGCCGAGCCGCCACCGAAACCGCCAGATCACCTCATGCATCTGTACAACCACAAAGAATCACAGATCGACATCGACGCACTGTTCAATGAAACGGGCGCCGACATTCAGACTTTCATCTCCTCTCTGCACGAGAACTACGTTCTATCCTGCAATGGTGACAGTTTCACAGACTATTTCGACGACTGTGCCGAGATGCTCTCCTTCAGCGATGTCCTTAACCCTGAGTCACGACGATCGATCCGATCAGGCGGCTCTGCTGCGAGGAACTATGCCTCCATTCAAACCGCCAGTACCGATGCACTGAGGCAAGACGAGATCAGCTTTCACGTTGCTTCAAGGGGACTGATATTCCATCTACCATACCCTGTCAACCGCGCAGCGCCGCCGAGTGGCAGAGCAGCCGACAAGTTCAAGATGTTCTACCCCACGAGTCTGCGTCTATGGAAGCCGACTGAGGAGATTGACTCGCTGATCTCGATGTTCATGCACGAAGATCCCAAAGACGGTACTGTGAGTGCATCGCGATCAGCGAGTGGCGTTGCTGGATGGAAGAACACTTCGTTCGGTCAGGGTCAGGCACCGCTAGAAGGGGAGGACAAAGAGGACAGCCCGGCTCGCAGATCTTACCAGTCTAGAGTCGACCTGACGCTCGACATCCTGCCATACCTGGCCCGAATCAAGGCCTCGCGGCAGAGAGACACGCGGCTCATCAATCGCATCGTTCAAGTACAGAATATGTCTGTGCCACTCACGGGCGATGAGCCAGATGATGAAGAGCCTGCGGATGAGGCTATCGTCAGTGCGACCAAAGTCAGGGGCGGAGGCTTTGCAGGCACTGGAAACGCGAGTAGCCGACGAGCTGCGGCGGGCAAGGTCGCTGCTAGCTTCACAAGCAGTACGATTGGAAGTCGAGGCGAGGAAAGCACCAGCAGCCAAATGGAAAACTTGTTCCTGGAGGACGATGATATCGTGGACGACTGAGCCGCTGTCGGAACGAGGAACATTCGCCCCTCATACTTTTATGAATGAAACCCCAATGATAGATGGCATCTGTACAATACCTAGCAAAGAAGCAGAGGCATCAGAGTCAGATCTCATTTTCACCTGAAATGACTCACAATATTTGGTCCATCGCTTCGCTGTTGTGTGGGTGTGCAGATTTTCCGTACCGCAAAGCCCGTTCACCATGCGCCCATTCGATCCACTCATGAAAACTCTCGTGCGCGTCGGGAGCAAGCCAGCCAGGACGTCTTGATCGCCTCACCAAGTTAGCAGCAGATGCTATCTAGGCATGGCAGGTGATACGATTGAGATCCTCTGAGGCTTGGTTAGAAGCAAAACAACGAAAAGAGGGCGAGTGCAACACTCGAGATATACATACGCTGTGGAGGGACTGAAGATCGCGGCTAACAACACCGGTTGTATCTCTCTTGACTCGGTCGGGTTACGGTAGTCACTGTGAAATGCTTTCTTGCCGTGTGTCGTGGATTAAACAGGGAATCTTGGTGGCATGCTAGAAGTGACTTGAGTGTGAGAAAGAGCACAGAGATGCATTGCGAAATAGACGTAGTACGTGGTCTTCGCCTTTTTCTGGGCTCTTGTCCATCTTTACCTCGATTCCCAAATTCCTCGAGGCCCTCTGAGGCCGGAAAATTTTCGTTTGTGTTATACAGGTACTACAGCACCTTCATTCTCTCACCGTTTCCTCCTTCCAATACTATTATCAATCAACCCCACGCCCCAAACTACCGCAAACACACCCACAAACCCCAGTACTATAGTCACGGGTTTTCGCAGCGCAGAGAACAACGTATACTCGTACGTAACAAACAACTCCGCATCCCGGATCTCATCCACTACATTCCTACCCTTCAACGTCAGCCTCGTGCGGCCCAATGTGTCCATGAATGTCTTCGTTGTACCCTCTTCGACCTCAAACGAGGGCAGGTTCGTGCCCGTGACGTGGTGCTGCAGGATTTTGGATCCCTCGGGGAGGAGGAGGTTGAGTTCGTACGCGTCGATCGAGAGGCCTGAGGCGTCAGAGGGCGGGGAGAGGAGGGGAAGGCGCAGGATATATGTGTTGGACTGGGAGGTGAGGGTACGTAGGTTCGAGGAGAGGGGTGAATTCCAGCCGACGCGGAAAGCGTAGTTCCACCCGCCGAATAATGGATACCGGGGCTTCAGCTCTAGATGCGCTGGCTTCGTTGGGGAGAATGGCGGGGTAGGCCGGAAGCGGCTGGTGGACACGTTCCCGATGTCGTCGGTGTAGTACGGATCGGCGCTCATAGCGGGCAAGGGGAGGACGAGTTGGCGGGCGGCATAGGTCTGGGATTGGCCGGACTGGAAGTGGAAGTTTTGGACGGCCCAGTTGACGCGGCTGAAGTGGTTGATGAGGCTGGCGCCCGTGTGGGTGAGGGCGTAGTGGTCTTCGGTAGCCAGGTTGCCTCCCCAGTGGGAGACTTCGAGGTCGTGGCGGAGGGTGGTGCTGTGGAGGAGGGGTTTGTTGAATTCGTAGCGGATGGAGATTGGGTGGGTTGTGAAGGGGGGGATGGGGGTGTCGTAGGCGCCGTATGTCAGGGTTGAGCCTTGCTTTTCGGGTTTGGCAAGTCCCGTGGGTATGGTGTATTCGGGGATGTCGGCGGAGGAGGTCTTGATCTTGAGTTTCTGCTTAAGGGTCGGGTAGGCGGAGAGGAAGTACGCGGAGCTGGTGTAGACAAGGTATTGCTTGTCATCTTGTTTGATGGCGGCGGGGAGAGGGGCGAGGACGGAGAGGACGTGATATGTGATGGACAGGGTGATTTGTTCTTTGGGTTGGAGGGCTTGGGGGAGGTGGATGGTGTAGTACTGCGTTGGTCTGTGGTTGTCAGTCCTCTGTCGGTGATACAGTCCGAGGGTGACATACTTTGAAGACACTCCAGCGTCCAACACAGCAGCCAACGCTGCCGTTCTAACCTCGAACTTGCCCTTGGTCTCGTCCTTCTTGTCTCGCACCTCGAAGCCGCCCACCTTGCCTATCACATCATACTCGAAGGGAAAGTAGTATTCCAACTGTGGCACCTTGTCGGTATTTGTGATGACTAGGTTTATGTTCTCTCGCACGTAGCCCTTCTCGAGGTTCGTGTGTCGTACTAAGTTGGTGTTCTCCCACACTTGTGCTGGTTTGAAGTCGCCCTGAAGGATCTGCTGCGTTGACTGTGGCGTTGTGAGGTTCGACTCGGCTATCGACGGCCGCAGGAGCAGGCTTATGGCCGCGGAGATGACGCTCAGCTTCATCTTTGCTTGCCCGGCGTGCTCACGATCGTCCCAGTGATATTGTCTTCATGATCCCAATTCGAGGGTCAGACTGCGTATATGCTACAGCGGCGCATTCGGCCAGATGCTCGCACTACGGTGAAGCTTAGGCGCGCCGGAGGCACTAAAAGTGTCGACCTTGATGAACCGCTTGATCTGTCTTCCCATTCACCAGCATTGCCACAATGTTCAAGCCAACGCAGAGGCTGCTCGGCGGTCTGCTCTGGTGAGCCTCTGTCCGTGTCATCCGTCCGGTCACCCAATGCTAACGCGCTGTTCAGGAAACGACCCTGGCGGATATCACCTCCCCAAAAAGCACGACAGCGGAAACGGTTACGCCTCGTCGACAAAGTGGTTGACACGATCAGTGCCGCGCTACAGAAGAATGGCGGAATGACGAGCAAAGCTGTGCAGAGGTGGTACGAAGAAATGCCACGAGAGGAGGAGATGCTTCCTAGGGACAAATACACAATCTTCGATCGCAAGGAGCGCAACTACAGAAAGGGCATACACAAGTTGCCCAAGTGGACGAGAGTCAGCCAGCGTGTAAATCCTCCAGGTTTCTAGATCAGCAGGGAGGAAGGGAGACCTCTCTGGACAACACAGTAGGCCATGGATCGTTTGGGTTGACGTGGACCCAGCATCACCGCTCCCGATTCCACGAGGCAACACAGGCTGAGGAGACCTAAGGAGATGCCGAGCCTGCGTCAAATGACACCGCCGGTGTCCAAAGTCGATCACTCGGGCTTCTGGTCTTTCGAAGCTGGACCATCCTGAAGAATTCAGAAGACGATCACAATCAGGATGGTGGACGAGGGCATCTTCCTCAGCTCGCAGTTGAGCAAGAGGCATCGGTCATGGTCGGACAGGGATGAGCAACAAAGTCCCGGCACAGTCGAGTCGCTCCTGTGGCGCATTTTTTGGCGAGCACCATGTACTTCTACTTGAAAAGTGATCGGGCAGCACGGTTTCGGCGTTGCGATGGGTACTGAAAAGGCATGAGGAAGGCGTTGTGGCACACAGACAGTTGGAGTGATTCATATTGTAGGCCAGACTCGTTTAAATACTCGAAGCAAACCAAGGGCGAACCTCGTACTGTCCCCTGGGCACTTGCCTCAGAATTGTTCGAACTCGTGAAATGCCTGATGGCACACTACCCTAACTCAACAGCAAGTCTCGTGCAAACAAGACGCAACTACTAGTCAGATTCAAATATTCTGTCGGGGTTGTGTGCCCAAACTCACTCCTAGGTGGTCATCGTTGTCGGAGTCATGCTCCTACGGTAGTATACTACTGGAGCAGGAAGAGGCAGCCAATGACATCACTTGGGGCGAATAGTCAGGCACAAGAGCACTATTAACCTACATTCTCGTTGCCATTGTGACTCAGTCCCATACCTTTCACAGCAGTATATAACCGGCTCTCTCACGCACGCAATAGACAAGACTCTCGAGATAAGACAAGTCCGGCTTTTATGCCCAAGAAGCGAACAGGCAAAGCGCTACTCATCAAGCCAGGCTCGCAAGCAGCGTCGTCTGCTTCTTCATCCCAACACGATGACGCTTCAACCCGTCCATCGGTAAATGATCTTATCCGAGAGTCGCGTCGCTTGCAGTTGAGAGACCAGTCAGTACATCCCACCTCCCTTTCCCCTGCTGCATCTGTCCCGCCGGAATTGAGGAATGTCCTCGATCTACCTACTCCAGAGGCCCCGCCACCACGGCCAGGAATCAGGCGATTCCGACCGTCTCCCACTGCTCAGCCAGAACGAGGGTCTGGTCGCACACGCATCGTGCCTGGACCGTCGCCGCCCAGAAGCTGGCTGATTCATAGCAGACATCGTCCTCGCGATGTAGCAATTCAACAGGTTATGCGACGTATTGATAATCCTGTCGAACTTCCGGGTGCATTTTTTCCCAGCCAGCCATCTCTGTTGGATTCGACGTTGAGAGAACTCGCTCAGAACTGGGACTATCACGCCGCTTACGACGGTACATACTTGCAGGATGTTCCCATCAAGCTACGTGAGGTACTGCTCACTTACATTGCCATCTTCAATGACAAGATCACGAACAATCCGCTACGCATCCTCTTCGATCCGCGAATAGCCGACGGCAACGCGCTACTAGACGGTGACAGAAGCGGAATGATCAGGAGCGATACTTCAGAAGTCACTCGCCTGGACGCTTCCGGCTTTCTGGAGGACGGTGCCCGTCTGCGACAAATCGAAAATAGCCTGTTGACGAGCGTGCAGAACAAGCCTGCGGAAGATGATAAAGCCGACTTTGTGCCCGATGCCTGGGATGCAGAGGACTCTCGACTTCCGCCGCCACAGCCTGGCCTGAAGTTCGTCAACCTCAAGCACCTCTCCCTTGCTTTGAACCCCGCGACCGGCGATAAGACGTATACGACAGCATCCTGGAAGACACTACTGCGGCTCTGCGGGCACTTGTCCACACTCGAGTCACTTTCTCTCGCTCACTGGCCTCAACCAACCTATACATCGATCGCTGCACAAACAAACGCTCGCATTGAGATCACCAATTCCACGTCCAGCGCTCCTCGAGTGAGCTTCGGCGGGACAAACATGTATTCCCGTCTCGACAACGACTTTCGCGAATCCGCGGGCATTCTCCGATCGCTCTCACAAAAGTTGCACAGCTTGACCTGGCTGGATCTGACGGGCTGCACAGACTGGTGGGAAGCCCTATACTGGCGACCTCCAGCGGGTGCAGCAGCAGAAGTCGATGCACCGTTCGTTGATGATGACACGAGTTTCATTGCCACAAGAGCCGGATCTTTCATTTCCACAAGAGCTGGATCGAGCGGAAGATGCAATTATGCGCCTGATTGGAACGGCGCCTGGCGATCCATAACCTACATCTCACTCCGCGTTGGCTATACTCTGGTCGAAGAGGAGCAGCCAGATTGGACAGCTTCTGAAAAGGAACATTTGGCTGATTACGCTTGGCAGATGGCGCTCCAGAATGAGAAGCAGACATTAGAGAAGCTGAAGGCACGGCAGCAAGAGGTCACCGCGGTCTTGCGGACGATCAGACGGGGAGCTGAAGGATCGCCTGGGAAGTGGATTGAGTTCGACGTATGAAGAATATTGCTCAAGGACCGAGTGCACAACCTCAACACTTCCCACTAGGTCGTCCACTGCCACGAATTCCGACCTTCCCTCTCGCTTCACCCTCCCGACCCCCTCCACCCAGCAGCTTCTCTCATCGCCTCGGGCATTACCTCAGATCACAACTTCCCCTTCCCCTTCCGCTTCCCAAATCACTCATCGCCTTCTTCGCCGCATCCCCACTCAACACCCTCTGCAGAGCAACCCTTTCCCTCTCACTAGCGCTTCTGACGGCATCGAGCTCTTCTTGACTCTTCGCACACAACTCCTTCACCAGTCTGACACTTTCCTGGGGATAGCCCGCTATCGTCTTCGCCTTCGCGCACACCGCCTCCACGAACCCCTCCGCCGGCAGCACCTCCGTCACGAAACCATTCTCTGCCATATCTCTGGCGCTGACGCGCTCACTCCCCAACAACAACCTCATCGCCTTGGCCCGGCCCATCACTTTCAGGAACGTGTAGCTGGAGCCGCCTTCCGGCACGAAGCCCAATTTCGTGAATGGCGTCTGGAAGAACGCTCTTTCGGAGGCGTACACCAGGTCAAAATTCCACAATTGCGTGCACCCCCACCCAATGGCGGCGCCGTTGACGGCCGCGATGAGGACTTTGGGGTAGTTCCGTATAACGTTTCCAAGCGCGCTGCCGGCGGCGATCTCCTCTGCTATGGTAGGCCCACCTTCATCGGGCGACAAGAGGACTTTTCCAGCGCAGTAGTGTTTCCCGGCGCCCGTCAGGACGATGGTGATGATAGTGGGGTGATGTTTGGCCCAGGTGAGAGCGGCAGCGAGGTCGTGATATTGCGCGATGGTGAAGGCGTTGGAAATCTTGGGCTGGTTGTATGTTAGGAGGACGGCGGTTTTGGCTTCGTTCAGGAAGCTTGTCAGTATAGTAGAGAGAGTAGGAGGTTCGGCGGCCATCTTGGTGAGAGGTAGACGGTGAAGGGGGTGTCCTCGTGGACTTCTAGCGACTAGGCAGGCAGCTATAGACGGAGTATGCTACATCTTCTGCTATTGTGCCGGAGGATTTCAACGCGTGGTCGCTTAGAAGTGCTTGTGGGCCGAGAGGAGGAGGAGGAGGCGCCGAGGCATTCTCGGATACCGGATAGACGCCTTATTCCCCAGATTGACAAGGAGAGGGCGGGGTAAGAAGGCGTCTGTAATAAACTCTGGAAGAGGCCTAATTCATCATTCCTATAGATTAGAGGGAGACGCTGCCGTCAGGAGGTCCCTGGCATGAAATCAATTCACAGAGTAATGACTGATCCCTACTCACAGGATTTGATGAAGACATGGAGTCCGTACTTCCCTGACTTCCACATGCTTCCAGCAGCACGTATCCATCAGTATCGACCATGTTTTTCAACCTTGATAATCTTGCTCTTCCTCAGTGACCAGCGACCTTCCCTCCAACGCCGCCCGCAAAAGTCCTGGCAAGTGTCCGATCCCCAGCATACGCGCCATGATCATGTCATAAATCCACATCGGAATCAAACGGCCCACCCACTTGACATTAGCTGCATTGCTGCCCCTGTAGATGATTTTCTGCTGGGCAGAGGATGCGGTCAGCCTAAGGGTGGCTTGCAATGTACACCAGTATACAAGAAGACTTACGGTACCATTTTCAACATCCCGCACAATCTCCCTAGCCCACTCCGCCCTTTCACTAAACCCTGCACCAAACTTCTCGCCGTCCATCAACCCCTCCACCACTTCTTTCACGCCCTCTGTTTCCCAAATGCTCCCTTCCGGCACCCTGGCCTTTCCTTGCTGTAAGTTGCCATAGAACTGACTTCTCACTCCTCCCGTTCGTAGTTCGATAACGTCAATGTCCAACAAGCCCAATTCCGTGCGCAGGCATTGCGTCAGGTGCGACATGGCGGCCTTTGACGCGTTATAGGCGCCGGTGAAGGGGAGGTTGCCGTTTGGGTGGGCTGCGATCGAAGTGTGGGCTATGACGAGAGGTTTGCCGCTATTGCAGCTACTGCTGGCAAGAAGGAGTGGAAGAAAGACGTTGAGGATGCTGAGTTGAGAGAAGACGTTGAGGTTGAAGACGGCGGGAAGCAAAGGCGAGAAAGGCGGGATGTCGGTCAGGGGCATCTGTCAAAGGGGCCTATGCGTCAGCGCCGGTGTCGAGGGGCCGTGGGATTTGGTGGACGCAATGGACCGCATCAGGTCATACATGGAAGGGAAAACAAGGGCAAAAAGAGACAGTAGAGGCTGATGAAAAGAAGGGATATCGTCTTACGCTATACCCTCCTCCAGCATTCAAGCAAATCGCATCCAATCCCACCTTCTCCCCATCCTTCCGACCATCATTCCCATCAGCCAGCAGCTTCCGCACGGCAACGACCGCAGCACGAACACTCGCCTCGTCAACGACATCGAGCTGCACCTGCTCGATCCCATCTTCTTCTTGTCCGTTCTTCAGGCCCTTCAGACTCTGGAGCTTGGTCAAATCACGTGCAGATGCTATGACACGCCATCGACCAGTCTCGTGGAAAGCTTCTGCGAGGGCGGCGCCAAGACCGCCGTTTGAACAGCCTGTGATGAGGACTGAGCGTTTTGAATGATGTGGTGGCATGGTGGACTGTGTCAGTTCAAGCAGGAGGCGGTGCTGATTCGGCAGTGGGACTGACGTGGTCGGAAAGAGTCGAAGTTAGAGGCAATGGTATGTATTTATATCAATGCCCCGTTCACAGGTCGTTCAAAACGTCGTGCACCCCTGGCAGATTGCAGAGGTGGGCGTGCTTCTGGGATGGCGCATCTGAGCAGTGTGTTGTACCATTTAAAGCTTCTCGTAGCGCAGAGCAGCAGCTATGCCGTCTCGATATGGACATTCCATTTCTGTCCCGCCGGTAAGGTCGTATGGGAGCCAAGGCCTGAGCTGTAGCCAGACGTGATAGTGCATTACAGAAGGGTCAACTAGGAAGCCCTGGGAGGGTTGTCGCTCCGTGCGGCTCAACTCGTACCCCGTACCCACCCAAGGAACTCGGTAACAATACCTCGGCTTACCGGCTGCTTCAGGCAAGCAGTTGTCAATTTGTGTGATACCGTACCAATACAGTCGTATTGAAACCGGCAGCCTGGTTGGAAACTGCATGTAGGCAGTGTCTCGAGCTAAACGTTCTGAACATCGAAGGCGTAAATGAGATGATGAGGCGAACGTTGGGTCGCAATTTCGTGATGGCAGCTCAAGCTACCGGGTGCATCGGAGGAGGCGCTTTCAAGGCCAAATGGGATGACTAGATATCTTGTCAGTCTATCTGCGTTCATTAAGGTCGAGAATTCCCGCAATTGGTCATACCGGGTAGCCAATCGTAGCCATGTGCTCATCTAACGGGCCCCAAATATTTGTGTAATCCTCGATCTGGGATGGATGCGTGATCCAGAAGACGCCAACCATTCCCATAGCATTCGTGATCATGGAATGATCAATGCGCGAGTGCTGTCTAGGTATTAGGCAGACCCAGTCCTTCGTCAGCAGTACATTATGTGGTAGGTCAGACTTCCCGTCTGGCTCCGCCATCTTTCCCGGCTGATGATAACTTCTCTCATTCTCGCCAGCAGTTTTCGATGGGCTTCGACGGCGTCATCGGCGCTTGCACTTTCCGGGAGTTTTAGTATGAAGTGCTTGTGTGGAATTCCTTCGAGAGCGTCAACGATGTGTCCCTCACACTCCGGTCCTACCAGATCAGGAAACAGCTTGAAGCCAATTTGTCGTGAGTGCGGTTTCATCATAACCTGTATGTGCTTGTGGCCTTGGCTGCTTCCAGCTTCAGCACCACAGTTGTAGAACGCCAGCATGCTTGGTGGTGAAGTCGGGCCCGGAAATTTGCTTCCGAGATTGTGGCCAGGGCCCGCCTCCAGTTCCGAAAGCAGCGACCAGGACGCGCGAATATCACTATCGTCCAATGCTTCATATTGCGGCCTGTACGTTTTTGTCACAAGAAGCAACTGAGGACGGTATACGCAATACTTGTTAAGCATCAGGGTATGCGTGCTACTCTCGAACGGTAACACAAAGGCCGGGTCTGGGCTGGCGAAGGGATTTGACTCGGCATGATTTGAATGTCGTTCTGGCGCATCCGCTGCAAGGACTGGCTTGTAGCCAGATGAGGCGCGACCTGGAATACGGCTGGGAATGTTTTTGATGGATGCTTCTGGCTTGTGTAGTACTGAAAGAGAATCTTTGACTGCTTGTCAAGGTAATCGAAGCGATTGAGTGCTTGTACATACAGGTGAGGTGACTGGGGCTCCGCCGCCTCTGATGATGACATTGCTGTACGATTGAAACAAGATCTATGCTGCGTGTTGAGTTGCGAAGGGTAACAATCGCGTACGCCTGCTAACGAAAAGAAAAGATGAAGAATCAACAAGAAGGGAGACCAACTGTCTGACGCTTGAACCACACCAAAGGTCTCCCGATGGTAGCACAAGAAAGAGCCACTAACCACTCAAAGTCCCAGAGTGGAGACTCGTGGCTGCCTTTTCTTGGCGGTAACGAACCATCTTGCTTCACCGCACGTCTCTACCTGCCAGTCGTAGCTTCCCACGCAAACATTCCTATCTCGGCATTGGAAGCTGCTCAGTCGACAATTTGACTTTAAGGACCACTCAAGTCCACCAAAGAGGGGCGAAGACTACCTGGGCCTTTATTGCACAAGGTCTGACTCACGACAAGGCCAGGATTGATCCTGCGGCTTCACGAACACAACACTTTGTCACACGTGGAGGACGTAGCCGGCGTTTCACATCAGTAGTTCAGCGTTGCGAGCCTCCGCCTCCGACTTTCATGAAAATCTCCGCTTTGCTCAGACAACGACGGTCGCTGTAAGAAACCTTCAAAATAAGCCCATGATGATTACAGGCTTCGCGGATCTGCCACAGGAGGTCAAGGATAAGATCTACGACTTCCTTTTCGCTGATATACGCGTGTCGCCTTTTATCGCAAGTTCAGATGAAGCGTACGACCGCGAGCGCTTTTCAACATCCCGCCTGGGCATGTTGTTGCTCTCTCGGTCCCAACAACCATTCGTATATGCATCACTTTGGGGAAAAGCAACCTTGTGGCTTGGAGACGAGCTTCATCTGACAGCTTTCGCCATTAGAGATCGTCCACTCACTTCGATACGTCATGTTGTGTTGGACGTGGGCATTTGCCTACGCCCGCCGATGGTGCTGATGAGCAAGGCGTTACGTTTGTTACAGAACTGCGAATCAATTGCTCTCAAAATCCCTGTGGAGGGTCTCAGGACCCCGGCGGAGCACAGACGAGCCATCCAATTCGAGAGCTGGGAGGTTTTCTCGGAATGCATCGAGAATAAGCAAGACCCTCGCACTACCGAGCTCATTACGCCTCTCCTTAACCGAGTTGTTGGCTCCGACAGGGCTACCACCCGGACCTTTTCCTTCTGGATCATGGATTTGCTTCACCAATCCATGAACAAATGGATTGATAGCCCGCCCACAGTCTCGATACAATTTTTTGTGTATTGTGGAACTGGAGAGACGTATGACAATGGTGTACCCGCGGCAGAACGGATTGATGTCATGTTTTCGTCGAGCACATGGACAGTAAGTGGCACCTACAAGGGCACATCATTTGATGTCCCTCAGATTTCACTCGAGCAGTTCCGCAAACGCAGACTCATTCCACCCACAAAACTTGTAAATCAAACGAACATACTAAAAGATCATGCTGAGTACGAGAAGCCCGTCTGGAGCAGCATCGATAAGTACTATTCGGATGTGAAAGTGAGCACTGAAATGGTGGCTGATCTGTACCACCTGCTGGATGTCAGTGACATGTTCACGAATGGCTTCGATGAACTTCGCGCCAATGACGGCCTATGGGGCTGTCAAGGCATTCACTGTGCCTGGAAAGTCGGAGTGATACTCCTCGACCGAAAACGTTTTTCGTATGAGAAGGCTGTAAGTTCGCAAAACGCCAGCAAAGACATTCAATGGGACATCTGGCGCCGAATCTTAGGCGCAGAAGACAAAAACGTATTGAGCCGCCCGTGGAGAGATGCATATGATGTATGCTCGCAGGTGTCGTCTGCCATGCTATGCAACCTCGACCACGATGAAAAGTCGTTAGCAGAAGTGCGCGAGCTGTTGCACGAGACCGGTTCATTGAACTACCAGCGGCAGAGAGCCTTCTTCTCCCGTCTGTTTGATCCAAAGAAGCCGTGGATGTACAGCAGGAAACCTGACAACGACCGGATCTAGGTCTGATACGTTGATCTTTTGTCCAATGAATGGCATCACAGCTTTCAGCTATGTCCCGACTTCGGACTTGTTGACCTGCTCCGCACATGAAAGCCGATCAAGATGGTATGCATCGACTTCATATGCATAGACTAGCCTCTAATACGAAACCGCTAAGCGTTTCTACCTGGCAAATAAGGATAAGGGGCGGCTGGACTAGGAGGTGGAGTGACACGACTGGAGCTGTAGTCCGCACGCTACCCAGAAGTAGCCAGTGCTAGACGATATCAGCACTTTGTTTTCCTGGCCGACCTTGAGTTGTGTCGGGCAGGAGCGTAGTTGCCAAATGCTGTTTCCGAAGGCAACATGGCAACGCTGGCAGTCGGTCTTGAGCAGTACATTTTTGGGAAGTCGTTCTGAACTGTAGTTGCCGCGGAATTGAATTTGGTCGAGAAAAGCGATGGAAGCAGGATCATAGGAAGGCGTGGTCCAGAAGCTGAGCTGGAGCGTGGTTGCCTTGTCTACTTGGTACCTTTTCTGTTTGCCTTCCGTGCGAATCATTCCTTCGACAACTAAACATTCTTTCAAAGTCTCGATATCTCTGAAGCATTGATAGGCGACCTTCGACACGACGAGAGTCCGCTAATCTGTCAGATAAGCGGCACATATTGAACAGCCATAATGCACCCTCTCGACACAATTGCGCCCGAGCTGCGACTCATAATTTACGAGCACTATTTAGCGACTCAAGACATTACTTTTGGCGTTCACGCCAGGCACACAGGCATTGACGATGCATGGCACTCCCTAGTGCCCCTTGAGAATCCTCGATTCTACATTCGGGCTAGGAATGCTGGTACTGGCCAGGGTGGGCTGCCTTAGGTCGGCATTGCTGGCGTCTCTAGACTCATTCGCGACGAGTTCATCCATTCTTGTGCAGCAAGCAGCCTCTTACCTTGCGCCTGCGCTTCCCTGGGACCGCATCACCTCATCGACCTTCACCGTTACCTCCACTGTTGGACATCATACCACAAGATTACCGCAAACACATACGACATATCGCTGTGGGCGGTGTCGCGTGGCTGCCACACATGACAACAGATCTTCCCTGGGGATTACCCATGCTTCGATCGATGGAGTTGCATGCCACCTACTGGCTCCAAAATTACTGTCAGGACATCATGAACGACTTCACCAAGACCGCCTTCATCGCCCGAGCGTACGACGTCATACTCAGAACACGATGTATCAACAGGCTCCGAGCATTAATGCGCATAGCTCCTATGCTGGACACGAATTTCAGGTCTGTGGAACTGAAGATGGACGTCAGGGTCAGCCAATTCTGCCTCTCACGGCGGAGGAGTCTTGACGAGTCTACCGAGTCGACCGACTCTTTCCCCTCGAACACCCGCCCAGATGGTGTTGTGTTCAGGTTTGCTTCTGAGTTCCGAGACGGTCCTGACGTCTACACCTACGTGAGCGATACTATCATGGTAAGCCCCACACTTCCTCCTGTGTTAGCAGCACTGACCCTCTGTCTATCAGCGCTGCACGCTCGAGTTGTCCCCCGACGTCCAGGCAGACTTGTGCCAGTACAGAGCCAAGTGGACCAAGCAATACAGAATTGCCGAACGCTACTATCTGGCGAACAAGGACAATGAGGATCTCGATTGGCTGGTTTGTTGACAGCGAGAGTCTTTGATCGCCTTCTTACCGGGCCTGTCTGCCATATGCGAGTAGCTCTGAAGTGGGATGTAGAATGAGCAGAGATGAATAGTGTGGACCTCTGTCAGCAAGAGCAGATTGAACATCCATACGTTTGAAGAATCACTCGTTAGCAGCCTTAGACCTAGCTCAAGTACAGCTAGTCAAAACCAATCGATTCTTTCAGCACAACACAGGGACTCTTCTGAGATGGACAGTATAGCGGCAAGGACGCTGAATCCTTCGGACCGCTATGTTCATCCTGAAGCATGGATGGCTTGCTTTCGTCTGCAACAGAAGAGTAATGAAGACAGCGTAGCTATAACTAAGTAGTCTATTCAGACCTAAGGGACAGGTGTGCGTCATAAGGATCATTATCACACTCGACGCACAGGCTACTGATGTCAAACTCTTCATATTGATCGCTTAATGCTCAGATGCCGCTCATCGCAAGCAGAGCAGGGCAGTATAGGAGAGCAGCATAGGAGTTGGTGAGGATCCGCCCTCTGCCTTCCTAAACTCAGTGTACTTCGCCTCAAAGCAGCAAAACGCTGTAGATCCTGGTCCCCTATGCATGCAAATTGTTACCCAGAACTCCTCTGGGATGAGACCCTTTCCAATCCTGCCTTGCGGCATCTCAAATATGTACTGCAATTGCGAAATTCGTTCAGCGCGTTTCTGGGCGCTCGCGCTTGTACCGAAAAGCGGTCAGTGCTTCTTCTCAGCACTGCCTTCTCCACTTCCAAACCCACTGCCTTCCATTGCGAAAGGCATGAAGTCCTCATCTCCTCCACCGCCATCTCCCTCCCCTGCACTGCCTCTCGGATGAGCGTGTGTGCTGCTGCCAAAATCGGGTCTACTCCCCGCGCGTCTCCTGCTGCCAATGAAGCGACTGCTGCTGCTTGCGCTTCTGTCTGACACGTCTGCTGTGCTGCCGATGGATTTGTCGGTGCTGCCGCCGATGTTAGCGCTACTGCCACCTGTTGGGTTCGGCTGTGTAGCGCTCGCTGATGTTGAGTCTCCTGTTGGCGGAAGTGGGGACGCCATTCGCCCTGAAGACGAGGCGGACCCGCGACGGCCGAGATGGCGCGTGCGGTATGCCAAGCCAGCAGATATTCGGGCCGAAGAGGTCTCAGTCGTGCCATCTGAAGGCACTCTTGCGGCGGCGGAACCAGTCGTCGCTGGCCGGGCTACGGCGAGGCGCGGAGAGACCTCTGTCGGTGGCCGCAACAATGCTTCGCCACTATCATGACCATCGTCGTTGTCGCCGATGTTGACCGCCCGTTGCAATGGCGAGTCTGATCTCACACCAGCACGACGGTCTTGCTGAGCGCCCATGCTTGCGCTGCGGAGGTATACATCGCCCATGTCATCGCTTGCAGGGCGACGTTGTGCAGAAGTGGAGCGGCGGTAGGCTGCAAGGTACGGCCGCGGCGAGTTCGGAATGTCAATGGCTGGCACATTTGAGCTCGAACGGGCACCTTGCGCTGTGTCGCTAGTAGCGGTCTCTGAGGGCGATGGAGGCTCTTCTTCGATTGTCAAGCGATGCTGCTCGTCGTCATGGCTGTATGCAGCGCTCAATCTTGAGGGAGCAAAGGGCGTGTGAGGTGTATGAGGAGAGAGCGGCTTGCCTGGAGAGCTGGATGTTGACGCAGATGTAGCAGCTACCATGGCAGGAACGCTCGAAAGCTGTCGTGACGACGACGAAGATGAGCGATGCAGCATTAGTGAGGAGTTCATAGAGTCACTAAGGGCGGCATTGGAGTCCTTCATACGGTGGAAGCGGTTTAGAGCGGCAGCTGTACGTCGCGTGCTGCTTTCGGCCGAAGCATCGTCTGTTGTAGAGTGAAGAAGGTCTTTCTTCGTATCAAGCAATTTAAGAAAGTCTTGAATCGATTCATCATCCTCCTGCATCGAGCCAGAAGATGCAGGTCCAGTGGCAGCTTCTGTGAGGAAGCCAGAACCTGGCTGCGCAGAGGAAGCCGCACTAGCTCTGCCACTGCTGTCCTGGTCATCATCAGCTCTGTTCGTAGATGTGCCTCCAGACGACAGCCGGACACGACGGTGTGAGAAGCTACTGCTATAACGAGTGATAGGTGCTGGCTTGGTAGAGCTCGAGCTCAAAGAGACAGCGGCTTGGTCAGTCAAAGACGATGGCTTCCTGGCTGCAACGGCGGGTGCGTTCGGAGCTGGCTTATGAGCTTCTTCTGTCAACGACCCCAGTGTCGGAACGTGTCCACTAGCCAGTCTTGGCGAAGTGCCCAGTGGAGACACGCCCAGAGGAGATGCGGACAGAGTTGGCTGCTTGAAAGGCTGGAAGCTGAATGAACTTCTGCGCCCAGCAGCCTGAGCGCGCAAAGAGTTCCTGGATGAAATGGTGGAATGTTGCTGCGGCAGAGGAGGTCTTTGCTCTGGAGTGGGTGGAGACTCTGTGCTGTAGTCCTTTGCATCTCGGAGAGCAGACAAGGGACTCGTCCCTGTGGCAATGCCAGCTTGATGGTAGGTGGATAAGCTGCCGTAAGCATGGCCGAGCTCTGGTCGCTCAAACGAAGTCGTTCGCCGATGGGTTGGTAATGAGCCAACATCCGCACGCCTATCTGCATCACCTGGCATCGACGGTCGGAAGAGGTCATCGTCTGCACCAAGGAAACGAGAGCTGAGCAGCTCCTCCGAGTCATCTATCCGGAAATCACAGTTCTGGCGATATTGCACACGTACACCGAATGAGCTGCAGGCGACTCAGTCTCGCCAAAAGAATAGTCTGCTGTGACATCGCTGGCGCTGTCCGTCAGAGCGAAGCCAAGATTGTCAGATCGCGATGAGGCTGGCGAGGAATGGCCATCGACGAGTCTGTAGCCGAGCTTCATCGCCATTGTCGACCTGCTCTTGCCGATCTTGTTTGAGAGTTTGTAAGCAGGTAGATAATTGCAGTAGGTCCACAATGCTCGGAACAAGACGATGCTCTTCTTGTAGACTAGGGGCAGCACTGTACCCATATCTGCCGGCAGAGCAGCAGTCTGGTCGCCGAGCTCGATCGTCCATCGCTCCAGTACTATCTCCTGCGAGTCTGCAGCTTTCCGCTTCCCTCGAGCGTCACTTGATGACTCCAGCGCGTTCAGAACATCCCAACGCTTGCCATCCTCATCGAGGATAACGAGTCGCTGGCCTTGCGGCAGCGAGTCCGTGCATAGGAAGACTTCGATGTGTAGTGGTGGTGGCCTGTCATCTTTGATGTCACACATCCGCCATCGCCTAATGTCATCTCGATAGTCGTCGGTCTCTTGCAATTCGATGTTGAACCACCTGTTGTAGCGCACAGCATCGGTGTTCTTCGAGTACGCCGGTGCTAGCTCGACTCGGGACCGGAGGATGATGAGGGCAGCTTTTGCGTAGAAGTTCTGGATGACCTGGTTCAGCCGTTGCATCTGAGCACCTGGATCAGTCTGCTCTGATCTCGGACTGCCAAAGTCTTCGGAGGAACCTGATCCTTGGGTACTGAACCGTGGATCTCGATCTCTTGAGTTGTTGGTGCGTGTAGGATTGGTCTGTTCTGAGAGGGCTGGCGAGGCCGTCACCGGAGGATGGCGGGGATGTTGATGCATGGTGTTGTGCTTGATTAGGCCTGCAGATGGTACAAGATACTTCGAGTCAGCCTAGCGATGATTGCACGGCGGTGGACGGATGTGGTGAGGGTACTCCATGATCGGTCGGGCGCAGGCGATGCAGTCGAGCGGGTACAGTAGACGCTGTATAGCAAGTGAACCCAGCCCGGAGGTCGGATGAAGAAGGGTCAATTGATGCCTAGGAGCCAGTCAAGGCGTCTAGGGAATGGAGGGCATCTGGAGTGAATGACAATGATAGGTCGTGTTGATGATATGGTAGGTAGTATAGCATGGAGGTAGTCAGAGACGATGATCGACGAGCATATGACACTGTCTCTCGTGATTGGTCGGGTGGGTGCAGGTACCGACTGCTACGAGTCAAAAAGAGTCACAGACAAGCCCAAGCGATTGTGAGGATCATGGGTTCTGCAGTCTGGTGATTGTCAAATCTCGAAATCGCCTAGGCTGATGACGCCAGACGTGTTGATGCGTGAAGTACGGCGATAGGCGACTTGTTGGAGAAGTGATAGGAAACGAACAAAGATGGCTTGATGGCGTGAAGCAAGTCAGAGATGTCGATATAATTTTGGTTGGGAATGACTTGAAGATGGAGAACTCCGTGCTGTAGCATTCGCCTGTACTTCCTGTATCACACAGAGACTCGAGCTCAGCAGAGTCAATGGTACGTTCAGTTATCGTGATAACGCAGTGAACGCTCAGAGGCTCCCGCTGCCTGTGTGACTCTCCCATCGACCACCCCCACACTGCGTCGGGGAACTTTCGGGTGCCCGTTCAGCTATCCCCGATGAGGCTTAAGCTGCGAGCGACCTCCGCAAAATCCCACCACAGCTCATCACGACCGAGTTGTTGCCTTGATGTCAAATGCAGGCTTCCGTCAAGTAGCTTTGGCATACGGAATCAACTGAGGCTTCAGGAGCATCTCCTGGAATGGATCGCGAATGATGACCGGAAATCACTGGCCCAGGACTTCGCACATCGCCTGATAAAGTGACAAGAGATGCAGTGTCAGCGATATCTACATCGTTCAGCCGCTCAGCTAGTCCAGTGATATACTTCTGCCGTCGACCTTCACGGCATTCAGGAACCGCGAGATGCCACCGATGATCACGACCATTCGCAGATCGTCTAGCCAGATTTTAACGAGAATGGTCCTCGCTGTTGCTTCGAGATCCTTTGGTACTCCTCTAGCTCGAGGCGAACTACCTTGTCACTTTACACTGCCGTTAAGCGTCCGCACATAGTTCAAATGCCGTCCGACAACCGGTCGTCGGTCCACGGCCAGCTTCATGAGTAGCGACGGCAAAAGTCCATGGACCCTCCAAAGGATGCTTGCTGTTCCGGTCTGACCTTGGGCATTAGTTTGGGGTCTCTGCACTTATCGGCCTCGTTCGGCAAGCACGTTCTTGTTTTCCGCATCGATTGAGCAGATAAGTCCGTTGAAATGACGCCTGGCCGATTGACGACATGATCGAGCGTCGAGCTGTGGTGGTAAGATATGGAAAGTCATGTTCAATGTTCGTTGCTCGTCGATCGCGTTGTTGCCAAGCCGTCTCAACCTCATAATCACCTTACCTCCACCTGACCTAGCACTCACTCCTCACTTGCTGCCTCATCGCTTTTCCCCAGCAACGTCCTTTATGTATATGAGGTCTGAAATTTGGACCGTAACCTACCCCGAAAAGAAGGGTATGGTGCTTTAAGAACTAAACGAGAGTACAAGTCAGGTCTCAGGGGTTCACGCAGTAAGTCGTGAGCCCCCCAACATTATTGCTTTTTTGCAAGTTGTTAACAATGACAGGATGTCGACGTGGGAGTATCATTTAAGTGGTAAAAGCTATGTATCTGTTGTTAATGCGAGGATCGAACCGACATTGAATTTTGCGGTTGTTGGCTACTTAGCTTTCGAGGCTGGGTCGCTGCCAAGACCTGTGGTGGTGGCGTTGTCAAAGTGCAGTAGTTGAGTATCTTCCTTTTCACAGGGTCAATGGACTGTACACGGACGTCGACCCAGGTCAGAGGCTCGTGAACCAAGACCTCGAAGCCTACTAACCCTCATCGCCATCCAGGAGACGTCGACGAGTTCTCAAGCTTCGCCTTCGTCTACCATAATCAGCCTGTCGCCTTCTCCTTCGCCTTCTTCATTGGCAACACTCATCTTCCCCTTCTGGCCCCCTCGAGTCATGCGTCCCTCAGATTTGACCGACTCATCGCTTTCAATTGATACGCGGCCTTGGGTTCGGTCCGTGCAAGCAGGGCAATCGCTCATGGACATCTGCCACGCTTCCCAGCTCTGAAGGATCGACTGGACGGGCAGAGCCAATGCTAGGCTGTACATAGCAAGGATGAAGTGCAGTGCACTATCAACATGTCAGTAACTCGGAACCACATACGCGCATACAGAATCATTGCAACTCACCTGGCCGTCAACGCCGCAAAAGCGTTATAAGTCACCACCATGCTCACCCGATAATAATCGTCCGCGACCCTAGCATTAATCACAACGTGGAGCACCAAGAAGGCGATACCCAGGAGCAGATCGACGGCCCCATACAATGCTTCGATAGGCACCGTATTCCCGAACCCAACCTGAAGCTTCTTTGTCCCGAAGCGATGGCCAAGCCCGATTAGTACGCAACTCAGTAGCAGGGAGAAGGCGTAAAATGCAAGTAGAGCCATGGATTCTCGTTGGGCGTGGAAGTGCCACTGGCCATCGGCGACGAGAGTCGCGGAGAAGGCCAGGCCTGTTATGGTGGTTGGGATGAGGGCGAGGCGGAGGAGAGGTGCTGTTGGTGTAGGCATGATGGCAGGCGCTTCTGGCTGGGGCAATCAGGTCTGTAGGGCTGGATGTGCAGGTACACTGGATGTGGTTACATGACTGCCTACCGTGAAGGAGGGATCGGTCAACTTATATCACCACGCCCCTCCATGACCAAAGCACACTCTCCTGCATATACAAGCAACAAGTTCGTCGCGGTGGTCACTCCATTGGGCAAGAGAACGCTGTTGCCTGCTTCAATACAGCATGGTTGAAACACGGCCAAGAGTGGACATTCTGAAGCATTTGGGGGCTAGCTTCGATAGATCTGCATGTTGTCCTGGGAGACCCGTTCACAATGAGGTTAGTGCTGCAAGACCACGGCGATGGCTCGGTTGTCCATCTCATATTTATAGCCATTGAGCTGCTAGTGGTTGGCTTGGAACGCGACTTGTGAGAGCGCTTTTCTATGGAGAGTGTGCTGTATGCCGTGACGCGTTTTGGCTGGCCAGCATCGAGTGCCGCTTTGGAAGGGGACCAATCGCGCCTTGTAGGGGCCGCAAGGCATGCCTCGCACTCACAGATCACCCTAGCCAACGACATTTTGCTCCCGCGCGTGGTGAGACAAAGCGGATCATAGGATCGTGGACGAACGATGTGATGAAGAAAGAGTTTGTGCCAAGCCATTCAAACTGCCATTTTCGAGCTGTGCTTGTTTTGAGAAGCTACACGTCCTCGCACACAGCCTGGATGATGTTGCACTGACCGGATTCATTTTGAAGGTTTCTTCTACTACTCCAGACATCTCACTCGGATTCAGGTACAGGGTTTGCGCTTCAGCGACAGACCCGGTCAAAAGATGAACGACACCCAGGAGCCTAGCCTCGGCTACGCGCCTAACAGCCAGAACGCGGGGGACTGAGCTGGGGCTGTGGGGGTGCTGGCAACCGAGGCAGTGGGTGACACACCAAAAGTACACGATACTCGTACTTCATAATGTACCGTACATCAGCGAATACACTCATATGGAATTGAAGCCTACCGCGATCTTGTAGGGCACTTCTCAGGTTTACTTCAGGCCACACGGATCAGCATGGGCGACAACGATAACGACGACCATATACCCACCTCCAAACCTGTACAATCCGACGACAGCAAAACCGCTAGCTCCCGCCTCTCCCAACTAAAGTCCCAATTTCCTTCTCCGTTTCCATCATCATCAACCACTACCACCAACCCACCCAAGATCACCCGAAAGTCCCGCCTAACAACCCAACTCCCAGCAGACTGGTCCGACATCCTCTCCGAAATCAACCACGTCCGCACCCTCGCCTCCACCCCGCCAACCACATCCACGGGCTACCGCCGCCACAAAGAAGCCGGCAAGCTATGGGTCCGCGAGCGCATCGAGCTCCTCCTGGACCCCGCCTCCTTCCGTGAAGTCGGCTCCCTCGCCGGCACGGTCACCTGGAAATCCCCGCCCAATGCTGCTACCGCGCCCACAGCGCTGGAGCGGGAGCGGCAGGTTGTAGGCGGATTCGTGCCGAGCAATAACGTGCAGGGGTTCGGGAGGATCAATGGACGGCCAGTGCTGCTGACGGCGGATGATTTCACGATTCGCGCAGGACACGCGGATGGCGCGTTGATGCCTAAGACGATTTATATGGATAAGTTGAGCGTGAATTTGAAGTTGCCGATGGTGAAGCTGGTGGATGGGGCGAGTGGGGGTGGGAGCATCACGACCTACAAATCCGAGGGGGGCGCATATCTACCGAAGCTGGAGCTGCTATATTGGCTAGTGAAGGAGTTGGATCTCGGCATCCCGCAGGTCGCAGCGGTGGTTGGGCCCGCTGTTGGGCTGGGCGCGGCGAGGGCGGCGGTCAGTCATTTCAGTGTCATTGCGGCGGACGTGGGGAGTTTGTTCAATGCGGGTCCGAAGATTGTGGAGGGGGCGACTTTTGAGGAGGGTTTGAGTTTTGATGATCTGGGTGGGCCAAGTATTCATGCCGGGAACGGGACGATTGATAATGTGGCGAGGGATGAAAAGGGTGCTTATGAGATGATTGCGAGGTTCTTGAGCTACGTGCCGAATCACGGTGGGGTTTTGCCGCCGAAAGGGGAGGTTCTGGACGATCCGTACAGGAAGTGTGAGGGCTTGAGGGAGGTGATTCCGCGAAGGAGACAGAGAGGTTATCAAATACGGGACATTATAGAGCCTTTAGTTGACAAGGGAAGTTGGTTCGAGATTGGGCCGTATTGGGGAAAGACTATTGTGGTTGGTTTGGCAAGGTTGGGCGGGTACTCCGTAGGCGTGGTGGCAGACGACGCGACGGTGAACTCCGGAGCGCTGGATTCGGCTGGCTCGCAGAAGCTGATGAAGCATCTCAAGCTGTGCGACGTCTTTGGCATTCCAGTCGTACAACTGATCGACATTCCGGGCTTCGCTGTTGGGACGACGGCTGAACGATCTGGAATGATGAAATGGGGGACCGAGCTGTTCAAGGTATACCATACGACTACCATGCCAGTATTCTCGTGCATAGTGAGGAGGTGTTACGGTATTGGTGGTGTCATATTGGCCGACTCTCGCGACCCGGCACCGCGAGTGGCATGGCCTAGCCTTGAATCTGGGTCGATCCCACTGGATGGCGGCATCGAAGTCAACCATGTCGCGGACCTGAAGCGAGCAGGCGACAACTGGAAGCAGGTATATCAGCAGCTCGAGGCGGAATATGTGAACCTCCAGAACCCCATCCGCGTGGCCAATAAGTTCCATGTCGAGGAGATCATTGATCCAGCGGACACGCGGAGTCTGATGTATACTTGGGTCAACCACATGTACGAATCGACCTTGCCGGAGAGGCTGATGCAGAGGGCGTCAGGTGCCATCAAGCCGTCTTTCCGATAGGCATTCGCGCGTCAAGACGTTGACAATGCCCGCCTAAAATCAAGTTGTAACCACCAAAAGGCGATGAGCAGCTGTGTCAGGCAATCCGTCCCCTGTGCAAAGCCCATTTCGGTTCTGCGTACGAGCAACTAACGTCACCGCAAACACGCACCGCATCGATCGAGATTGTGGACACTGCGTCCGCAGACAAGACAACGGCATCTGAGCCGCTGGGCCAGTAAGTCGGAAGCTTGCTCAGTGCGTTAGCACAGAACTGCGCAATTACTCGGCTGGCTGAGACGCTGAACACAGCGCCGGATCTGGCGACGGCGTTGCTGAGGACAGTGTATCCCTTGTTGTGCACATGACCCTCTTCCGGAGAAGTCGACGACGTCGATCAGCCTGCGAAGCGAACAGCAAACAAACCACGAGGCTCAATGACTCGGCACAAGCGTCGTCCTCCGTAAATGTTCAGCTCCGCTCGTGTTCTGGACCTCGTGTATGCGCGCCAAGACCGTTGGCTCCTTGAGGATTGAGAGGCCCGATATTCATACGACGAAGGACGTATAATGCGGACTCGTCAAAATGGGATTCTCCATGGAGCGACTGAGAGCATGGGACGGTTGCTCTTTCCCGCGAGACTAGATATAGAGCGTCTTCTTCCTGTTAAAAGCCGCTTTCATATTGATGGCAAGCTCGCCGGTGGATTGAGCCTGACTGTTGTAGGTGTGACAAAGCCCATGCAAGAAGATCGAGGCAACTGATGCTTATTGGAAGAGCTCTTTTTAGGTACATCAACTTGGGCTTGTTGAGAGGTCCAGGCTGCAGCCACGTTGACTTAAAGCTCAGACATGCAGACGATAGCGCCCCACCTGCCGATATCGACGCTGCGCCAAGGCCAGGTACGACCAATCTTGGTCCATCCTTATAGGTAACGTTCTACAGACCATCCTACTTCGTGCACACCACATAGCATACCATGCTCCCTGCAGGGACAATCATTGGGCCCTATCACTATCGCTCAGCACGCCATACCATGTTGGTCCCGGTACTTACTTCGACTGGAAAGTCAACGACACGAGACATGATCAGTCCGGGCCTTCAAGTGCTCCTGTCGCCAGACTCTAGCGACACCGCCATACAGTTGTGCAACGTCTGGCCTGCCTGCCCTTCTGGCCGACCTCAGCCAGCCTGATGTAGCTCCCAGCCGATAGCTCGAACCCGGAAAACTTTTCACGAAACCCCCGGATACGCTTTGTGTCCTGCATTGTGGTTCATCGTTGACTTTAATGCTTATCGTTCAATCCTCCGCGATTCACCGGTAGCGAGGCAAGGTCCTCTCCATATACAACGGGTGGGGTTTTCCACATGTATGGTAATGCTTCTTTTCCTGTCGCATACCTCTTCCCTGGGGCGGTCGTACGAGGGCGCGGTCGTGTTCGTGGTGACGCTTCCGTAAGGAAGCAGATGCCTTCTATGATTGTTTCGCGACCATCCTCTCGTTGGACCATTGTCCTTACACTCGTTGTGTTCATTTTCGGCGTTGGCTTCCTGACATACCACACTGCCCCCACACCCAGCTTTCTGCGACCTGCGAAAGTCGAGCAATGCAGCAATGAGCCCTTGGTTAGCCCGATCACAACCCAAGCGCCTGTCAATGGCACTCCAAGGAATGCCATCATTGGATCTGTGCAGAAGTCCAACGAGTCCAAATGCGACTGGATACTCGACGAATTACCTGAATGGGAGCCTGTGGTCTATGTGACGGACAGATCACCTTCGGAAGCACCAACATACCCGAGCTCTCGAATAACTCCCAAGCACATATCCGTAAACCAGGGTCGAGAGGCAGCAGTCTACTTGACCTACATCCTGGACAACTACTACAACCTACCAGACTACATGATCTTCATTCACGGCAAGAGATACCAAATCCACAATGACGACCCTATGTTCGACAGCGTCCCCACCATCGCCAATCTGAAACTCGACTTCGTCAAGGAGAATGGCTACACGAACCTAAAATGCAACTTGGTCTTCTGTCCCAACCCATGGGTAAAACCCGAGCTCAACCACACCGACGGACCATGGGAAACAACCAGCTTGTACGCGCGGGCATGGAAAGAGTTCTGGCCCGACACGCCCTTACCCGAGGGTGTTACTGGGCCCGACGCTGCACAATTCGCCATCACGCGCGAAGCGATCCTTCAGAACTCCTGGGCCGAGTACGACCGCATGCGTCGCTGGGCCTGGCGATATGAGCCGCATATCCTCACGAGCGAAAATACTGGATTGGTATTTGAGTATATGTGGCATATCATGTTTGGCAAGGAGCCGATGTACTGTCCGGATACAAAGGAGTGCTATTGTAAAAAATGGGGGATGTGTGATCTGGAGTGCGAAAGGCCGGAGTGGTGTTTGGGAAGGAATTGGTTCAATCCGGAGAAGCCGAGATATGTTGGGCTGGTTCCGACTCTGCCGGTAAGTTCGCCGTCAACCTCACATGATTCCGGTATATGGCGAGCTGTATCCCATGCTGAGACTTTGACTAGGATAATTGGCCAGAGGAAGGCATGAGCGAGAACGACGAAGGGCTTCTTCCTTATCCTGGCTGGTGGATGGATAAAAGTGTCTGGAAGAACCATTAGCTACGTTTGCAAAAGCAGTGTGCGCATCCGGACATGTCCTGGGCATTGTGCATGTTCATACCTGAGTAGGTGAGTCCGCGTGATGTCTCGAAATAACAACATCCCATAGCGGCGTGCGAGCGGATGAGGGCCAAGTCTAATGAACAGGAGAAGCGGCAGACTGGAAGGGCAGGAACGAAGGAAAGATACACGGTGGGGGAACATTGAGGTCCTGTGCAAAAACATGCGCCAAATCTCATGCTTTCCGATGTTGGACCACCAAAGGCTACCTTCAATGTGGTGTCTGCGCACCGGAATGATCTTGCTTGCCCTGATTAGACACACAAAGCCTCCACTGCTGATGCTTCAAGGAATCTTCACAGCACTTCGCAGTCCCTTGGTTCTTATGCACAAGTGCCACAAACAGTGTCCTCAATCAATGCCGAAGAGAAGCGCATCCTTCTTATCGCCTTACATCACATTCCCAAGCACCCCAACAGCCCTTGTCCAGGCAGTCTCTTCGGCGGACCCTTCGGCGGCTTCACCCTCACCGGAGCCGGCCCAGCGCAGCAGAGCCCTCCGCCGCCGCCCATGAATCGTCCCGTCCACGGATCATATCCTCCCTGCCCCTCAACAGCAATATTTCCCGGCACATATCCTCCCCCACCGTATCCATATCCTCCTTGTCCCCATCCACCACCCCACCCACCATTCCTCGCACCCCAGAATCCATTGCCCCAAGCACCCCACAGGCCCATCCTGCCGGCCCGCTCGCCCGCCATACCCTTTCCCAAGTGAATCCTTGTGACGTCGCCGTTATATCGTCCCAAGAGATCGCAGTCTGGACATGACTTGGGCGGCGCAGGATACCATTGAGTGCCACCGAAGGGCGTTGTGGGACGGGTAAAAGGGTGAGCGGGTGGAGCATTCGCGAAGGTCATGTTTGGTGCGCACGGGCGCGCGAGATGCACCCAGCGGTGGGCGCAGGTTGTTGACTTGTAGGTGAGGAGGTGGCACATGGCGAGCTTTGCGCCGTGAGCTAACTGTGGAGGGTGAGCGGGATGCAAGCCGCGCCGCAAAGGTTGATTGGTGAGTGTAGGGGGTTTGGCGCTCCGTCAATGAATAAGTCGAGGATGTACGCGGTGATCGGTCTTGTGTACGAGACTCCAGGCCTTGTGATCGTGGATGTGCTTTCCTCAGAGACGTGATTTGGGTCGTACCACAGGCGGTCGAGCGGACAGATTGTCGTCGATCCACACTCGAGTACTTCGTGAGGTCTTGGGCGTGGGCCAGAAGACGTGCGCGTTCCTCATCGGGTCCAAGGCGTATTGACGATTAACGGTTGTCGTTTGGAGCGGATCGAAGGCAAACCGAAGGGTTTCGAATTTGGTAGTGAGTTGGGGTTGCAGCAATTAGCAAGTGTGCAAGTTGTGTGTCAACTGATCTCGGCCTGAGTGACTTCGCGTCGTGACTGCCACTTCTCACCCCAGCAACACCGAACCGTAGCAGCTGCTAGTTCTCAACAACTCCTCACTTCTTCCCATCCAAATGCGTCACATCTCCCTCCACCTCAAGCTGCCCACCACCGTCCTGCGCATCATCGCCTGGCGCATTCCTCTTCTGAATCGCGTTATACAACTCCCAAACCTGTCCAATCTGCTGGTCATTCATCTTCTCCAACAATCCTTCCATCGCCCACTCTTCTTGCGACCCTGCCTTTCCATCACTCCCCTTCATGATCCACGCCTGCCCGTCTCCGCTCTGCCCGTTTGAGACCTTCCTATCAATCATCTCCCCATAGCTCTGCCACTGCTGAAGAAACCCAACGATATGTAACGGATTCTCAATGCTGCGATGCCGTCGGAACTCCGCCTTGAGGTAGGTGTCGCCAAAGATGCGCTCTTCGGGGTTCAGTTTCTGGCGGTGCAGGCGGAGGAGGCGGCGGTAGAGGGGTATGGGCGGGAGGAGGGTCATGGGTGGTGCATTGTTGCGGCGAGCGCGCTGGGAGCGCAGGGGCAGAGTGGAAGAGGTCGGGGTGGCGCGGAGGGGGAGTGACGGTCGTGGCATGTTTGCTATGCTGCGGACGCGTATGACGAGGTGATTTAGAGGGCAATGTCGCGACACAACTGGTGAGAACTGGAGCAGGAACTGCAGCTGTATTCTAAAGAAATTCTTAGATGTAATTGTCCGTGTGATGAGATCATTGGAGAAGCTGGAGATCTACGGGCTACGCGATCACTGCTAGCGCCCTATATGAGCAGCGTGCCTCGTACAGGAGTCGCATGCTGAGTCGCTCAAGATCGGCAAGCTGTCTTGTGGTTTTCCACGCGTTTGAGGCTTGTGTAGAGACTTTGAAAGCCTCATCGCTGTTGTGCGCTATAGCGTATCACAGTATGACACCATCCCCTGGTGCAAACATTGATACTCCGACAGCAGTCCACGTCGACGGCATTCGATCAGGAGACTGTTGATGCGGGCCACGAGCCAGCATCGATCGACGGACTTTGAGGTAAAATTTGCAGTACACATCGTACGTACTGGGAGGTCTTTATTTTAGCACTAGTCAAGTCGGGTATCATATTCATGTCGTGGTGACTGTAAAGTCTGTGGTATATCATCTCGCATCTCGTCTCTCGCTCCTGCAACATCAAATCAATTCGTCATCTATAGCTCCTGTTCACATGGCTGCTATACGCCGTCCTGGTCACTTTCCGTCTTCACCTTCACTGACCTTCTCCCATTCGCTATCGGTGCTAACGTAGCCTGAACTGTCGCCGAGGCTGCGTCGTCTGACTGCTGTAGCCCCGGGACTCACGTCGTCGAGGTCTTTGCCATGGGATGAGGGTGGAGATAGATGTGTCGAAGCGGCGCCCTGATTATTGCCTTGACTGCTCGGCTGAGATGGAGGTGCAGACGGCGTAACTGCAGCGGGCTTCGGCAGTGGCTTGGTTGTAGGCGGGGGCATAGCAGCACTTGCTGCCTGGTCTTTCGCCGAAGTTCCCTGTAGTCTCTGTCTGTCGCCGCCCCCTCGTCGCGCTCCTACATCTGCTGCTGTAGATGAGCCAACGGTGATGATCAGTCTCGGTCTCGGTGTCACTCCCCATAGGATCTGGTGAGGTCTGTCTCTTCGTTTTCTCGGAGGCATCGGCATCTTCGGCGGCTTTGGCGGCTGCGACTTCTTTGGCGAACCAGTTGATGCCGAACCATAGACCGCCACAGAGGACGGAGAGGATAGCGAAGTGGATCGAGCCGGTGAAGAAGAGGAGGATCACTAGGAGGAGTTGGAGCGCGCCGAACGTAGCATTGGTCGCAATGAGCAGGGTAGGTGTAGGCCCGGGTGTGAAGATGGACTCCCACAGAGAGACCATGAAAGACGCCATGGCAGTCTCGCGATGACTGATGAGTCGCGCTACGAACGCTCAGTCGTTGCTCAATAGAGAAGAGTAAGTATGCGTGGTTTGCGGAGATTCTATGAAGTGCTGCTGTATAGTGTATCAGAAAGCGCGTTGTTTGCTGGAGATGTTACGACAGCGCTTGCTGATAGCCAAACACTTGTGAGCAAGAACGCTTGTAGGAGCAGCGTCTAGACCGAAGGTCGCTTTCCAAGTGTCAAATGCGCTAGGAGCTACCAGAAACGTGGCTTGTATTGTGTGGAAGGACGTGCTGTCAATGTTTGTTGGAGAGACGAGGAGGGAAAGACGTGAAGGTTGAGGTCTGCCTGCAGCCCACCTGCCGATGTCATTGTGGGGTCTTCCGGGCACGCTCGGGCCTCATGGCTGGTCAGGTGAGGGACTCTTGTCTTCAGATAGCATCAGGAGGTCTTCATATCATCCTGTGCTGTCAGCAACGAAGGTCGACTGGTCTTTCTGCCCCTAGCCATATGAGAGCATGCGCTGAAGTTAGGGTCTCACCGTATGCATAAGGCCGAACAGTTACTGTGCTACGCGAGCGTAGACTCTTGACTGGAAAGCTCTGATCTAGATCTGCCTGAGATCAGTTCTGCATAGGGTGCCAACTCTTGGTCAACATGGTTGCAGTCGGAGTGACAGTCCAGAAATCGAATCTGCGACTAAAATTCGCTGCGGCGACATACCTCCGGTAGGTTGTGAGTATGTTGCGCTCACAAGGCAAGTAGTTACTGGATCAGACACACTCGACAATCGGATCTGGTTTCCGGATTGCCTGACGCAATGACGAAGGACCATAAGGTGTGACGATGAGTATTATACAAATCTACAACAATATCTCGAAGAATTCTGTCGTGTTCAATGCCTCCACGACTCTCTCCAAGATTCATCAGGGCCATCACAAGACCCGCAATAGCTCTAACGAAGACAGACATACCCTCCCTCGCACAGAACACCACGGCGTCCAGAAGACTTACTTCATTCCGCTCGCACCTCTCGACAACCGCCGTCAAGATGTCTGGCAACCAAGGCATCAATGACAAGTTCAGCCTTGAGAATCTCTACTCGGTCAAAGGCCGCGTCGCGCTCATCACCGGCGGCGGCTCAGGCATCGGTTGATGGCGACCCAAGCGCTTGCCGTCAATGGAGCCAAAGTCTACATCACCGGTCGCACCAGCGAAAAGCTTGACAAAGTTGCTGAGTTGTATGGCAAAGGCATCGCTGGCGAGATCATCCCCATCCAAGCCGACATCACCAAAAAGGACTCTATCCGCTCACTCGTCAAGGAGATCTCCTCGAAGGAGAAGTGCCTCTGCATTCTCATCAACAACGCCGGCATCGAGCTCAACACCCAACAGACTGAGGCTGAGCACAGCAAGGAGATGGCCGAGAATCTGTTCGAGGACGAGAATGAGACATTCGACTTGTGGAAGGATACCTTCGGCACCAATGTAGCACAACTCTTCTTCATGACCACCGCCTTCCTTCCCCTCCTGCAGAAAGCAAGCGACATCCACCACGGCTATTCCGGCACGGTCATCAATATCACATCCATCTCCGGCGTCGTCAAGACCAGCCAGCACCACTTTGCCTACAACGCCTCAAAAGCGGCGGCCATTCATGTTAACACCATGCTCAGCAACGAGGTTGCAGCAAATGGTTTGAAAGTCCGCATCAACGGTATCGCGCCCGGTGTGTTCCCAAGTGAGATGACTGCGGGCGAGAGCGGCGAGGACCAGAAAAGTCACATTCCGAAGGAGAAGTACGAGGATAAGACGGCGGCGAGGAGACCTGGAAAGGAGGAAGATATGGCGAATGCGATCCTGTTTGCCGCGACGAACCAGTATCTGAATGGTCAGAATGTTATTGTTGATGGAGGGTACGTGATCACGGCTGGCGCTGGACCGTGATCGGATGCCAAAGAACAAGGTAGTGCGACCAATTATGAGGACACCGTGACTGTTTTCCGCAGCAAGAGCGGGTACACATGTGCGCTCATTAAAGTTGGGCCTGCAAGATGCACGAGATGCACATCTGCGGCGGCCATAAAGATGCTCTGAAAAGGCACGTGCTGCCGTCCTCGCTTCTGAAGTCTAGAAGTTGTGACATTGAGTAGTTGGACAATGAAGCAGACGACCTCAGTACAGTCGCCAGCCCGAATAAACTCTAAAACTACAAATGCATCTACCCAAGTAACATTCACCAAGATCTTGCCATTCTCCCACTCCTTTCGGCTTCATCACCAAATCAATTTCACCAAGATCAGCTTGATCCTACGATTGTGACGACACCGCAATGCAGACTGTTAGACGAAACGAGCATGGCGTCGCAAATCAAGGCCGCCAAAGAGAATTCTTGAAGTACCCCTCGGCAGCGTAAATGTATCCTCGTCTCCCTCTGGCTAGATATTGGAAATCGCTTTGATAGCCGCCCGCAATCCGATACAGCAGAGCTATCTGTACAGTTGCGTATTTCAGTTCCTGTATCTCCAACTATCAGTTCAGCGGACTTTCATGGCGTTATCATCATGCCTTTCGCCTGCCCGGCCCGTCGCCATTGATTGGCTTATTGGCAGACTAGTATTTCAGGCGCATTCTACCGAGTAGGAAGTGCCTCACTAAGGTCGCATCACTGCCATCGCGGCCTGATCGCAGCATGAATCGCTTAAGAAGATGGTGGCCGGGCAGAGATGTCGTCCCACTCGCCGCTGGCCCGGCAGACGTCTCACTTACAAAGTCGAGGTCAGGAGAACACGACCGAGATCTCTGTGCAGTCATGAGATACCATCCACTAGAGTCTGGAGATATACGAGTCATACAGATCCTGCAGCCTGATGGAGGTGACGCCAGTGATCAAAGCCATGAGGCGAACGACGGCATCGGTCGTTGAAGCCGAATGTACCACCTCAACATGTTCACCGTCACCCTCGTGTCTAGTCAGCCATACCCGGCTTCCTGCGGCCCGAAAAGGCACCGTGAATGGCCAAAAAGCCATTGGCGACGATGATCGGCCCGCAAAGCCTTGCCCCTACGTTGCCCTGAGTTACACCTGGGGTGAACCCCATGATCTCGACAGTATAGTCGTGGACGGTTACGCCCACGTCGTCCAAAAGAATCTAAAGCAAGCGCTGCTTGCGTTGAGGAGTACCGACGTGGTACAGGCCGGGTGCAGAGTGTGGGCGGATGCACTGTGTATCGATCAGAACAACGCCGCCGAAGTCAACAGGGAGATCGCAAGGATGAGGCACATCTACAAGGAGGCTATCACGGTCGTGGTCTGGCTGGGCGAAGAGGCCGATCAGAGCGACGTGGCCATGGATTTCATCGACAATGTCTCTGATAAATGGGAGTCCGGCTCCGATGTATTCGAGGAGTGGCTGAGGCAAGAATTGAACACGAATGGCTTGGTCATATGGCCCGCTTTGACCAGCCTGATGACTCGAGCGTACTGGTCGAGACTGTGGGTCATCCAAGAAATCACTCTCGGAGGACCGACGGCAGCGATTCTCTGCGGCAACAAGTCGACGACCTTGGAGCGGTATTTCTTGGTTTATGATGCATTTCACATCTTCAAAGCCACACACCGAAACCCCGAGCTCGCGGCATGTGTCAGCCAAGTCCTGACGACAGTGGACCGGGACGTGTACGTCGGATATCGCAACATCTTTCATTGGCAGTGGGAACCGTGCGACGATTTTCAGTCCTTGCAAGATGGAGAAGCTGGACTTGGTCAGGCAAAACGGCTGAAGCGCCTAATGACACGGTGTCGGAAGGCGACCTGTCGCGAGCCTCTCGACAAGGTGTATGGCATCCTGGGACTCCTGGACGAGGAAACATCAGCTCAGATTGTCCCGGACTATGGACTTCCCGTGCGACAAGTCTACATGTCCTTTGCGACGGAATGGATTCGGGCAGAGAGAGACCTGAACCTGCTTGTTCAATGTGGTGAAACAGGCGAGCAGGCGAAAGGTCCTGCTGTGGACATCGAAAACCTTCCTTCATGGTGTCCAAATCTGCTTAAAGAGATCAAGCCTCAATTGAACAATTTCGACCCCGAATTCAATAGTCATGGGGGTATGCGCACATCCAGGATAGCATTCACAGGGGCTGATGGCTCGGTCCTCTCGACAGAAGGCGTGCTTTTCGACACCCTGCAAGGTCTGAGCGGAGTACGGTATTGGGATGATGATTTCCGTATACGGCGGCCAGATTTCGAAAATGCCAAATCGCCAGCCAATGCGTATGGACCCACCTTTGAGGATTTGCGGACAGCTTTATGGAAAGCACTCGTAGGCGGTCGAGACAGGCATGCACAGAAAGCCGCCTCGTACCATGATTGCATTCTGGATTCGGCCATACTGGACGACAAACATGCTGCGCCATTCGAGCCTAAAGGAGACACGGACGATTCATTGCGCTGGAATCTGCATTTGTGGTTGAAGCGTAATCAATCATTTCAAGTTGCCGGCATTCCGCTCAAGGATTTCTTCCAAGATCTGGGAGTAATGGAGTCAAATCCACGGTTGTATTACCAGTGCACTGGAAGAGTGATCAATTGGTTGTGGTGTCGGAGGCTGGCGACGACGAGAAAGGGTTACATCGCCGTTGTGCCGAGGGTTTCTAGGGTGGGAGACGTGGTGGCGATCCTCCCGGGATGCACTTGCACCATGTTGTTGAGGCCGTCTCTAGCTGGCGATTCTGGACCGAAACGGTTCGAGATTGTGGCAGAATGTTATGTCCAAGGGATGATGGACGGCGAGGTCGTTCAAATGCTGGAGCAGGGTTCGTGCGAGCTGGAGGATACCGACATTGTATGAGTGTGAATGCTCGTCCCTTTGACCTCTATCCTGTCGGGTACTGATCGTGGTGCACCCGGGGTGAACGTAAGAAAACCATGTGCTCGATGAGGATTTTTGAAATGAGACTTTGACAGTAGTGGTTGAGTTGAGCGAGTAGAGTACAACAGGTCCCATGGGAGACTTATGAGCAACAGCGCATTCGACCTAGTCCACATCTATCCCGTTGGTCATCTCGTGCTGAACCCTACCCCAGCAACGAAAACCGCCTGGCAGCCCCGTCGATCACTTCCTCAACTTAGCATGAAACATCCCCATATCGTCTCTGCCCTTCGCCTGGATCGCTCTGACCGGCTTCACAACCTCCGCAAATTCGGGCTTGTTCCTCAACGCCATATGCTGCTCCACACTCTCCCACCCAAGCAGAGCCTGCAGCGCTGTCACCTTCTTGCCTTCGCTCGACTCGACGTCATCCTCAAGATACCAGCCCATCGCAACGCCGCTGGACCCGTTGTCGAGCGCGGCCTTAGCCACCCCAAGCACGGCGTCCTCCATCTGAGATTTGGTCGAGGCGTCCGAGGAGGAGAGGATGCTGAAGGGGACAAATTCCGTCACCGGAGCGCTGCGTGCGGCCTTGAGGGAGTCGGCAGAGGTGAAGGCGATGTGCGTCAAGAAGGGAGGGTGTGCGTCGAAGTCGAAGACTTGCGCTAGTTCCGCGACCTGTTGGTGGACGGATGTGTTAGTGTTTAGAAATATCTTGATTGCGAGTCGACAATCTTCGTTGATCTAGCTGCTCAAACGATGACTTGACTCTCGCAAGCTCGACACATAGAGCTAGTCGAGTCGTTGCCTGGGATATAACTCCGTCTCGTTGCACGGGCTGTTTCCCATGGCTTGCGGATGTGCACTTGGTACGCTCGACAATGGCAACTTACAAAGGGCTTATAATCCTCGTGGTTGATAAACTCCTTGTGCTTGTCCACGCTATCCCAGTCAAGAGTCCAGACAAGCTGTGTCTTGTCTTCCAATCGCAGACCCTGTATCAGTCAGTCATATGGCCGTGAGCTTGCAGAGCCTGTGGGCAATGGAAGGGCCGGTGATCTGGATCAGGCACGGTGCTCGGTTGAGGCCCAGGAGTGCATTTCACACCATACCCAGAATTGATCTTTGAAGCCAAGGCGACTGCTAACAATGCCGATTGCTTTCCTCCATGTTTGTAACGCTACCGAAGAGTCGTCCTCGAGGTCGACGTCCTTCCGCAGGTGAAGCAGAGCTATCTCTGTAACTTCGGTCATGTTTGGCTGAGCAGTATCCTCCAGTCGGTCTTGCGCGGAGACTGGTGAGACGTATGTATTCTCTAGTAAAGAGATGATGCAGGCGCCCGACGAATACGAAGACGTCGCGTCAGAGAAGGTAAGTGATATGCCTCAACTAGCTGTAGACAGGACGTGTCCGACTTAAATGTTGAGACCGAGAGCAGCAGCGTCGGTGATGCGGCTGTCGAGGAAGCGGCATGCCCGCGTGGTGCCTAGGCATGACCGAGCAAGAGGGGCAGCAGCGGGGAAACAATTGGCAGGTACGGATGCGCGATTGCCGACTGTCGGGTACGGGGCAAATGTTGTCTTCTCATGATTTGTGGACCACAAAGCTGGATCTTATGGACTTCACAGCCACAGCAGCGATCAACTCAGAGCGCTAGCTTCAGAGTCTGGATATATGAAGACGTTGAAGATAGGTCAGGCAGGCCAGCGATAAAGATGTGAATGTCGAGCCTGACCTGCAGTGGACAGGGAGGCCCTGGAGCCCCAAGAGCCCCACCACTCGCCTAGGAATCTTAGTCAGCCGCCGTTCACGCTAGAACTAGCCCTTCTCTCGGCAGTCATCATCACTCGACACACAAGGTTTGGTGTAACAGGCACAATAATTTGGGTTGCCTGCCCGAACTCCGATCCCGAGGCTGGGACACGTGCAACTAATCTTTGCGACAGCATTATTGAGTTCACCGACGTACCCGGAACGTCGTGGCTGCCTGAAGTACAAAGCCGCGCGGAAGCCTTGTACTTTTGCGAGAGAAAAGTTCCGTTCAGCAAGCCTGTCGAATGCTGTTTCGCGTTCTGTCTACCTCGCGACATCATGGAGAGCCCACAGGACAGCAATACCTCACGGGACGCTTCCCATGAGGCGGAGTCTAGGGTCAAGTCTGCTACACAGGCAAAAGTCAGACGGCGCAATCGCATGATCACCAGCTGTCTGGAGTGCCGACGGAGAAAACTGAAATGCGACAAGCAAAATCCATGTACGAATTGCAACAAGTTCTCGCGCGATTGCACATTTCTCGCGCCAGCTTTGGACTCGATTTCTCAGCAGCGGCTTAATGACATCAAGGAGAAGATGGGCTCCTTGGAGCGAGTTCTCGAGGAGGATGTCGCGAAACGTAGCCAAGGCGTACTTAAGGTCAAGAAAGAGCGCAAGACCTCCATTGATCTTCCCGGCGAGGCGAGCAGTGGCGAAGATACCCCGCCAGAAGCCTATGAGCAGGAAATCGAAAACACGCCCTTGGCCGTTGGCGATGCAGCGTACGAGGACGATGCAAACGATGATGTACTCGATCTCGGTATTCGCATAGGGAAGATGCGTATGGGAGAGCGTCTAGGTGGATTTGTGCGACCAAAATTTTCCGAAGAGCTGACTATTGCTCTTGCGAATCCCACGAACGACCGACGAAATGACGAAGAACGAGCGCTAGGTGGCGTTCCTGCACTAGCAGATGATCCTCACGACTTTCTCGAGCCTGGAGCAACGTTCATCAATCCCGGTGCTGGATTTATCTTCGGTGATGTTGGGATGAAACGAAACCTCATCGACTATCTACCGACGAAGGAAGTGGCAGACACACTGACGGAAAAGTATCGAGAGAATGTCCACTATGTGGCCAGAGTGTTGCATTGGCCGTCGTTCCAGCTTCTCTACGACAACTTCTGGACCACAGCTCTGGCGGGCTACGAGCCACAAGCGTCCGCACAAGCCGTCGTACTGTCTGTCTTATTCTCCGCAATTGCAAGCATGGATGACATAGATGTCCATCGACTCCTAGGGCGATCAAAGAAAGCCGTGCAGACCAGCTTTCAGAAGGGCGCGGAGATCTGTCTCAGCAAGGCGCAATTTCTTCGGACCACAAAGGTTGAAACCCTACAAGCATTTGTGATATACTTGATTCCAATGTGTCGAGATCAGCTCACAAGAGCACATTCCGTGCTTGTTGGCACGGCTCTTCGACTCGCAGAGTGCATGGGACTGCACCGAGATCCCAAAGATGTGTATGGATTTCCACCTGTGGAATGTCATGTCAGAAGGATCTTATGGTTTCAGCTCCTCTTTCTGGATTTCAGATGTGGTGAAGGCCATGGTCCGCGACCGACTATCCGACGAGAAGACTTTGACACGAAGTTTCCACTGAACATTGACGATGCAGACTTAATGTCTGGCCGAATCGAGGAATCCAAGACACGATTCACAGATATGACGCTATCACGCCTCAGGTTTGAGTGCAACGAGATGCAGAGAATCATTTGGTACGATCGCATTCGGCTCGAGAAGAAGACTGTGTCTCTGACGCATGTGCTCGGAAAAATTGAAGCGTTCCGAAAAGCCATGTCCGGCAAATACGAGCCAATCTTCGACAAGACGATTCCTATCCAACATTACGCTTCGCTGGTGCTCAGTGTTTTACTCAATCGAATGCACACCATGGTTTTGCATCGATACCTTAACCACATGAGCAAGTCCCTGCCAGATAGGCTGAGGCAGGTCGTGATCACTACAGCCACACAGCAACTCGAGTCTGCGGTGGAGTTAGAAACTACGCCGGATCTGTACAAATGGCGCTGGTACAATGGTGTTCATCAGCAGTGGCATGCTGCCTTTCTGTTGGTGAACGAGCTCTACGAGCATCCAAATCGAAAGGAAGCCGATCGTCTGTGGAAAGTCTTTGACTACGTGTTCGAGCCGGACACGACCTTGTCGAGAGCACAAAAGGGCAGATCGATCATTGCCGCTGTCAAAGACCGTGGGGCGGTATATCGAGACATCAGACGGCTGCGAGCACCTGGCAGCATCCGTTCCGACACCGTGGCAGCGGTATGGCGTGGGAAGCCAGCCGGTGGCTGGCCGAAAGATGCCCAACCCCCGGCGCAGCAAGCGAGATCGCCGCCAGTGCCCTCGAATCCTGTGCAATTGAATCACCAGGATTTCCAGCCGAATAGCACAGGCGGATCAATAAGCCAATCTGCCATGAATACAAGTTGGACGGTTGATCAACCATACACGGGATTCACTAAGCCTAACGTTACCAAGGGTGAGCCATGGAATCTTGGCCAGGTCGACGCATACGGCACCGTTCCGGAAAGAGCCCCAAGTATTCCAGGAGTCAACTATAGTAGCCCCAGCGAGCACAGCACGAATGATCCCAACAATTGGCCGCCGATGATCTCTAACGATCAAAGTGGCTGGGCACCAATCCAAGCACTGCCATCGCCACAAAGTGGCAATATGCAGCTACCAACATCCGCGTTCTCGATGCCCTCTGCCAACTTCCAAATGCCGAACTACTTCCCGCAGCAGAATATGCAGCAGCAGAGAGCAAATTCAACGTCAAGCAATGATGACATGAACATGCCAGATATCGACTGGTCGGAATGGGACAAGATCTTTCCCCCTTCGCTCAACACTGGTCAGCTCGATATCAGTCCACCGCAGTATGGTCAGAATTCGTGACGAGTACAGGAAAAAGACTATAGCATAGACTGAGGCGTTCTCCGTAAGTGAATAGAGAATGAATGATTGCAACTGCCTCGCTCGCGACCACTCACATACCTTCTGCATTCTCGATCAGCCTGAGAACCACTCGTTGTTCAGAGCACAGCAAGAACGCGTCAAAAACCCAATCTTGCCGTCCAGCGCTCCTTTCCCAAATGTCGTTCGGAGAACATCAAAAGTCCTTGGAGATTTTCCCTTCGATCGTCTGTCTACTTACCCGTTCGGGTCTCTTACGTGGCCTGCGTCCCCGCACTCCAGGATGTTCGTACAGAAGTACGAGAGTGAGATGTGGAGATGGCCGAGGGCAACATCGCTATGCTTCACATCAAAAACACTCACCGTGGGCTCGTTGCGAGGCGTATCTCTTGCCAGCGCAGATATTGACCCCAAGTCTATAAGTCGTTCACAAAGTTCCAAGTTGAACCTGGGCAAGAGAATCGAAAAGCACATCAACAATGCGTCCCGCTCTCCGTCTCCCCAGCAGCCTCGGCACCCGCCGCCACCTCACTTCACAGACCATCTCCACTATCAGAGCATTCTCAACCTCATATCGCCAAGCAAACCGAAACTATGCCACAGTGACCAGCGGTAGCCCGTCCCTGACGGTCACACAGACGATCGGCGAATCGAGTCTGCCCTTTGGCTACGGCAGCTACACTCCTTCATCAAACAAGGCCCAGGATACGCCCATCCACCACATCCGAATTCCAGCATTCGCAAGTCTGACTGCCGAACGCAACTTTCGAAAGTTGCACCATGCAGCCGGGCTGAGATGGTTGGGTCACAATGGCTACAGTGAGTCTCTTGTCGTCCAACAATACTAGACCAGTCCTCTGCCGCCCTCTCATCGCCCGTGCTCGCAATTCTGCCTCCCTACTCGCTCCGTAACTACCAACTAACCGTCCCCACTCCCGCCAGACAACGAGGGCGCCGGCGGACACGTCACAGTCCGGGACCCGATCCTGACCGACCACATGTGGATCAACCCGCACGGCAAGTCCTTCAGCTGGATGCGGCCCGAAGACCTCGTCCTGATCAACGAGGACGGCCAAGTCGTCGACGGCCACGGCGGAAACATGCATTCCGTCAACCCGGCGGGCTATGTCATCCACAGCGCCATTCACCGTGCTCGACCGGATGTCGTGGCGGTGGTGCATTGCCACAGCGTTCCGAGTAAGGCGTTTAGCAGTTTGGGGACAATGTTGGAGCCGATTAACCAGGATGCTTGTCGGTGAGTTTGCTCATCAGTTCTCATTGAAGCACAATCCCCCTTCCGGCCTCGTGCATGCTGTGTGACTGGCACGCCAGCAAGCCTTGACATGGCCCACTCACAACGTTCACTTTTCCCAGATTCTACAAAGACCATGGCCTCGCCCCCTTCGGCGGCATCGCTCTCGAGAAGCACGTCGAAGGCGAACATATCGCCGCCGCTCTCGGCTCAACGAAGGCTTGTATCCTCCAGAACCACGGGCATCTGACCGCGGCCAAGTCAGTCGACGCCGCTGTCTTCCTTTTCGGCGCTTTCGACCGCTGCATTCAAGCACAACTGATGGCGGATGCGGCCGTTGCTGGACGAAAGGCGAGGGGCGAAACCACGGGTACGGAAACGATCAAGGCGAGTGAGGAGGTCGCGAATTATACGAGGGAGATCTATAACGATGAGATGGTAAGTTGCCTCTCTCCTTTTTCACTTTCATGCTTTACTTGTGGTCACTTCACGGTCGCTCGATATCCGTGATTTGATTCTTGCCTGCCATCTCGTCCCAAAGATCCTCGAATCTGCTGGCTCAAGCTGACCGATACGGGCGAAATAGGCTTATATCATGTTTCAATCCGCTTTCGAGGATGTCGTGAGAGCGAGTGGCGGGGAGCTAAGCATGAGGGTCGAGGGAGAGATTGCGCGAGTTTGACGGGGGCCTTGAGATGGTAGGGAGCGCTTGTTTCGCGGACGACGATCAAGCGACTGGTACAAGCTTACTCCCATTCTATCCAGACTTTCAGGTCATCTTAGTGACATCGCTCGTCACCCGGTCTCGCGTAACATCTCTCGTCATCCGGCGTCAGATAAATCTTCTTTCGGTCACGATTTCCACACCGCGCTCCTGCCGTCGGCAATGATGTTCGTGCGTAGCAGGAAGGTTCTCTCCATCAATTGCCGCTGCCACACTATACATTGAAGAAAGGCAGGCGCGTTTGCCACTGCCCCGATCGCTCCTGCAGTGCTGCAGGAAACGAATCGGGGCAGTTGCGAATGCGCACAGCCGATTGCTCCTGCGTTGTCGTAGAAAGTGTTGAGTCAGGGAGGTGCAAATGCCATCAGCTGATCGCCCCTGCCGCAGAATACGGCACGATATGGAGGACGCATCTGCCGCTGCTTGATAAAAGGCGGTTGTCGAGACCGGATGATAAGAACATATTTGAGCGTGCCAGACTATTCCGAAGTCGAAGTAAGTACTAATCTTCTACTCGGTGGAATCCAATGCACCAGACATAGGCTCACTGACGAAGCCCAAGTCGTCAAATTGACACGTTCATTATCATTACTGCTAACATGTACGTGTAATTTCTTGCTCACTAATGAATGAGCTCGTACATGCAGCACAAAATGGCCAGACCAATCTTCACTGTTGGCCACGATGAGCACTTTGCAGTGATCTGCCATAGCAGACACAGTGCATCATCCGAATTGAAGTCCAGAAGACTGGACAAAACGAGTGGACGTTGCTCCTCCCAGCAGAGAGGTACACCTCGACTCAAACCCGCGGCATGACCATCAATTGTCCTGCCAGCCCTTGCTTGTGTACTGCCGAGGATGGATTAGCGAACATGACCCTAAATCTCGAGTAACGATGGCGGGAAGTTGGCGACTTCCTAATCAGCACGAAGGAAAGCAGAGTATACTTACCGTTGCAGAAGCAGATGCAGTCGTCGTGACAGTGACCGTCACAATCTTCGGTGCTTCGCATGTGGGACATGGAGGAGGCGGAGGCGGAGGCGGAGGTGGTGGTGGCGGTGGGCAGACTGGACACGGAGGTGGTGGAGGCGGCGTAGGACAGGGCGGTGGAGGAGGTGGGGGAGGAGGAGGCGGTGGACAAACAACCGGTGGCGGAGGTGGTGGGCACACCACAGGTGCCGGACAAGTCGGGCAAGGCGGCGGAGGAGGTGGCGGAGGCGGTGGAGGAGGACAGACGACCGGCGGAGGAGGCGGAGGGCACACAATCGGTGCCGGACAGACTGGACAAGGTGGCGGAGGCGCCAGGCACTCAGGGCACGCCGGACAGATGTTCTTCCCTTCCCAATCGTTTGACGGAAGTGCGATCCCGGTCACGACTGCGATGGAAATAGTCAGGGAGCGTAAGTTGACCAGCGCGATGGAATGCTATACCGGTCGCGGCCGCGCTGAGGCAGATGCTAGGGTAAAGACCTTGAAGATCATGATGGCTGCTCTGAGGAGGGTTGTGGTTGACAGGGAAAGGATTTCTGCGAGGGCAACCGAAAGAAGGACTTGAGACTGTGTAGCACTCGAGAAATCGGTACGTCCTCGGAGACGACTACCTGTGAAGCAAGCCATCTTTATAGCATTGCGCTGGGGGCTTTCTGAGTGAAACAGACGACTGTTCGGGAGCAAATTACATCACCATCGCTTCGACGTATGCGTTTGCCGCATCAAGAGGACCGCGAGCCTGAAGTAAGTGTAATGTGATGCCTCCGGTAGCTCCTGGTCAAGGGAACAGAGAAGGAAGGGTGATGCTAGTCGGGCGTCGGAGGCCCGATAGCCGTGCCCCAATGCGGCAAGTGAGGTGTTCAGCTTCAAGTTGCATAATATGATGCATTTGACTTTGTGTTGTTCGTTGGACGATTTCTCCAAATCAATGGTTGCATTGTTTCAATTGAGCTTGTACTTACCTCTTGTAGGCCCGCCTCAGGAACAGACCCTTAATGCACGGTCTTCAGCTCTGCTCGATCGCCAGAACAGTGCGAATGTGAGTAATGTCAAGCTTAGCTGGACTGTCGTCGGTCTCGGATTGTTCGGATCGAGCTACCATCAGGGCTGTCTTCATAATGTTCTTGATGACGCGACCATTCATGTCCAGCTTTGATAGCTCATCGATCTCATTGTTGCTGACACTGCTGTGTTTGTCAAGGAAGGCCTCCCAGATGTGTTTACGTGACGTTTCAGACAGCTTCGGATAGTTGACGGTGACGTGTATCCGGGAGTGAAAAGCATCGTCGATGTTCTTGATGCGATTAGTCGTTAAGAAGAGGATGCCGGAGTAATATTCAAGCATTCGAAGGAAGATCGAGACGAGCTTGTTGCGTTCGAGATCCGAAACGCTGCGAGCTTCGAGGAATACATCAGCTTCATCGAGCAATAGTACCGCATTCCACCTGGCGACGTTGTCCATAATAAACGTTAGCTTTACCTCGATTGCACTAGGGTCTGTGCCGAGGTCGCCAGCACTCATGACATAGAGCGGAACGCGCAGATTGTCGGCAACACTTTCTGCGGTCAAGGTCTTCCCCACGCCCGGTGGCCCTGCTAGTAACCTATCAAGCATGTCAGTCCTTCTGCCTAGCTTGAGTTTATAGTAAAGTGGGAGATAATGCCAAACGAAGCTCCAAATTTGCAGACAATGAATTGCAAAGAGTGAATCGTGGAGGATGCTATGCATCGCTGAAAGAGGAAAGGACGGTATAAGGAAAGGAGGGTCGTGAAGCAATAGTAGGCTTACATGATCATTCCACGTCCCTTCCCAGCAATCACATCGTCGAAGTTGTCCTTGCATCGCGCCTGAGTCTTCACAAGTGCATTAATCAATCTCTTCTGGTGCGCCGGAAGCTGAAGCGAATCGAAGGCGTTGTCGTTGAAGCGGATGGCAGCTATCTGGTCTACAAAGAGCCACAGCCAGAGCTTTGCTCTCAGCGCGAAGCCTCGGACAAATGAGGCGCATAGCAGGTATTCTTTCGCTGTCAGAGGCCTGCCAAACGCTCCTTGGACGACCTCGAATGACTCTTCAGATTCTACCGAGTCGGCATCGTCTTCCAGAAAAAAAGGCGAGGTCTCCTTGCCAAGGCTTCCGACGCTGACAGAGTAGTTTGGAAGAGAACCATTATAAGCGTTGCAGTCGATGATGATGCGCGACTCCACATTGTGCCGCACCATGCGACGAGCTTTTCCTTCAGCCAGAGCAACGCCAGTATACCATTTGTAATGATAGCCTGCGAGAGCTGCGAACGACTTTCCGCGGGCGATGAGAGCCCTCGCAACGGTGTTCCTTTGAGTGTGGAAGTCCAAGGGAAAGTACTCCAGCTCATCGATCTTCACCGTCCCTTCGAAGTAGTGAATGTCCAGGTAGCCATGGGATTTACCAAAGCGTGAACCATCAAAGTCGACTGACCAGACCGCCAGCGAGAGGTATGGAACTCCGTCCTGGCTATTGCAGTTACTAGTATGCTTGAGCTCCCATACGCATTGTTGACCATATTGCTCACCGAAGATCAATGTCTCGGGCTCGCAGATGGTCCACAAGTGTTCGAAAGTGATGACCCCGTTCCTGACAAGGTCGGTCTTGACATCTATAGCCTCCTTGAGCTCCGTATACAACAAATCAAGAAACAGCTTCAGGTGCGCAGCGGAGGCGGGGTCATCGCCCTCAGAATCTTCGAGCAGCGTGGTGAGATGGTCCCATCGATGAACAAATGGTCGAAAAGGGGCGCTGAACACCAGTCGCTCCAGTGATGTTGTGACCCCTGGGTAGTCGGCAAGAGCCACGCCGAGCTGCGTCTTTAGCAGCTGACTTTGCACGACAACCGAATCTAGGTCATACTTCTTCCTGGTGTCGGAGCTCTTCCTCAGTCTGACAAGGAATGCATATTTTGCAGTTGACCGCCCTTCCACAGGCTCAGCAGCATCCTCCGGTTCTTTGGTCGTCCACTGCGTCTTTCCGTCTTTGTCTTTGCGTGCGTAGAAAGGTTTGTACTGACAGAGGCTGCCAGAACTGATCGAATCGTCCACTGGAGTCTGCTCGGAATCACTGTAATACTCGTTCTCTGCCTCATGGGCTGCTGCTCCGTGGCCGAACACACGTCTACGCCTCCAAGGCCCGTCCGTGCTCGGGAACCCTCCGAAGGAGCTATAGAAAGGTTGAGACATTTCGGAGGCCTGTCTTTGGTCTATGAATTCTCGAAGTATGGTTGTTTGATGGACTCTTGGAGCTTAGAAAATTCTCAAAGCCAGAGAACTATGCGTCAAAAGGTAGCATATGTCTTTCAAGACTCGACAATGCCGAACAGCAACTAGCAGCCCACCACACGTACTGCAAAGGCATCGTGTGGCCCTCAGACATGATCACGACAACGAATATCTGCATGCAGCGCTGTATCACAGTCTGCCTTGTACGACTGAGTGACCTTGCGTTTCGGTATGCGCAGCAACTTCGTCCTTGCAAGCTTTTGCCAGGCAGTGACCCGCTCATGTATTTGGACGCCGCATTTCGATAATGCCTGCATTGTGAGACATGAATCGACGTCTTGTGTGTCAAAGAGATGTGTCACGCCGTCCAGTTGTAAGTCCAGCGCCTTGCTTTGTGTCATCGGGCCCAGACTGACAGGAACATGCTCAGCGCTGCCGGGAACTGCCTGCTGATCGCGACAGACCTCTTGAATACTAGCGATTCGTGAATACATAGCCTGGGCGTAGTTGACTCTGAGCTTGGGTATACGTGCCCGCGCTGATGATCTCAACCAGCTGCTCGTGACTCTCAGTCAAGACCGAAACCAGTCGGGACCCGGCTGGGCGCCCGGCTACTTTCAGGAACTTGTCGTGATCAGAAAATTGCTTGGAGTTCGAAGACGTGTGCACAGGGGAAAGCGCCCGGTCGAGGCGACTGCGGACCATTGCCCAGATTTGCCTAAGCACTCGGACCAATCTGGCTGGATCACCACTTCCTCCGCTGTTCAACGACCTGACCAGCAGTAGCTGAGCCTGCGTTAACCAAAGTGCCCTGTTGTCGGGTTCTGTCAAACTCGCGGACTAGAATTTCGCACTGGACCTCTTGACACAATCGTTTCCTGCGCTCAACGGGCAGCCGATCGGCAAAAGTCAGACCGCTTGCTCTTTCCACTGCTTCTATGGGGACCTCGAATTCTGTTAGACTTTTCTGATTCGGAATGGGCGCATTCGGCAGTACAAACGCGCCCAATGCGACTCTGCCTATTGGGCTCGAAGGAGTCTCTTCTGCTAGGATGACTTTGTAGAAGTGCGTAGGTACTGCGACATTGGGTGGATGACCAATGACTTCGTACGACACGCGCCACTTGCCGTCGGCTTCTCGCTTGGGCAAGTACAGCGGGCCTGTGACCACCCTTACACTAGGGTACCTTCTAGCGAGGTTTCTGCAGAACTCCTCAAAGTGAGCCCAGTAGTCACGATTGAAACCGTCGCCAACTTGTGGGCACATGTTTGTCAAGCTGAAGGTGGCATTCATAGCTTCCTGAGACCACTTGGCATCCGCAGCAGGGACTTGATGCCCTCTGTCATAGCCGCTCCTGGCGTAGTCGACAAGCTTTGCCCTGAACAAGGGTGGGATCGCCGGGTCCTCAAAGAATACACTGTGTGCGCGATCGGCATTCTTCAGAATCAACGACTGGGGAGTGAAGTGCTCTGCAACCCAGTGAGGATTGCGTGTAAAGCGGTTGAAGGAGGCAAAATGTGATGGTGTTGATAATGCATCTGAAACCGGTCCCGGAAAGCCATACTGAAGTATGCCACGAGGATCGACTGGCGAAAGAGAAGCTACAGGTGGTGGAACTGGCGGTAAGGAAGTCACTGGCGGCGGTGGCGCGACCTGAATAGGTGGTGTGGTCTTTGTAGGTGGTGGCTGTTGTACTGGAGTTGGAGGTGGTACATTTTTCCGACCCGAGAAAATAAGAGCTGTGAGCGATCCTCCAGCAACTGCTGAGGCAGCCGCAACAATTGCTAGTGTGCTTTTAGACATAGTATGAATGAAAACACCAGAAAACCCGACCGGACGCTATGCAAGCAATGCAAGATGAAAGGAAGGAACGACGATGTTTTGGCTGATCACGAGGATGATGGGCATTCAGATGGGAAGCGAAAAATAGAGGCAAGAAGCGACGAGCGCGTACCTGGCCAATCAGGCAATTGGAGAAAGAACTGACGTAGAGAACGAGGCTACGAATCAGCCTTGCGGAGGACCTTGAGATGTTTCAAAGGCAAGTTCGACTCGATGCCGTAACCTACATACATGCATCGTATACCTCTCTGCCCCCTCCCCATGGGCTGATCCCCTCTTAAAAGCAGTATTGCAGCCATGGGCCTCGACAACGACACCCGCGGATGGGTCATGACCTGTATAAGCGGCGTTGCCTGCATCATCGGCGCATCAGTCATCTGTATCGATGTCTTCGTACGGCTGTTTCCTGGTATGAAGGACTTCAGAGTGGCAGAGAGCGAAGCCTTCCTATCTGCATCGCTAAGCCTCAGCATGGGCGTCATGCTCTTCTCCGCACTATACTCAATGCTGCCACAATCGAAAATATACCTACAAGATGGTGGCTATACTGCTAGAGAGGCCTCTCTATTGCTGATCGGGCTGTTCCTGAGTGGCGTCGTGGTTATCCGACTCCTTTCGACTATACTACACCACCATGTTCCGACACAGGCCGTAGACTGCGACCACAGTCATGACGAGGAGGACGGCGCAGTGGAACATGTCAATGAGCAATCCCCTCTACTCTCGAAACCCAACGGCCACAGCCATGAGTCTCCTACACTGTCAAGATCTGATAGCATACATCCACCGAAAAGGAGTTCTCTACCAGCCCGGAAGCCGTCCGACGACAACAGCTTTGTCACTGCACCCACCTCCAGAAGGCCTTCAATGATGCCCAGGAAGTTGACGAGGACATTGACGCGCTACGTATCTGGCGAGAAGGAGAACTGCGATGAGAACGGTCCGTGTATGGGCTTCTCAGATCCTTGTGGCACAGATTGCTTCAAGAGTGTGCAGCGCAGGCCATCTCGGAAGGTCACCTACAGGTCTACGAACTTGCAGCCAATATCGCCCGTCCCAGAAATGGAACAGGATCAGGAACAGCAACCAGGAACTTCTAGCAGAAGAGACTCCGCCCACTCTCACCACGACGCCCACACCGAGCATCATCACCATGTTCCGACCAACGCCTTTATGTCCATCGGCCTCCAAACCTCAATAGCGATTGCTCTACACAAGGCGCCGGAAGGCTTCATCACCTACGCAACAAACCACGCCAATCCCACACTGGGATTCGCCGTATTCATGGCTCTATTCATCCACAACATCACAGAAGGCTTCGCCATGTCCCTGCCACTGTATCTTGCCCTCGGCTCACGCTTCAAAGCCATCGTCTGGTCTTCTATCCTCGGCGGCCTCTCCCAACCACTTGGAGCCGGCATTGCAGCATTGTGGTTCAAGCTCGCCGCCAAGCATAAGCTCGGCCTCGGTAACCCAAGTGAAGGTGTTTACGGCGGCATGTTCGCAGTCACTGCCGGAGTCATGACTAGCGTGGCATTGTCGCTGTTCTCCGAGAGCATGGAGCTAAGTCATAGGCGTGGTTTATGTATTGCATTCGCGTTCATTGGCATGGGTGTATTGGGCTTCAGTTCGGCTTTGACAGCTAAGGACTAAATGGTCTGGACATGGGAGCATTCTGGAGAGGTATCTTTACCAAAAGAGAGAGATGCCCAAGCACTCTCGATTGAGGCATTCATGAAGAGACGCAGCATTCAATAGTTGATATCATATTAAAGCGTATTTGTTCATGTCTTGGAGACTTTCCCCTGACCAGCACCCCAGACGAGCTACTTTGCCCGATCGCGCTGCCCAAATTACGCCAACAGCATCGTTCCCTCCTGAACCGAGCCATTTCGCGGTCTCGTGCTTAGTTCCATGTGGTGAGAAAGGATGAGCCGTCACCAAGCCTAGGTCTGATCAGGTGCCTCACCGTGCCATATCCATCCGCTTCCTTGGCACCGCATCGTCGCCTTCGCTCCCCGTGTTCACATCCCACTGCTCTCAGCCGCCGACAGCATCCTCCTCTCAAGCTTTCTATATTTCTTCCTCACCGGCTCTCTCGCCGTGCTTACCTTCACCACCTGAACCACTGCTCAACATGCCCTGAAAGCCATCAAAATATGAGCTCGATGCAGCGTCTCATGTGCAATTACCCACTCCCCCCGGAGTCCGGCTTCATGAGAATATCGGTTCAGAGTATGGCAGGGTATAGGAACTCGAGAGCACATATAGCAAACAAAATGTACTGTAGGCTCGTAGTATGCAATTGATAAAAGTGTGAATCGAATGATGTTCGCTTGCTCGCTACTAACAATCCGCAATCAATGTTTACTTGATGTGCCGCGAGTCACCAGCCACTTGTCGAAACACCAGCGTTAGCACTCACTCCACAGCAGTTGCCCAAGACGAACACCAGGAACCAACAATACAAAGAGCCGGAGGGGAGAACTCACCTGCAAAACCGCCTCCAAATTCGTCTCCTCCTTCGCACTAACCCCATAACAACTGACCTCCCTCTCCCTAACCCTCTTCAACTCCAACCCCTCAATCACCTCATCTACCCCCATCTTCCCCTCCAAATCGCTCTTATTCGCCAACACTAGTAACGGAATCCCTTTCAGCGCTTCCTTCCTCGCCGCGCCCTGCGCCGGACCCACACCCTCGCCATTACCTTCCCCATCTCCGTCGCCGTGACCCTGCCCGTGGTGCCCTTCAAGCAAGTCCAGTAGCTCATCTCTTGCCACCGGTAGCGCTTCCCTATCCGCGGCGTCTACGACGAAGATGATGGCGTTGACGTCTCGACAATAGCGTTCCCACATACTTCGAAACTTCGGCTGGCCACCTAGATCCCAGCATTTGATGCTGACATGGCCCTTCTTCAGCTCCTTCTTGTTGAAAGCAACCGTCGGTACCGTATCGCTTGTAAACTCGCCGCCCTGAACACGCCTAGAGTCAGTGATGCGCTTCCACCTGAAGAGAAGCACCGATCAGAGGAGACCAACATACGGCCAACACCCGCACCAAGCTCGTCTTCCCAGCGCCCTGCAGCCCGATGATGGTGACATCCATCTCCGTTGCCCAGAAGAGCCATAGCAGCCAGTCCCACAGCCAGGTGAATATGCCTGCCATCCCTGATCAGGTGGTGCGCCGAAGCGCGGTAGACGCGTATACAGCTCTGTGTCGGCTGCCTGTCAAGCGATGAAACTCAGTGTCGTCCGTACTTTCTGCTTCGGCAGAACTGCTCGAGTGGGTGTTATTTTAGATCAGGTTGTGACGTGCTTCGATCCGAGTTGTACTTTGGTCACTGGTGAGCAGAAATGCCGTCGATGGATGTCCTGGCCTGGATGGGAAGTTACGAGATGCAAGGATATTGGTGCAGAAGCAAGAGGCACGAAAGTCACGGAGCCGTGCAGTGACGACGTGGACATCGCGTTGCCTTGGCCGGCGGGAAAGTATCCCAGGCGCCTTCAAGTTCTCGAACACGAGGCTTGGCGTTGTGACGTAGGAAAACACCTACCCTCACAACAGGCGCGATTCACGGATACTTCCTCATTGAAAACACACAGTCGGCATGCCCAAGGATGCCGACTCGTAAGCGGTAAAGCATGGGATGGAGGTAGATGCGTTGCTATCACAATATGTTGACATTACGAGGAGGACTTCCATCCTCAGCATTATTAAGATTAGGGACTAAGAAAATGAACCCTCCGCTATGCTACACCCCAAGCAGCGCATTCATCCCGATCGAAAGGCAGTAGCGCACTGGTGCTCTCCGTGCTCGAAAATTGACCCGAGATTCTCGTTGTGTGTTCCTCAACGACGTATCGCCTTTCACTTGACACCGTCAAAGAGGTCTCTTCGTGCCAGCCATCGCGCTCGGCATACTACTGCTTGGCGACGTACTCGCGTTCCGCAAGATCATTGGTCGCAGGCGCGCCATGATAGTGCTTGCCTTCAGCGGCCGCACCGCTTGGTGATCTATTCAGGCCACCATCTGCTGGCGAAGCCAGCGTTGCGGGACCAGGTCCGGCTTGATGCGTTTGAGGCAGTGTACCGTGAGCTGCTTGTGCAGCTCGACCCGAGGCTGTGGGAGATGCGACGACTCCGGATTCCTGGACTGGCGAGGCCGGCATGGCGACTGTCCCACGGTCACCCGTGGCTAGTCCCTGATTGTTCACTTGGGAGTGCACCGGCTGCTGTTCCATCTGAGTCGCAATAGGCGTAATGTTCCGACTCTCAACAGGACTCGTCGGGACACTGTTGGTCGTGCCACTAGACAAATCCGCAATGATGCCGTGCCATTGTTGCGCATCAGAGTTTGTGTGAGCCTTGAACTGGAACTCAGAAGTGATAGACATCTTCTGGCTAAGCTTGTTGCCTGACGAATCCTTGCCCTTGATAGTGAACTTCTGGCCGTCGACTGCGCCAATAGTGCAATCTGGGAGGTAGAGAGACTTCTCTGGTGAAGGGTCCTTTCTGTAATCATCGTTGTCCTTGAATTCATGGAGCCAGCCAGCGGGCGAAATGGCGTAGTAGCCAGACTTGTAGCCGGTCAAAGCGCCCATGCCACCACGAGATTTGCGTTCCAGACTGCCTTCGATAAGTGGTTTGGTCGAACGGTGTCCCATATTGGGGAAAGCAATGCCATCCATGGTCCGTGGAGGCGCGCTAGGGTTAACGAGAACATTGCCGTTGCGTTCGCGGAAGCTGTTCCACTCAAAGTCGAGAGGAATGTTACTAGCGGTGGCTGCAATGTCGCCGAACATGGCTTTCTGGCGATCAGCCTGTCCACTCATGAATTGGTTAAGCGAGTTCAGAGCCGTCTGGATGGTCGTGAGAACATGTGACTCGAATTGCTGGAAGTTATTCTGGACAGCAATGATGTCGTTCCTGTTGCTGTTCTCCTCAAGGATCTGCTGGTTGAGTCGGTGGAAAACACCCCTCTGCAGGACGTAGGGGTCGTCATGTGCTGCAATCCTGCCGCCAGCTGAATCAAATCTAGCTGTACTCGTTGCAAGGCCATCGATATGCTTCTGTGAGGCTTTTCGTGTGGCGTCGACGGCTTTGGCGCCCTTGCCAGCGCCACTGTCCAGCTCCTTATTCTTCGCCTTGATCTCCGTGTGTAATCGTTCGAGGATCGGCAGGACCTGTCCGGTCAGGTTCTTCTCGGTCTCGACATGTAGTGCATTCTGGTTCTGGATATTTGCTCTGATGTTCTCGAAGAGTCCAGAAACACCACCGAGCGAGGACTCAAAATGGTGATTCTCCTTCAGCGGTGAAGACACAGACTTGAGCACCTTCTCGAGATCTTTGGCGGATGACTTCTGTGCTTTGGCGAGTTCTTTCACATAGTCTTCGAGGTATACGACCGCGTGCTTGTAAGCCTGGAGACGCTCCTCGAGCAAGCCGAGGGCAGTGGAGGGGTCTCCTTGTGGCGCATCGCCGCCGCTGGAGGTGGAGCTTGCGCCCAAGGTATTGTGGGTGGCTGTTGTGTTTGATCGTTGAGGCAAAGTAGTCATGTTGTTGAGTCTGGGAGACGAGTGTGAAGGAGGTGTTTGGAAAGTCTGCCTGCGTAATGTGTGCTTTAACAACATGTTAGCTGTATTCTGTAGCTAGGGAATTCCACCTTGGGATTTATAGCTTACCTTGCGAAATCAGAGTGCAGGTGTCGTAGATACAAAATTACGGTATGTTGCAGAGTGGTCGTCAAGGAAGGCGCGACGGATGTTATATATCTGTTGCCTACCGAAGATGAATTGCGCAAAATTTTGTTGCAGTAACGTAACTCAGCTGAAGCTCGCGCTTGCTCACCTGTCACCGACATATGTATCCCAAACTCTCACACATCCAAAAGCCGGGAAGTGTCGATCATGAGGGGCCCACTGACCTCATCGCTGCAGCCACCCTTGACCCCTGGCCATTTGAAATCGTTCCAGAACGTCGATCTGTTGTGAACACCATTCCTCATGGAGCAAGCATAAGCCACTAGAAGCACAGCCACAATAGCGCGAGTGCGCTTATCTCAATGAGGTCTCTCGATCTTGACGACAACTTCAATGTGAGGCTGGTGATCGAGGTCGAGCTGTCCCTGCGAAGGACGCGTACTGTAGTCAATGCTGGCCTGAGTCGTTTAGATTGATTGATTTACAGTCTGGGAACATCTGGCAGCACCAACTCATGGATTCGCTCTTCGCGATCGCCGCGTTGCGAAGACCACACCTACCAGCGTGGGCCGTCAGAGCAAATCTACAAAGAAGAAAAACCGAGTAGAAACGAATCGAATTGCTCTGTGATCACCGCAGCATGCACGTCCACCGACCGTAACATGTCGCGCACTATCCGTGCAGCTAGCTTGCAATGCACTCTATGCCGTTGAAGCTCAATTTCTAATACTCCTCTGTCTAGTGGTCGCTCCACGACAGTATTCCTTTTGACAGCCCCTGGTCGTGGTCACATCTCACATTCATTGATACCCCGAAAGTCCGCAAAGAAACGCCGTGATGCAATCTGAACTCCTAATCATCCAAGCAGTCAAGCAGTCAAGCAGTCAGACATCATCGCAACTCGAGTGAACGTCGCGTGACGGAATCCTCTGCCGCGACATCACCCTAAAACTCGCCCGTGTCCGTGTCGTAAAACCCGTCACTCATCCCAGCCTCGTTACTGCTGGAGCCAAACTCATCATCATCCTCAATAACCTCCACTGATGTCGACTCCAAGGCGACGAGCTGCTGCATCACCACGACCGAGGCCTCAAGCTGACTGTGCGCCCGTGATCCTTTGGTGCCAGTGTAGGGAAACACATATTCCTGACATCGGTTGAAAACTTCAATAGCACATCGGAAGTGGTCCTTTTGCATCGCAGCATCCTTGCGACTGTCATTGTTCAAGAACTGGTCATGCCCGACCCTGGCGATACCCTTCATGAGGTCTTGCGCTCTGCGCTGTCGGGCACGACTCTGTTCATCCATTTCTTCATTCTTGACAGGGTTGGCCGGCAGGTCGGCGCAGACCTCGAACAGCTCGGCCGCTTCCTGCCGGATGTCTCTCTGCTGCTCATTTTGTGAGTAGAGCAGAATTGGGAGCCACTGCGGCACGTATCGCTTAAGTACTTCGTGAAGGAATCCTTCCGGTAGCCCCAGCGACTCCGCACTCAGAAAGCACAGTCGCTTGATGAAGTCAACGAACTCCAGTCCGTAATTCAATTCGACTGTCTCAACTGCGCCAATGAACTCCTGCGCAAATCTCACAAGAACGGCTTGGTCGCCGCAGTTCTGAAGATAGGTCACTGCCGGATCAATGAAGTTCGCGGCATCGGCAATTTTCTCCTCCCGCAAGGCATTTACAAGATCCGTGCCGAGAGCCACGCAACTCTGTGACTCTGCAGCAAACATTGCGACTAGTCTGGTGACATATGCTGGTGCCAATTGATTGCGAATGACAGTGCGCAGCCAGGGCGACAGTGCCCGCTCTAGTCCCAGTCGATGTCTTTCTGTCGCGGACAAGCCAACGGACGTATAATCGCTTGACACATACCGGTTGACACTATCAATCGGCGCCAACCCAAGATCAACGTTCTCCAGTAGTCGATACAAGCACTCAATCAGTATGGCATGGTGTTGAGCCTGGCGCTTCTGGCAATCAGTCAAATACTCGCGATACTTTTGACGAAGCTTCATGTCGTTATCGCTTTCATAGTGGACCTGAAGGACTTCGAGGATCTTTCTCACGAACCCGCCTTCGAGGACATGGGCGAGTGCGTAGCAGTCGAGTTGAGATAGCTGGACGACGAGAGGAAAGTATTCGGGCCAACAGTAACGAGCCACCACAGCCTCAACCCATGTCTTCGAGAGTGCTGCTGCCACTTTGCGCACACGTTCCTTGTACTGAGCTTCCTGCTCGTCGACGAACTCAGCGGGCTTGTCTCTCAGTGTCGTTAGAGCTGTCATGATCAACGAAGTAATCATCTTCCGACAAGCATGGTAGGGGCTCCTGACACAGCAGTCCAGGATTTTCTGAGCATCGTCTGCAAGTGTTGCCACGATAGTCTCAGCACAGTCTCTGCATTTGGTGGCGCAAGTTCCCAGATCCATCATTGTCTTCTCAACAGCAGGAAAGTCTTTCCACTGCATGGACACCTTAGTCATATAAAGCAGCACCATCTGAAGGACGTGATTCTCGCTGCCGTGACTCTCACTGCACAACTCCCCGCGGTGTGGTAATGTGTGGATGAGAAGGTTGCGGATGAACATGGCATGGATAGGGTCCTGTCGTACGCAAGCCCGCACATAAACCTCGTTCGATTGTGCGATGTACTTTTGGAGATCTGCCGATGCAGCAGTGGGCAAAACCATGGCTGTCGTGGATGAGACATGCTGCTCTTCCACAGCTTGACTATCCTCTCGTCTCCGGTAGAAGAGCATATATCCATTGTATGGCTTCGCAAAGGTACTGTTGTCAGAGTAACCTCCAAAGCACTGATCTGCAATCTCGCTGGGGCTGAAGCGAGTGACGTCTGCGTCGTTGAACTGTGTCCAAGACCCCTGGGTAGAAGTAGCCGGAGGACATTCGCGGATATACGAGTAATAATGTCCAATCTCTGCTGATCCGGAGTGGACTATGACACCGGTGAGCTCGAAAATGTCGCTTTCGTCGGCAATGTCGCTGTTCATGACGCTTTTAAGAGTGTATGGTGCCATGTCGATAGTTTCAGGGAATTCAAATCGGTCATTGAGCTTTGCTCGGGCCCCAGTCATGATGTCGTAATCGAAGCGCTTCAGATTGAAGATCAGATTGTCGGGGAGATGTTTGAAGCAGGCACGCTTGACAGCATCGACGTGCTTGTTGCACGACGTACAGGAGTACTTGTTATCGCCTTGCAGTGTCTCGCCCTCAACAAATCCTTTCAGTCCGTCCTCAAGAGAAGCCTTGCCTTTGATCTCGATCGGCACCACAGAGAAGGGTTCCGGTCTCTCGGAAATGTGCGAACACTCTTTAGACTTGATTTGTTGGACGATTTGACCGCCATAGAATCCTTGAAAAGCAGTCTTCTCCTCAGAGTCGCTTAGGCCGGTTTCGATGCGATCGAAGAGAAGATTGAAGAACTCGTCCACGTCCATTTGGACAGTCACATCAATATTTGTGCCGTCATAAGTCATGATGGATCCCACCGCACCCGAGGGATCTATCGCCTTTTCGTAGGAGCATTCCATGTAGGCGAAGACCTTAGCCAGTTCATTAACAAGGTTTGATCTGAGCGTGCGACTCGCAGCACGATGGATAAAGTTTCGGAACTTGACATTCATGAAAAGTTGGCTGAAGAGTGAATTCAGGTAGCAAGTGTTCGACAGATTCATCAGCCCTGCATAGCCCACATCGCTTCGAAGGCTTAGTCGCTGCCGCATCAACGAAGTATCTTGGAAGTTCTCAATGTCGAGGTTGTCCGCCATCTTGCTCAGCAGCATCTCAAGGTCTTGTGGGCTGTTGTATAGTGACAGGCACATATCGTACAGCCACCCTCGAACGTATGAGTCGATGAGAGGGAGCGACAACGTGTTGGAGTGAGTATCCGAAATCGCTGGGAAGAGGAACCTGTCGCAGATATCCTCGAGGAACCCTGTCGACGATGGCAGGGCATTCTGCTCGCGCAGAAATGAGGCAATAGTCTTGAGTAGCCGAGCAACACCGATCGGGAGCGCCCTGCCTGCCAGCTCTTTGCCCACCTGTTCTACGAGGTCGTAAGCACAAAGCACTTCCTGGCAGATGGTCTTCGTTTCAATGGCGACTGAGGCATCAAGTGCGGGCCCTAAGCGAATGAACATAAAATCCGCACTCTCGAAGAATTGTTGAGATTGTGAACTGCGCCGGCCAGCCTCCCGGATCAGTGCTGGCATGTAGCTCCAAAGCTGAAGAAGGACATCTCGGACGACATCACTGTCATGTCGCGATGCTGCAGGCGGCTGTTTTGACAGTAATCTGCCTTTGATTGCCGAATCCCCAGTCAGATCTTTCAGAGCCTCAGCAACGTTTTGTCGCACTCGTTCATCCGGATTGAATATGCATTCTGCAAAAATTGATGGAAATCCATCGTTCCAAGAAATTGCTGTCCTCACACGACTGTCCAACAAGGCAGCTTCTATCAGTGACTCCAATCCTGCACGCAAGGCGAGAGCATGGAGTTCTGTGTATTCAAGCGCGATTGCCTGGTGGACCTGGTGTAAATACTGAAGTAATGAAACCAGCAAGCCAGCTGGACTGTCAATGATCGAAAGTCCTTCGGCGGGCAAGGCCACTTTTGTTCGGAGTGCGACCGAAAGAGTGCGTACAAGCTGTTCGGAGACACTAAATGACAAAGGGTTCTCGTAGTTAGTGACAGCGAGCTTCGAGATCGCGGCCATGAGTGCCCGAGCTGCAAATACCACCAAACCGGTGTCTGGATTGGCGGACATTGCTTCTTCTTCTACACAGCTTCTGAGAGCTTCAGCATCAAATAGAAGCTTGTATAGCTTGTCGCACGAGAGAGCTTCGGGCGCTGAAAGGTCCAGATCGCGAAACTTCTGTGCAAGTTCTTTGCGGACCGTGGTGTTGCTAAGAAAGAGATAGATCTCCTTAGCTAGGCGGTCGTCGGCTTCCAGGAGGCCATACAGATCATCACTATGCAGCATGATCTTGTCGTCTATGGGCGAGACGCATCTCATATGGCGAGTCTGCTCAATTGCAGTATTGGGCAACTTGACCACTTGGACTTTGCTAATGACGTTGACCCCCGTCGTTTTGTCGTTCTTCGAGACCTGGAGGACACGACCGATGAGCTCTGCAATGCTTCGAGTGTTATTCTGAAGCTGAATCTGACGGCCATAACTGATGACTCTGAAAGCAGTAAACCCTGTTATAGATGCCAAGTACCGCCATAGCTCAGCGCCTGTGTTGTCCTCGCCAACGTCCACCTTGCGGACAATGTCGTCGGGAACACTGCCCACAACTTCGACAATGAGACTGTGAAGTTGGCCTTGAGGATTTGGGAAGTCGGGCAGTTGGCTCACAAGGGAAATGCTGGAGTCTCTCATCTTGTTTGCCTCTGTGAAACGTCGCAGGAACAGGAGAGATCGATCAAATCTCAACTCCTCCAACTGGATTTCCTCCGAGCTGGCGAGAATAGCATTACATGATTCATCAATGGCCTCAGAAGTCCCCGCTACCGATTTGAGTCTTGCTGCTGCGCCGAGCACAATGCTAAAATACTCGTCCAGTAATGCCGTGCGGGTCGCTTTGATGACGTCCTTGGACTGGTCCCGGATTGCAGGGTGTTGCATGTAGTGATCGATCAGGAAACCTATGGCCTCAGCTGCAAGGCTATCCGAGGGGGACTTGAGCATGAGTTCCCGAATTCGGTGAGTGCCAGGAATATCGACGATGCCATTGTCCGATACGGTCGTCGAAGTGCTGAAGCGACATTCATAAGAGATAGCTTCCTGGGCGAAACGCAGTATAGGCAGGTCGACGATCTGTGGGTGCAGCAAAGGCCAGTAGTCTTGTAGAACAGTCCGTATAACCGCATTCTGCTCCTGAATGCTTGCCCTCATTGTACATGTAAGGTGCTCCCACGCCAGATGGCGTACGCTCTTTTCGATGTCCTGATTGACCAACAAAGATCTCCAGTACATGTCGAATGCTTGCGAAGAAAACCTCTCGGGCACGGTGGTCATCAAGGCACTGAGCAACTTGATCCGACAGTCCATTTGCAGATAGAAGTCTGCAGAAGAGCATCGTGCATTGATGACCCAGCATGTGTTCTCGATGAGCGCCTCAGGTAGATTGCAGGCCTCGGCGACGGTTTTTGTGACTGCTTCGCGGCCTTCCTGGGTCAGAAGGCCCTCTAAGGCGAGGATTGTGCCCCCAGCGTATTCCCCATGATTGGCTATATCGTCCCGCATTTTCATCAGAATTTCATTCTCTTCGGCCTCGCTAATGTCAAAGTGTCCAGGCTTGCTCGCTGATAGATGGAAGTTGAGCTTGAGTCGAGGCAACCACTCTGAGATCAATTTTCGTGACTTTTCTGTACCACAGTTGGCAGGCCGCATGCAGTCTCGGACGACTTTCAGGCATAGTCTGCGCACCACCGGATTGACAGGCGGATGACCTGTAGCCATGTAAACCTGGCTCAACTTGCTGGGAAGCACATTCAGCAAACTGCAGCCGAGTCGGATGAAATCCTCATCCCATTGCTCGTATGGCAGCTCGGCCAACTTCTCGCAGATGTAGTAACAATGATCCTCGTGGATCGCAGACAGAGCCTGCACAAGCATGTTTTGGATTTCTGTAGCAATGCGAGGATCAGGCGTGCCCAGGATAGTCTCCCACATTGTGTCTGTCAGGGCGTTCTCGTACGCGCCTGCAACCCCAAAGAACCCTACCAATTGACCTCCACGACTTGCTAGCTGCGGATGCGAGTCAACGCCGATGACGTACTTGACCACGTCGTTTGCTCGGAGAAAGCGAATGAGGTAGCTGACGAGAGGATCTGCAATAGCGCGAGGGCCACGGCGCACAAGTCTGTCGTTGTATACGTCAAGGAGTACCTGACCCATTATGGTCACACCGGCCACTCGTAACTCCATCCGACCAAACTTCATGAAAGTCCAGCACATCCAGAGCTTCCACGCGAAGGTCATTGTGTCACTGAGGTAAGTGAGATCGGCCTCCTCGACGCTGAGTGTCGCCATCTTGATAATACTCTGCCCTAAGCGTGGCAGCTCGACGGAAAGTCTCGGCATGATAATGTTGATCCGGGCGAGCAGAGTCTGAGCATTTTCGAGGTTCAGCCACGAATGCTGTTTCTTCACCGCTGTCCGGAGTATGTCGTTGAGCGTATGCATAATCTTTTCCGAAGCATACATAATTTTGAGCTTCTGCTCTTCATCGTCCTGAAATGTGGGAAAACGACGGCTGCCGAGCACATTGGTGTATGACTGACCCGCGACAATTGTTGCATCCACCGTTTTGATCAGGTCCTCACACAGATTCGGCGTAGTTGCTAGAACGGGCTCCATTGCCGCCACGTAGTCAGAAACAGTCTGCAGCAAATCGATGCCTCCAGGACCGAGTAGTGCTTCTTTGGTACCTTCAAGCACCGACACGGCAGCATCTCCGAGGCGCTTCGTGTTCGACATGAACGAGGTCTCAAGGATGCTGGTCCCAGTCAAGCATTCTTCGAGGATGACTGACAGTGGGGACAAGTAGGTACTACTGAATGTTCGCACAGTGGAGCCAGCCGGCTGCTGCTGGAGTTGACGCAGTTGTGAAGTATCGTATTCCATCATGAGCTTGGTGAGCTCTCCATGAGCAATGAAGTAGTCCTTCATATCGGTGGTGGAGAAGCTCAGAAGTGTTTGTGTGGTGCAACGAAAAAGCGCCTGGGTGATGATGCAAGGCAATGACAGCCAGAATTGGCGTTCTGAATCGATAACCTCACGCGACAGGCTATCGCACTCCTGCACAAACTTGGCCAGCCAGTCCTTGACTCTCTGAAAGGCTGGTGCGGCTTCCGACTCGCCCTTCACAATCACACGGATGATGAAGGTGAGAGCCTTGTAAGATTCTCCCAAAACACACTCGCTGGCAGCGGGAAATGTCCGATGGACGTAGGAGGCGCCGATGTGGATGGGTTGTGGTGCAAGTCTCGAACCGCCGACTCGAGTAGTCCATCTGGTGTGGGAAGGATCTCCGTCGACATCTTCTGGTTCTGCGATCTCGATGACAGGAGATGGCGAGCGCTCTGGGTCGTCCTCCTTGGGGCTCTTTTGACCGTTTATGGTGGCAGATTCGTCATGCTCCGTACATCTGATCACGAGCGCAGGATCTATGACAACATCGTCGGTGCCCGGCTTCTCGTCGCCTTGTACTGACTGAGCAGATAATGGTCTTGTGTTGATAGTAACTTTGGTAGATGATACCGAGTCTGGGGCCATCGGAAGTCTGGGAGGCAAGGCAGGCTTTGGAGATGATGCCTGTTGCTGCGCTACTGGCGAACTAGACTTTGCTGGTAATGATAGGTTTGGCGGCTCTTGTATGGATGGACTTGAGGGCGGTGGTGTGGTATGGATGACACTGCCGTTGGCGCTCAACCGCGGCCGCTTGCGATCGTGCGTTGGGAGATCTGGATCATCCGCGGAATCGCTCCGATTCCGAGTCGTGTCAGAAGGTGGTGTAGACATGTTGGAATTAGTGGATTATTTCGGCGATAACATGTTTGAGAGAGTGGTGAAGGTGTAACAGCGAGCCTTGGCGAGATCTGCAGACAAACCGTTTGCCAGTGAGTAGATCGAAGAAAGAACGGGGCAAACTTCCTGCACTATGCCGAGATGCAAGAGCGTTCGGCTGGTTGCGAAGACGACGTTATGTGAGAAGGTGCGATGGAGGCTGAATATTTGTCGGAATTTCTAGGTTGACGATGTGAAAGAGTGACCTGACACGCCCAGCCGCGGCGCCTTGCGTGGGTGAAGTCGAACCGTGGGGATTTCTTTACTCATTTCACGTGTGTGAAGTCGACTATCGATCACAGTGTCGACAAGTCCGTGTCGCTCCTTGCTTTGATAAGTCTCTGATTTTTCAAACGTGTTCAACGGTATAGGCAGTGGGTATCAACACTGTGATGCCTAGTAAATCGCGTCAAGTCGCCCAGTGAAAGTACCGCGCGCTCATACGTCACTTCTGCCTAGCGCTGCCCCACTCTGAGTCGATCTTCAATTTTCTAGCGGAAAGCTTCTCAATCAACGACCTCACGCAATGAAAAACACTGGCATGAGGCCGCAATATGCGACCAACATTGCGTATCAAAAGCCTACATGGTACGTCGTGATAGTTCAATGGCCTGGTCTCTTCTAATTTGAGAGGCCTTCATGCGACCCCACCATCGAAGCCGCCGCTTTGACCCTTCTTGAACCAGTACTCCACCAAATCGGCGAGCATCGAAAAAGTACCAGCAAGCGGTCTAGAGGGCGCAACAGACCAAACAAGCCGGCCAAAGATGCCTCTCCCGCCGCTGATGTCGAGTCAGATGTGCTCAATGCAGTGACGGTCGGCCTTCAGAGTAATTGGAGGAAGCTGGAGGGACAGGCGAGAGGTGAGGCTACGGAAGACAACCCAATCGCAATTGTCTTCTGCTCTCGGGATGCAATACCTGACCCCGCTGCGGACGCGCTGCTTCTCCTGATTGCAGCAGCATCAGCTCGTCCAGATACCGCTCCCATCAGGCTAGTACCTATTTCTGCAGACACCGAATCCAAGATCGCTGCAAGCCTAGGGATGCCTCGCGCAGCTCTAGTCGGTATATCTGAGGGCAACTCGAGGACGGCGCCGTTAACACAGTATGTACGTGAGACGATAGCGCCGCTGGAAGCCCCATGGCTCCGTGACAGGGATCTGTCAATGTACGTTGCCCTCCAGGTCGAGACGACTCTGGTACCGGTTAAGAGTAACAAGCGCGAGCCTGTCAGCACTCCCAAGGCGAAGTCAGGACAGGTGTAGTCTTCCAGCTGTTCGTCGTCACGACTCGAGACGATGTTGTTGCCAATTGAAGGTAACAACGTCGGACTGACTGGCAGCTCGGACGTCCAGCACAACAGCGACAGAGTTCTTTCGACTCCAAGTGACATGGTTGAGGTCTTCGCGACTTTGTGGCAGATATCATTGCCCTACAAATGGAATCCAAGTGGGCGTCACTGTCCGATATTTCTTGTATTCATCTCCAAAGAATGAAATGAGATACTTTTCTTCATCTGTGTACGGCGGTCAGCATGCCATCAGCGGAACAGGAACGTAAGATCAACTTACGACGAACCCGATGCGAGAAGAACTTCCACAACACTAATGCATACGCGATGAACGAGAATGGGTTCTCCAGCAAGAGCTGTGTACCCAATGCCCAGTAGAAAAATCCAAAGTACGACGGATGCCGTATGTATCGATAAATGCCGATCGTAACGAGGACATGGTCTTCCCGCTTGTAGAATTGCACTGTACCTCGAGTCAGCATGTCTACAACTCCCTCCATACTGGTAGTCCACAGCCCAAACTCACCAAGATGGTTGAAACTCGCGCCTGCTTCTCGCATAGCCATACTTCTTGCCACCTGTCCAATTACGATCAAGACCAAGCCACTCACCAACATGAGCAGCCGCGTCCCACCCCTGGGCAGCCCAAACAGACCACCAGCCCACTCCAAGGACCTCGTGCTGTCAACCCAACTGCGTCCCTTGAATAAAATCTCCCTGAGCACAAACTCCCCCATCGCGACCGCATACGCGCAAGGCTGCGCAATCCCATTGCCCACGATCAGAAAACTGTTTCGGTCCGCCATGCCCGAATTCCATCTTGCTGTTGCGTAGAACTCCAGGAAATGAAACAATGCACAAATTGACAGGAAGGCGGGTAACCTCCAACTGGTCGAGGACGCACACGATGAGACAATACACTGGATAGTATACAACGAAGCCACACCTAATAGGACGCCCAACCCCGCAGCTTGCGTAGCGATGGAAGTCAGCGAGCACGGACCGCTGTGCGAGTAGCGCGGGGAGACATAGGTCGACGAGGCGGCTGCGGTTCTGTCGTCTATGGGTGAGTCGTCTGAGTCATCTTCTCGAGGAGGGCGGCGAGTCGCGTGACCGTTCTGGCGGTGTGAAGGCGTAGATGGCGTTGGTCCATTACTGGCGGCTCTGCTTGTTGTTGTTGACACAGATGGCTCGTGCGGAGTCGATGCTCGTCGCGCCGCGATGGCTGCGGTTGAGCGTGTCTCTGGCATGGTGACTTTTTCGGATTGAGAGGTGGCTGGGATGGATGTTCTACAGGCCGTATGGGAAGCTCTCAGTGACGCCGGCGTCAATCAAGCATGACTGAGGAGGTCAAAGGACCAGTGCATGGCCTGAGAAAGTGATGCTTGTTTGAGGAATGTATTCTTGGCCCGAAAGGTGAATGGATGGATGACTAAGCGAGGTGTGCACTGATCAAGTACCTGGAATTCTAGCAAGATTGATGACTTTGTGAAGAAGGTCAACTTGAGATCGTTCAGCGAAGCCGGTTGACGGTTCTGCGTACTGTGGGAGGGCAACGATGCGAGGGGCAGGTCCAAGGTCATCTCCAACTCTGTAGCAGACCGGTTGACGGAGTCCAGCAGGGATATATATTCAACAGAGAGAAGCTCAAGCATTTTGAGATGAAATTACTCAAACAGTCAAATTTAGCACATATGTGGCCACAGTTGGTCGTCAGTCTATTCGCTATGAGGCTTCCACCAGGCCGTGCACATTCTGCTCATCCAGACTACAGTCTAGCATAAGACACACGCATGCCTTTTCAGACCATTCTGAGAACGACGACGCCGAAGAGTCACTTCGATCAGTACAAACGGTGCCAGCTCCGATGATGGTCTACGAGCCCCCCGAATCCTGTCGTATTGGGGCCAGCGTGTCACTTCGGCGCCGCTGTGTCTCAACGCAGATTTCACCGACTTGTGGTTTTGGCTTGCTGTGAGCAGAATTGAAACATCAGAAACGGTGTCTCATCCTTCTCTCATCTGCTTTGTCATAAGCCAGGACCCGTCGGCAGCCTTGCACTCCTCTGCTGATGACTGAAGTACGTTTCTGGTATGCTGTCAGCTGCCAGCAGGCGCAGCGTAATCGTTGTGCTGCGTGGGAGTTGGGTCCGCAGCACAAGTTCACCTTTGGCTCAACTGCTGACCGCGAAAAGAACGAGCAAAATCGCGGGCCAGGTCAAATACGAGGAAGCATCAACGCATACTCCTCAAATACGAGTAGCTGTCCGTTGGCGAGCAGTAGATGCTGAAGTTTCCCCCAGAATCCTGTATTAATACCAGATCCGACGTCTGACCGACCGACGATGAACTTATTGATCCTACAGGAACGGCGCCAAGATAGGTTCTTCCTCCTTCAACTTCGCCCTCTCACAAAGCAGCGATGCGGCGAGCTATTCTTGTTAGCTCCTGCACGTCATGCCCAATGATCATACAGCTCCCCCATGCTTCGTACCTGAAGGCCAAGTAGCTGCTGATGGAGAAGGATCGGGGCCAACATGTACAGCCTCGTTGCACACAATCCAAGAAGCCACTGTACTTTGCTGCTACGTTGTCAGATGGCTAACACGGTGTATGGACACAAGGCAACACTGATGTGAGGCTAGCTACGTCGAAGACTGGTGCTGCCGTCCAGGCAGTGTCGACTTCATGAGAATCATCTATATAAGCTCATCAACATGCCTCCTATGTTCGACATTCTACATCACCAGTTCATAGCTAATTTTCCCTGCTCGTTTCCTGCATTCTTTCCTTACACCAACGTCTAAAACATCAACAACATAACGACCACTAATTTCATACGAAACAACAGCCAACATGCGCACCACAGATCTCATCACCATCGTCGCCTTCGCAGGCACCTCCCTCGCTGCTCCCTGGTCTGACGCCGGCGGCTACGGGCAGTACGCACCATACGCCTCGTACGGCACCTACGGGAAGTCTCCCGCCGCATCCAGCACCTCCCGCGCCAGCACCTCCCGCGCCAGCACCTCCCGCGCCAGCACCTCCCGCGCCAGCAAAGCCATCGCCACCTCCCGCTCCTCCAGCATATCAACCCTGGGTCAGCGCTCCGGCCCCCGCTCCGCCTAGTCCATCCTCGCGCCCCGTCTCAGTCGACTTCAGCGGCTACTCCGACGCCAACTGCGGCGCACTCGTTGGCACCTTTACCGTTGGACGGTCCACTGACCTGACCGATTCCTGCTTCGACACCAAAGTCCCCGTCAAGTATGTCAAGATCACCCGCGTCGACCCGGCTTTTCTTCAAGACGGCCAACCATGGTATTTCCGTGCTGCAAAGCAAGGAGGAAGCGCAGACTGCAGCTCTTTCGGCGAGGCGGGCAAGGATCATGCTTTCATTGCGCTGGCCGACAAGAGCCAGGCTGCTGGGCAGTGTGTTGAGTTGAGCGCTGTTGGGGATGGCGCGACTGAGTTTGATCTGAGCACTGCCATGTAGGTGGGCTTTCGTCATGCTTTCGAGTACTGGACGGGTCGAGCATCATGTACGGCGTGGGGCGAGGTGATCTGGGCACCGTGGAGGTGTCTGCTGGTTTTGCTGGGCTAGTCTGTGTTGAGGCGTTTGTCTGTCACTCTTTTGACGAAAATATCGTGAGCATACCGGGACAATGGGATATACCAAGCGTACTATGGTTTGATTCTCATGGCTCGATACTGCGAACACTGTGTCTTCATGCCGTATGAAAGCGAGTTTCTCTTCACCTCACCTTCTCTTCACTTGCTTCATTTGGCCACTTCAATTCACTGGCTCAGACGCAAAGAACAGTGAATACCTCCTGGCCGAGACGGTGAAGTGATCGGTCCGAATTGTCCCGGATCCTTCACCCTGTCAGACAGCTATAAACATCTGCTTCGTCCCCGGAATCTTCTTCTCTTCTTCATCGCCTTCCAAGAGTTTCGACATATCCTTTGCCATGCCTTGGTAGCACCTACTGCTCCCTGGCGGGGCGAGCTTCTGCAATGATCGCTGAGATACACTAGAAGAGATGTACAGCCCGAGATCATTGCTATCGTCTCACCAAGCTATGATCAATCCTTTCACTGCCTCCGAGACGAAACCCATATGTTGACGCTAGCAGGGCGCTCGAGCATTCTGATAGAGGTCATGGACGGCTCTGGTGATGAAGAGAAGAAATGCATTACTCATTAGCGCTTCGCTGCAAGCTACGTAGATTCCCCATCTCTTCACGGGTTGGGCCGGTTCTCACTCAGCAATCCATACTTTGCCTGCCACGAAAAGAAGTAAATCATGGCGGCCAGTGGCTGCCCCACAAACACAAAGTTGATCCAAAATATACAATTCCCGATGACCTTGCCGCCTACATCGCCCATCCGTGACAGTGGCTCCGTGGCAAAGATCAACGGCAGCTGTGCCATCATGCCGAGAAAGGCCACGCCAAGAAGGCTGTGCGAAGGAATGCCGACAGCAAGCTCATGCAGGAAACCAGAGAAGACGAAGACCCAGATGCTCGCAGCACCACTGGACCAGCCACGGCCAACGAGTGGTGAATACACGTGGCGACGCATGAAGTGGTACACGGGCTTGTTCCAGGTTGACCAGTACATCTTGAGACTTGTGCTGTTCCACCAAGGGCCGTAGAACTCTCGATCTCCGAAACGCATGATCTCCGCCAGTGCATTAAGGAAGGACTGAAAGACGGCGAAGAAGCCTGCAAGCCAGACAATAAGCGAGATTGTAGACAGCTTCATCAGTCGCTCAGCAATCGAGGGCAAGTCGAAGACCGCCATGCCCTCAAGACTGTTCCGTAGCAACGGCTCAGCGTATTGTGCACACGTGAGCCAGATGAAAGTACACAAGGCAGCAGTCTCACCCAGGCGCTTGAAGAAGAAGCCCCATCTGATCTTCTCGGTACGAGGATAGTAAGGTTGGTACACGAGGGTTGGTGCCCACCAGAAATAACACAAATTTGACAAGGTGATGTTCTTGGGATAGGGACAGTTGCCGTAGATTAGCGGTATGGCAGACTCGGGTCCTCCAGGGTGTAGCATGGCATGGCGTAAGTCGCGATTTGTGAAGGCGTAGGAGCAAGTCTTGAGCCAGACGATGATGGCATGCAACTCGCTGACCATGCCAATGCCTGGGTTGCGTATGCAGAACCATACAACAGCGCTTGTGATTCCCAATGCCAGCGTAGCGTTGACCGTGTGCGCCACAGCGATATACCACCACGTATTGAGGAAGTCTTTGAGCTCGTTCTCGGTCTCCGGGCTCTTCTTCATGCCTGCATCGCTCTTCTTCCGCCGACCAACAGCACCCTTTGCGTGCTCCATAGCGACTCGCTCGATCAGGTAGGCTGCGAATAGGTGGATCGGTGTGAGAACGTACAGGAGAGCACCCCACCTGACGTCGACTGCATGGATGTTGGACGTAAGGGTGATGAGAAGACCATACTTCTTCGCGTTCTCGATCACTAGTCGCAGGTTCATGACAATGATAGTCAACACCATGAGATTACGGAATCCTAGGAAGCTGGGTGTCTCTGGCGACTCGTGACTAAGGCACGACGGTCGAGTGGTGGCATGTAGGGCGGCGACATGTCTGTACTTGCTGCGGACCTTGCTCTTGGGTTTCTGCTCGGTCTGGCTGGGGACTGTAACAGGCGCCTTCACCTGAGCAGTGTCTGTTGCGATGATTGTCGATACGTCAGTAGCCATGTTGAATCAGCGAAAGACTATAGACGGACTGTGGTTGTAGTTAGATCAAGTCATCAAGCCGATGAAGGCCATATTGCAGCAGGAGTACAGCAGGGCGTTCCTGCAGGAAACTACGAAGCAGTAGCTTCCAGGTCAATATTACGACAACAGCATTTCATGTTCGTAATGCTGCATCTACGAAGCCCGGGAATGTGGGGCAAAGGTGTAGGGATCAGAAAGACAAAAACGACGCATGTTGAGATTTTTCAGGGTTGCCATGAAAGCTGTTGAGCGAAAGTCCGTCGTTATCCGTCCAATCTTGCACATGTCGAGTCCTCAAGTCACGTAGCTATGGTACTATTATTGGATAGATGCTTCGGTCTCGACTTTGACATGTGAACTTCCTATCTCCAGGGTATCTTTCATGCGCAATGCTCACTGCCATCCGTCCATCAATTGTTTTACATTCCTTTCGAGACCCTCCCTATCATTGCAGTCTCAGGCGCCCCGACTTTGCTCAAGCAGTTCATTTACATCGGCGTCGAGGTCACCAAGTGCGCTGCCGGTAGTCTCCCCTTCTCTGCCCATATTGCCCATTCCCATGTCTCCTAGATCAGGCACAACTCCGTCGTCGCCATGACTCATCTTGCGTTTCTTCGCGCTCGGTCCGCTGAGGCTGCCACCACTAGCTTGCCGCACTCTGCTAGGGGCCTCCCCAAGACCAGACAGAGCCAAAGCGATGGCAGGATTGCTGGCTGCTACTTGTTCACCATAAGCCACACCACCAGCAGTTTCGGTCGGGTCCGCTTCGGGTTCTGGAGTCAATTGCTCGACCTCGGGTGCGTCCTCCATAAAGCCTGGCATGTTTCCTCCATTAAGACCTGGAGTTGGGTCTGGACTCAGACCTCGCATGATAGCATCCTCAACGTCTCGCTTCTTAGCTTCTGTGCTCGTTTTCCTGCTTCCCAGCTCCAGAAACGTCTCCTCGTCCTTGGCCAGAGCAGATTTGTTGATGTCCAAGAGTCTCTGGAGGTCTGCCACGAGATCCTGTCGAGCCTTAATACTAGCATTGACAGCAGCTTCAGCACCAGCAAGTTGCTTGATCAGGCCATTCAGTCGTGCAGCGTAGACTGGAGGCGTGGGCAGGACTGCATCCTCCGCGGTGAGATCCGTGTACTCCTTCTGTGCGACATCAATGCTTGGTCGCGCATCGATTGTAGCCTTCGTGACAGCTGTTTGCAGAGGTCCTAGACTTTCAAGCTCCTTGGGCAAGCCTGAATCTCCAGAAGCTCCGAAGAGTGATTTGCCCATAAGCGTCTTCTTGGTCCCACTCCCACCCTTCGCCTTGTCCACATCCTCGATCCGTGACTCAATGGCGGCTATGATCGCTGGGTCGAACGTGACTCGAGTCTTCCATACTTCGAGCACTCGCCGGATCTTTCCTTGGGCCTCTGGTGTAGATGATTTGTATGCTGCCTGAACAGCCTCAGGCATCAGCGGTGCGAACGCATCCGGGAACTCAGAGCGCTTGCGAGCTCTCGAGTTCTGTACAATATCGTTGACTAAGTAGATGAAGTTGAGACGCTTTGCAGGTTGGACATCTCGTAGTCGGACTAGCCAGACATTGGCAATCTTGTCGGCGTGTCGTTTGAAGAATTGAATCCATTGTGAGACCGACACAATGCTGTCTTGAGTTTCATTCAGCGTAGACAGCTTCGCCTTGAGTGCCTCGTCTGTATACGACATGACGCCGCCGAGCTGTAGACAGCACCTAGCACGACTGGAGCGCGTCCTACAGACGAATCAGGCAGAATGAAGTGTTACGAGAGCGCCATTTGCCTTCTGACCTCCTGCTCGGACACGAGATCGACGCTCTCAGAGTACTATGAAGAGCTCGCCGCACTGCAGAAATATTCTGAGAGAAATACGATGTGGTCTGGGTGATGGGAAGAAGGCATCCAAGCCTCGAAAGCGGAGAATCATTCGAGCTCACGGTTACGGTGGTCCGCAGACGTCCCGTGATTCATGACTGCCTCCAGCACGATCGAAGGAACAGCGACTCCGATACACTCTCAGCACCACAATAATCGCATCCAAGAGTTCTGCTTTACCTACCTGCACAGTCGCTCATTACCAGTCTTGATTCATCAGAATGGCAGACCGATTCCCATCGATCGAGGACATCGACGCCGGTACAATCACTCCCGCGTACTTCCCGCATCAACAACTAATCCATGTGCATAGGCGAGAGCGATGTGCGCCCTCAAAGCGGCGGCGGCGGCGGAGACTTCCTCGAGCGAGAACGAGCGGCACTAGGCGACGACGCAGATCTGTTCGCATCCAACGATGCACCAAAACAAGCCGCAACAGTAGAAGACGACGATGACCTCCTAGGCGGCGACGATGACTTCTCTGCACCGCAACAACCTACCAGCGGCGACAATGATCTAGCGACTTCGAGAGCTCATTCCCCGCCATCGACACACGGAACGATGTACGATATCTACTCCATTCCCATTCCCCCTCTATAAGACGGATCACCAATACTGATACTTCCACCTACAGAACGTCGGACCCGGCGGCTCCATCACCAACACCACCAACCAAAACACCTCCTCCTACACCAACTACACCCCCCAAACCCAACCCACCGACTCCGAGCCCGTCCGCGCCTGGCGCGAAAAACGCTCCGCCGACCTCCAACGCCGCGACGCAGCCTCCCAATCCAAAAAAGACGAAACCATCGCCACTGCCCAAAAGGACATTGACAGCTTCTACGAGAGCTACAACCGCAAAACCGACAAGCAGAAAGCACAGGTCAAGAAGGAAGCCGAGGAGTTTTTGGCGAAGCGGGAGGATACTACTGCAGGCGGGACGAGTTGGGAGCGGATTGCGAAGCTGGTGGATTTGAGCGGGAAGGGCCAGGTGGGTGGTGGGGAGGGGAGTAGCAAGAAGAGGATGCGGGAGTTGTTGGTGAGTTTGAAGGGGGATAAGGATGCGCCTGCTGCGACGGTGGCTTAGGGGGCTCCGGATGGCACGGGAATGGGTAATGAGGAGATAAGGCGCCGGCGGGACGAGAGAGTGGTAGCTGATCCGTTCGGATTGCGTGAGTTCTACCGCTTCTGATGCCTGATAGAATGGCGTTGAACCTCTTCCTGTTGCTTCGACTCGAGACGGGCCGCCAGGGGCATATTCTTATATTCTTCCTCTCGGAAAAGCAGAGCAAGCTAGCTGCTCAAACTGTGTAGAATAGAGAAAGTCATCATATGCTACCTGAGGTACTCCCGAGCGTCATGTGCTCGTCCCATGAATATTAGAATGAATGCAACCTGAAGGCAATAATGCAACATGCACTGCGCCGATTCTGCAGATTCCACCTGGCTGGAACCGGTGGCCCTCGCGTCCTCGCCTCTTGGCCTTTGGCGGTGGCGAACAACAATAATGATCCATCCTTGCAAAGACATCGCTCTCCGCATGGCGGCATCTAGCCCTGCTTCTTTGCTGATAACCACTCTTCCAACCCACTCCAGCCATTCACGCCTGCGATCGCCTTCGCCATTGCCACATGTCCGTTGTACTGCTCTTCAATCTTACCCACGATGCCCATGAAGGGATCCTTGAGTCCCAGTCCATCTTTGCCAAGTGCGTTGGGTGGCTCGGCGGTCATTCTTAGAAGATCGAGACTGCTGCGGAATGTGGCGAGTTGCGTTTGAATAGTCGTCTCTCGTGAGTTACTACTCGTTGTTGAGGAGGATGCCTGAGCAGGGCTCGAGGTGGTGCTTGCTGCTGAAGCAGAGGACGTCGTTGTTACTGCTGGTACGGACGTAGCCAAGCTCGAAGATATCTTCGGTGTATTGACAGCAACATGCTTGACTTTGACTGCTGAGGCGTGGCGCACGCGGCGACCTTCGTTAGCAATGTATGGAGGAGGGTTGATGGAGGCAGTGGTGTCAAAGGTACCTGGATCCAGTTTCGGCGGCGTGGCGATGCTGTGGGCGTGGCCATTGGAGAGCTTGGCTTCCCTGCCATTGATGTACTCTTGCGCCAGCGGATGCAATGTGTCGGACGGATGTGGCGGCGGTGGAGCGACGAGGTCCTCGTGGAACTTGGAAGTCTTCGCCGCGGCGCTTGTGGGTGTCACGGAACTTCCATTAGACTTGTTCGGTTCTTTATTCCCGTTGACTGAAGCAGGTTGTTTGGCAGATCCGCCGACATGGGCGAGGTAATCGCCGCTGAGCTCATTCATTTGATCCCTAATGCGAGCGATGAGCTCCTTGTTGGTGCGTGCTGAGGGCTGGGTGTTGAAAGTCTTGAGATCGTCGCCGAGTTGGCGTTTTGCGGCTTCCGACAGCGTATTATTACTGCTAATTATGGTCTCAAACATCTGTTGTAGTGGAGTAATTTGAGCGGCGATGGCGTCTGCATTTTGGACTGCAGCGGATATGATGGTATCGTGCGAGGAAGGCGTGGTGGATGATTTTGCGGGTGTCTTAGGAGGTGTCGGGTTCTGCTTGCCAACTTCTTTGTTGCGTTGTTGCGCCTTCTCAAGAAATCCGCAGACTTCGCTCCTGACGTGCTTCAGAACGCGATCGAGTGCTTGGCACATCTCAGGATCTGAATTCCGTCGCTTGTAGAAATGCGCCTCTACTAATTCGAGATAGTGAACGTATTGCCCAGGAACTTTGTCCGAGTACAAGATGACCGCAGATATGATCATGCCTTGCAATTCACGTTCGTTGACCGTGCCAGCCTCCTTCACTGCTTTTGTGGCTGTTTTCCAGAGCGCACCGGCTAGTTGATTGACTAGCGTGTCTTCCATCCAACGTGTCATCTCTCGTTCTGTCCATGGTGGTAGCGGAGAATCTGCGATCGCTTTGTCTCTGATACTCTTCATCTGTTCGAACATGGTTTTCGCAGAAGCGGCGGTTCGATTCATCTCGGCCATCTGGGTTATCGCCTTGGCGCATGCATTGACTTCGACTTCGTGTGCAGCCTCATACGCATCAACGAGCTTGACATCGATCTTTGTCTTCGCAGCCGCTTGTAGCAAAATCTCCGGATCATCGGCGCGACCGCAATGTGAGAACAGCTCCACAACATCGGTACACGTCTTTGTTTCGCCATGGATCGTGAATGATATCGAAAAACCTTTACAGTTCGGAAGAGAACGAAGATCGTCCAGGGACTTCGAGTTTTTGTATTGCGTCGAAAGCATTGGAGTGTTCATGTCGATAACGTTCCGAAGGTCTGCAATCGCAGCTTGCATATCTCGTTGATCAGATGCGGAGAAGAAGCCCTTCATGACATTGAGAGCTTGAGAAAATGCATCTTTGCTTGATGGTGACAGTGAAGCAGAAAGCGCACGCGAAAGTGTCGACTGGGCGTACTGAAACTCTTGGCTCGAGGTCGTGCTCAGGATCATGTCTCTGAAATGCTCGCTTGCCTGCGTTGCCTGTGCCATCTCCTTGCTCGTCGCATCTAGCATTGACTTGGCTTTTGCTGCATCGATCTTGCCAGCCTGAAAGTTCTTCCGTATTCTGTCCATCTTCGCGTGGATTTCTCTTGCCACCGTCTCATTTGCTCGCACAGCGTCGAGCACAGCATTGTCATGCGCCAAGGAGGACATGGGATCGGAGTGGCTGGCTGGAGAGCGGCTCGATGACCTCTTGTCCTTTGGCTCTATTTTCTTCGCGTTTGTCTTGTCCAGTAACGCGGTCCGCCGATTCCGCAAAGCGAGCTCGTCATCATCGTCTTTCTTCACGCGTTCAAGCTCAACATCCCGCTGCTTTCGAAGCGCATTCTTCATTCGAGTCGTCCGTTCTGACGTGATTCGAGTTTGATAGTACTTGATCGTGTCTAGCTCCATCCATGAGATACCTCGTGACTTGGCTCTCGAGCAGATCTCATGATGACACTTGTTTCTCGATAGGACAGGATCACTGCTGAAGTCCAGACAACATGGACTTGAGCCCGTGAACTTGTACTCTCCACTGAGCTGGACCTTGAATTGGCCGTCGAACGCAGCAGCGTCTTCGTTCAGAAGGGCTCGTTCGGCTTGATGACGTGCAGACTTTTGCTCGAGCTCGTTCTTCTCCTTCTCGAGCTTGGCTCTCTCGGTCAGCAGTTCGTTGTAGATACGGATGTCTTCGTTGGTCCAGCCCTCGACATTGTGCCCATCAGCAGCCCGCGGAGGATCATGTGAATGCCCACAGGTACAAATTGAATGTGGCGGAGGGCTGCTGCTTGGGTCCAGAATGGGAGAAGCCTTTGCCTTTTTGGCCTTTCCCTTGCCCATGACTTGAGGATGCTCCGAAGACTCTCAGGCGACCTCAAGCCCAGCTCCAATGTTCGGCGATCCCTGGCCTCGAGGCCCAGGTACACTCCAGCCAAGTAACCTTGGTGTTCTTTAATCAACAGCAAATCATGTCTGGTGTTAGAATCTCTCCCAGTGTCGTGGCCAGCGATCAAAGATCCAGTCGTCGATGGCGGCGACTCCGTAGATGGCGATCTTGTCGTGTCGTTACGAGGCCAACAGCTCCGTGTCACCTTCCAGTCTAGCAGCTCGGTAATCCTGCCAAGTATCGCGTCTGTGCCAGAGTCCGAATATTTCAGCTCTGATGTGTCGTATAGTCTTCCATGCCTTCGTGTCGTGCCACGGCGTTGAGTGTGAAGACTGCAGCAAACGGGATAATATTTGAGAGGCTGAGTTCAAGACATCGACAAACGGACCGCCCTTGGCAATTGTCATTTGCCAAGCATCGGGCAACCCCAGATTCGTTCTTGTTGGAGACCTCCTGAGGTATACGACCGCATTCATAAAAGTTATACCGTTGTCCACTATCAATTGTCACCATTGCCGCCACATTCCTGATATACGCCATGGCTTCCAAGACCGGCGCGGCTAAGGTACCCGTGGCTCTGCCCAAAAGCAACGACAGTGCTTCGAGTCCCGCGGCCACCTCTGCCTCTGGCTCGTTGATCGGGCAGGACAGCGCACTATACAATGCCATTGGCGCAAGGTTTGTCACTACGACCCGCGCTCGGAGTAGCATAACATTGACAATATACACGAAGAGTTACAGTCACGACATCTGCAATCCCTCGAATCGAAGGCACCATCTATACGGCTGACCCAATGACCTCTCTCCTCATCCTCGAGACCTCATCCTCTCCGAATACCGCCATCACACCACAGTCCCTTACCGCTCCGCCTGGCAACTACCGCTTAATACCCATCTCCCAGATCACATCCTTCACCATCCTCTCTTCTGGCCCAGCCAATACAAGCTCATCACAGATACCAACCCCCGCCCCGCAGATCGACACTGCAGCCGCAACCGCCCGTCTCAACACCGCCATTGCCAATGCCCAGGCCGCCCTCTCCCGTCAAGGACCCAGAGGCACCTCTCGACGCGATCAAGCACTATTCGATGCGCTAGCTCGTACGCATCCTGCGAGATGGGAAGGAAACAGCATGGTCATCAGTGACAGCTTCCTGATCGAGAAACCTTACTCGAGCGCGACGACAACGACATATACTGGTGGAGCCGGTGGTCAACAGGGTGGACATGCGAATGGGAACACATTCAAGGGCGATCTCACGCGGTTTCGAAACATCGTCGATATGGAATTGAAAAAGGCGGAGTTCAGGCTTCAGCAAGCAGATTTGGATGCACGAGTCGTGAGTGGTGGTGGCGGTGCTGGGGAAGGCGAGAGGAAGGGTGGCTAGAAGCCCAAACGAAGATCCACTCACTATCCTCCTATATCTCCGGGCAGTTACATTGTCCCTTGCGACAAGAACTTGGACCGAAGACTACGAAAATATTCTGGGCCAAATGGTGATCAACTTGTGGTCGTTGACGACAAGGCCAGCCTCAGTGACACGCCAGGACTCTGCTAGGTATGCGAGTACTTATCTGCTGCGCTCTCGGGGAGGCTACACATCAACTAGGACATGGATTGGGCCTTGGAGTACCATGGCGCTATCGCCGGCGGGTGAACCAGGCTCGCCTGGTCGGCCTCTGTATCTCATGTCGGTACAGCCTTCGATCAGCTTCACAGACAACCAGTGTCAGATACCTGGATCAACAATTCATGCCACACCAGTGCGTACATCTCCGGAGACGAGGCCGGCCGGCTAGGATCCAGACTTCACTAGCCTACGGTCCAGCTTCTGTAAGGCCATGATTCGAATTTTCCATTCTCGAGTCAACGGCAGAGGTCTTCGAAGATTATACAAGCAGCAGACTATGCTGACGACGTTTTTCACGTGGGGCAGCTGGCCCAGGGAGGACGCTGTAGGACTTTCATCAAAATGGCATACCTTGGTCGGTAGCTTGCTCTTTCGGTGCATTACATATCAAAGACAACCGAGTTTCCAAGTCGGCGTTCCAATCTAAGGAATATGAGCACTTTCATATTCCTTGAGAGCTCCCTGCGTCGCCGCCAGCACGGCCTGCTGACCCATTGACTAAGCGATCCCGCTCGTCACTCCTCCTGCCACTTCCTTCTCCTCCCGAGAACTCATCCTCGTCATCGTCCTCCTTAAACGCCGCTTCTCTCCTTATCCGCCCATTCGCGTTGTTCAAAGCGTCGTGACAATCTTCGACCCTCTTCTCCAATTTCCTCCTCGCGTCCTCTCGCATCTTGTTCACTTTGAAGTAGTTGTAGTATGCAATACACGCTATCGTGACCAGCAGCCCACTGACGTTGACCGCGCTCAGCTCGTCATGGAAGATAATGCCCGCGGCTGAGATCGTGACGACTTCCTTAAAGATGCCGCAGATGCTCAGTGTGACCACGCTGGTACGCTGCAGTAGAGTGAACTCTGCTGCAATCATGCAGAATGCCAAACTGCCAGGGATGATGAGCAGGAACAGGGACTTGGCGAGCCCTTGTTCCGAGACCAGTATATGTAGGCCCGAAACGATCGCCGAGGGCTGCTCTGCGAACAGCGCAATGGTGAACAGCGTCACGAACATGATAGGCGCCAGGAAGAAGAGCGTGGCAAAGGGGTTGCTTGTTGCTGGATGCCGTAGCAACAGGATCTGAGTGAGGCCCCATCGGAAGCCGCTGAAGAAGGAGGCGGACATGGCCAGGCAGAAGCCCAACAAGTGGAAGGCGGTCTCGCCGTAGACCATGAGAAGGACGCCAAGCGTCATGGTGAGGATGATGAGGATGAGCTTGATAGACGGCTGCTCGAGCCGGAAAGCGAAGGCGAAGGTGAGGACGAAGATCAGGACGGAGGACTTGCACATGGTGTAGAAGGTGAGGGTGATGTAGCGAAGAGACGTGTTGCCCAGGCCGATGTCCAAGGACGTTGAGACTCCCGTGGGGACGAGGCGGGTGATGTAGAAGAGTGGTGTGACGAGTGGTTTCGAAGGCGGCGAGGTTGGGTCGGGGTTCTTAGGGACTGATGGTCGGAGGTGTGGGAAGATGAGGAGGACGAGACTGGCTAGGAGAAATTGCACTACCATGTGTAGAGATGTGACGAAGAGCGGGAAGTGGAAGTCGAGGCCTTTTCCTTCGCTGGTAGAAGAGAACATCCACTTGTTGTACTGGAATTGGTTGTTAGTCCATCGATCTAACGTTGTCTTTCAGAGGAGCTGTACGTACCAAGGATATTGACAGCGAAAACACATACCACGCCACGATCAGCATGGAATTGACCAGCAACTTCCTCCAAACATTGCGGTCTGCCCGTTGTCTCTCTTCGAGCGATAGCCCATTCCCGCCGGCGATGCGCGCATCGAGCGCATCCTGCCGTCTCTTGCGCTGCAGATGTTTCTGGCGCTCTTTGCCCGTCAGACCTGTCTCTTCGTCGACTTCCTCTCCATCTGAGCCGATCGCATCGAGTTCTACTTCTTCAGACATCGACGAGCGGGAGTCATCGTCGGATCCGAATTCGCGGGAGTCCGAAAGGGAGTCTGTCGTTCTGCGCTTGAACTTCCGCCGCGGGTTTCGTGGTAGGTCTGCTCGATCTGGTGTGGATGTAGGTCGCGAACGTCGTGATGGTTCTCTGGCTGCGGTGTCGCCATGGAAGGTTTCAGTAAATGGCAGGGGCTGACTTCCAAGGTTCGTTGTTGCGATGAAAGTCAAACGAAAGGTTCGAGGGTACAGCTGACTTCGGGGCGCACGACGTTGTTTCAGCGCCAATAAGCTGAGACCTCTAGGGGTCCAGACGCCTAATCGCCTACGGGCCGCTAATGTCCGATCAGCGTTTTCTACATTGAGCCATCGACCCAAGACTTCAGTCGATCTTCCTTCCTCGGATTCAATGTTACCTGACCTTCTGGACTGGGGTGCATCACGGGCGTGGCAGGTTCACGGCCGGGATATGTATTGAATATGAATGTTTCGTCTGCTAATATCGTCTCAGTGTCTCCTTCACGTCTTTCACATGCCAGACACCACCTTTACCCACAACCCACAGCTCATGCTCTCCCAGGACTACATTCACCGGGTCATTGCCACCACCACCGAACCTGATGCTTCCCAGCGTCCATCCGCTTTCAGGATCAATCACTTCCACAACCTCGCCGCCTGCCCCAAAGATAAGGCCGCTCTCACTGACCCTGATACCATCATAGAAGTACTGTATCGCTCGGCTGAGCAATTTCTGACTCGTGAGCAGTGGCAGTCGCTCGCCCGTCGTCTTTGATACAGCAAAGTCCCAAGCATAGATGTCACGGCCACCCTGCGGGTTGCGAGCCGCGGTCTTGTTCGTGGCCACAGCGCCTGTCGCACCAGTGTCCGCAAGGTAGAGCGTACTGCCGTCAGGAGAAAGAGAGACGCCGTTTGCATTTCCGCCAACGGGAAGGACAGCAAGCTCTTTCAGTCTAAGGGTTGTGCCGTTGACAAAATAGACCGTGGGAGGCGTAGGCACGCCATAAGGATGTAATGTCCGGCCCCAGCCGGAATATGAGTCGGTAAGGTAATAGTTGCCGTCGTCATCGATCTCGAGATCGTTGAAGCTAATGAAGGGACGCTCATAGAAGTTGTTCAGCAGCGTTGTTCGTTTCCATGTCTGAGGGTCTATGGTGGCAAGGTAGCCAGTCTCCTCTGGTCCTCCATCGGTAACTACGTGGAGCTGACCCGACCTATAGACGCAGCCGTGGACATTCCAGGATGGAGGATTAGTTTTGATGAGCGTCAGATTGTTGGTCGTGAGATCAAGGAGATACTGGGAGTCATGCCGTCCTTTTTCTCCTCCACCCGGTGGCCCCCATTCCACGAAGAAGAGTGAGTTGGTCTCAGGAATATAACATGGAGCCTCGTGGACTTGGAACGCCAGCGCCTGGAGCTGCTCTACGACAGCGTCTGGCCCGATGATGTCAAAGAAGCGCTCATCATACGCGACAAAGCTGGTCTGGTTGATCTGGTCATTGCTGTGATCCTTGTCAGCGCACGGACAAAGTTTGGGTGACAAATGTGGATACCGACATGGATACCACTCTTTGGTCAGACACATTTGCCGCTGAAGGTGCCTCATAGACGCTGCGGTTGAAAGTCCCTGGTATAACTGCGAGCAAAGGATCCGTATTCGAGACCCATGCCCAGTGATTGGGATCAAAGCCTTGCGGGACGGAGTCGAGCTGAGCAGCCGCAACGCCCAGTAGGCCTATCCAGAAGATCTGCATCGTCGAAATAATCACCGCCTACTGCACAACATCTGAAGGCTTGCATTGCGGTCCCTGGAGCAGACTCGGTTCATATACTGCTATGCTTGGCAAAAGTCCGACGCGTCCGAGCTGCCATCGGTGGTGGACCGAAGGATGGCATGTCATTCATCCGTAAGGGAAGAAACTCGGGGCAAGCGTGTTGGATGCCCCAGATCCCCAGATTTAGTGGCTGTAGTCCACGACATGGGGGACTGCCATACAGTACGGTGTATTCCCATTATGAAATGCAATTACTTGGTCTGTCGGGTGGGCTTCGACGGGAAGACATGTATCCGCTCTGTGGCCGTGCGCAGCGCTCTCGTGCTATGGTAGGAATATTGTGATTTCGGACAGTGTGAGAGAAGAAGCATGTATAACTGCGAATACTCAGGGAGATTGCTTCCCGAGTCAAGATCACGAGTTCTCGTGTCAAAGACGTGCGTTTTCGACTCCACTTCCTACGTCATTGGCATGGCACCCACGCGACATCTGCAGAATAATCGTGAACACCCAAGTGAATGGTTATCGTCCTCTCTTGGCGTTTCCGGCTCATCTAGTCGTGTTACATATATAAGACTTTGAGGGACAGTGGTGCCTAGTACAGATTCAGCTCACACTCTCCAGCGGCGAACATGCACATCACAAAGGACATAAACCCAGACGAACCCGCCGTCTTTTGCTGGGAGTCGACCGTGACGCGACACAACAGAAAGTGCGAAGTTGTGCTGCCCAATTGGGTCAAAGCAATGGCTAAGGCACTGTGCAAGTATTTCAGGACACCGGTGAAGGCAGCACCGCAGTTCCGTAATGGCATCGAATGGGTGTATCATGCCACACATCTTGGTGATGGCTACACTTCATTCGGTGCTCTTGATCTTACCATTTCTGAAAAGGAAAGGAAGCGTCGACTTGCTGAGAAAACCGACAATGGCCGCATCAAGCCATTTCGCCAGCAGAGCGAACTCTTGTGCCTCTCATCCTGGCACTATATCGGGTGGCCGCAAGGAAACATTCCGGCAAAGACCTTACCAGGACTCAGCAATCGAATGCTTGCAAATATCTCAACTACTGGTATACTTGCCATGCACTTGGCGCACCCCTCTCAGTGCCAGCCATCGAGGAAATCAGCGAGATGTCGCAGGAGTTTCTGAACAAGCCTCCGCTGGTACCTTGGAGGATATGGACTGGTACAAGGACCTGCCGGTCAAATCTCGGAAGCAGCCTCTGCAGGAGAAAGACATCAATATAGTCACAGCAATGAGACCCGGTCCAACCCAAGCAGGCGAAAAGGCCAATTGTGGGAAGAAATGCTCCAGCCCAGTCACTCCGACAGACGATTTGAAGGACCTGCGCGGACGCAGAGCACGCGTGAGGACCTCATTGTAGTAACGAACAAGTGCGATAAGGGCTTGCAGTCCAGCGATTCCTGCTTGATTTGGTAGGCTGCCGCGCTCAGCGTCCCGTCACATCCTATGCAGGCCTCGCCAACGTCGTCCGAGGTCATCACACCCATCATCACGCCGAGGAACTGTGCAAGTGCCGTGAGACGTGTCCGGAAAATTTGTTGCGTCATGGCCGTATTTGGATCAGGCACCTTGGGTCGGTGAACATGACCAGTGACGCCAAAAAATGCTTTTCAGTGGCGTCTCTTGAGACAATCTATCCAGCTACGATACCCTCAAAGCGATCGTATTCGTAGCCTCTGTCAGCTCTGCAATGCACGGGAGTCCGTGCTGCGATGCAATCGACGGCTCGGTACCGAACGGTGTCGTCAGGTTAGCCATTGACGTGACCTCTCACCACCCGCTGCCGATGAGTGCCGCAACCCTTGAGCGAACTTCGAAGTGACAATCCGAATACAGTGAGCTGTGATGTAGGAACGTCAAACCATCGTCAGAGGCAGCGCAACGTGCCTTCGGCGACAAAAGACGTTTGACGTTGAACAGAACCCCAGCGGTTTGTCATTGCAGAAGAATCCCCGCCCATCATAAACCTCGGCTCGCTTCGGCGTGCTGATGCCAAGACGTTCAGATTACATAGGATAACATATAGAACACCGATGGTCGTCTTGTAGACCTGGCCTCTCATACCTGAAGACCAACTCAAGGTGTCGTGGCAGATCAAGCAGGACTTAAGTATTGTGAGGCCAACAGAGGCCTGTCTTCGCGCCTCAAGCTTCAGGAGAGCCGGCCGCTACGTCCGTTTCCGCTGCTGTACACTGTTCGAATGTCCGATATCGTACACCCACTATACAACGATTCGGCCGCAGGTGATTCACATCCAACCAACATGACCGTCGACAAGATCAAGCCGTTCTTCGACCCTCGCGTATCTCTGCGCTCGGCTCACCTCAACGGCCGCACCTATGGCTACATCTTCGGGCCACGCTCTGCGGGAACACCCAACCGCGGCGCCATCCTCCTCATCCATGGATTCCCAGATTTGGCCTTTGGCTGGCGCTATCAGATCCCCTATCTCCAGTCTCTCGGCCTGGATGTAATTGCACCCGACTGCATGGGTTATGGACGCACTGACTCACCAGAGTACACCCTACGTGACTATACCTACAAGCGTATCGCTGACGACATGGCCGAGCTCCTCCGCCAGCTAGACTACAGTCAAGTTATCCTAGGCGGCCATGACTGGGGTGGCGCCATCGCGTGGCGTCTTGTCCTCCTGACGCCTCACCTATACAAAGCTGTCATGGTCATCTGCACGCCGTACAACCCACCCGTACCGCGCTATGATACGCTACAGGAGCGCGTCGACACCGTCCTCCCCAACTTTGGCTACCAACTCCACTTCGCTTCTGGTGAGATCGAGGAGCTTTGCAACAACAAGCAGGGGATTCGGCAGTTCCTCATCAATATCTACGGCGGCCGCACGCCCGATAAGCAGATTGGATTCACGGCAGAGAAGGGCCTGGACCTTGAGAAACAGAAGCTGATGCATGTCCCCTCGCGCGTTATCTCGGGCGAAGAGCTCGACTTCTACGTGCAAGAGTATTCACGGCACGGCTTGCGTGGACCGCTGAACTGGTACCGGACCAGCGAGCTGAATTATCTGGACGACATGGCGATTTTTTTTGACAAGGGGAAGAACAAGAATCGACGGGTCACGGTGGAGCAGGAAAGTTTCTTTTTGCTTGCGAAGAAGGACCTGGCTCTGCAACCGTGGATGGCTGAGAAAATGGAGCAGAGGTTGCCGAAGCTGACGAGACGGGAGGTGAATGCTGGGCATTGGGCCATGTGGGAGCAGCCGGAGGAGGTCAACCGACATATTGGGGAGTGGTTGAAAACCAAGGTGTTCAAAGAGGCGAGGCTGTGAGCGATGTGCGCAGAGTGCAAGCACTATGCCCATGGGCTACGTCGTGAGAAATGTACTGTGTTTAAGCCGACGAGCATCTAGCAGCCTGTCCATCGATGATCAAGGAAAATAATTCCCAATCTGCCCGAGCTCCCTCGCCAGATTAATCCAATCGCCAGACGACGTTGCATTGTAGATCAGCTTGCTCGACAAATCTACCTGTACGATATCCGTGCCCTCGAATGCAAGCTTGGTGCCCGCCGGAACCGTACTATAAAAGATCCAGTCAGTCCATTTGCTTCCTTCTCAGAATGCGACAATACTAACGCATTATACCCGGTCGACACAGCAGTAAACTGCCAACGGTACACCACAGTATCACACGTGTGGATAACGAACACTGGAGACTGCACGGAATCCGTGAAACTGCTTGGTCCGGTGCTCGCAGTCAAGGACTCGTAGAAGGCTTGAGCGCCCACGGTAGACGGACCGTTGTCGTAAGGGCCAGTCCCAGTCCCGTCGTAACTGGTGAAGTTCTGGGTCACGATGCTGGTGAGATCGGAAAGCTGGGAGACAGCACCAGTGTCATACAAGGCAATATAGCGTGAAGCGATCTGTGAAGCTTCGGCGTCGCTCAAGCATTTCACGTCTTTCCATGTAGCTGCCGCTGCGGCGGCGATGCTGGCGAAAGCGAGAATGACAGTGGATTGCAACATAATTGTGCTTCTGGTAACATTGGGACACCGGGGGAAGGAGATGTACGCATTTGTACTTTGACGTTGCGGCGCTCGACCTACCACGCAGAGAACTTTTCTTCAGCCGCAGCCGCACCTCCTGCTCGTCATCGTGACAGATTAGATACGCCACGCTGAGTGTCTGTTGTGGCGTGCTGAGACATCTGTCGAAATGTGTGCTGTAAGACTCGCACCGTCTCAAGCGATGACAACGACGATAATGACAGGAGCAGAAGAGGAAGCAGGTGCCAGGACGACACTACTGGAGGTGCCAGTGGCAATCCTAGGTAGACCGCTGATCTGCGGAAAATGACAGCTTTCAAATGACCCTCTTGGGATAATTACCTACTAAGTAGGTACAGCTGGATCCCAACGTCCTTGCTGCATCTTCTCTCGCAGAAGTCGTAGCATCAAAGTCATCATGGCTATTCGCGAAAGTTTATGCTCACGTTGGGACGCGCTGGCTACACAGCAACGAGAAGCCAACAACGTATATCCTTATGGCAAAGTCGAGCGTTGGTAGCAACACGCAGTGCGACTTTCACGGCCTTGTGCACAGTGAACATCCGTCGTGTGGAAATTTAAGTCTTGGGCGATGATCATCCTGATGCAGAGCCATGTTGACTATGCTCGCAGACCTAGGGATCCTCGCAGGCTGTTCGGGCATAAACTGAGTGTTTTTCAGTGCGTCAGTTGAACATCAAGATTTCGAGTCAGGGCGGGCTCTGAGGGCTGGATTTTTCAACGATCGAGCCAGGAAGTTTGGAAGGCGCCTCACTTGAGCCTCAGGTCGCAGGATCAATCTGTCATCAATTTGCCTGCCAGGTAGGTCGCTGTAAGAAATTTGGCGCGAGGTTTGTCAAGGATGGAGAAAACGCTCATTTCTTGTCCAAACAGCTTGCCTCGGACGCTGCGCCTGCCCACGGCCGCCAGCATTGTCCCCTTATAAAGTGTGAAAGATCGGGCTTACCGTTGAACGCGATTGTCTCTGCTAGCAACTCTTCGCAGCCATGGTGCTCCACTGGCCATTTGATTCACTATCACCACTTGGCCAAATGACCTTCACTATGAGCTGCAGCACTTACCCCGGGTATCCTACCGGTAGTCAATCTCTGCAGTCGCGGCTTGGGTCGAACTGCCCAATCTTCAAGGAGCCATGAATGCTCAGGCCCGAGTCGGATATCACAAAGGTGGTAGGGAAGACCACAACATTCTGCATTTGCGTTGGGCTGGCCTGGCTCGACTTCATGGGAACGATCTGATTGCAGAAGCACATGTGTGCTATGGTTGTCGTGCCAATGTTGTACCTCTCACCCGGAAATGAAGCAAAAGCTCGCGTTGAGTATGCTCATTCGGAACATTACAAACAATGACAGCTCGACCACATAAGACTTCATAACAACGGAGTCCGACCTTCAGATGAACAAAGTGACTAGATACGATATGCATGTGGAAACTCCACGACATCAGCAAGATCAGGCGATGACCAGAACAGACGCAGCGGTAGAATCGAACTAACAGTGTCCATCCAGCGCAGTCGATCTTGGCGAGACTGCCTCACCCTTTGTTTGGCCGTTCTGATAGAAAGGCAGGGTCATGTCTTGTCGTTGGCGGTGATCAACGAGTGATTGCCTTCTGGCGTACAGCAGCCTCGTCGGCAGGGACGTCGCATTTGGCGTTCGTAGAAGCGGAAGCGACGCTCATTGTTATTCAATTCCAGGATAACTCGTTCCGTCTGCTTCAAGGTACAGCCAGCCTTATCAGGCATCGCATGTTCGGTCTGCGCAGGATCCTTTGGGGATGGAGCATGACCCACGACTTGTCTCCAGGTGGGCCGCAATGCTTGACGCTCATCAACTGCCGACAGTGAATCTCATACACGACAACGTCAAATGGATCTCATGGCAAGCACTTGGCGATGGCAGATCTGCGTCGATGATCGGAGTTGCTCCATGAAAGGCTTGGGAAGAGGCAGTACAAATCATTAATGCCTCCGGACAGACACGCATTTTTGTCACGCAAGCTGGCGTCAGCCCAGCGCGTGAAGTGGTTTCGGTCGAGTCGTCGTGTCTTGAGGTCAAGATAAGGGCCAGGCGCTATTCCAGTATCGACTGTATGAGAGTGGAGCAGGACGTCTGGGGTAGGTCAGAGATAACACTCGCTACACAAAACGTCAAGTATGGCCATATCCAGATTTGGTGGGATCGTGGTTCAGTCTTCCGCGTGCTGATAGGATCGTAGATTCGTGAAATTACTCATGCCGTGTTCTGGGGTTTCTAGCCAGGGATCCGGGCCACGTATGTCCCTGGGTTGATAGACACGGTCTTATCTCTGGGAGAATGCTCCTGCCAATACTTAAGGAGTCGTTCGTGGCACTGCTGGCATTAGCGACTTGGCATGCTTCATCAATACTCTTGTTCAGTCAAGCAATTCGGTTCCAGGTTCCCTCCACAGCATGATGATGCTTCGAATCTTCGATGATTACTGCGTTCGTGTCGTGGAGACAGATATGTATGGTAAGCGCGCGTACCATCATCGAGGCGACCGGGGCCTTCGGGAGGAATCCCAGGATGATTCTGCTGGCCCAGGACCGCAACGAAGATACTCAAGCAGCTGCACATCAGCTTACATCAATCTACCGAGTGAACGGACAACAGAACTTCGAGACCACGGAGTGTGCACGTGAGGCCGAAGTCAAAACCCGGGGAAAATAGCGACGATGAGCATCGAAAATGACTAAACAGCGGGAGTTGTGGTCTGCCGATAGCTAAGAATCCGAGCGATGCCCCAACCACACTAGCGTCCGAGAGGAAAACCTACCCAAAGATAAGGACAAACGAGCGAGCTGATTGGTCGAAAGATGAGGTTCAATAATGCCATGAGCAATCCTGGTCTTTTCCGGATGCTGTCGTCCCCACGGCTTATTTTGGAGCAGTTTCTCGTCGCACAAAACGGCATCCAGCCATCGAGAATAGCAATCGTCACACGACCCCAAAGCACTCAGAATAACCAGGCTGCACAGGGAGGCCTTGCGTCGACGTTACCCGTCAAATGCCAACGCAATGAGCCAGCTCCTGGGGTTTGCAGAGCACAAGCAGGCTATACGGTGATCTGGAGACTAAAAATGCTTGACGGAGCCCCACTAACAACCAGGTCATTCGTTATCAGCTTGGCAGGCTCACCTCGCCTGCACAATCTTCTTTCCTCAGGTAAACCCAGCTTCAAATCTACGTCAGATCGACCATTCACATCGGACGATCGACCTTTCCGTCCCTCTATCTTTGCACAGCTCGTCTCCCTCGAAAGAAAAGACGAGAAAATTGTCGCCCGCCGAGAAATGTCAAGCTCCGTTTGGTATGAGCTTCGCGCGATGGATGGACGCATGGACCGCTCAACCCCCATACCAAGACCTTCATATTTCAATAAAGACAATGGGTGTTGGGATCCACAATTGACGACTGGTTGAATGACGCTGTTTCAACCTGTGTTGTTCCCCATGTCCGGCACCAAATCGTTAGAAGGCAAGTTCTAATGACGCGACTTCCGATTTCGCCCCGTGTCCCATCTATTTCTTTTCCCCATCGCATCGCGGAAGCAATATAGTACATCCACTCCCTCATCCTGGCCTCTCATCACGGGTGGTTCTTTCTGTTACTGTCGCATATCTCTACGTCCCTCCTCCTCCCTATAATCTGTTTTCAACCTGCCGTTTGTCCTGAACGACAGCTCAGATTTCTTCGGCACTCCTCAGTACCGTTCCTATTCGCTTCCAGCACCTGCAAGGCAATCCGCACAGGCACTCCTTGGATCTGATAAGGCAATCGCGTCAGCATCGTGCCAAGTAACCCGAAAGCGATAATCGCCCCTTCGATCACTACTCCCAACTCGCAGGCTCGATTGGCCACACGCTGAAGCCATGAGCGAGTATCCCGGCACGGAGCCCTGGGCTCCCCAGTATGCCTCATATAACTGGGTTGGCGCACCATCGAACTTCGATGAGCTTAGCACAAATGCCGTGGGAGGTGACTCAAGTAAGTGTTTCCTTCGCCAACGTCGAACGGTTCTAACGATGTGGCTCAGGAATCGAGAACCTGAACAAATGGTTCGTTCCTGGCGACCAGGCCTACATCATCGTGGCCTCAGCCATGGTGTTTGTCATGGTACCGGGTCTAGGATTTCTGTATTCTGGTCTCGCTCGCAGAAAGTCGGCTTTGTCGCTCATGTTCAGTGCAATGGCCACCTATTCAATTATCACCTTCCAGTGGTATTTCTGGGGCTTTTCTCTGACATTTTCGACAAACACATCGAACGGCTTCATCGGTGATCTTCACCACTTTGGCCTGAAGAACACACTCGGGCAACCCAGTCCCGGCTCACCACTTGTATCGAATCTACTCTATTCCTTCTACCAAATGCAGTTCTGCGCCGTCACAGCAGCTATCCAAGTCGGAGCCATTGCTGAGCGTGGTCGCATTCTGCCTTTCCTGGTCTGGACTTTTTGCTGGGCGACTATCGTCTACAACCCAATTGCCTGCTGGGCATGGAATGCCAACGGCTGGGGCTTTGTTTATGGCGTCATGGACTACGCAGGCGGCGGCCCTGTCGAAATCACTTCCGGCATGTCTGTTCTCGCATACAGCTTGATCCTCGGTAAGCGCCAGGAGAAAATGATGCTCAACTTCCGCCCACACAATGTTTCCTTCATCCTGTTGGGCACGACGTTCCTGTGGTTTGGTTGGCTCGGTTTCAACGGAGGCTCGTCTTTCGGCGCCAACCTCCGTGCTGTCATGGCTTCATGGAATACCAACCTGACCGCAGCCTTCGCGTCCTTCACCTGGGTTCTCTTGGACTGGCGCCTCGCTCGCAAGTTGTCCATGGTTGGCTGGTGCTCTGGCGCCATTTCTGGACTTGTCGCAGCTACACCTGCCTCTGGTTACCTCGATACCTGGGGCTCTGTCGTGCTCGGTGTTGTTACTGGCGCACTTTGCAATTTCGGCACAAAAGTCAAGTACTGGGTCCGCATCGATGACAGCATGGACGTGTTCGCTGAGCACGGTCTCGCCGGCATGATTGGCCTGATGTTCAATGCGCTGTTCGGCGTCGATTATGTCGTCGGCCTTGATGGAGTTAATACCGGTACCGGCATTGGTGGGTGGCCCATTGGTAATTATAAGCAGTTCTACATTCAGCTCGCCTACGTCGTCGCCTGCACGGCTTACAGCTTCGTTATCTCCGCTATCCTTGCCTACGGCATCAACTACATCCCCGGCCTGAGATGCGCGCATCCGAGGAAGCAGAGCTGCTCGGCATGGACGATGACCAGCTTGGAGAATTCGCATACGATTACGTTGAGGTTCGCCGTGACTACCTTGCATGGACACCTGCCTCCGACTCCCTTGGTCAGGATCCCGACATCCCGCAAGAGGCCAGACATGGTATCGGTGAACACCAGTCGATGATCAAGAAGGGTGATTACAGCGGAGACAGTGCCAGCAGTGGTGCTGACAACAATGGTGTGACCCAACGCACCCAGAATGCTCAGGGTGATCGACACGGCATTGCGGCAGAGGATAACATGAAAGCCGCGCGTGGGGTGGGCGAGCGTGATCTGGAGGCCAACAAGGAGAAGTGATGAGCTTTTTCGTCGGACAATAGGTCATCATCGCCGCTGCACGAAACGCGGAGTCTTCTTGTCGCAAGCTCGCCTCTTCTGTGGCAGGGCCACGGAACTTAGAGTTGAGTGTTGCTCTTGTTTGGGGGAAGGGTCATATCAGAGTAATGCAGGTTCCAGTGATCATTCGTCCAAGCGGCTGTTGGGTATCGAATTCCTAGAGTGCAGGTGTACATCAAATGGGAAGTCCATTGAACCACTGACCCGAGATGCAAATCTGCCCAGTTTAGTGTTGTGATTCGTGTGCTTCGACGTGCTGTCACGTACAGCTTCGACGACAGTTCGAAGCTTACTACCTTCGCTTGAAGCTCTTCAAAGGGTCGACCCTCCTCGCCCCGACTCCCTTCTTGAAACCACCACGACCACCGCCACTTCCGCCTCTTCGAGCCTTTCCACCCTTACCATCAGTCCTCGGCTTCTTGTGCAACCCCACGAACCCTACATTCAACGGCTTACCCTGCCTCGCCGCCGCCGGCAGAAGGTAGTCCGGCACATGCTTCAGATGGCCCTGCACTCTCGTCTTCCCGCTCTCGTTATCATGCCGCAAGTGCCGTAAGTCATCCGGGTTCTCCTCGAAATGCTTGCGCAGCTTGTCGCTCTTCACCAGCTCATCTTTGATCTCCCGCGCCCGCGCTTCCCGAATGGCGAGTCTCGTCACGGCGCGGATGGCGTCGTTGACGCGATAGCGGAAGGCGTCGACTTGGGCCATGTCGAACTTGTAGTCCTTGACTTCGCGGTCGAGTTTGGCTTGTTTGGTGAGTATCTTGGCGAGCACTTTTTCGTCGTGCTTTGCTGAAGAGATCGATGTGGGTTTGTGCTTTTTGTAGTGCTCGGCGGGAATCACGAAGGACAGCGCCATACCGGCCTTGCCGGCTCGGGCGGTTCGACCGATGCGGTGGGTGTAGGATTTGGAGGTGTGTGGTAGGTCGAAGTTGAGGACGCAGGAGACGTTTTGGAAGTCGATGCCTCGTGACACACCGTAGTCTCGGGATGTGGTCTTCGCGGCCTTGGTTGGCTTTTGTGGTTCGTCTTCGTCAGACGATAGCTCGGCTTCTCCATTGGCTACCTCAACAATGCGCTTCTGAGGCTTGTGGACGCCGCCGAGCACTTCTTGGTCGTCAGCTGCGATCAGGATGTTGTACAAACCCTTGTTGAACTCTTGCACGACATGCAAGCGGGAGTTCACTGGCAGCTCCGAGTTCAAGATGCAGGACTTGATGCCGAATTGTTCGAGGTAGAGCTTCAGCCGGTAGCTGCGGTCGACATCGTCCACGAATATGATCGTTTTGCCTCGGACTAGTCGTAGTTTGAATATCACAAACACAAGCAGAAATTTCTCATCCTCCGCGCATTTCACGACATATTGAGTCATGGTCTCTGTAGGTTCTTCCTCCGTTTGTATCTTGACTGTAACGGGATCTCTTGTGAGGGTCTGCTTGAGCGCATCGATATCGGAAGTGAGAGTCGCGCTCATCAGGAAAGCTTGGGCTGAGCGAGGAATGGTGGCAGCGATCGCCTTGATGTCGTCTTCGTAGCCATATGACAGGACTAGGTCCGCTTCGTCTATCACGAAATGGCTGACTTGGTCGATAGATAGCTTGCCCGCGGACAGGAATTGGTTGGCTCTTCCGGGCGTTGCAACGACGATATCAGGCGTGTCTGACAGCAGCGCATTCAGCACTGCATCTGAAACCCGTTGAGCCAGGTTTATGGACCGTACATCTTTCGAGCACTGTGCAGACAAAGCTAAGAAGACCTTCTGGACCTGATCAGCTAGTTCCCTGGTTGGAACAAGGACCAATGTTGATATTGAGCTGCTTTTCGCCGGGTGTGTTGACTTCCGGTGCAATATAGACTGAAGTATGGGTATCACATATGCAGCTGTCTTGCCGGACCCGGTCTTGGACTGGGCGAGGACATCTTTGCCCTGTAGTGCCAATGATATGGCTTGCGCCTGAATTGCTGTTGGTTCTGAATATCCTGCCTTCGAAATTGATTGCAGAAGTCGGGGGTCAAGTTTGTACGTCTCGAATGTGGTCGTGCTCGGTGTCTGAGAGGATGAGCCGGCAGCGACTTCTATCGTTGGAGCATCGTTCTCGTCCAGCTTCCGCTTCATCGTGGTCTCGGTGTCGGTGAGCTCTTGTGTATCGTGGTTCTACGATTGTAAGTACAAGCATGCGCGGTGTTCAACATGCAGCACAAATTATTTCGCTTATCGATAACGATTTTGGCGCTACGTCGGTGCTCCTGCTCCGGGCGGGCACCCCGCCTACACCGAGCCTCGGCCGAAAAGAAAAGCCTACCGGCGCCGTAGGAGAGAGGAAATACAGCGTTGCCTCTGTCATTGCACCCGAGATCATACAGGTTAGGACACCAGTTCGTGATCTTAAGAAACGTGGAGTGGACGCGGGCTACGTCTGTCTGGCACAATAGTATGTTTCCTGAGCCCAGGCATCTGTGGCGGTCACCTTATCCGGCTGGGGCTGCTCCAAGTAGCAAACACCACACTGCTGCAGAACTATATCGCGACGTCCGGTAATCGTTCATCCTCGCAGACGGGAGTCGCGTATTCGCGGCAGAGCAGCACACGGATGCTTGGGACAGGCCAATAGTGCTCAATATCTCCCATAACCTTGCCTCAGATTGGTAGCCACCTGCTGGGCATAGAAGGACGTCGAGACCTTCTACCCCACTTTCTGCTTAGAAATGCATCACAGTACCAGTCCATCATCATCGCGCAGCTGCACATCCATGCAACTTTGAGAGATTTGCAGCCCGTATGACTGGTCCTCACATTCGCCACTTGTTCACACATCTCACTCGCCTGGTGCTTGCCAGTACTAGAATTCGAGAGACGACGAAGAGAAAGCCGATATAATATAGCACTCGCAGTCAGTGCAGACCTCGGATCCGAGTACCGCTCGAGCACGTTCAAAGGGCGACGGACTTGGCAGGATCAGGCCTACTAACGCCGCCATTTCCAGGGTCCAATCCGATCTGACCCTTGTCTTTTGGCACCCTCAAGCACGCACTTCAGACTTTCTGCAGCCTGGAGCCCGATCACGCCTGCCTTCCACCCTCCTCTTCGTCCGCCCGCTGGGACCACCTAATAAATCTGGCGATTAGCGGCCCCATTGTAACCCTCTGTGCTTTTTCCTGCGCCCGTACCTGTCTCTGACGTCTCTCTCCTTCATCCACGACTCACCACTACATTCCTTTCTTCGAGAAGGCCGGAAGAGCGCAAATCCATTGTTGACACCACCGTCGTGGCCGATCAGACGGCAGTTCGGAGAGCCCCTCCATCCGCCCATTTCCGCGTTATCGGCACTCTTTGTCTCACCACACCTCACCTCGACACCACTCATCATCTCTCAAATCCATCAACATGCCAGCTCAAGGATCAGATCTCTTTCTTTCGCCGAACGAGCAGGACTTGCTTGTCGCCGCTTTGAATTCCAATCAGGGCGCCAAAGGAGCAAAGAACGGGAAACGTGGAAGCCCTCCTACGGCAAACTACGCGTCGAACCCAGCTTCAGGTCAACTAGACTACAGCGACGACAGTCCCTATCTTGATTTCGACCCTGATGGCGAGTTTGACGACTACTCATACGGAAACAGCCGCATGATTGGTGATCTCCCGCCTGGTCTTCATGAGAAGAGAAAGAGCATTGACGGAGAGGAGGAGGACGACGAGACTGTAAACGGAGATCGCAAACGCCATGAAGGCGACGATAAAGGTCCAAAGAAACCAGGTCGCAAACCCTTGACATCCGAGCCAACTACTGTAAGGTCTAGGTTGAGATTATCCTGATTATTGGGTACTAACTTTGACGCAGAAACGTAAAGCCCAGAACCGTGCTGCTCAGCGTGCCTTCCGTGAGCGCAAGGAGCAGCATCTCAAAGATCTGGAGACAAAGGTTGATGACCTAGAGAAGGCAAGCGAAGCCGCGAACCACGAAAATGGTCTTTTGAAAGCTCAAGTTGAGCGTCTGCAAGTCGAGCTGAAGGAGTACCGAAAGCGACTGTCATGGATCAGTAGCCAAGGAGGACGCTCCAACAGTGGCAGCAATACCACCCAGAAGAGCACGGTCAACTCTTCCAACGACTTCCAGTTTGAGTTTCCCAAGTTCGGCGACTTGCCTGCCATGTCTGGAACCAAGATGTTTAACAGCTCGACTCTATCCTCCGCGACCCAGAACCAGAACCAAAACCGCTCTACCTCACTAGGTTCAGCTCAGAGCCGCAGTAACAGTGTACCCAAGGCTATCAACCAGAGCCGTAGCAATTCTCAGGGGCAGACCCAGCAGACACAGCGACAGTCGTCCGCAAGCCAGTCACCCATCAGCAACAACATGTTCACCGGTTCTCCTCAGTCGATAAACCAGCACTCAAATAGTGTCGACAGCCTGAGCGGCCTCTTCAGCCCCTCCATCCTTGAGGCTACGAGACATGCTCAATGGGTGGCTATTTCCCTCAATCTAATGGCTACAACAATGTGCCCCGCAACACCCAACCCAACATGTACTCAAATTCCACAACATCGAACTCCGACTCACCAGGCTCATCGACCGAGTCGCATAATAACATCTCCTCGATCGGCACATCACCTGAGCCTAGCCTGAACTCACCAGGCAACAAACTTCAAGACTTCAACCTCAACACCATCGATGAGAACAACATGTCGAACACTTTCGGTAAGGATGAACTCTGCAAGCAACTTTCCCAAGAATGCGGTTGCGTCGACGACCCCGTTCCTCCAGTGTTGCTGTCGTCCTTGAACCCGAAGAATACCATGTCTAACGATGATCTCACGTTAGGCTTCAATACCAATGTCATCAACAATAACAATGCCTTCGGAACGGCTTCCCTCAACAACAATCCCGTCTACGACATTAATTCCAGCTGGTTGCCAGCGGACGCAAACACGAACTTTGACCCAGTCCTATTCGGCGACTATCGCGACACACAAGATAACATCCTGTCGCAAGATTTTGGCAGCTTTTTCAATGATGCATACCCGTTGCCAGATTTGGGAAGCCCTCTGCACAACTATAACGACGTAGTCGCTCCAGAACAGTCGAACAGTGGCGTCCCGGTTTCAATGCCCCAGAAGGTCGATCTGCTGAAACAGGTTGATGCGGCGAAGAACGGCATCGACGAGGTTGTGCCGAACACAGACAAGCCGATGACTTGTAATAAGATATGGTATGCTTCACCCAGCTCTGCAGCAATGACCAGTTGTGCTAACGATGTTCAAAGGGACCGCCTGCAATCAATGGAGAAGTTCCGCAACGGTGAGATCGATATCGATAACCTCTGCTCCGAGCTGCGCGCCAAAGCGAAGTGCTCGGAGGGCGGTGCTGTGGTCGACAAGAAAGACGTCGACAAGATCTTGGGTGCTGGGAAGTAGTCAACGATCCGCGGTAACGACAATCACGAAGAACGTGCATTTTCATGAGAGCTACCTTGTGGTTGGAGTCGGCATCACTCATTGCAACGGTCAATGGAGCTGGGACGGGCGGTGACACAGGTCAAAAGGACTGCTGTCCAAAAGGAAAACTGCAGATCTCGGATTTGGGAGGTGGTTGCAGGCGTTGCTGGGGAATTTTTCGCAGACATGTTGCTCGAATTTCTTGCGATTCCCAGACAGGGACCAGAGTTGGCACGATGAAATAGTCACGGTCCTTCTGATCATATACCACACAAATGGGCGTGAATAGCTGCCCAAGTTCTACAACACGATTTCAAAATATCTGACGTCCAATCGCCGACTTCGCAGTGCCTCAGGTTCCAGATACCTTGTCCTTCTCCCGCTCCTTCGCCATCTTGATCCTCGCATTTCTGCTACCACCCAATCTCGGGCCCGACGACTTCTGCTCTTCTGCCGCTGCAGCCTTTGCACCTCCAGACTTCACGGCGGCAGCAGTCTGCGGCAGCGGGTCCTTCCTCCGCCGCCGCTCTGCCATGCGATCCTCGAAATCCTGCTGGAATTGTGCCGCGAAAGCCTCGTCGTCTGCTTTCTGCTTTACCGTCACATCGCCTCCGGAGCCCGATGATGGCTTGTCGTTAGTATTTGGTCCAGGCTGGTAGTGATCGAGCTTGTGCTCGTGCAGGACGGCTTCGACCAGGGCGTCGCGTGCGATCTCCTCCGAGGGGCGGCGTTTGGGGCCTCGTCGTGGGCGCATGGGTCGGCCGTGACGGTCGAGGCGTGGCTTGCGTGTTCGCTTAGGCGCTGGTGGCGGGGTTGGCTCTCGCGGTGGCAGTGGTACTTCGGAGAGCTGGTGTTGTGGACGTGATGGGATGACGGAGGGTGAAGGCGCTGCTATTGGTGGTGGTGGAACATTCGCCTCTGCAGGGTCATGCTCTGGGCTCGCAGATGCCGAGGATTCCGAGGAAGACTCGTTTTCAGACAGCCTTGTACTACTGTGTTGTACTTGACGACGTTTCGCCATTTCAGAATCTATGTATGCCAACCTTGATGCATTAGATGGTGTCACATAGGGTTGATTTTAGAGGTGTGAGAGATACATACATATGATGATCAACGTCGATCCTGTGCCCAGCAGAACCAACAAAGCGGCCTGCAATGTCCTCCAGGTGTTGCTCTGGTGCTGCGGCTTTCATCACTGTCATGTCGGCGGATCGATCTGAGGGGCCAGCCTTGGCGCTTGTGAACAGTACGCCTGTCTTGCCTGGTCTGGCCGGCCGCCGCAAGGTGAGCATTTGCGGCCCATCGTCGTCGTTTCCGTCACCAGTCTCGGGTCCAGGCGATACGGTCCGACCACGCGTCGTGGCTGTTGGGTCGACCTTCCGCCGCTTGGGCGCTCTGAATAGTGGGACTTCATCCATATGCCACGGTTCTGGTGTGGAGCGGAGAAATTAGCCCCCTCAAGAGCCGAAGACCATCGACAGGTATCTGTATTGCCTTCTGGCACAGCCAATCAGGAAGAAGCGAGACTTATGATAAGTGTATGCCGTAGGGGCTCGAATACTCGTTGATGGATGTCCATTGAACCGGGCTCGGAGCCTCGTTAGGCAATCGAGACTAGCGCAGCCTCGGCGCACCGCGTCCACATTTCGAATCGCGAATTCGCGTTCGATCGTTGCCAAAGACAGCTGAACTGCCCCAGAATTACTCGCTTCCACAGTGACGGAGGCCAGGAGCGCGTGGGAGGCGCCAATTGTGTCGGTAGAAGCCCGCCATGGCACTCAGTGGCCGCGATGAGCCCCGGACCGCGGAATATGCTGGAGGTCAGCAACCCTGCCATCGCTGCGATGACATTGAATCCAAGATACTGATGCTCGGCTGCAGATGAAGTCTCAGCACTTGTTCTAGATCCCGGCTTTTCGTCAGTCCGGGCAGGTTTCGCAGGCGAAGACACGCCCAAATCCATAGTACCAACATACTATGCAGATGCCGGCAATGGCAGACTATTCGGCGACCACACAATCGACCTTCCTCGTTCGAACGTGGCTATAAAGAATCCTATCTCGAGAGATGGCATAGTGGAAGACTGGGACGCTGCAGAAGCGCTATGGAAATATTCGTTTGCGCATAAACTCACGGGTGTACGGCCGAATCATGCTTTACAAAAGTGGCTCAATGACCCGAAGGAAGTACCCGATCTACAAAAAGCCATGGCCGAGTCTGTTGATACCGAACGGTGCCTGGAAGACCACCCGCTGTTTATGACGGAGGTATCGTGGAATCCGCCCAAAGCTCGCGAGAAGTGCGTCGAGATTGCACTCGAATCATGGGCGTCGCCGGCCTTCTATCTTGGACGCACTGGTGTGATGGCCGCATTTGGTGCGGGGCGGTCAAGCGCTCTGGTTGTGGACTTCGGCGCTTCATCAGTCTCTGTCAGCCCTGTGCATGATGGCATGATACTGAAAAAGGGCGTCGTCCGGTCTAACATTGGCGGCAACTACCTGTCTTCGCAGGTCCGATCGCTACTGGCCACAAGCGAGCCGCAGCCGATCACGATTACTCCGCACTATCTGGTCAAGGCCAAGCAGCCAGTTGACGCTGGCCAGAACGCTAACGTCGTTCTAAAAGAGTTTCCACCAGGTTTCACCGCTCCTCAGGACTCATTCCGGCGATATCAAGAAGAAAAGGTCGTGCTTGAATTCAAGGAAATTGCTCTCCAGACATGGACCAATCCGAATGCTTCCTTCAAGAGCCAGGGCGAGATGATGACTAGGGAACAGCAATACGCACTGCCATTCGAGTTTCCAGACGGATACAACCAAGCATTCACGTCAGAACGATTCCGTCTCGTCGAATCCATGTTTGATCCCGCTTGCTACACGGCACCACCACCAGGCTCCGAAGATGCCAAAGACTATCCGGCTCCAGATGCGCAATCGACGATACCTGGCCTAATTCGGCAAGCGCTGTCCCAGGTTGACGTCGATATTAGGCCGTTTCTCCTGCAGAATATTGTGATCACGGGTGGCTCATCACTGATCAAGGGCCTGCCGGATCGCATACAGCAGGAAGTTAGCAAGATGTACACCGGAGCTCGTGTCCGTATCCATGCGCCGGGTATGGCTGTGGAAAGAAAGTATGGCAGCTGGATTGGTGGCAGCATTATGGCGAGTCTGGGAACATTCCATCAGATGTGGATCTCGAAAAAAGAGTACGATGAGCACGGTGCAGGAATCGTTGAGAAGCGATGCAAATGAGGCGTAAGAAATGGCCCGCGCATCAACCATGCATGAACACGATGTGCACGAGTCTCGGACACAACGATGCCGTTCGTTCGCCTTCTCAGACACTTGCGAGTGGCCTAACATGTCGCTGCGTCATCCATTCATGCCGGCAGCTTGAAACAGACGCGATTCATGGAGGCAGGACAATAGCAGCAGTGTCTAAACCAGCCGTGCCGTGGCGGTGACAGCGCGAGCGATGAATCCGACTGGCGGTATGCAGGCTTAACAGGCCTGAACACGAAATACTTACGAGATGGATGAACGGCTGAACCAAAACTCATCAGGGAACCCAGGGTTTGGATTATGCGAGCCTGACTCCGGAAGCCTGTCAGGCTTAGCGCAAACCACTCCCTTGGGATTTGCAAGGACGTGCTTCCAGCCACGCGGTCCGACGGTGCGAATGCGATTGATCTACAGTTCAACATTCAACCCTCTGAGAAAAGATCATAGCTGCAGCTACAGAGCACTGACCGCCTGCAGCCCAACCTTGTTTGATAACGATGATCTTCAGCACGAGGCGGCATAAGACTTCCAGGCTTCAGGATCTACCTAAGCCAAAGAATAAATCCGAATTTCAATCCCATAGTCGTTGCTGAACGGCCCGAGCGCCTCGGGGTCTTGGCCAAAAGTCTGTTCCCACCCGTAAGGAGAATTGCGTCTTATATCACTATGTCTCTCTTTGATACATTTGTAGATGTCGCCATCTATCGTGCTTCCGAAGTGCGAAGGAAGCGAGGAATACCCGTCTAGAAGTTCGATGATCCCAGAGGAGGGGTAAGCGGCAGCATGCAAGTGTGCAGTAGCGTCTTACGACAACGCATCCGCCGCTCTCACAATCCCTGTCAATGCCGCCCGACCCCTCCCTATTTTCGATTTTGACCACGGCATGAAAGGGTTTTGACCAAACGTACCTGTCAAACCACTGTCCCGGGTTCGTGTCCCTGATTGAAGGACCGGTTTTCAATCGACACTTTGACTATCCGAGCGGACTCTGCAGGAGCTATTACAGTAACGAGCAATTCCTTGAGGTCCACGGGTACCGGACATTTTCTCTCATCAGAGATTCCCTTGCATATCTCCGCATCATGACCATTCACGCTATAGCTTCACCGCGGGCGTGCTGGAGACAATTACTGCAGCTAAGTCATTTGGCACTCGAGTCGCCATGGACGAGGCTCCAGTTGTGCTTCTGATATCTAAGAATCCGCTCTTCCTGCGGTGCTGCTGTCAGAGGGCTCCAGAAGGCCCACTTCGAAAACACTTCAACATTCCCTTCTGTCCAACACATCAATGCAGTCGTTTCCGCCACGTAGCATACCCGTCATCCGAAAACCACGCCCGGAAGGCCCTGGTTCTCTGACACAATTGTGACCTTGTGATAGGATCGAGCAAACGTTGTCCATTGCTACACACATGCCCACCCCGGCGGCGAGCCACTTTCGACACCCCACCATTCTCTCGGCTGGCACAACTTGACCGTGACACATCGGGCTTACCTGCATGACACAGTCTTAAGGTTTTTATTCTTGGTTCATATGCCAGACTTGGAATCACCATGATCAAACGCTCTTCGCGACCTCCACCCATCAGATCCAGCGAGAGTCCTATCGCCCCGGACTCAGACGACCTGGCTACATACGACCCTTCTGAAGGGCACGCACCGGACACGCAGTCCTTGTCCGCTTCCATCACCGACTACCCAACGCACTGGGGTCGGCGCTACCATCGCTACCGCGAAGGCTCCTACCTCTTCCCCAACGACGAGCCAGAGTCCGACCGGCTAAACGACCAGCACGAGATATTCAGCCAGTATTTTCAGGGTAAACTGTACTGGGCACCGCTCGACCCGGAAACATGCTTCAACGTCCTTGACATCGGCACGGGCACTGGCATTTGGCCGATTGCTCTCGCCGAGTCGAATCAGCTGCCCAACGCCAGCATTACGGGCATTGACCTCTCCGCCATTCAGCCCGAGATGGTGCCCGAAAATGTCACGTTCGAGATCCAAGACTGTTCCGACGCGGACTGGCTGCGCGACCCAGGCCAGATGGACTACATCCATTCGCGCTTCATGCGGCTCCATCATCTCATGGAAGCAATTGATCCGTACGTCCTACAGCCACTTGCGACCTGGCACTGGGCATCTCGAGCTGCACGAGATCGACCCGCAACCACAGTGCGATGACGGGACCATGCCGCGAGACTGGAAGTTCTTGGAATGGGAGGAAAAATTGGGTTACGCGGCGATGAAGAAGCTCAAAACGCCTCGGCCGATCCGGGTTGCAAGGCAAATGGCGCAGATGATGAAGGATTGCGGATTTGAGGACGTGTATTCGTTCGAGTACAAGATCCCACTGGGGAGTTGGCCGAAGGATAAGAAGCTAAAGGCTATTGGGGCGGCGTTCTGCACTAACTGGGCTTCGGGACTGCAAGGATTTTCGTACAAGCTCTTTGGTGATGCAGGATTGGGGCTCTCGCAGAACGAGATCGAGTTGGAGCTGGTGGATGTGAGGCGCAGTCTAGCGATGGCGGGTGTGCACGCGTATGTTAATTATTACGTGGTTACTGGGCGGCGGCCAACGGCGAGGGAGGAGCGGGATTTGAGGGCGAGGCGGGATCGAGGAGAGGAGGACTGAGCGGCTTGGAGCTCGGCTATATCTCATCATCAACCACGGAATTGTCTCAGATCAAGTGTCGCATGGTGTCGGCTGCCACGCTGAGGATCTGGAGATACCGCATCAGGCCACGGATTCTGGCAGAGCAGTCGTCATTGTCGTTGCAGACAAGAATGGAAGCCCTTGGTCCTGGCTCTCACAGGTCGGCCAGACAAGCAGAGGTGTGGCGGAAAATGCGCTGGAATATCAGTTGTCCAAGCTTATGGCACCAAGGCATTTGCAGCAAACCTCGAACCATGGCACAAAACGACATTAACACCCGCTACGACAGTCCTCCGTAGGCATAACATGGGCTTGTCTTGACCCGATCGAGGAGGCAAGTAATCTACCAGGTACGGCTCAGGGCGTGACCAGCGTCCCACATGATTGCTATGGAGACCTGCAAAAGCATATGTGGTGGAAGGACTACTAGCATGCGTCTCCATACTAGCAGGCTTCCGAGACTCCCAGAAACAGCAAGCCGCCCGAGGAAGGCGCGGTCTGCAGTGGAGACGAACAGTGAGCAAGCAGCACCCGACTACTGTGACTGCCGAGCAGGGCACAGTGTCCATAGAATTCGAGGAATGGCAGGCACGAAACGACAGAGCGATCGTCATTTGGAACTTGACAGCCGAAGTCGCACGGCGACTTGACCGCCGTGGTGACTATGCCCTTGGCAGCAGTCTGTGTCGAATCTGTTTGTGTCAGTGCTGTTGCGCGCTTCGAGCATGGGCCGCCGGAGCTCATTCACATCGCAGAATGTACCTGTCTGCTTGCAACGGCAATGGCGAGCCTGCAGCCTGCGGATGCGGACTGCAGAGCGAGGCCCGGCAATTAGATCTTGTCGATACTCGCATGGATGTCATGACTTTTCCCAGAAGTTCTCAAGCCAGTCTCCCACTGCAAGTCACGTGCAACGTACCGACAGCCTGAGCAGGAAATGAGGCAGGGAGTTCTACGTCGAGGAGGAGTGATTGCCCTGAATATGCAGCCTCGCGAAATCTTGGCTCAGCCTCGTGCCTGCCCATGTGAATATTTCTAGATATTTCGTGCCGCGACCGACCAAGTCGACGGCCTCAATACACCTGCAGACCGCCCACAATGTCGTTAACAATACCACAACCGTCCCAGCAGGGCCTCTTCAAGCAAGGCTACAACAGCTACGACGCCGAAGATGGAGCAGTTATCCGCAACGTGAGCCCCGAATCGACCCCTCCAACAGGCAGCGGGAGACTGACCGAGAGCAGATTGACGCATGTAGAACGATCGCACAAACCGTACAGACCTCGTTAGGACCGTTCGGGCGCAACAAGATCGTCATCAACCACCTGCAGAAAATGATCCTCACATCAGACGCCGCAACCATACTACGAGACTTGAGGTTGTGCACCCCGCAGCCAAACTTTTGGTCATGGCTAGCCAGCAGCAAGAAGCGGAGATGGGTGATGCCACGAATATGGTGATCGTCTTGGCCGGCGAGCTGTTGAAGAAGGCGGAGGAGCTCATCCGCATGGGCTTGAAGACCAGTGATATCAACTCCGGCTATGAGAAGGCACAAAATTATGCACTGAAATGCTTGGAAGATCTCGAGGTCGACACAGTGGCGGACATCCGGTCCAACGATGAGCTTGCCAAGGCAATCCGCACCGTCGTGGCCTCCAAACAGTCCGGCTCCGAAGATATACTTTCACCACTGGTTGCAGAAGCCGTCCAAGCAGTTCTGCCTAAAGATCCCCGTGCATTCAACATCGACAACATCCGTGTGGTGAAGATCATGGGTGGCGACCTGTCACAGTCGAGAGTCATCCGGGGAATGGTCTTCGGTCGGGAACCCGACGGAGTGGTCAAGAAGGCGAAAAAGGCCAAGGTCGGCGTTTTTTCCACACCAATCGATATCTCTCAAACAGAAACGAAAGGCACAGTCCTCCTGAAAAATGCTAAGGAGATGATGGACTTCTCGAAAGGCGAGGAAGAACAGCTGGAGACAGCGATCAAGGAGATCTATGACACAGGTATACGAGTAGTCGTCGCAGGTTCCACGATTGGCGAGCTGGCTCTCCACTACCTCAACAAGATGGGCATCCTTGTTATCAAAATCCTCTCCAAATTCGAACTCCGCCGATTATGCCGAGTGTGTGGCGCCACACCCCTCGCACGTCTCGGCGCGCCGATGCCTGACGAGATGGGCAGCATTGACGTGGTCGAAACCGTCGAGATCGGCGGCGACCGCGTTACAGTTTTCCGACAAGAAGCAGCAACCTCTCAAACACGAACCGCAACCATCGTCCTCCGCGGCGCAACACAAAATCACCTCGACGACGTCGAGCGAGCTATCGACGATGGTGTCAATGTCATCAAAGCCGTGACCAAAGACCCCCGACTCGTGCCCGGTGCCGGCGCAACGGAGATGCAGCTCGTCGAGCGTATCACCGCATTCGCCGACAAGACACCAGGTCTTGCGCAGTATGCCATCCGGAAATACGCCGAAGCTTTCGAGGTCATTCCGCGTACACTAGCCGAGTCAGCAGGTCTCGACGCCACAGAGATTCTTGCCCGCCTGTACACAGCCCACCAGCGCAAGAAATCCTCCTCATCAACATCAGACGAAAGTGACGAAGAAGACGACGAAGACGAGGCCGACTCAGCAGAAACATCCTCCTCAGAAGAAGACCCCTACTGGACCACCGGCGTCGACCTCGAAGCCTCCTCCACCGAAAAAGGCACCCTCGATGCCGTCGACGAGCAGATCCTCGACCTCATGGTGTCAAAGAGCTGGGCAATTCGTCTAGCGACCGAGAGCGCACGGACGGTGCTCAGCGTAGATCAAATCATTGTTGCGAGGCAAGCAGGTGGGCCGAAGCCGCCGGGGCAGAATCCGAATTGGGACGAAGACTGAGAGAAGTGAGCGGTGATCATAATTGCACGCGGCATTAGTTGTTGATGCAGAAAAAACTAGCATGATGATACCCGGGTTCGTAAGATAGAGCAGATGAACACCAAAAACGTCCTTAGTAGAGGAAAGTTTTCTGTTCCTTGCCACTCCCCAACCGATTGCAATGTAGCCAGACACCTTTGATGGTCAAGTCACTCATTAATCCTGCGACTCCAGCTTCCAGCCACACACCTGCCTTTCCACCATTTCCAAATCCCAGCTCGGTATCTGCTCCCCTGTGATTGAGCGCTGAGCTTGCTCAGCAGGAGCAGGACATCGATTGCGATCATTCGGGCAAGGAAGGGCCTCAGTTCACAGGAGGATCAGGCGAGGAAGGAGCGGTGAAGGCAGGGCGGCGATCAAGGATTGTCTGATCGGGGAAGTAGCGATCATGGACATAGTCTTCAGGGAGGAGCCTCCAAGGAAGGAGCATTCGAGGGAACGGAAGTGTAAGGAAGGGGTGTCCAGGAAAGGAGCGCTCAAGGAAGGAGCGTTCGAGGAAGGAGCACAGAGGTCACGCCGGGTTAGATTTCTCGGATGTGCGATGCAAACAAGATGCAAACCACCACATTTTGGACCAACCTTTGCACTGGAGACGCCCACAGAGCCCGCCCTGATGGTCTGACATTAGTCCGCTGGGCGAGTAGGTTGTTTTGGGATGAAAGCGTCATTTGAGCGTCAGATCCTAGAAGAGCCTCGTCAAACATTCTTGGTGAACATTGTGGCCAGGGAGGACTCTGAAGGTCTGAACACGGTTGGGTGGTTTCGTGGGGCGATTTCTCGGAGGGGCCTCACTTGAGCGTCAGTCAGTGGAAAGAAGTCATCACGGACTTTCTGGCCAGGGAGGGCGCTGTGAGAGTTCGTGGAATCTTTTCGTCCGTAGATATTCTGCTAGCAATAGGTAAACACCCCCTGTAGAGGCCTCCCTGTCGTGATTTCCGACTGCTGCCTACGTCCGGTTCCTGCTCTCGGAGAAGCTGACGCCCGCAACGCTGTTGTTGGCCTTCTTCTGCTCCCGTTTCCATACGTCCATGTCCTGGGTATACTCCTTCATCTGATCAGCGTAGCGCTTCTCCCATAGACTCTTATTCTCGTTGCTCAGGTCGCGCCACTCCTGATCAATTCTATTGTCGATCTGGTCGGGTGGGTAATTGTCTGCTTCCAGTTGCGGGCGCATATGATCTGTGAACTGAGTAAACGGTGCGTCGGGACGGGGTGGTTGTGGGCGGAGCTCGACTGTGCGAGCTGCGGCGCTTGTAGAGCGATGAATAGGTGAGCCAGGGCGGCCGTTGTCTGAACGGGAGAAGGATCCTGGTTGGCTGGTCTGTGTTGGAGGTATAGGTGATGAGTGCTGATACTCGTTTGGATTGGGATGTGTTTGGTTGATGAATGACGTGGTCTGTGGGCCTTGTTGCAGGCGGAAGGACGAGGTCAAAGATGCTGGTTCTGGAGGCATTGTGTTTTGGAATGTTGCAGCAGGTGCCAGATTTGGCAGTCCGGCTGGTTGATACGTACTGGGATTTGCGCCCGGTGTGTTGTTCATGATGGATTCGCGATAGCTCTTGTTGGGACGCCGGCGGCGCTCGGGTCGTTCAGCAGGCTGGGAGCGTTGTAAGTAGACTTTCGTGGGTATGTCTTCTTTGGAAGTGGGTGTACCTCGGGTTCCTCCTCGGTCTCGTTTGACGAGTCGTCGAGCAGCACTTCGCCTTCCGGTCGAGGCTCTGCGTCGAGACCGACCAGCTCGCTAATGTGAGCCACGCCTCCGCCAATGCCGAGTCTGTTCAATTCGTCTCTCGAGAGAGTTTTGCCTGGTGTCTTGTTGATCTTTTTGATCTGTTCCATAAGGATAGAGCGCATGAGTCGCATCTTTTGGAGATGCAGTCTCTCTTGCTCGATTCTTCTCCTGGAGGCGTCGTTGCTTGTCTCAATTTCTGTCAGGCGCTTCTTCAATTGGATGCATTTTCTCCTGTAGGCGGCTTCTTGTGAGGGTGCAAGAGGAGCGGCAGAGGGGTTGAATGGCGCGGTTGCTGGAGGCATTGGTGAGTCCTTTGGACCTTCCATCATGGGCGAGCGGTCAGACGTTCTGAGGGCTAGATTGTAGCTACAGATATTGTAATCGCCAGGAGTACTTCATGCGATGATGATTGAATAACACGTGGTTACAATTAGATCAATTAGCTGTGATCTAAGGAACGCGATGTAGTTCAGCCCGGGATTAGTCATTTTATCTCCACAACCTTGGAAGCACGAGACTCACTGGCACTTTCTACAAACAAACCACTACAGAGCCCTCTCTGGCCAGAGAATTAGCAAATATTTTGATCAGCAGAAAGTTGATTCATTGTATAGACTCCAAAGATGTTCCATGAGGCTGGCTGCTCTCTTGACAGGCAGTATGAACTAAATCCTCTCATGCACAAGATCTAAGAAGTTTAGTACACCTCGAGCACATAACGTCCCTCGTCCTTGAGCTCCATAATCCTCCTGCTCGCGTCTCCGCGCTTGACCTTCTCGCCTCGCTTTTGCTTCTCTTTCGCGATCGCTTCCTCCAGAACATTAGTCACATCAGGTACGGGCCAGGTAGGACCACAGAGATAGAAAGCGCCGTCTTGCTTGATGTACGCCTCCGTGATCTGGTCGATAGTCTGGCGCATACGATCCTGGATGTAGATCTTCTGGGGCTGGTCGCGAGAGAAGGCTCGCCCAAGCAAGGTTATGACTCCTGCAGCCTGGTAGGCCTCCCACTCTTCACCATAGCAGTACTCCTCGCGCTGGTGGCGCGAGCCCATGTAGAGCAGTACTGACCCAATCTCCTTGCCCTGCGCCTTCTCCATGGCGCGGTGTTGAACAAAGGCTCGGAATGGAGCAAGACCAGTACCAAGGCCAGCCATGATCAGAGGCTGCGTGGAATTCGGCGGCAGCTTCATCACAGAAGGCTTTACACTGACAGTGACAGGTGCGCCAACCTTCAGATCGACAAGGTACTTCGTAGCCTGTCCAAAGCGATCGCGCTCGCGAGGATCGACCCAGTTCACAACGACCACCATCAATGCCACGGAAGTAGGGGTGACAGCTTGACACGATGCGATAGAGTACTCTCGGCGCTTCATCGGTGCGACAATGCGCACAATGTCGTGGAAGGATGGGTGGGCTGATGGAAACTCGAGCAGAATATCGGCGTACGTAACAGTATCAACCTCAGCACGCCTTTGGAACTCCTTGAATCCCTCAGGTCCAGCAAGGGTCAGAAGCGTCTTCTTCTCATTCTCGTCATCGGCGAAGTCAGCCAGAGCCTCATAGAACTTCTTTGGTGGACGGCCGAAGATATCAACGTTTTGCATGAGCGACTGGTAGATGGTGCGATTCTCGAATCGTGTGGCGGAGTCGCGAGCCTGGACTTCAACAACATCATCGGCATCAAGACCATACCATTTGATGAACTCCATGACCTGACCATGATCATTCTCAGCGTGTATGCCAAGAGCTTCGCCAATGTCGTACTTCAAGCCAGATGTGCCAAGATCGAATTCGATGTGGAAGATGTTCCGGTCGTACGTAATAGGCGTCAGTCTGCGATTCTCCTTGACATGGACCGTGTAAGTCTTGGTTGGCAGGTCAGGTCGAAGATCATCTTGAGTCCCATAAGCCTCTTTGAAGAGCAAGCCCTTGGCGGCCTTCTGCCAGCTGCGAAGTTGGGTGGGAGGCTCTTCTTCGGTCTTGTCGAAAGTGGCGAAGCTGTTGCTCGTGACATCCAGAGGAAGAGCGGGCGGCTCGCAATCGATCTCCGTCTCAAGCCATTCCTTTGGCACTTCAATCTCTCGCAGGGTCAACTCCAGATCGGCTGCGACTTCTTCGAGAGTTTTCGCGTTAGCACTGATGGCAGCAAGCTTCTGGCGAGCGACTTCTTCGGATTCACCAAGCGCGATACGTAGGAAGGCGGCTTGGAAGATCAACGACTCCAACTCATCAGCGTCAATTGTGAGTCCTGTTCTGGTTGGATCGACCAAGTACAATTCAAGACCTTGCTTTGCAATGCCTCTGCGAATCCATGGTGCAAGTTTCTTCTCCACGTCTTCGTCCTTGACGCCGGGCATCGAAACGATCAGCTTGCCTTCATTCTTCACAGAATCAAGGATCGCAACCTTTTCCAGCAACTTTGCGTCAGTCACAACAGCAGTATCCGCGGCAACGATCGAATATGGCGCCTCGAGGCTCCGGGGCGACTTCCGAACATCCACACGGTGTACTCCGCCCTGAATGAGGTTGTCATGCGTTGTGCTGACCGTGACATTCTGAGAGGAATCCTTTGCCAACGCTTGAGCCAGGGTATGCGCCGCATCGGAGGCAGGGCTGTCATCAACATTCCAGAAGCTATACTGCTGGACTTTGTGGTCGACAAACGAGGCGTGGCTGGTGGTCGATCTCTCGCCTAGCAGACCGCGCAGAGTAGTGATCATTCTGGATGGCGTCCAAACCTCCGAAGGCGCATACTTGATGTCTCGAATTTCCGGGATGCTCGACAAGCTGGTGTACACAAGCGCTGCGAGGACATCGTCATAGAGCCGGGAATGCACGCCGACCTCTTGCAGCGCCTGGGAATCAGGGACCTGACCTAGAACGGCTATCGTGCGGGTGCTTTGGGGAACGAGCTTGATGAACTGCTCCTCGGCAAACGGCCGGTACAGGCGGACAGAGATGACTCCAACCCTGCGACCGGATCGAGCAAGGTCCACGGCAGCTTGAGCGGCAAGAGAAGACTCAATGGAGCCGAAAGTGACGAGCACAGCCTCGGGACTATCATCGCCATGGTACTCGAAAGGCTTGTAGTCTGTGCCCAGCTCCTCGTTCAGTGCACGAAGGGTGCGTAGAGCCTTTCCCTCAGTGCTAAGATGGGTGCGCTCCTCACCCTTGGTGCTGTCCAGGATGGCATGGTAAGCAGTAGCGAGGCCAGTCTTGTCAAAGACATCGACAACTCTAGTCGTCTCACGGCTGAGTCTGATTCCATCATAGACGTGGAGAGCTGGCTGGTCCTGAGCTAGCAGCGTCGCTAACAGAGCCATGTGCTGCGCCTCGTATGCCGAATGGCTTGCCACAAGAGCAAGACCAAGGTCCTCGGATATTGTGAGGGCAGAGACATAGTCCGATACTAGCGTGCCGTCTCTGCTTCCGTCATAGTCGGCGGCTGCGACGTGCGCAACGAACGGATTACTGACACCATACAGCAGCGACAGCTGGTCGAGGACCGGACGAAGGAACCGCAACGCCGACGAAGATGCCAGGATACCCTGCGGTATGTGACGCTTCTTCAGGTCAAAGTCCTTGGAGAACATGTAGCCGAGCGCAATACTGCCAGCGCCGTTTCGGATCTGCATAGCCTGCGTCGCTGTTGTGTACCCGTTGGCATTCTTTTCTTCTGCGGAGCTCCATGCTTTCGCGGCCACATCAAGTTCGAAGGTGTCTGGCGAGTACGTGAACAGCTTGTCGGACAGTACATAGGCGACTTGTTGCACCAGAGTCTGCGCGGTCACGTAGGTTGGTCCTCCGATACTGGACAATGAAATTTGCTTCCTAAACGGAAGGCTATCAGAGCCAGTCTGTGCTGTCTGCTCATGGGCCACGGCCTGGCCACCAGAGGATGAGTCGACTAACAGCATCTCGTCGTCCGGGTGAAGCAATGGCTGGCTTCGGAGTGTGGTGTGGTGAACAGAAGCGAGCTTGCACCGCAGGCCCGCCTGGAAATTGTTCGAAATGCATTCCGAGGTCGCTCGAGGCCCATGGCGGACCCATCGTCCGGCAATTGCGCCGATGACCCTCACTAACAGCGCGAAAAAAGTGCTGGTGAATTGCGTGATCGAGCAGTTATCCACTTTCTACCGTCCAATCGGCTGGGAAACTTGCCAAGACTTTTGAGCCTGGCTGTCTCGTTGAGCAGGCCTCCTTCCAAAAGCGGACTTTCATCTGTCCCGCGCATCACAGGTTCACAGGAAATCGTATCCACTTAGCAACGCCGGCTTTCGTATCCGGCCGATACGCCATCAGCATACCATGTGCTTGTCATGTACTGGCGTAGCGTTCCGAGTGCGGCCACATCGTGAGTGTAGTGATTGCTGGACGAGGACATCTGTCTCGGATTTGTCTGTCGTTTGACTCTGCTCAGGTGTGCCAACACACGTTACCAAAGCACCTGTGGCCGTGGTCGCAAGCGAAGTCTAGGAGCAGAGACCATCGCTATGGCTTCGGTCCTTATCACTGGTGGGACGGGTATGGTCGTGAGTCCATCTATGTTGGGCGATATCACGAACACAGACCCAAGCCGAGAGTCGTTGCACGATTGATGCGATCGATCGCTTGATCGCTTCGCCGCTACGAGCACCTCGTATAGTACCTAGCGCTGACATCTAGATTCGCTACAGGGCTCCCTAATCACCTCCACCCTTCGCAACTCCTCACCCGCACACATCTCCACAATCGACATCCTCTCCAGACGGCCTCCACCTGCCGAGACCTCTCCAGGCATAACCTTCCGAGCATTCTCAGAGAAAGATACGACGAAATGGCCCGGCCACATAAAATCCATCTCACCACCACCATCAATCTACTTCTCCGCCCTAGCTACTACACGAGCCAACGCGGGTGGCTTTGAACAGCAGTACAAGCTAGAACACGACTTCAACCTGGAGCTCGCTAAAGCCGCAAAGGAGTGCGGCGTGAAGACATACGTTCTCATCTCTGGCGCAAATGCAAATGCCCAATCCTCATTTGGCTACATTCGCATGAAGGGCGAGATCGAGGAGTTTGTCAAGGCTCAGGACTACGACCACACGATCATCATTCGGCCGGGATTGATCGCGGGCACGCGTGAGGAGAGCAGGCCTGCTGAGGCCGCGCTGAGGGGAGTGGCTGCGCTTGCGGGCAGGATCTCGACGCACTGGCTGAAGGACTTCTGGGCTCAAGACGCAGATGTCATTGCTAAGGCGGCTGTGAGCGCGGCGCTGAAGGCTGAAAATGGTGAATTGAAGGACAAGGTGTTTGTGATGGGCGCGAAGGAGATCATTGAGTATGGACGTACGAACTGGGTGGATCTGAAATGATCATGGACTGGGCTGAGTGGGATGCAAATAATTCGATGCATTACTGCGGACTAGCAGGCAAACGCAGCGCTCTATGATATACTCCTTCCGAACACTGCAACGACGAGTACGACCAGGTATTATACACTCTCACTCCCCTTCCCCTCGTCCGGTGCCTTGCGCCCACCACCACCCTCACTGACCTTCTTGTCCGCTCCACCCTCAACCTCGCTCGTTGGCTGGCTCAAATCTGGGTCCGCTGCACTCCCTGCCAGAGGATTGGCATCGTTTCCCTCGCCGGCCTTCTCCTTCGCTTTCTCTGGGCTCGTGATGTTGGGATCGAACGCAGCTTCCTCGTTGCTCGCGGAGGCATCATCCGTCGACCCATATTCCTGTGATTCCGTATTCATCTTCTTCCGATCCAGTTGCGCCTCGCGTTGATCATCGGATGTTTGTGAGGCATATGTTCGGTTTTGCCAGCGTGTGATGGAGATTGATCCGGGTCTGAGGGTGAGGTGCCGAGGTAAGTGGTGGGATAGCTGGATTGGCCGTAGTAGGCGCAATGCAGGTGGAGGTGACATTGCTTCGAGTGGTTCTGAGGTGCTCTGTAGTGACTGAGGATTTTCTTCGGTAGCAGTGGGCTTATTTCAGATAGATGTCGAGAACGAAGAAAAGAGCATCATACGACCGCTTCTCGAAACTCCGAGTCTGGCTACAGACGATCGTCAGGTTACATCATCGTCTGGGGTCGGATCCCATTTCCGCTGAAGATTCACTGCCTGTCGTCGGAGCCTACGGGCCGCGAGACGTCTGAAGTTCGGTGATGCAGATGATTTTAACAACTCGTCGTTCTACTGATGCCATGCTTCATCAACCCTATAGGACACAGATGGCGTCCCAATGGAGACAGCCCTGTCACAATGCCGAGGAGAGCAAGTTAGGAAATACGCATTTGGGATGGTATAGAATGATGCAGAAGGCCAGAACGCCAAAAACGCGACTTATTGATCGCTTGACTTCTAGTCGCTGTTATGCAGGTAGTTGTATGCTCCCGAGTGATCTAATGTGCTCCTCATAGCGCAGCCTGCCGTCTATCGCTATCAACTGGGTCTGCTTCATCGAAATCGTAGTACCTACTTTTTCCGAGGCCCACCAACACCACGACCACCGAATGCCCATCGGATCTGGTTGGCGACATTAATATCGACGCCCAAGTCCTCTGCAAAAGTCCAGACTAGATCGGGATCCTGAATTGTACCATGTCAGCAAAGTCACAATATAATGCCCTTTAGGATATATGGAGCTATCTTCTCCGCACCAGAGCAGACTGGGATCAGGACTCACCTTCTGGAACCATCTACCACTGAATACAGCGTCGAGTCCCTCGTCGAGTTGCTGCTGGGCGATCTTTCCGTCCTTGATCGCACCAACAGTCGTCACGAGCAACTTGTCTCCCACTTCCTTCTTGATGAACTTCGCAAACCGAGCCTGGTAGGCTGGTCCACTGTCCATCTTAGCGCGCGGATCGAGACCACCAGTGGAGACGTCAAGCAGATCAACGCCGTGCTCGGCGAGAATGAGGGCGAGCTTAGCACTCTGCTCTTGCGTCCATGATGCCTCAACCTCGTCCACCTTCTCGAGCCAGTCGGTAGCACTGATGCGGACGAACAAAGGCATATCCTTGGGGATGATCGATCGAGCCAGATCCACGAGCTCGACACCAAGGCGAGTCCGATTCTCAAAACTGCCGCCATACTTGTCGGTCCGCTTGTTTGTCACAGGTGAAAGGAATTCGTGGAGCAAGTAGCCGTGTGCGAAGTGGAGCTCGATGAGATCGAAACCGACATCGACAGCACGCTTTATCGCATCACCGAATGCTTTCTTGAGCTCTTCGATCCCCTCGAGTGTGTAGGCTTTGGGCATGGGATGCTTGTCGTTGTATGCGGTCGCAGATGGTGCCCACACATCGTCTGGCCAGCCGTTGACCTCCTCGAATGCTGTGTCTCCAGAGGACAGCCAAGGTGCAACGGTGCTACCTTTCCGGCCGGCGTGTCCAAGCTGAATTCCGATTATCTGACTCTGTGAGTGTGCAAACTCGACGATCTTGCGAAGTGGCTCCTTCTGTGAGTCGAGCCATAGACCCGAATCTTCTGGCGTGATGCGACCCTGCGGTGTCACAGATGTGGCTTCAACCATTGTCATGCCGGGACCTCTCTGGATGATGCCTCCGAGATGGGTCATCTGCCAAGCAGTGTGGTGACCATTTTCGCTTGAGTACTGGCAAAGCGGACTTAGGAAAATGCGGTTCTGGAAGGTGACCCCACGTATCGTGAGTGGTTGGAAGAGCTTTGGTGGATTAGAACTCAACGCGGTACCGGCTGGAGGGTCTTGAGCAGGTGTGTAATATGTCAAGCCAAGCTTGTCACCCTTCGCAGGCTTGTTCTCGATGATTTTGTGCTCCTTGCTCCGACCGTTTGGTGGTCCTTTGGCTTCTCTCGTCTCGTCAGTCATATTGGGCGGGTCGATTGGTGGTGAAGTCAGAGGGGTTGTAACAGAAGCCTGAGAATGAAGGACTAGCGAGGACTGAATTGCGGTCGGCGATGGGACATATAAACGATTCGACCTCGCCGGCACTTCACGCCGCGGGTGACGTGCTTCAGGTAATCGATTAGAAATCTCTGCACCAATGACATGAAAACCCGAACACAAATTGTCTGAAAGCTGAACGGTTGAACGGGACGCTATCAAGTACCGAACCGTCACGGGAAAAGGTTCATGACGTGCCTCCAAAATGTTTAAAACCCGCATGCATCGAGCTAGCACTGCAGGTCGTTGTTGCCCCACGGGCAGCGGCTAGCTTGAATCGGCACCTGGGCCGGCGCATTTGGCAGTCGCGATTTTTAAGCAGATCTTCCGGTGCCGAGACCATAGATCAGAGCTTGGGCAGGAAGGACTGTAATCATTGGCTCAAAGGGCTGGCACAGTGTTCATCGCGGACAGCTGTGCGGCTGACTGATGTGCCAATGGTCATACGGAGTCTTTTATGGCAAAGCCCGCCTTGAAGATGATTTGATGATCTCAAGGTACACAGGATAGTTCCTGGCAGTGGCAGGCACGATTACTCGGCTAGCGCGCAACCAGGTTGGGAAGCAAGCGAGGCCAGATAGCCGGACCACGCGCAACAGAACACTCCGTTGAGCTCCATCAATTGCTTACAGGGGAATGTTGATACGCAGGACTCCTGCAAAACTTGAATCAGCCCAAGGAACCCAAACGGCTTGGCTTTGTCATCGCCCAAACTGTACTTAAGTACGAACAGGTAGCTTGGCAAACTCGGCAGCATTACAGAAGCGCTGTAGGAGATAAACTCTGAATTGTGAACCGTGAACGCCTTCGAAGTGCGGAGATAGAGATAGAGATAGAGATTGTGTGTTCATAAATTATCTGCCTAATGATGCGTGAATCTATCGTGTTTCTCGTAAACATGAGTAAGTGGACGTTGCCGTACCAAGGGAGTCGTTAGCACTTGACGTTTTAGGATGCCTGGTTCAAACATTGCCAATGACCACCATGTACCGAAGGCTGGATCCTCGAGAAGGATGAGCAAGATCGTAGGGGAGACTGCCATCTTCGGGAACCATCTGAGAGCTCTTCCAGCCCCAGCTCTTACTCACAACAAATTTCTCGGGCGCCGACTCGTATCTGGATCACAATGTTAGTATGATCTAACGCACAAGGATGTCGAGGTCTGTTCTCAACTTACACACTCATTGACAGACCAGCTTTGTCTGGGCTGTATATCTTAAAGTAGCTCTTGATCGTCGGACGCGTATCGACGTAAGGCTGTATGGTGGGAACGCTAGTCTGGTGTGTCGCTCGTAGCAGCTCGTCGTCCTCTTCGTCCGAGTCGAACAGCCTTGTGACATTCGTCGTCGTGTTTCGCAAGGAGTCGGACCAGAACTCGGGGGACCTTGCCTCCTTGCGAGCGCGATCGAGCACGTCTCCTTTCGGAGTACTATTATCGTCGTGTGGCCCCTCAGATGATGAAGTCTGTGGGTCGATGTCTTGCAGTGACCTGCTACGTCTCTGTGTCTTTCTGAGCAGCATCTCTCGTTCGAGATGGCCAATGCGGTCGTCGACGCTGGCTCCTGCCAGATGGCCACCTGGTTCGTCAATTGGAGAGCTTTCTTTGGCACGGTGTAGATATATGCCCAATTGCTGAGTCTTGGAGCTCGCGATTCGCTGAATGTATACATTCCACAGACTTCCGGCATAGAACAAAGTCTTTGAGTAGATGCGTTTCTTGTCCTTCAGGCTTCGAGTGTGAGGAAACTCGGCGGCAAAGCGGAAGGGTGGGAAACGAGAGTACCTCGGTGGACCGCCACTACTCAGATTCTGGGACAGTGGTCGGCCGCCCTCGGACAGAAAATCTGTGGCCCAGCTCACATCTGCTGCATCGAGACTGGCAGAAAGTCGTGAAGTTGCCTGATGATTCCAGTCCGTCGCTGAACCAATAGCAGCAGCCTGCGCTTCCCTGGTGCCGCCCATCATGTATGATGTATCCTCGTTTGGGATCCAGAACTTTCTTGGCTGAGCATTTCCATCCCAACTCTCCGAGTCTGGTTCGTTGGTTTCTTGCTCTCGCTCCTCACTCGGACGTTTTCCTTTGTAGTCTGCAGCAGGGTTGCTGTGGTTTTGAGCGGATTCGTTGTTTTCATAGGCATATTGTTGGAACCCTAATTCAAGGTCATTCTCGTGTGCATTCAGTACACGTTGCCGAAGCTCCATAGACATCCAGAGCGCATTGGATATCAGATCATCAGCAACGATGGGAACACCAAAGACATCCCGATGAGACTTGATCTGTTGCAGCTGTTCGAAGCGAAGGTGCATGTAATGTATTCCTTCGTCAAGCAGGACAAGAAGTGGCGCAATCTCGGGCGATGTGTACAGCGCGAGCCAAGGGTCGTCCTTTTCAGAGATGTTTCGAGCGCTGCTGTGCATTGATCGATTCCGATAAGTCGTATCGAAGCGAATTGCATTGAATTGCAATGAGACTGGTTTTGGATAAATGAATGTCCCGTGTTCTGAGATCAGCCCAACTTCAGTGGCTTTGATTCTGAGTTTCCGGTTTAGGATTTTGCTCGCCAGGAACCATCTCTCCCATTCGGACGGCACAAAGAAGGGATCACCGCCCACAATGTCTTTGATCATCTCAGAGGGGATCATGTCCCAGCCAGAATATTCCATCTCCCAACCATCTCTGTACAGCATAGCCTTGGCGGACGCGAGGATGCGGTCGCCGGGCTTGCCATAAAAATTGGAGGTGACCAGGCGAATTAAGTCATGCAACCTAGAAGGCTGCATTTGCTTAAGAATCGAGTCTACGCAATTTTCGACAACGTCAGGTAGATTGAGCCAGCATGCCGTGGCAAAGAGTCCAATAGATTCCTGTTCTTCCTGTATTGGTGAAGACGACCCGTAAGTCCGTTTGATGGCAAGCTCAAAGGCTGTCTTCGTTATATTCGAGTCCATTTCTTCTGGTCGAAGCTCCATCTCGCTTGCGGAGCTCTCTGCCCATGGGCCTGAGAATGCCGATTGGAAGAAAGGAATCCTAGCCAGAAGCAGTTTGTGCAGCCTGTATCTCTGTCCAAATGCTATGATGGTTATGTCTGTAATGCTGATCAGTCTAAGATTAGGAGGACGCATAAGCTAGGTGGTAGAGTCGTAATGATAGGTAGGGGCTTTTCCCAGCCGAGAACATGTGCTGCAAAAAGCACTCATCATGCTCAAAGCCGGGTGCATCGAGATGCACGATGGAGCGACTTACCAGAATGTACACCTTCCGAAAATCCTTGAAGTAGTAAGTGATTCGTCAAACTGGAGTTCTCATGTATGCTTCTGCCGACGTTTGAGAGAGTTCTGAGATGCGATGGCAATCGAGAAATGGCGGCTGGAGTTGCAGAGTCGCTCGTAACGAACAGTCTAGCTATCGTAGTGTTCAAGCTGTGCTCATCGTGAGCGTTTGATGAGGAGCTGGCTTCAGGATCGTCCAAGTCCTTCTCGAGCCTCATAAGAGGCGGACGGCTTGCTGACGAACTCATTGACATCATGTCTTCAGGTCGAAATGTCGCCCGTCGAGTACTGGCGCTGGCTAAGCCTGCAAACGGGCCAGAACTGCTCCTAGTCGTGTTGGCCGCGCTCAAGGACGCTAGGGCGGTATTCGCCGAGACTGAAGCTGTTGGCGGACTTGACACAAGTATAGAACGAAGAGGCGACTCGAAGGTGGCTGGCAGAGACATCTGATCGCCCGGTGGCAGAGCTGAGATCTGGTTCGCAGACGCAGCTCTGCGTGGGGGAGGTCGCTCTGACCTTGTGGACGGTCCATCAGGACTCGTTGGATCAGCAAGCCGGCGGGCTTCGTGGTCAGTGCCAGACTCTCCTTCATCTTGGCTCCACGAGGAACTCCGATGCTCGTCACTCCCAGACACTGAGCCTGCCAACGCGGAGTTCAGAGCATTTGCCGCGGAGCGTGGCTGATCTGGTGGTTCATCATCCATTCGATGACACTGCTGTGAGGTCCAGCTCTACGACGACTGTGATCAAGTGGTAAAAGTCACCACTTTACACATGCTTTGGGTAACGAACGGTCTGTTTGATGGTCCCTTCCCTACTAGTAAGAATCCGAGCTTGGCAATGAGGTTAGAGTTCGCTTCAGGTGACAGAGTCTTGTAGGTATTTAGGACGGAACGAGTGCTCTACTCTAGGAAGTGAAGAACGGCATATAGGTCTGTTGCACAGCGAACGTCAGTGTCAATGACAAAAGACAGAGGTTGGAAGTTGGATAGAGGTCATGCGTGTAGATCTCGGATACAGAATCCGCACCCCATACCCCACCCTGACTCCAGCCCAAGATTCCGGCCTCCGTTGGCTCTGCACAGACGACGAATACTCGTTAACGCAGTCACAGGATATATCAATACGTTCGCTACTCTCAGGACTAATCTATGTCCTTACGCACAGCATTCCATCACCACAGATGTTCAGAGTGAAGGAGACGAATTGAATCGGACTCCATTGAGTTCCGAGCAACATTAAACGGATCAGTGATAGAACACAGCGAAATGACTTCGAGGCAACCTTCAGAAGCCTGCCGACATGACGACCACAGGCTCCATGCCCCTCACCCCCGTGAGCGAGTACTCCGAACGTAGAGCCCCGGACCATGGCGCTGCTGTAGGAAACGAACATGACGCGAACAAGGGAGAGTCCCCAAATCACTACAATCGTCCCGAAGGGCAGGGGCAGCAGCACCTGAGTCCTGTGCTAGCGGACGAAAACGATGTCATCCTAACTGAAAAGTCGCTGGCTAGCAATATTGACAAGAATGGCATATCTCCACTCTCACAATATACGCAACGGGAGGCTACTGCGACCGAAAGTGCCGCAGAAGCTCAGAGAAATGTTGATCTGGCCAGTCTCAGAGAGCAGGGGGCGAAGCGTTTCCCACTATCGGCCTTGCCATCTCCTACCGACACTAATCTGTCTCAACCAAGCAGTCCTAGGCCATTGGCCCATTTTGGACTCAGACGGCTGTCCACAGACACCCACATCAGGTCTGCAAGGCGAGATGCCAGTGGTACTGGCTCTCAGCAACAGTCGCCGACGTCAAGCGGCATACCTGTGAGCACAACTGCCAGTCATGAAGATCGTAGGAGAGTCAAGAACCTGGTCATCGACACTTCAGGCCACGGATTGCAGGAATCCAAGAATCGGCCATCTCATCTGCAACGGGCACAGTCGACGCCCGCACCGCCTCGGACATCAACTTCAATGAGACGAGCTTCAGACAAAGACAGGACTACCACAAATATTGCGCATATCGATATACCGAAGGATGACTGGAATAAGCTGAGACAATCGCAAGACCGCAGTAATCCGCTTCCATCGCCAATGCCAACGTCGATTCCTCGGCCGCCTTTGTCGATTCCAACATATCTGCAGCTTGAATTATCCTCTCAAAGACCATCCGATGCGCTCATTCACAGATCAGCAAGTTCAGATTTCCCGTACGAGTCCTCCAGAGCCAAGATTGAAAGGCTGCAGAATTTCATATCCTTGCCCATACATCTGGAAGCTGTCTTATGGTTCGGTATGTTGGCGTGTCTGGATTCATGGCTGTACACCTTCACCATACTACCTCTTCGGCTCCTGAAGTCGTTCTACATCCTTGCCGAGTCCTGGACCACAAACTTCTACCAGGAGGTAAGATGGGTTGTGGGGTTCGTCTTCTCAGGCTCATTTAGATTATGGCGGCGACGCAAACAGGATTCGAAGACTGTGAAGGCGTCAAAAGGCGAGCCGAGCACGCGTGCTGCGAACGGAGCGGCGTCAACGCATCCTCATCCACAGCGAGCCCGCCATCATAGGAGGACTAAATCGGTGCCGTCAAATCTGATGCCTGACGACAAAGCAGACATGCTCAAGGGACTGCTCATACTTTTCACCTGCCTTGTACTTTTACGATTTGATGCTAGTCGCATGTATCACTGGATTCGCGGACAGAATGCTGTGAAGTTATATGTCATTTACAATGTTCTGGAGGTATGCGATCGCCTCTTTTCTGCACTCGGACAAGACGTCCTCGAATGCTTGTTCTCGAGAGAGGCACTAGAACGCAAGCCGGATGGTCACAGCAAAGTCCTTCGCCCTCTCTGGCTTTTCGGAATGGCATTATGTTACACGATCGTGCACTCGACTGCATTATTCTACCAGGTCATTACCCTCAACGTGGCTGTCAATGCTTATTCTAACTCACTAATAACATTATTGCTGTCGAATCAATTCGTGGAGATCAAATCGACTGTGTTCAAGAAGTTCGAAAAAGAGAACCTGTTCCAGCTCACATGCGCTGACGTGGTCGAACGCTTCCAGCTATGGCACATGCTCGTTATTATTGCGGCACGTAACATCGCGGAAACGACTAACATGATCTTCCCTTCGAGCGCCGCATCCTTCTTCCCGAGCAAAACAAACCTTGCATCGGCTCTTGCAGCGAACATGTCTGCTACACCACCAATGCCGCCGCCTCGGATGGTCACTCCGATCCTCCCGCTTTCTTTCACCATCGTGCCGGATATGATCACCTCCGTCACGTCATACGTTCCACACATCAGCCATGTGCTTGGCCCTTTCGTAATTGTCCTGGGCTCAGAAATGTTTGTGGACTGGCTCAAGCACGCCTACATCAACAAGTTCAACAACACCCGTCCAGCCATCTACGACCGCTTCCTCGACGTGCTCGCCAAAGACTACTACACCAACGCCTTCGGAGACCAGAATCTGACGAAGCGGCTGGGGCTGCCAGTCATCCCGCTCAGCTGCCTGCTCATCCGGACCGGCGTACAGATCACCAAGATGTTCATGTCCTCCTGGGCCACCTCGTCCGCTTCGAACAATGCTTCGCCGAGCTTGGCGAGTATACAGGAAGCCTATGCCAGCAGTCGCGGGCCAGTCGCGGTCTCGACGCCGGCTGCGATTGTCTACAAGATCGATGAGCTCCTCGGCGGCTATCCTTCCGCCATCGCCAACTCCAGCGTCACCTCATATGTCAACACAGCCCTCATCGCCATCATCATCTTCCTCGTTGCGCTCGCGATCAAGCTGATCCTGGGCATGATCCTACTCGCATTCGCGCGCAATCGTTATAGGTCAATGAAGGAGCGGGAAAAGGAGCCAATTTACCACGTTGAGGGTGGCAGACGGGTTGGTGGGTGGGGTGTGGTGGAAGTGGACGAGGATAAAAGGCGGTCGATCTACGATGATGACCCTGATGGGCTACGGGCGTTGCAGGAACGGGAGGCGAGGGACAAAGCAAAGAGGGAGAGCCATAGAGGGGCCGGCGTAGCGGTTGATAGTTTTGATCGGGTGAGGAGGTATGAGATGGTGGCAAAGAGGATTTGGTAGACTAGATTTTGTAGCCGTATACCTGGCGGCTTGAGGGACAGACTAGAATTTACTCCTTCGTTCAGCGAGCCGAACTCGTTCTAGCTGTGCGTGCTCGTTCACGTCTTTACGGCTGCAGAATGGCGCTGATGAGTGCACGCAGCGTTTGGGCGCTGTTGGGTCAGGCTGTGTACGTTACGCTTCTACTCGCAATCAGCCTCACGATCCGACGTTCAGACATAGTGCCCATCATTTCAGCCACAGGGTCATTGGCGGTAGTCCATGTGGATGGACAGCAAACACGCGGTGTCTACCATGTCCGCCACGAGGTCGCTGATGGTTGCTCTTTTCCATGGGTAGCAAGCAGGCCACGGGTCGAAAGTCGGATGTTTACCTTGTAGCTGAGAACAGTGAGGTGTACGACGTGCATTCAATAGTGTTTCAACGTGCAGCTGTCATCATCTGGCAACGTTTGCGGACCGACATCTCCTATTATTGATTGACAGCCATGACTCGAGAGTGGGGTTGCATTTTGGCCGTTTCAGCATGTGGATTTTGACAGGCTTCATGGTTGTTAGAGTTTTGTTTTCCCTTCGCTCCTCTGTGTTTGCCGGGGTTGGGATTAGGGATCGTGGTTGGCATGCACTTCCATCTTCCGTTGGTCATTGAGTGCAGTGATACGCACCGGACTGGTCGAGTGTCATGGATGGGGCCCTCGGGAGAGCTCCTCTTCCGTCGAAGCGAAGCATGAACATTGCAGACTCGCAGAGGCTGCAATGGTACGGAGCATGGTGCTGCAGCTGTGTACTAACCGGGCATGAAGTGAGGCTTTGCTTGAGATCGGCAGCGTGCTGTACACAATAGATCCGACGTGGTCACTGTGGCTGTGCGGAAGTGAGGCGCTGCTTATGGGTCGTTGGCGATCGACAAAGAGGCTGATCTGACGATCGTTGCCCGCAGGACTGTCAGGTACTTTAGTAGCAGGCGCCTTCCATTGTAGCAGCTTTGCCTACGAGTCCACATGGCCAGCGACTAGTGCATCAGAAAGAGACTGACTTTTTCGGAATTTTGAAGGAAATTGATGAAGCAAGGTCGACGTTGTGGAGCTGATACGTCGACACATGTCAACGTAGGAAATTGACAGGCGGACGTGTATCTTGCAGCATGCCATTCAATAGTTCCCGGACAGCACAATCATGGCTCTTGGGCAGTAAGCAACGGGCCAGGAAGGACTCTCTGTAGGCTGGGCGTCCGATCTCCATGTACGACCTGGACAGGAGTGGAATTGCGGAGAGGGACAAGTCAGCAGAAGACGATGAAGATCGGCCTGCCACAGTGCCTAGACTTATCTGCCGCTGCCCGCGAAACTTGTAACCTTGCTTGGGCCGGCACTGCTATAGGAGAACAGACTTAGAGGCGAGAGAAGCAAAGCATTGGATGTGATCGATCGACTTCCTTTGGCAGGCCGGGACCCGAAACGCGGCCGTCTTTTGCTGGCCCCCATTGTAGCGAGTCTTTGTCACATCCTGATTTGGTGGAGGAGCGTGGTGGTGTTGGCCAACCTTGGTTCCTGTAACTGTAACTTAGCCGGCCACGCTATCTGGACTGCACTTCTGACAACATACCCAGCCGAAGGAGTACACAACCATCACAGCCAGCTCTATGTTGTGTGGAACAGGTTCATCGCATGGTGTAGCCAACTGCTTCCAATTTTGAGCTCGCCTGCACTGCGTGCACCCGTCAGAGCTTCCCCGCCGCCGGAGAGGCAGTCACAGCACTCTGCAGTCGCACCTGCCGACTCCATCTCCATGCCCTAAGCGCTCGGTCCTTCCACCTCACCTCATCTGACTGCTGCTTCCTCGTCCAGCTCGCAGCATGGACCGCGACTCGGAAGTGCTGTCAATCACGGGAAAGAAGCGTCGCGCGACACTCACCAAGAACCCTCCGCCATCTGCACTCTCAAGTCGCCCTTCGTTAAGGAAACCGCAATCATCGACCTCGCTTCTCCAACGAGCCCCTTCAGCACCCTACCCTCGCTCTCAGCAAGCTTCACATTCCGCCCGCGATATCCACCAGCGAACACGTTCAAACCAGTACGCTTCGTCGCAGTCGTCATTCGAGCATCCGAGCAATCCAAGCACGAACCCGTCGCCGATATTTCCCTCGACCGACAGTTTCACCTATCAGTCGCAACCTTCGCAGTCGTACAACACCGACCTCGTGGGCGCTCCATTTGATGCGTCAGGACTTCTGTCGTCGATACAGTCAACAGCGATTAATGGCGATGCGCCGCCGGCCCCAACGCGAGCACCTCCGCCTCCACTAATGCACACTCACACAAGTCCTGATTTGCGCTCATACCAGTTACAGGGCTCCCAAACAATTCCGCCGGGAGGACAAACAATGGATACCACCTTTCCACAAGCTGATGGGACCATGAGTCCAAAGCGCTTTTCAGGCGAAGCGGTGAAGCCACCAACGGCACGGAAAAAGAGTGGTTTCAGCACTTTTATGAACAGTGTGCTAGGTTCGCCAAAAACCATAAAGATTTCTGCGCCTGAGAATCCAATGCACATGATCCATGTTGGCTATGACAACCAGACGGGCCAGTTCACGGGACTACCCAAAGACTGGCAGCGCATGCTGTCGGACGCAGGTGTGTCGGAAAATGAACAGAAGCAAAATCCAGAGATGATGGTGAATATCATGGAGACGTACAAGAGTAACACTGGAGACCAAGAACAGCATGTCTGGCAGAAGTTCGACCACGCGAAGCTATCAGAGTCGCCAGCGAGCAGTTCATCGAGCTACAAGCAGGGCGGCACTACACCGATCATTGGAAGCAGTCCAGGTTCTTTTCCCTCACAAACACCACAAATGAGCTCGGTCATCTCTCCACCACAAAGTCCGCGATTCCCGCAAAATCATGAAGGCAGTTTCGAAAACCCGAGACCGCCTCCTCCAGTGCCCAAGCTTCCAGCTGCAAGCACGCTCGCAAATATGTCACCAAGTGTCAACGGCATGATGCCCAGTAGGCCGGCTCCGAAACCACCCACACAAACCATGACACCTGCTCGTCCACCTCCGCCACCTCCAGTCAATACTCAGCAACAGCCGATGATACCACGGATGAGTCAGGACCAAGCTAGACCTCCTGCACCGACCGCCGCATCGTCTAACCAGACACCAGCGCTCCCATCAGCTGATGGATATCGCTCAAGATCGGGCTCAAAGACACAGTACACAGCGCCATCGCCAAAGGTCAGCCAAGGCATCACGAACCCGGTGCAATATCAGCAGCAACAGGAGCAAGCCATGCGAGTCGCCCAGGAAGCCATTCAGAGCAAGCAACTGGATCGTTCGCGAAGTCAGCGACAACAGCAGCCTCCTGTCAAACCCACACAGCAGAATCTACCTCCATCACAACAGGCACCAGAAGTACCACCGAAGATCGCCCAACAGAGTCCCTCACTACCTCAGCAAACTCAACAGTATGTCACAGTTGCTGAAAATGGGCAACAGACAACACCGAAGGTTGGGGCAGTTCCGGGTGCCAGACCGCGTGCGAGGCCTCGGCAACCAAGCAACGGCGCTGAGGTGGCCGCGAGGCTGCGAGCAATATGCAGTGCTGGTGATCCTACGAAGAAGTACACCAATCTCGACAAAATCGGACAAGGTGCGTCCGGCGGCGTATTCATGGCATTTGAAGCAGCAGGTGCCAAACGCTGCGTGGCTATCAAGCAGATGAACCTCGAACAACAGCCGAAGAAAGATCTCATTATCAACGAGATCATTGTCATGAAGGAGAGCAAACACAAGAACATTGTCAACTTCATGGATAGCTTCCTGCACGAAGGCGATCTGTGGGTAGTCATGGAGTACATGCAGGGCGGTAGCTTGACAGACGTGGTAACTTTCAACATCATGACGGAAGGACAGATAGCAGCTGTCTGCCGAGAGGTAAGTCTTTCACCAATCCCAACAACAAACTTGTCTGACATTTACAGACTCTCTACGGATTACAACATCTCCACTCTAAGAATGTAATCCACCGAGACATCAAGTCGGACAACATTCTTCTGTCGGAACGAGGCGACATAAAGCTCACGGATTTCGGATTCTGCGCTCAGATCAATGATTCGCAGAACAAGCGGACGACTATGGTCGGTACGCCATACTGGATGGCTCCAGAGGTTGTGACCCGGAAAGAATATGGGCGAAAGGTCGACATCTGGAGTTTGGGCATCATGGCCATCGAGATGATCGAAGGAGAGCCACCGTATCTTACCGAGTCGCCACTTCGAGCCTTGTACTTGATCGCCAAGTTCGGCACGCCGCGCATTAAGAATGAGCAGGACTTGTCACAGGTCTTCCGAGACTTCTTGTATTTCGCTCTCAAGGTAGAGCCAGAGAAACGCGCCAGCGCTCACGATCTTCTTCATGTAAGTATCCCGGATCTGTGGGTGGGAACGAGCTAACGTGAGTGAAGCATCCGTTTATGCAGATGTGTGCACCCTTACAGACTCTTGCGCCTTTGGTTCAATCAGCTCGCGAGAGCCGAGCAGCAGAGAAGCAGCAACGAGCGGGTGGTTGATTTCCCGATTCTGTACAATATTCTGATTCGTTCCGACAAATTGAAGAATACGGCCCGATCGAGCCACCAAGGCCCAGCGGTCATGGAAATCGATGAATACTTCGTGCCGAGCGACGTTGATGCGCCTCTGCCACATGATGGACGACGGAACGACAGCGCGCAATTGTCCTTTGAGAGTGCTGATGAATCCGCATACAGACACGTTGCTCACGCTGCCAAGGCAACAGAAGGTGTAAGGAGGCAGCTGCTGGCAAGACAATGTGGTTTTGACAGTGTACAAGTCAAGCGCATCGATTTGGATGGACTTTGTCCAAGTGAGGACTTACTGTCCATCGGCGGGCAGCTTACCGGCTCGTATGGCTGGCATGCGAGTCTCTGTTCCTGTCGAGAGCGGCATGACAACCCTCAGCACTCGGTGACCTCGACCTACATAGCTGAGGTCCGGCCAAGTAGCTAGACAGAAAAGCAGGTCGCACCACACATGTACTAGTGAACAAATGCTGTACCTCGCAGAAGTGCATGTCAACCGGCGTAGAGTGAGGCGATGACGCAGCTGCGAATTGCTAGCCAGGTTTGCCTCCGCCTAAGCCTCTCCAAAGTACGAACGCAGAGACGTTCCAGCGATTCCAGGCACCTGTCCATCTCAGTCCTCAAAACGTGCCAGCCGTCGATAATTCCGCCTTCCGTTTTAGCATTGCTTTCCGCGCGCATATATACACCCTTCCAACCCGGTGAGGACGACAGTTTGAGGCGTCAAAATCACCATGTTCCGCGCCCAGCAGAACGTCTTCGACGACGCGGTTGGTTAGTCTGCCTCGAATCCCATTGTACACGTGAGGCTAATCAGCGCCCACAGCGAAAGCCACGGACGAGAACTTGACGTCGGAGAACTGGGAGTTCATCCTCGATGTATGCGACAAGGTGTCCGGGAACGAGTCAGGGCCAAAAGAAGCAGTGGCTGCCATGATCAAAAGACTGGCTCATCGCAATGCCAACGTCCAACTATACACACTAGAGTTGGCAAACTCGTTATCGCAGAACTGCGGAGTTGCCATGCACAGAGAGCTCGCGTCCAGGAGCTTTACAGATGCCCTATTGCGGCTTGCGAATGATAGGGTGGGCATACTTGGCGATACTACTGGGCTAGGCTGATCAGAGTGCAGACAACCCATCAGCAAGTCAAGTCCAAGATCCTTGAGCGAATGGACGAATGGACCAAGATGTTCTCGAATAACACTGAGCTGGGCATTATGGAGCAAGCATTCATGCGGCTCAAATCATCAAGTACGTTGCGTTCACAAGCCATCACAGCCCAATACTAATGGTTCAGATCCAAACCTACAGCCACCGCAGGCACCCAGAAAGCAGCAAATCACACAGTACGATCGTCAACGGGAAGAAGAGGAGCTGCAGATGGCGTTGAAACTGTCGATTCAGGACAAGCCGTCCGCCCCTAGTCAACAGCCTGGCGCCGCAGAGCTGTCAGGGCAGTCGAACTCAAATACTCAATCAGCAACTGTATCACAGCCAGTGCAGTCCGGCACAACCGCAGCGACTGTCTCCCGTGTCCGGGCCTTGTTCGATTTCCAGCCATCGGAACCAGGCGAGCTTCAATTCAGGAAAGGAGATACTATCGCCGTTCTTGAGTCGGTATACAAAGATTGGTGGAAGGGCTCGCTGCGAGGCCAGACCGGCATCTTCCCTCTCAACTATGTTGAAAAGTTGCAGGATCCGACAGCAGATGAGCTGCAGAGGGAGGCACAGACCGAAGCGGAAGTCTTTGGTCAAATCAAAAATGTTGAGAAGTTGCTGGCACTTCTGAGCGTCAACTCAAGCGACGTCAGCAGTCGCGACAACGAGGAGATCACAGAATTGTACAATCAGACGCTGTCGATAAGACCGAAGTTGATCGAATTGATTGGAAAGTACACACAGAAGAAAGGTAAGCAGGACCACCTCACGCCACGAGATCGGTTTGGCTGACCTCCTCAGATGATTTCCAACAACTCAACGAGAAATTCATCAAGGCAAGACGCGACTATGAGTCTATGCTGGAGGCGTCGATGGCACAGAGCGCGCAACAGTACGGCAGACCCAGCCAGCCGTCATATGGCTATGGTGCCAGCGCTCCACCGAATCGCTACTACACACCGGGTAGGTTCAACTCGAACCAAGTTGAGACTAATGCATTGACGACCGCATAGATGGCCAAGTGCCAGTCGCAGGATATCCTCCAGGAGCGCCTCCACAGCAATTCCAGCCGCCATATCCGGTACAATCGCCTCCGCCTCAGTCGCACACCCCAGGTGCCCCACCTGTGCACCAGACACAGCCACCGCCCGGACACGATCCTTATGCAGCATACAACGCGCCACAACGTCGCCAATCGCACCACTCCTCCGAGCACCCGTATAACCCACAGGAAATGGGCACGTCCGTGTACGACTCGCCAGTCGACGGACAACCCTCGCGGCATTCATACCCACCACAACTCCAATCTAGCCAGCCTCCGCCCCCACACAATCAATCACAGGTGACACTCTCTGAGGCCGAGTACAGCGCCAGCGTGTACAGCCAAGACCAGCATGATTCGTCTGTCCAACATCAACCACCTCCCGCAGGCCCTAGTCATGCTCCATACCCTCCGCAGCAGGGCTATGGACCACCTCCGACCCAGCAGCCGCCTCCCGCTCCTAGTCAAGCTCCGCCAATGCCACCTCAAGGCACCGGCGGGTATGGTGCGCCGCCACCATCTGGTCCTTATCAGGCATATCAGCCTCCACCTCAGCAGCAGCCTGCTGGCTACGCTGGGGGTGAGCCGCAAAGGTATTATGGATAGAATCACATCAAGCCTCAATCGGGTCAGCGTGGAGTTGAGGTTTCTAGGGAGCATAGCATGGGCCAACAGCGTTGCAGAATCTCGGCCGATCAACGGACAGAGGAGCATAGCACCGGTCCCCAGCGGCGCAACATGCCAGCCGATCAAAGAGTAGAAATGCTTCGTCAACTTCATAGAGCGCGGCAGATGGAAAGGCGTTGAGACTGAGTATTCGACCATTGTCGACAGACCGCCAAGTCTGCGTACGCGTTGAAAGCGGTGCAGCACCACGTGAGTCGTGTAACAATGCTGGGGTGGCAACGACCGTCACCGCACGCAAGAGTGGGGTTACAGTTGCCATGCATGCATAGCTCAGACACCCTGGGACGCTCACTACTAGGAAGCCTTCGGATCGACGACAAGCAACGCAGTTCAACAGGGCAGAAGTCTCCAAGAGACAGGTTCGTTGGGACGGACGATCTCGCCTATCTACCTGCCTACGGACTCTAGCAGTCCATTATCCTGAAGACGCAGTAGGGACGGCGGAAAAGTGCGGTGTCGAAGGAAGACACATCTTGGTGGCATCAAGCCAGTGTTGGGGATCCAAAGGAAATGGAATAGAGCGAGACGGGGTGGACGATGAAATCAGACGAGATACCCTCGGGGTAGCAAGGCAACAGTCAAAGCCGGTAGTGTGCATTGAGCGAACTGTTGCCGTTACGTTTTCTGATGCCTTCGACACTTATTACTAGAACGCTGGCGGAGAGCTCAAAGTCACGTGCTCAATGTATTCAGTAGTAAGTCACGATATACGATTACACTTGGAAGATGAGGTCATCCGACCAGTCAGTGTCAATCCGATGCGAGGCAGGCAGTCCAGGACTGCTTACTTACCCTGAGATCTTACTTTGCTGATAGGTGGGCTCCCGAAGAGAGCAGACTGTGCGACTTTCGGAGCAAGACGCAGCGCGTGCCTCGGTCGGATGAAGCCGGGGTGGACTGTTGTCAGAAATTCTGCATGTGTAGGTCATTTGCTTCTCTGTTGTGTCTATATGCAAAGAGAAAACCGCAGCGCCGTATTATAGTCGAGTAGATAGGTGATTGTCGACGGCATCTTCGCTGGTGGACCAGGAAGATGTGCTTTCGTTGTCCTGCGCATAATGTCGGAAGTTTGTCGTTGGCCAGGATTGAGAGTTGTGAGCATATAGTCGCAAGCCCATCAGATCTGTCAAGCGAATCTGTAGCAAGACCAGTAGTCCGTGCCGCTGGCCTTTGCTGTGACACGCAGCCATTGATTGAGCCTTGGGACTTGTTGACCTATTTCTTATCCGAAGCCGACATGTACTGGTAAGCGCCAAAAGCCAACAACCCACCCACGAGAAGAACAGCGTAGAGCGCAACCCCAAAACCAGTATCGCCGCCAGAGCTCTTTCCCGGACCAGCAGCAATCTTATCGGTACCACCGATATTCTTCTTCGGCGGGTCGCCCTCAACACGCTTGAGATCGCCGATTAATAGCCCGTCGAGGATCTCTCGTGCTTCGTCGCTGTGGCCGACATCTTCAAAGGCTTCGGTGGCGTCTTGGCCGCCGACATCGAGCATGACTTCTTCACCTCCGCTGTGTTCGTGCTGTTAGATGGGCTATCGCAAGAGGCATGTGGGGCTCGGATCGGAAAGTGGGAGGGGAGAAATTGCCGGATGGGTATGGGGTACTGAGACTTACGGGTGCTCGTCGACGAAGGATGAGGCATTGTAGACTTTGTCGTGGACGACGATGTAGAGGTCCTTCTTGGATGAGTGCTTTGCTACTTCTGCGAAGGTGAGTTCTTGCGACATGGTTGTGGTTGGAGATGTGTGTTGGGGAGCGGTGGGAGGGCGGTGTGGTGTTGTCTGATGGGACTACTCGTAGAGGAGACAATGACAGAAGCTCTTGTAGATAGAAGCGCCGAGAGCGATTGCGTTGAGACTACTGGCGGCGAGTCTGAAGCACGAAGAAGCGCAGAAGTGAGAGGTAGATGTTGAAGACTTTCTCGGTGACTGCGCTCCGAAAGATGTGCAAGTTCTGGTTCGGCAAGGGCCCAGGGTAACGGCTGTGTGGGTCGGCAGGTGCCCAATGGAAGCACGCCTAAATAAATGAGACCACAGCTAAAGCAGGCAAGTCATCCGGCCTAGATGTCAGCCTCCCGAGCCTCTTGATGCCCATCTTCACGGCCCGCTCGTACTTCGTACTGCTTGTCCTCCGCGCTATTGGGTTCCCCGCATTCGAGCGCGTCGGAACGCGCACTATTCGAGTACGACGCCCAGCTCTTGTGATGCAGGACTGAAGGGCTTGCGCAGGACAACATGTCCGCCGGCATCGTCTACGAGGGCGTTCGCCGGCAGGACGAGGTTGACGAAGACGAGGCACGCCATCCTGGAGCAGCAGGATCTCAAGCGCAACGGCTCTTCTCAGGCTTGAAATTGTGGTTCTCGCATGGCGTTCCCGCACGAAAATGGCTGATGGATAATGCGGAAGCCAATGGCGCCGAGATCGTTCCTCTGGAAAAGCAGGCCGACGTTCGTCTTGTCGATCATGCCAGGCAGAACCAAGCACCAGGAACTCATTCATACCGATTCGTCGAGCAGTCAATCCGGACTGGAGTCCTGGAAGATCTCGAAGCACACCGCGTTGGCGTCACAGCACGTGTTGACCGGCCGGTAGGGAGTAAGGTCACTGGCCCTAGCGGTAAGCGCAACCCATACACTGAAGAGGAGGACCAGTTTCTTTACAACTTCGTCAAGCCCTTTGAATTGAAAGGCGGTGCTTGGAAAGGCAACGAAATCTACAAGCAAATCGAACGCGTGCGACCCAGACACCCATATCAGAGCTGGCGAGAACGATACATCAAGTATGTCAGAAACTCAAACCGCAGCATCACTGCCACTGTCAGCCAAGACGATGGCAGTATCGTCCCACAGAGCGTGGAGCTGGCTGAATCGCACCAGCAACCGGCCACAGTCGCGCCCACGCAAGCAGTCTCACGAGCCAGCGAGTCGTCGCCACGGAAACGTCAAAAGCTGGCGAACGGCTTCGTTGAACCAAATGAGCGACCTGTTCGAGCAAGAACGCCTACCGCGCCTGGTCCTAGCAATGGTGACACCACTCGAGCTCCCTCTCCCACTTCTCCTGCCCACCATATGAGAGTGTCTGTCCAGGTACCCGTCCGCAGTCCGGCTAGGGCCGAGCGTAATGAAGGAGCGGAAGACGTTCGGCCATCGCAGCAACTTGCACGTATGGATGCGAAGGCTGTGACCGTGACAAGTGCTGATGCAACCGAGCCAATCCTGGTCCCTGTTCTAGCTACGCCACAGCAGCACCGTCGGCAACCTTCTCCAGAGCTCTTGACTCCAGATAGTCAGAGAGAGACTCCCCTTACACCTGAAGAGCAGAGGATACCAGTCAAAGCTCCAGACTTCGTCTTCGGCAACTTCAAGAAAAGACACTTTAGGGGATTGTTTCGCATTACCAAAGACATCGTCGAATATGATTCTTCGCTATTGGGTGGTGCCTTCGATCAAGTAGCTGCAACACCTGCAAACAAGGACCTTGGACATACTGGGCGCGACTGGCGCATCTTTTGGCAATTCCATGTCTTGCCCGTCTGGCTTCAGGAACAAGGAAAAAATGCTCCTTCGGTGAGCCAGGATATTTTACTACCAGCATTCCAACAGTTCGAGCTCTCAAAGTCTAAGCGACCTGAGCAACCTGAAACTCACAGCGATGATGCCGAGCACGAAGAGGTGCAGCAAGCTGAGGCTGAGCCTGCGGAACAGCCGTCACAGCTTGTCAATGCTGACGACGAAGATGCGGAGTTCGAGAAGGTTGCCTGTACCCATTGCTTCACGCAGGAAAGCAACAGATGGAGGCGCGACAAGAAGGGCAATCTGCTGTGTACCGATTGTTGGGCACTGATGAGAGAAGGCCGCATGCGAAGCATGTCCGGAGGGCAAGTATTGATAGTGGATATAACCGACGATCAACAGGACGAGCGAGTCGCGGAGCAACTTTTGACACCCACGAAAAGTACGCCGGCAAGATCTCGAATCACAGTAGGCTACTCGGATGCGGGCGTACAGACATCACCGCTGCGATCTCCATCGCCTGAGCTTGCCAGAGCGACGCACAGCCAAATTGACAGTTCTTTGTCACAACCTGCGCCGAACGAGTCCCGGAAGCGAAGTGCTGGTCGAACATCGCAATCTACTTCGCAAGAAACCAAGAAATCCTCCCAGCAGGCTGCTTCTTCGCAAGGCGTTGATGGAGTGCATGAGGTTTCCGTGGAGCAGTCGTTCACGAAGGTGACAGACACGCCTCGCAAACGCCAGGTTCTGCTCGATGATGTTATTGAGATTCCCTCGACCCCCGAGCAGGTGATCGAACCAGAAGATGACATTGGACATTCAGCCAGACCACCTCTCAGAGAGCTACCAGTATCCAGCCCGGTAGGCTCGCCATTGTTCTTCCCAGAAGATGATCGTGAGCCACCGCCACTGCCTGCCCTTGCGGAAGGCTCACATGTCTCCTCTCAGCCTCTGAACGTCAGACTCCTGAGTGTCCGTGCTATGACCGAAGAGGCTGCACATTCGGACAAAGAGAATGACGATCCCAGCTCCGAATCTGTATATGCATTCGAGACTGCGCCAAACATTTCACAGGATTGGGATACTGCGCCAGAAGAGCCAGAGCCACGCCGGGAACGTGCTACCACTCAGGCTTTGTTCGATGCAACTGAGCCAGAAGCTGATATCTCTCTCCTCGATCTACCTGAGCCAGACGAAGGCTGGGCCGTGCTTGACGTTCCGCTGCCAGAAGAGGATGAGATCAATGGCGCCGGACAACCCTCTCCAGCCAAAAAGAAGGAATTTGAGGAGGTCGAGATATCTTCAGATGAAGCAGAGGACGAAGACATTCCGGCCGATGCAATGGACGCCTGGCTGGAAAGCGAGAACGAAAAGCACAAGGATGTGAGAGGCTTGAATAGGATGTTGTCGACGGCGATTGAAGCAACAAGTATGAACTTTGAGCTCGCATCCGAGATCGTGGTGCGGATGGTGGCCTACAGCAAGACGAATCACTGGCGACGATTGCGAAGGGAAGGTGGAAGTATCCCGCCTCCGAATGACGTTCCTGGATGTTGGACGGAGCAAGACGACAATCTGCTGATGAGCGAGGTCGAAGAGGAATGGGAGGCGGTGCTCGAGAAGCATGGGTTAGCTCATTGCGAGGCACGCCGGGAGTGGTTGGAGCAGTCCACTGAGTCGTAAGGGTCCTGGAAGCTTATGGTCTCGCGGGAACCAGGCGATTGTGGATGGACAAATTGTATTTCTAGACGACGACGATACCACAAACGAGTGTACAACAGAGAAAGATGCCCTACTGATCATGATATGACTCTTGTCAACCGGTTGTGCTCTAAATGTGAGTTTAGGGTTCAAGGGGGGGAACAATGTTCAGCAACCCTAACTTTTCGTTTGAGCTGCCCCAATACGTGATGCTGTTTTTCCTTCCGTTAGGCGTCCTTCGGAGGGAAATCACGATGGGGCCAAGGAAATTGTCCAACAAGCCTCGATGCACTGCTTTGGCCCCTGGACACCGTCGATGTATCATGTCGCGCCAGCGTACAAGGCCCGTCGCCGCCCAAATCCCCAGGTAGGTGTACACAAGGTATGTCTCTCTATTATCCTCCTCCTCCACTTCTTAGCTGTATCTCATCTCCATTGCCAACATGCCTCGTACCGGTCCATCCAAGTCCAATGGCCTGACTATCTCCCTTGATGACTTCCAGCCTACATATCAACCAGGTGACGTCTTAATTGGCCGCGTGACACTGTCAAACGCTCCTCTGCAATCGAGCTCCGTCCGACTCAAGTTCTTCGGTCGTGCCAAGACCAAGTACACCGTCAAAACCTCCAATGGCACCTCTATTGAACGAGGTCGAGCAGGCTTCTTCGAAGTTGCTCAACATCTCACAACTGAGACAGTCGCCGCAGATGGCTCCCGCTCCTTTCCATTCTCTGTCACCGTCCCCACCTCATCCCAGCCAAACATGTCATCACGCGGCGACGAATTTAAGCATCACTCGGACTACCTCTCCACGCTCGACGTTGCCAAGAAAACCGTTGACGTTACGAAGCATCCCTTGCCATCGGTGATGTACTATCACGCCAAATCAGAGATGTCAGGCAAGACCTCCGAAGCATACGTCGAATATGGCTTGCATGCAAGTGTCGCTGGGAAGGAGGCGACTTTGCCAATCTTCATCCGTCAAAAGTCTTCAGCGGTCCCCATATTGGACCATCACATGATGTATAGGTCGATCTTGCAGACTTTACAGACTCCTCGATTGTTGGCTGAGCATGCGGACAAGGAGCTCACCTTTCGACAGAAGTCGTCCCGCTTTTTCAAGCGCTCGAAGACTCCAAAATACGTCTTTCAGGTCCGAATCGAGACACCGAGTACCGTTCAACTAGAGCATCCGAATGCTGTACCCATCAAGATTGGTATTGTGCCAGATCTGCACTCCACACGCACCACTATTTCCCTCGATGCCCTCCCACCCGTGTACCTGAGCCAATTCAAACTTCAACTCGAGCTCTGCGTAGACATTCGATGTCCTGGGACGTTCTGGGATAGCGAAAACGACAAACACCACGACATCGACATTCCCATTCTGTTTCCACAACGGATGCTGATCCCCACACTTGCACCAGAAGGAGATGGAAAGCCGTTGACTTCGAGCTGGGGACTACAAGCTGTACCCACAACAACAACAGCCAACGGTCTCAGTCCTCAAGTGACGACGAACGGACCAGCAGATGCCCGCACCACAAGATCTGCATCTTTCGCATCCCAAGCAACCACGCTGCCGCCCCTACCCTCCCTTGCCACATCGTCCAACACGCCCCTCGACATCGGCAACACACTCTCAATCTTCATCGGTACCTCAGCATGCACAACTCGTCATTCGAAGCCACACCCGTTCAAGCGCCAACTCTACCCATCATTCAAGACTTACAACATCCACCTCTACTACAAACTCAAGTGGAAGGCCACAATCAGCTGCGCAGGCGAAGTCGAGGAGCTCAGCGGGACGAGTCCTTTGACAATATTAGCGCCGAGTGAGCAACAGGAAGAACAGAAGATGAGAGAACTGGGCATTGAAGGGATGAAAAAGAACTACGATGATCTCATGGCCGGTCTCGAGAGCGGGTTCTCAATACTGGAGGGCATATTGCAGGTAGTGGGTAGTGTATAGTACATACCTAGGTATGCGTGGAGAATCGTAGCTCGTGTTGTCACCATCGAGGCTGTCGGACACGATCGGCTTCGCTTCCTGCATTACGGATCTTCCACCAAGTCTTGTCACCAAGCTACCACCTTCAGAAACGCCAATATCGGACTCGTCCGAAAACCGCAATTCTCACTGCCAAGCCACGATGCCATTGGGCTGCACTGAATGCTTCGCGAGGTCCACCTCATGTCAGCATTCAATATCGACCGACATCCGAGTCGAAACCACTACCGGAAACAGTGCCCATGATATTTGTCCCGAGCAAGGACAATATACATAAGACCGCGTCATGACATTGATCGCAAAGTACCTCTTGGATCCGCCACCTGCACATATAGCATACGGCATGACGCCCCTTCTTCTACCGCCAGCAAACCTTCTGGATCATATTCCTCGAAAGATCCTCGACATGTCAGAGTCGTCATCATCGGCTGGAGCAGTTTCATCACCTCCTGTGGCGCTCATCACCGGAGCTGCCTCCGGTATGGGCCTCGCACTGACGCGCCACCTCGTCCTCGTCAAAGGATGGCGTGTCGCGATGTGCGACGTCAATGCCGCTATTGGCGAGAACGAGTCTCGCAAGTTGAACACCGCAACCGGAACGAGCAGCGCCCATTCTTCGAATGCTGATGCCAACAACAATAGTCCCACGCAACAGCGAACAATCTTCCGCAAAGTCGACATAACATCCTACGCCCAACAAGCCGCCTTCTTTAAGGAGGTCTTTGAATGGTCCGGCGGCCACATCGACTACTTCGCCGCGAACGCTGGCATCATGGACGTAGGCAGCCTCTTCGAGCCCATCCAGCGAATGAAATTCGACGCCACCACGGACGTTCCAGTCCCACCATCGACCTTGCCAGTAGACGTCAACTTCCGTGCTGTGCTAGAGGGTATCTGGCTGTATCGCTACTTCCATGGTCAGCGTAAGCGGGCCGAAAAGGGGCAGCCACCACGAGGTCGCATCACGGTGACGGGTAGTAGCTCCGGGCTGTACCCATTCCATGGACAGGTGCAGTACAGCGCGACGAAACATGCCGTGGTGGGCGTGGTGCGGTCGTCCGCTGTGCCGCTACGCAGGGAGAATATCAGTATCAACGCCCTTGCGCCGAGCTTTGTCGCGACGGGGTTGTTGCCGGCGCAGTTCCTCAGGGATTGGCCGAAGGAACATATGGTCTCGATGGATAATGTGCTACGCACTCATGATATGTTCATTGATGATGGGGCTGGGGAGAGGTGGGATGGTGTTGTGGGTAGGGAAACCGCGACAGATAAGTCGAGGCCAAGGAAGGCGGGGTCAATGATGACGGGGGAGATTGTTGAGTTGAGCCAGGAGGATATGTTCTTCAGGAGGCCGGTGGCGTATCCGAATGAGAGCCAGAGGTGGTTGAATGAGGATAGTGCAAAGTACTTTCGGGATATTGAGCGGCAGAAGGTCGAGTTGAACAAAGCGAGAGAGGCGAAGTTGTAAGTTCGTTCAACAGTAGGTGCTGCTGATCGCAGACGGGTTGCGAAAGGGTGCCATCCTCTGCGCATACGAGTCTGTATAGAGTGCATGACTGGTCGCCATGAGAGGGAGCACTCGGTCATTGGTAGCATTGCTCATCCGGTACGTCTGGATCAACATGACTCAGAGCAGATCTAGACACCGGTTGAGCGTGGAGGTTGGACCCGAGTGGGAGCAGGGCATGCAACGTTCGATCAACTTAAAAGGCGCGGGCAGGATCATAAGCACGAACAAGAATATTTGATGGTAATGTCCGCGTTGTACGTCCTGAATGGTACCGCCACGTCATGTGTGGGCGAGGTGACGGCGATGGTGATCGCGGAGGCGACAATCGCGTCTGCTCCGGTCAAGTGATGCATCGTCTGCCACGTCGTCGCTGTGGGATGTCTCTGTCCCTCGCAGCTTGAGAACGGAGCTGTTTCCAGAGCTGATGAAAGAGTACTACTGCGGATACATCGCGTTTTCGCTCGATATCTGGCTCAATCCGGTCGAAAACAGCATAGATATCTGCGTGGGATGTCGGTACCAAGACATCCCTGCAGAAGGGAGCAGATCGCCCAATCGGCATTGCAATCCCACAGAAATCCTTGGAGACCAGTAGTAATAGTGGTACCCAAGGATACAACCAGATCCGTCCAACAGTGTTGCCTCGACGGTCATGAACGCGACAGAGGCCGACTCCAGCTGGGAGGATGGCAGCGATGATTCTCGCCGTTATTTCCGGTGGCATGCTGGCCAACGTAGGCGGAGGTTTGGACTGGTAACGCATCAGGTTCATGCGCAGCACGTTGACTTGTGGTGCTTACCCATGATGGCAACTCTTGCTGCAAGGTAGCCACGGTCGACGCTACAGGTAGGGTGGTCAGATCCATGATAAGTGGATGAGTCGAGGCGACAGCCAGTAGTGTCGGACACTATATGTATATTGGTACATCCCCACGAACGTCTCGAGAGGAAGTGCAAGAGTCAAAGACAACTATACTGTTACGAAAATGCCAGCCTGTCAATATGCCTCGCTCAGAGCTAATTCAATTCTGCATTAATCACAACCAGAGTGGTCCCGAAGCATACCTCCTTAAGTCCATGACGACTGCATGCGGCCGTTGAGTCCATGGTGGTGGCACCCTGAAGCTGATTTCCATTACTGTCACTACCATGTAGCAATCGTAAGCTATGAGCCCATCTGAAATACTTACTTAGGTACCTAGGTAGTCAAACACAACTGGTTGCCTTGCGGCGGCTTGGCGTGAGGCAGCCACTTGGGAAGACGCGTTCCCCGAACGCGTTGGATCGCACGCTCAGAAGTCAACGACGGCCGTGTATTTGTCGCCAACTTCGGCAGAACTCCTAGGATCTTGCTGCTAACACTGCTGCCGTTCTCCAGTTGCGAACACTTCTTGAACCCTCAAAGCATCTAGCTGGATTGGGGGAAGAATCACTAGCCGGTACCCACGAAGACGACGCCATGCTGATCGGCATCTGCGGCTCGATCTGCAGCGGCAAACATATCACAGCCGAGTATCTGGTCCAACACCATGGGTTCCTACGGCTTCACCTGCCATCCGATGCACAACTCCTCAGCAACACGCCAGAAGACGCCAAACGCCTCCTCCCATCAGTAACCGACCAAAAAGGCACACGAGGCCTCACATTCCCCGATGTCGACTCTCTCCTCGACTTCGTCACCAAACGCTGGCGAGAACACTGGGTCCTAACAGACATTCACGACGAAACCACCCTCGAACTCCTCCTCCGCCGCCCTTTCTTCCTTCTCCTCAGCATCGACGCCCCCGTCAGCCTCCGCTACCAACGCTTCACCAACCGCTGCACAACCCGCCACCTCGACCCCATGCCCCTCCTCGACTTCATCACCACAAACGACATCCAACTCTACGGGTCCCTCAACTCATCCGCTCCAACCACCCCAGGCGTCGACGGCCGTCCTTCACACAACCCCGGCATCGCCCATCTCCTCCCCCGCGCCCACCTCCAAATCCTAAACCAATACACCTCCATCCCTTCCTACTACACCTTCCTCAGCAGCCTCGAACTTCCCTCCCCCATCCGCCTCCGCCCAACCTGGGACGCCTACTTCATGACGCTCGCCTCTCTCGCCTCTCTACGGTCCAACTGCATGAAGCGCCGCGTCGGCTGCGTCCTCGTCTCCAACAGCCGCATCATCTCCACCGGCTACAACGGCACGCCGCGCAACCTCACTAACTGCAACGAGGGCGGGTGTGAGCGCTGCAACAACACCGGTCGCGCCGGCGGGGTCGGGTTGAGCACCTGTTTATGTTTGCATGCCGAGGAGAATGCGTTGTTGGAGGCCGGGAGGGAGAGAATCAGGGAGGGAAGTGTGTTGTATTGCGATACGTGTCCGTGTTTGACGTGTAGTGTTAAGATTGCGCAGGTGGGGGTCAAGGAGGTGGTGTATAGTCAGAGTTATAATATGGATGAGGCGAGCAGAGCGGTGTTGAAGGAGGCAGGGGTGGAGTTGAGGCAATTTAGTCCGCCACGGAGTGGATTGGTGGGGATGGGGACGAGTTATCAGGCTGGGTGGGAGGACTTGGGTGGGGAGTTGGTTGTTAGATAGGTACGTGGACTAAGGATGATGGTAGGGCATGGGGTCGGTCGTCCCACCGGGCAGCAGCAATGGCTACTTAGGCATGATAACATGATGACTCTGAGCATTCGTTGTGATGGAAAAGAGCAGTCATCCGAGGAGACCGCCCCGCCCGATAGCAACGGATGCTCTCAAGGCATAACAGCTTGTGTTCGTTCTTGACCTTCCGCTTGAGGCAGACTGCTCGGCCGAGGGTTTGAGGAAAGGAAGAGGAGGTAGTCAAGGGTAAGACCGATACTTATACCTCATCAATAATGACGAGATCCGCTGCGAACCGATACGAGCACTTCACCGACGGGCCAGAAGGCGGTCACTGCTCTCAATCGGTTGCTGCCTGGTCCATTCAATTGCATGTGCCTCTACTACCCGAGCTGTTGAAGACCAGGAATCACTGGGGAAGAAGTCTTCCCACTGTCGGGAACTCCTCTTCTAGGCCGAAACCGTCACGCAGTGCTATGGTGCAGGTTGTAGGTCTCTTAATTGGACGCATACATGAACCAGTGATCTTTCCAGTCCGTATTCAATATCTGCATCACTCTCCTTTGAGATAACATGGCAAACAACTCAAGTTCGCCAGCTTGACCTTCACTTCACCCGTCAGCGGACTGCAAGCAGGTCGTGTGTTGTCCATCCCCCAAATCACTAAGACTGCCGGGCTTCTCCTCGCTTCTGGTAAGGGCTTCCTTAATCTTACTTAAGTAAGCACACTATCTTTGTATCCTTCAAATTTCCCCAATATATCGGCATTGCGTAAGATTCTCTCTTCAAGACCGTTTCCCTGTGCACTGAGCAAACACCCTTGCCACTGTGCTTTCGAGGCTGAATCGATGTCAAAAGGCAACTGCTCGTGCAGCTCCGCCAATGTCACCTTTGAATTGCTGCCAAAATTGAGTATCGTCAGTATAGCCCCAGCATCGAGCTTCCATCGTCTCTCCAGTTCCTCGGCCAGATCAGGGTTGGACAAGGTCGCGGCAGACGCATAGGCCTTTAGAAGCTCAGCGAATTCGAGACGGACCTCGGTTTCGGTCATGATCTTGATTTTGGTAGTGTGAACATCCCTATCGATCAAGGCGACTGGGCACATAGTGCAAGCGCAGTGTGTGAGACTGAAATGGGAGCCTTCGATATGGAAGCCTTTATAAATTGCAACAGCGCCGCCAGGATTCGTGTATCTAAGCACGGTGCCTGAGATCAGTAGGGTTCCGTTTGTGGGACACACTTGTTGGGAACTGCGTTCGCAAGGTGCGGATGTCACATGGATGTGCCAACTATTAAAGCTTGGTCGTGGGATCATGACAGAGGTGGCCACTTACTCAACGCCAATGCGCCCAGCCACCTCATCAATCAGTACATGTGTCGGAATGTCTTGTGTTGTTGGTAGACCAGTAGCGCCAGAGTTGCTTGAGGCACTATTGAAGATTGGACCACCAAAGCAAGAGCCTTCCTTTTGAGCATGGGAGGACAGCACGAAGAGCAGAAGAATGGGAAGCGCGAGCATGAGTGCTTGAAGTCTGGCCATCTTGGTCGGTGGCTTTCGAATCGACCGGAAGCAATTGAGAAAATGAGTCCAAGGGCGACGTAGGGAAACGCATGGCGAACTTTGTAGACTCTGTCGGCTCAGTGCTTGAGCAGTACTCAGCGTGCTGTCCGCTTAAGGCGCATCTTGTTGATCGTTGAGGTTTGCTCGAAGGCTGCTTCCCGGCGCCAGCACGCAAGTCATCGCCATTGCTGTGTCTCGAACAAATAAAATCCGGGCAGGGACAGGCAACGTGCAGACCGTCTTTGCAGAGCTTCAAGCCGCTTTCAACACTGCCGTTGTGTTTACGGCAACAACTCGCAGCGACAGAGGCGTGATAGACAGGACAAAATGAGTACCAATGATGGAGTTTATTAGTGTGTATGATCGAGGCCACACACTGTACTGGACATGGTAGGATGATGAAAGTTGTGTCAGCTTGCAAGTGGCAGTGGTCTTGCTGGCTGATGCGGGAAGAACGGGAAGGTGCAGATGAGGTCGCAGTCTTAGCCAATGAGTTTGCTCAGTGCTCTAGGCCTGGTGATGATATACACTGGCGAATAGGCAACACCTGGTCGGAACAATGCTTATGCACGTACCGGAAATGATTCTTCTCGATCCGAATATTCGGTGCCGTGGACAGCAGAGTGCAGGTCGACATCTCTCGATCACAGATTGGGGTAGGATCATGTGCCTAATCACGGTTAGTGCTATACATAGAATTGCTTTGAGCCCCATGTGCCTCGCACTTATCGTAGTGCTGTACTGTGCCCGAATGAATGTACATCCATATTCTCATAACTCTTGTAGATGATCCACTCAACGTGTTCAGATAGCTCATGCTTTGGGTCGAACTGAAGGCCACCCTTTCGCAGCATGGATCAGTATATGACTTGATCCTCGTCATGCCCCTCGACCAGATCATCGGCATGATCGTCATCCTTTGCTCTTGCTTCCTCAAGGTCCAGCGTGGTCGCTGCTGCTAGATCTGCTGTCGGTGTCTCTGAGCTTTCGATATGCTCCGGCGCATCGCCATTAGGGTCGACCTGTTTCTGATCTGCATCATCCACCTCCATCGGCTGATCCGTGTGCGAATCACCATTGTGTGACGGACTGCGATTCCCATTAGGTCGGTCTGATGTTGGTTCCCTCTCGCCGCCATCATCTCCATCGTCCCTCTGCTTCTCACCGACCCCACCCTCCTCACCCTCTAGAGCCGCCAGCTCAGTCCTGATCTCTTCTTCTAGCCCGCTCTCTCTGCTCCTCAATCACCACCTCCTCATCCTTCCGCAACTCCCACGGCCGCCACAACAACCTCGGCTCCGCCTTCGTCTGCAAGAACCCTGCCCGCGCACGCATACCCGCATGCTTATTCCCCAAACTCTCCCTCTCCCACCGCTTCTGCTCTACCCTCCTCACCCTCTCCAACTCCTCGCGCTTCAAACGCCGCTCTTCCACGCGCTCCTCGTCATCGCGCTTCAGGCGGTCGCGCTGGCGCTGCTCAATCTCGTCACGGCGCTTGTGGACCGTGGGCTTAGTGGTAAATGCCGGGGACTTCTGGGACAGAGTGGATAGCAGCCCACCAAAGAGGCGCTGGCCACGCTTCTTCTCTTCGGTGTTGCTGGCGGCGCGGAGGGGATGTCGCCGTAATGGTGGGGACATTGCGCTTGTTGTAGAAGGAGGGGGAGAGGCATGGCTGATGCTGCTGGCCGAGCCATGGGTGTGGACTGTGTCGAGGCGAGGTCGTTTGGGCGATTCTGTGGTGGAGGATTGGGAGGACGGTCTTCGTTTGCGGGAGGGTGAGGCTGCTGGCTCTGTTGGTGGTGAGAGGGGTGGTTGTTCGGGAATGGCGACGGCGGAGGCGATCATGGTGGGCTGTACAAGCTGTTGTCGCGACTATCGCCGGGTGTCTCGTTGATGATATAGAAATAGTTGTGGTCTCGAGACTCGAGGCTCGTCGATTTCTCCGCACCAGCAGGCCAGATCAGATGAAAGTGAAGCTAATGTGATACATGTGTCGCCGTAGTCAAGGCTGATCAATCTACTTCACATCTCGCCTTCGACTTATTACCTAGACACTTGTCTTTCCCTCCTAAACCACGCATCCTGAACTGCGCATCCGCTCAATCGGGTTGCTTGTGAACACTAGAACATCCGCGCTCGTCAACGACTCCGTCACCGCACGCCCGAAATCCGTCCGCCCTCCATTGATCGCCTGCGGCGCCTGCGGCTCATCAGTCGCTTCGCTCACCCACCGTGCCCGTGAACGGCTGCCTGACCACCTTCGCTGCGTTCTGTCCCTAAGCCTAACGCTCGCCGCACCCGTCAACAATGTCCCGCCACCACCCCGACCTAGTGATGTGTCGCAAAGCCGCCGGCATCTCAATAGGACGCCTCTGCGACAAATGCGACGGAAAATGCCCCGTGTGCGACTCGTACGTGCGGCCCACCACTTTGGTCCGAGTCTGCGACGAGTGCTCGTTCGGCAACTACCAGAACAAGTGTATTGTGTGTGGAGGCGACGGGATCAGTGATGCGTTTTACTGCTTCGAGTGTACAAGACTGGAGAAGGATCGGGATGGGTGTCCGAAGATTATCAATTTGGGGTCGAGTAGGACGGATCTGTTTTATCAGAAGAAGGGGGTGCGGGGGCAGGGAGGGTATTAGGTGTGGTATTGTGACAAGAGGAGGCCGGAGGGTCGAGATACGCTCAGCAATGCGCCCAACGAGAGCACACCGCGTTAAGGACAGGAATTCGCTGCGCCAGGTCGATTGCAACAACGGGCCGTGTACAGAAAACACGGACGCGATCGACACAGGACCTTTGATGTCATCAACACGAACGGCACAAGGAGTACTGGACGAGTGCAGTTTTTGCACAACAGCAGCGCCTGGCTTTCTTTGGGCATGCTCTAATGCATGCGCTGGCAATACCTGATCAACCACACCCATCAGTGCCATCACGGCACGATCACCCGCTTTACCTCTTCCCAGGCCGCTTTGGTCTCGAGAATCCGCCTCTGGGCGTCGACGTCCCGCTCTCAGCATTCCCGCCCCCAGCAGCCGCAACCTCCTCATCAAGCCGTTGCGCCGTGATTTCTTCCGGATCGCCGGCCTCCAAGCGCTTCGAGACCTCGACGCCTTCGCTCTTCGCCGCCTCCAGCACGCCACTGCGACTCGATGCGTACACCATGCGCTCCTTGACCTTGCTGGTACCTGGGCAGACGTACACGAATAGCGCAGTCGTTGGCGCTGAGGGGTGTCGGTAGAATGTGTAGGACGGTCGGTCGGAGGGGATACTGCTCGCCAGATTGGTGGGCTGCACGCCGCTGTCTCGGTGCGAGAGCAGCGTCAAAGTCTCCGTAGAAATGTCAATGCCCAACTGCACCACCGCACCTTCTCCCGTCGTAGAAGCCAGCCCTTGTAGTGCTGTCCTGGCCTCAGCCGTCATCTTCATCGACAGCTTGCTCCCTCCACTGGTTGCTGACGATCCACCACCACCACCCAATCCACCAAGCGCAGTCCCCTGCGTCCCATGCCGCGCCTCCTCCTCCGCCCGCTTCACACTCTGCAACTCCCTCTCCTCCCGACTCAGCAAATTCTCGTCAACATCTTTGGACCCACCGGCTCGATCGGCCCACTGCTTCGCCTCCAACACCTCCTCCGCATCCGTCACGAAGAGTGTTTCTTCGAACTTCTCGAGCCCGAGCTCGCGGACGAGAGAGATGCGGGTTGAGCCGAAGAGGGTTTTGGCGCGCACGGGGGCGGTACTGGGGACGTAGGTTATGGCGGTGAATGTGCTGCTACTCGGACTGCGGCGGAGCATCAGGTATATCGGGGTCTTTGGTTCGAGATGTTGTGAGAGTGACGGAAGAGACTTGGTGAAGGCATCCTCGCCGGAGGAAGCGAAGGGGACAGGTGACAGCGGGGTGAGGGACTCTCTGGTGATGGTGACGGGGAGGTAGAATGCGCTGGAGTCCGAGAGGAAGGAGGCAAACGCGGCGTGTAGCTCGCGGGAGGCTGTGGGCGTGTTAGATGGGACCAGGCACGGTTGGAGGGGAATGGGTTGATAGTGGTGGGGTGACTTGCCTGTGATGCCTGACTGCATGGCTCGGTATGGGAGCCGCCGAGCTCGCCTCAGATGCCGTAGAAGACACTCAGAAGACGACTGCAATGGATGTAGAGCCTTTGATGAGTAGACGGGCACGGCTGGGAGTGATACTATTAGGCACATTGGATACAGAATGCTTCTTAGAACGGTGGCGGTCATCCGGTCTCGAGAAGGTCTAGGGTGTCCAAAACGGCCTTCGCGCCTCAAGTTGACTCGAGGCATTTCTGCACATTTATTTCCAATTATCTGATTTTCTCAAATTCGAATCATCTTGTACTGTATGTTCACTTCAACTTTTGCCAGAATGCCACGAATAATGCCCGGTATCACTTTGAAAGCCGTGGACGCGTCGGCGATGATGCAACTTATCCTTACTCCTCATACTTTCCGCCCGCAAACGCCCAACTACTGCTCTCAATCTTCCCCTTCAAAAACTCATACACCGTAAACGTCACCGCCTGGCCCGGCGCCACCCGCATCACCCGCGGCGTGATCCCCTTGTAGAACGCCTTCGCCCCCTCCTGCCGGAACATATCCTTACAGATCAGCGTTATCCTCTGTATGGCACTCTGACCCGGCTCAGCCGGCGTCTTCTGCAACCTCGTCTTAATCGTATCGATCGGCGCGTTCGAGAACGGTCCCATGGCCCCCGAGACTAACCCGATGACCGTGGTCTGGTAGCTAGGGAGATTCTTGCCCTCGTATTCGGGCTGCCATCGTTGCAGGATTTCTTTGAATTCGGTGTAGGCGGTGAAGTTGACGGCTTGGTTGGTGCCCTGGCGCAGGGCCGTGAGGGAGACGCCGCGGTAGAGGGCGCCGAAGCCTTCTTCTTTCAGGACAGTGAGGGCGGCGTGGGGCGCGCTGCGGTATTTGGGGACGTCGAGGGGGTCGGAGAGGCTGTGGTATTGCGCTTGCATGCGGATCTTGACGACTTCCATGGGTGTTACGACTGCAACGGCTTCAGTGATGCCTGCGCCGAGTCCAGCTGTCGTGGGGTCAGTATACGTGCATGTGGGTGCATAGTGGTGGTTTACTGACCAAGGAACGTCGCCCTAGATGTGACCTGTCCCTGATCATTCGCTAACAACTGCTTATACCACTCGTACGAAGTGAAGCGTATAGCCATCTTCGGGACGATCCCAGTCAACACGGCACCAAGGCCTTTGTACAGACCGAAAGCAGTTTCCTTCTTGACGATCTCCTTGCCGGTCTGGAGGAAGCCGCGCTTTTTCTGACCAGGTGCTGTCTTACGTCTCGACAGCTGCATGCGCACTTTTATTGTGTCGAGGGGGTGGCATACGAGCGCTTCCATCATGCCTGCTCCGCCTCCAGCGATCAAGTTGGTCGCAGCGCTGGCGGGCTTCTTCCCTCCTTCGCCTTTCACGCTCTTTGCTGACATCTTGGGTGGTTTGGATTACCCGCGGTTGTGCTCATGCAGTTGGATGAGTTGTGATGTTCGCGTGATGCCTGAAAGATCAGTTCGACACGCGCTTTTGCTGGACGCGCTGCTTCACACACGCGCGCAGGGCTATACAAGTACGTGTTGCGGTATAGTCAACGCCAGGATGCTGTAGGTGGATGCCGTCGAGGTTGTTGCAGTGTCGAAAGCTCTGTCGGAACCAAATAGCACACAGGAAGCTCAATAATACCTAGGTAGTGACTCGAATTTCCAAAGTTTGCCCGTCTTGCTCCGATACTTTTTATGAAGCTGTGTGTCAGTGACATCGTAATTCTGGACCGCGAGCCTTTTCACCGAGGCACGAAAATCGGCGTGGGGCACGTCATCTCACAGGACAAGTGTATTGTCCGCATTCCGGCATTCACAGTGTTTGAACGCCCAGGCTTGGAGGTCAGCTGGGCGCCCAGAAGGAGTATGATGCTCAGCTGAGAGGATATATGTATCCGCACATGGCTGATGGTTGATGTAGGCCGAGTTGCATGTGCGTTGTCATCTTCCAGGAAATCGGAAAAGCACGTGCGGGGAGAGGGTCGAGCGCCCCCTCGCGCCGAGAGCTTTCGCTCCAGGGGTCGATCCTCCGCAAAATGCCATACCTACAGTAGGTAGCTTCTGGGCACGTGAGTCCCCAGAAGCCGAGATCGTCGCCGCTTCCACTCGTCCTGCCGAACTGGGCGGCCTTTTCTCACGGGCGGGACTTCTCGCCGGGTTTGGAAAACCTGCAAACTTATACGGCTGTGAGTCTCGGAGTCTCTTCGCCTACCGGCGTCCGCAAAAATGCAAAAAGCAAAGGATTTACTTGGAACCTCGGAATTGAGCCGACTTTGAGATGTTAGTTTGGAGGCAATCATCATGTTGACAGCGGTGAGACTTACAGGCGGGACTCGAACCCGCAACCTTGAGGTGATTCTTCATAAGAGCCACACGCTCTACCGATTGAGCTACCCCGGCAGAGGGTTGGTTTTGTGTGCGTTCGGTTGACAAAATTTTTGGCACTATCATATATGAAGACTTTGATATGACCAGGTGAAGTGGGGCGCCTTGTGCCCTAAGTGCCGAGTCGTTGGCGCCCATTTTTCGACGTCCTTCACTTCTTCCTATCTTCATCAGCATCCGAGACTTATGATTGTCAGTTTCTCTCAAGACAGTCCTCTGCCACCGGTCCTTGGATTCCCACGTCTGGAGGTCTGCTCTCAGCGCGAGAAAGAGGCTGGAGGCGTACCGACATGCGAACGTTCATGATCCAAAGCAGAAGGCAACAGGGGCAGTGGCTGACTAATTGCAGCTCTCGACCTGGTCCTCCCAGACGACTCTCTGTCCCATACGACCAGGTTTGAGAGCTTGTTCGGTCTAAGCAATGTAGGTAGGTTCGTGCCGTGCGTAGGCCGCTGCTGTGGATTGCAGGGTGGCGCTCGAAGCTGGAGGCAAGAACCTGGCTCGATTGGAGGAAGCATCGTATTGATGCACGACCGAGATACAGACAGGCATTGATGCTCGACGATGAGTGTCAGCTCGACATCACGCTTGGGTAGACGGTAAGTAAGCACTCGGAGTCGTGTCACGACTTCCCTCGCGTCAAGCACGCTCTGTGGAAGTTGCTCCTGCCATTCATCGCTTTATCCCAAACAGAAGATATGGTATATCGGGTTATGATTTTGCTGCTAGCACTGGGCCATGTCGCACTCAATGCAGCGTTTCCGCCTGTCGGCAGTATCTTTAGACGTGAAGAGGGTGGCGACAGCGCGTCCGCAATAGCATCACCAGGTGAGCCAACTTTCTCGAGCTGTGCAACACTGCGCTCAGTCGATTTCAAGGCGATCAGTTCTACTATACATACTACACCACAGTCTTCCCGTCGATCCAGCTTCAGACTGTTACTGCGACCTTTGTGCAGACTACTTCTCAGCTCATCACCACAACTTTCAGCAGCCCTGTGTCCTTCGCCACCACGACTTTTGCTGGGTGCAACTGTGCACAGGGCGAGACGGCATGCTTTGAAATGTGCTGCAGTTCAGATCAGTTCTGTGGCGGTCCAGGAATTGGGTGCGTCTCGAACTCAGCGAGTGTGCCTCCTGCTTCCCAGCAGCCGTGTGAGAACCTATGTGGGTGGGATGGGTCGTTGTGTTGTCCCCTGGGTTGGTCCTGCACCACCAACTCCAACAATCAGGCGGAATGCTTGCCACCATCTTGTGGACTTCTGACGACCGTGTATTCTCTAACGAGCACCTACGAGAGCACCGTACTCGAGACTATCACCCTTGTTGTGACGAGAGTGGAGACAGGGACAGAGACCATTATCCGAACAGCTTCGTTTCAGCCCACTTCTTCCTGTGCACCAGAGCTCGGTCAAACACAGTGCGGAAGCATTTGCTGTGCTGCTGGACAGTTCTGCCAGAGTTCAGGAGTCTGCGCTTTGGAAACCGCATGTCCTCCGGTACGACCCACGAGTGTCTCGGAGACCCTTCTGACAACAACAATTACACTGACCGCGACAGTCCCTTTCGAGACGCCGATATCGACTGCTCGGTAAGATCACCATCCAGACTGTCAAAGAAGGTGGCAGGGATGATGAAGGATGCTTGTGCCAACTCTGGCACAGCCCGTTCAGCTGGTCGGACAAGAAATGGAAATGCAGGAGGATGCAAACAAGACACCAAGTAGCTTTTTTCGATCTCCTTTGCGTACGCATCCACAGATCATATTTCAATGAGGCAGAAGTCAATAGCTAGTCATCGCGGCAACAAGAGCAAAGTCTTGGCACCACGGTCTTGCTTTGTTTGTCCTTGATATACTATTGTCAATCAATTTTCGTTCGACAATCGACCACAAATCAATAGGAACGAGAATGCCGAGGCCCTTCATTTCGGTGTAGTGTACTTGATAGGCGAGTAGTAGGGTTTTCTGACTGTACTTGATATGTGGTCGGTTGTCTCTTTTGCTTTTTGCAATTGTTAGACATCAAGTACGCAACATCGAGGTCGAGTCGCCGAAATTTTGCAAATGTTGCGAACCTGCGAATTGCGGTGAGCTTGGCAGGCTAACAAATCTCCCTAGCAACATTCGAGCCCTCACTCCTCACCAACCCAGTCCCAAACCATGACACCCCTGACCTCATCTCCATTTTTATTCCTCACAAACACCCGTCTCGTAAATCTCCTCTCGCCCCCCAACGTCTCAAAGCCCAGGAGATGAAACGCTTCCCACTTTCCCTCGGCATCCTTCCCCTCCGCCTGCAACAACCTCTCCTCCTCCCCCTCCCCAAACACCCACTGCACCCTCTCATCCTCACCAACGACTCCACCCTCCTTCCTCCCCTCATCCACACCAACCCACCTCGCCCGTCCCTCAACCTTCCCAAACAGCCCATTCGAACTCCCCCGCCACGTCCAGTCCAACGGGTACTCCTCTTCTGTCCCGGGGAGTTTTGATGACATGGCGGTCTGCTTCATGATCACTTTGTCTTCGGAGAGGGAGGTGATGAGGAGGTGCACGGTAGCGGAGGAGGCGGCGGTGCGGATCAGGGTGTTGACGCCTTGGATCTTGAGGATTTTGGTGAAGTCGGTTGAGAGGGAGGTGTTGAGGGTAAAGTGGGCTGGGGGCAAGGAGGCGAGGGTTCTGGATTGGGGCAGGGCAGGCATTTTGGTAGAAGGTACTGCGCGGCACGAGGAGATGGGTTGACGATGTTGTGCTAAGGAAAGAAGAACGAGATCTCTTAGGTGACGGAGGGCGAGACGAGCTGATTGGGGACAGTGTCGTCATTACTTTCCTCTCAACTCAGGTTTCGATTCGGCAGTTGTAGCCCATGGTGCTTCTCTTTCCATTCATGATCCTGTGCAGAGGCCTCCTGGTGTGTCTAAGCTGCATTTTGAACAGTGCGAAGATGAATGATGAAGCACACAGTAGCACAGCAGTAAGTGTGCGTTAGTAGGACTAGCGTGAGGCAACTAGACCTTAGCGTCTTGGCTTCAATTTGCCTGATCATCTGCCTCACGTCATAATAGCTCTTCTTCTCGTTCTTGCATTCTTCTCAACATCGGCCTCAGCCCTCCATCTGCTCCATACGCGCCTGGAACACACGCACCATGTTGATGTTGCTGTCCATCATCTTCTGGCTCAAGCGAGACGCCTCCCCGAGCTCTACAGTCTGCCGCATTGCCTTCATCTTCGCTTCGTCCTCCGCAGCCTCCTGGGTATAGAGCCACTCAGCAGCCAGTTCAGCTCCGTCAGGAAACGGCTTGCCAGCTTCGAGAGCCTTGCGCGCAGCCAGCAGAGCCTTGTAGTAGGTGTCATTGCGCGCAAGCATCTTCAACTTGAGCTTGTACGCGACGTCGAAGCCAACAGTGACGGTCTCGGCGATGGCAAGCTGCTCTTTGAGCGTAGTGTTGATCTTAGTCAGGAGAGCGTTCTCATTCGGTGGCAGCTTCTTGGCAGCATTGGCAACAACCTCGTCGCAGGTCTTGAGAGCGGCAGCGATATTAGCGCGGTCCTGCTTCTGCTCCGCCATGATTTCCTCCATGATTGATTTGTCCTCGAGCATGACCTTGAGGAGCTCCTCGAGCTGTGTTTGGCGCGTTGCGGCGTCTAGGTCGTTGTCGATGCCGATGTGACGCGACATTCCTGATCTTTATGTTAGCAACGAAGCTGGGGAAGCGGTTAGATGCTTACGCTGCCAGTGCCCAGCATCATTCTCGAAGCGGTGCTCGAAGGCGTCAAAGACGTTGTCGGAGTCCTTGATGAGAGACATTCTCGAGACCTTTGAAGAGGGAGAGGAAACGCCTTCTTGGTGGAGGTGTTGAGCTTCGGGTTTGAGGCAATCAAGGGTGAGATGAAAGACTGCAGACTAACAGCGAGAATTACCCTGTGGATGGGCAAGGAGGTGCAGGTATAGTCTTCACGAGAAGTTTCCGGAAATTTGGCAAGTTGTGAGTGAGCTAATGGGCACAGGTAAATCAGGGGGAGTCGTTTGCTATCTCCTTGGAGCTTGCTTGACATACAATACAAACAGGTCGCATCCGTCCCTGCAGGCATGCTACAACCAATCTGACAAGGCTATGACAACGATAGCGAGGCTGGCCCTGCTGCTGCAATTCTCAAGATGTATACTGGAGTGGACTGCTGTAAGTCACACTACTCCTTCATGGCCCCAGCACCACTGCATGGAAATCAATTTGCCTGGTCAATGGTGGCCCCCAGTGCCGCCGGCTGCTGCACCACTCCTCAACCATGCTCTGTCCTATAGGTTGAGGACGAACCGCTCGTCGTTGTGTTGGATTGATTTTCTCGAAGCGGGTATAGTCGGATGCCACGACGGTATTGAACCACACAGTGCCAATGGCCTCGATCATATAGGCGAAGCGTGGCATCAGTCTTTGACGTCTGAGTCGATCACAAACTCGTATACTACACAACTACAACGGCCCGATCCGACGACTATATGTTGTTGCTGATGTAGGACAGGTGTCAAGTCTTACTGAGTTCAGGATCGTTCAGCTAGAAATATCTTGAGCTCAGCCAAGCCTGGTCTGCCTGGTACCAGTGGATACAACGCACAATGGCCACCCTGTCATCGCGTCAGAGAATGTCTTCCAACTTCGAAATCACACCAGCCTCCACTCCCGCAGACTTATGTTTCCAACTCACTGTCCCAATCAACCGCGTACGCGAACCGCTGAACAAAAGCATTTGCGCCAGAGATACCGCAGACTCTGTTCTACAATCCAAGCTCAAGCTAGTCGTACGCGCCGAGTGCTTGACCCGACTCGAGCATGTCGTGGCTTTCCACCTTACGTGCTAAATTACGGCCAAGGGTTCGAATGAACGCGAAGGGTCCGAATCAATCCTTGGGACAGCATTGCAGCGATCCAAAGCGCGAGACCAAACCAGAACGCAAGGCTGAACCAGAGCGCAAGGCCGAGCCAGAGTGCAGGCTCGAGCCGGAGCACAAGGCCGAAGCAGAGCCCAAGGCCGAAGCAGAGCCCAAGGTCGAACCAGAGCCTAAAGTCGAGCCAGAGCGCAAGGCTGAGACGGCGCCCATGGCCGACTCCATTCTTAAGCCATCGGCCCATGTTTTTACGAAACTGCCGCTCGAGTTGGTACATGTGGTCCTTGCATTTCTGGATCTGCCAGCAAAGATATGTCTTTCCCTTACCTGCAAGAGATTACACTCGAGCCTCACGCCTACTCTGGCAATCGGTCCCATGTCTCGCTTTGATCGACGTCAACTACTACATTTGGTGGAGAAGGATTGCCCAAAGCTTCTGTTCTGTGCCCGGTGCGAGAAGTTGTTCAGATGGAGACTCAGACATCCGGAGGCTCCGTTCCGGGGTTTTGGATGTCCCTGCACGCCAGATCTCGACCGCTTCGGGTGGGATGCCGAGGTATCATATCATCGTGTTCCCGAACCTGCCGCCATTGTGACGACAGAGGTGCGAGACTTACTGCTCCGCTCGGCAGTAGTCAAGAGCTCCAAGTACGACGGCATGATCAAGGCGTTGTGGGCATCACTGAATCGCAAAACAACGTCTACCGGCACTTGTTACTTTCGCGGGTTTCCGTGCCCGGCCACAACGAAACTCAAGGTTCTGGACGTCGAAGGCGCATTACTCGTAAGATGTGAACGCATGTACGAGGTTTCACGCGCCTGGCACTTCAACGAACTGCCGCGCACGGCAAAGTTAGAGGCTTCCAAGCTGATCTTTCCTGGCCTCTGCCAGAAAGAAAGACTGCGCGTCGCGAACGCCCTGACTTGCGCACTGTCGCACAAGCGTGCGTATGCATTCCAATGTCCAGGCCACAATGAAGTTGCGACAAGGTTGATGAGGAGGGTTCCTGAATGTCAACAGATGCTCTACTGCACCGACTGCAACACGGACGTGCTCATCACGACAGGCTCTGTGGTAGACGATAAAAATACAAGCTTGATCCGAATCTGGATCACGTCGTGGCAAGACTTTGGAAGGAGAGGCGATCCTTGTCGAGTCTGGTCGAGCTCACCGAACAATCTCGATCGATGTCTGTGGACTGTACCTGTTGGTGATATAGCGTCATCCTTCCGCAAGGCCACGACTCTCTCACCTATTGATTCAGCCAGACGTCGGGCTTGGGAGGCGATTCGCCCGAGGAAGGACTCCGACTATGTGGAACGCGAAACTTCGAAATTTAAGACCACCTTGTACACAAATCCTAAATCTGACGAACCACGCTTCGCACCGGAGGTCGAGCAAAGCATCGATGCTGCGCTCAGGGTAGGGCAGAGAATACCTAATGAAAGCTGGGAGAACCAGACATTTTGTGGTTGGGATAGCCCAACCTTGGACTGGCTCTCCTCTCCTGCCGTACTTTTTCAATACGGCCACATAAGTGGTTTCAACACTGCAGAGTATGTCCTGTCACCAGAAGGACGCTATCCAATCCGCGCCTCAAGGAGAAATGCGATATCGGTACACCATTCAACAGAAAGGAGGCGAGAAACTGAAGAGTCACCTTGCTGAAGACCGGGTGATCGTCAAAGAAGCCGTCTATCGCCGGATGACAAGCAATATCGATTGGGATTGGTTGACTGGTGCTCTTTGGTGGATGCGACAGCCTTGATCGTGGCCGTCTCTCGAAGGTCGGAGAAATAGAACACAGCTCCGAGGAGTCCGGTCATCCGCCCTCACGAAGAATTCCGCCTGCGCCGGTTGACAAGCTCGGTAATCGTGGAAGGTGCTGAGCCGGGTTACGCCTGCCGTTGGTGGACCGGCCCAGAAATACGTGGATGGGAGAGAGCGACCGCCGCGTTGCCCTTCTCCTGCAGCCGTTCTCTACAAGATGAAACAGGAAGTAGCTCACGGGAAAGGTTGCCTCGTGAACCGGGCTTGCACAGTCCTTGGTCCCACCGGATGACAAGACGTGTTGGTAGTGTGTGAGCAGAATACTCCACGGTCGCCGAGAGATTCACCATCGCCCTGGATGATTCGGGGGCTATCTGATCGCAGAAGATCTCAAATACGATGGTATGAACGCATGCGACCTGTCGAGTCCGTTCACTCTACTCGCCACCATTCTTTACTTCTCTTCATGCTTCAAAAAAGTCGCAGACACGTTTTCCGCCGTCTTGCCCCCAGGACTTTCATCCTCCAATCCAAGCGTAGCCTTCGCCGACGCGATCGAGATGTCGTGCGGCAGGCGCTTCTCATTCTTGACAGGATCGCCAGGTGTGGCAAAGACCACGTCGAGCTCTTCCAATGATCTTTGTCTCGTCTCGACCAGGAAGAAATAGATGATGGGGACGAACACGGCGTTGAAGACCGCATAGTATATGTAGGTCTTCCAGCCGAGATTTGCAAACGATGTAGGGATTGTCATGACCACAAGGAAACAGAACGTCCAGTTGCTGACCGAGCCTAAAGCGGCACATGAGGCTCGAGCACGCAGAGGTGCGATTTCGGCGGCATAGAGGAATGGGCCGCTACCCATGCCAAACCTGTCATTTCCGTTAGTCACTGACGCGTGACAAGGGAGTGGCTGAGGACTTACCGAAGAAAGTGTTGAAGAGGAATAGCAAGCCGGCGCCAGCGAGCTGGTTCGACCGGGAGCTGGTAGATAATAGGATCGGAATAACGACAAAGCAGGCTGCCATGCCCGTAGCAGTCCACATGAACGCTCTGCGGCGACCCAGCCCTTCGATCAGGAAGACAGAGAGGAGGGAGCAGAGAGCATACTCTGTACCTCCGCATGCGGCGATCAGGTGCGACATTCCTGGACTTAGGTCGAAACTTGTCGACAGAATCTGGTTCGCATATGTGGACACCATGTTGATGCCTGAGAGCTGCTGGGCTGCGTTGATGAAGACGCCGAGAAGCATGCGCCGGAAGGTTTGGGTTTTCCCGTTCTGAAGCAGTTCTCCATAGTGAAACGGCGCTTCTCCCTTTTGTGCTTCATGGCTGGCCATGATGCCACCGAACTCGGCGATGAAGCTGGGGTCAGACTCGTCCGTGCCGCGGAGCTTAGACAGCACCACTCGGGCTTGTTCCGTTCTGCCGTGGGATACGAGCCAACGAGGACTGCTCCGAATCAGGATGAAAGGCCAGTATAAGGGAGGGTGAAGCATACCTTTCTGGGAGGAACATAATGATGCAGAACACTATCGCCGCCGGAGCCAGCTGTATGGCAACAGGAGCGCGCCACTGGACTTGACCTGATGTATAGAAGAACCCCAGACCCACCCATTGTCCGCAGGCGACGCCTGACGTCTGGAGACCGCCCTCTATCATCACCCAGCGGCCCCGAGACTTCGGTTTCGCACATTCGGACTGCCATGCTGGAATGGTGGCGACTTGCAGACCTAGGCCTATACCACTGATCACGCGACCCACTGTCATCTGGGCAATGTGCCATGCTGATGCCTGCAGGATACCTCCGACCAGCATGAATGCCATGCCGATGAAGACAGTGCCTCGTCGGCCCCACTTGTCGCCGTAGAAGATGCAGACGATAGCTCCGAGAAGAGCACCCAACTCCAAGGCAGCGATGACTATGCCCTGGACTGTTGCGTCTTTAGTCTCCGGGAAGACCGACAGGAAGGGCTCTTCAGTGATGACACCGCCCATGACAGACATGTCGTACCCAAAGAGCCAGAAGGCGCATGTTGCGATGGTGGCGATGGCGAATTGCAATCGTAGGCCACTCAAGCCCATGGTAGATGTGTATGGAGTGAGCTCCATGGTGGGCATGGTGGGCAGATAGGCAAGGTTGAGACGACGAGGTCAACAATGTCGGGAAACGCAGGCTGGGACGGTTGCTTGAGGATGCGACGAGATGGGTCGTCGACTCACATGGATATATACAAGTACACATGTCACCCAAGGGTGGAGTCTAAACCCTCCAGACATACCTTTCCCCATCGCAACCCGTGCTATGGGGATGGCCCAGGAAGGCAGGGCCCCTCCGAAATCTGGGGCGTGACGCCTAGTCCGGGACGTCGTGCCGTGGGGATTACCCAGGAAGGTATGATCTCCCGAGTCTTGGTAGTGGCGCCCAGCCTTGAAAGTCGGATCTGGGAAGGAATGAGTTGAAACACATTGCGGGTGCGATGGCGGACTCTGCCACAAAAATCGATTTGACTGTGCCGTGCCGTTTAAGCGAGTGGGTTCGAGGCCGACTGTGACCGTCCACCAATTGGATAACTGCATTCGACCCCAGTCGACTTAAAGTCAAATCTCGGAGCTGACCTTCCTTCCTGGTTGATGAACTGTACACATCTTACAACCAGTTGTAGTTGATAGAATGTGTTCACGGCTGCCACAGACGTGTCTGATGTCTCCACAGGTGAGTCTTGTAGCTCCTGCAGTGCTGCTGATGAACAATGGATGAGCTCCTTATGCTGTAGTTTCATACTTATCTTCGACGCGAAAGCTCTACACGCCCTCGTTGCTGGTGAGCGACATCTGCTACCAATTAGCCAGGCATCATTTATCAGACAAGTCGATACTTGCTTCATTAAACGGCATCTAGTAACTGGAAGTAGCCATGGCAATCTCACCGTGGACAGGCAAGCCACTGAATCTCAAGGTCATTGGCACGAATGCCGGTACCTCGATGGATGGGCTCGACATCGCACACATGCATTTCACGCAAGATACACCTACGAGCCCGCTGAAGATGCGCTTGTTGCACGCAGGCGAGGTTCCATTTGATGGCGACCTCAAGCAGCGAGTCATGCGACTCATCAAGGAGAATCAAACTTCGCCAGAAGAGATCTCGATTGTAAACATCCAGCTAGGCGAATTTGCAGCCAACGCGATACAACAATTCGCCGACGACTCGGGCTTCTCGTTGCAAGATGATGTTGACATCATTGCCGGGCAAGGCCAAACGATATGGCACCTCCCACTTCCAGAAATGTTTGAAGGAAATCAGCAAAGAGCACACCTGGATATGGCAGAGATTTCCGTGATCGCGGCCAAGACAGGCGTGACCAGTCTGTCCAATTTTCGCGTCAGTGACATGGCGCTCGGAAGGCAAGGGTGTCCGCTTTTCGTGGCGTGGGATGGGCTGGTAGCAACGCATCCCACGAAGAATCGCGCTGTCCAGAACATAGGCGGTATTGCCAATATCACGATGCTCCCAATGGGCGATGTTCGTGAAGGCTATGACTTCGACACCGGGCCAGGAAATGTTTTCATTGACGCTGCCGTCCGATACTTTACCAATGGTCGGCAACAGTACGATAAGGATGGAGCCCTAGGAGCAAAGGGCAATGTCGATCAAGCCATTGTTGATGAGTTTCTAGAAGGTCCCTATTTCGTACACGACATTCCGAAGACAACGGGGCGGGAGACGTTTGGCGATAGAACCGCAGAACAAATTTGCGAACGGATGCTAGCAGCTGGCGCTCGTCCGGAAGACTGCGTAGCGACCATCACTCGTATAACGGCGAAGGCTTTGGCAGATGCTTACGATCGTTGGGCGCCGAAGGGTGGAATCGATGAGGTTTTTCTGGGTGGAGGAGGATCTTACAATCCGAACATCATCAACTATCTGCGGAAGCGGATGCCTCGAACATCATTCAGCTTTCTCGATGATTTGGGGGTGCCAACAGGCTCTCGCGAGGCGATGGACTTCGGGTTCAAGGGCCTCGAATGCGTCCTCGGCAGGTCATTGATTGTGCCGCAACGAGTCGAAAGTTCGCGGGCAGGCATCATCGGTCACATCCAACCCGGTGCAGGGCTTTCGTACCACCGACTCATGAAGCATGTGCAGGACTTCTGGGGTGATTTTCCTCTTGAAGGAGGATGGAACCCATCATGGAGATGCAAGTCGTCGGAGGACCCAACAAGTCCACAAGCAACGGCAACGGTGTAGGCGCAGGTGCTTAAGGCTCACCGGTCATCGCGCGGCTGCGCTGCAAAATTAGTCTTGCTAGTTGTGTCTTCGTGCAGGTGTTGCCTCGCAGTGTAATCACAAGAACCTTCTCAAATCTGTGACTGCTGCGAATGCTACAATCCACGTTGCTGATGGCCGTTGTTGCCCTGTAGTACATTCCGTTACTGACGACGGGAAATGCATGACATCACATGACGTGAGACCGAAGCACTTGAAGTTCACTTTCAAATTCCGTTGTGGCTGATCTCCTTGACTTCCACCATGTACCATGTCGTTCAGACAGATCATAGACCACATCCCGGGCATTGTGCCATAGCCATTCGTGTCTTTTCGTGTGAATGTCAGCTGCTCGACGGGGCCCCTTGTCACGCGTCAAACGTTCCTGCACCAATTGTCGAAAAGGCCACTTCCGATGCAGCGAAGGTGCTCCGTGCCAACGGTGCTTTGAAAGAGAGCTGACATGTACATATGATCGGGCGTTGCCGTCATTGCAGCTGAAGCAATGGCGTCCTGACGATAGCGACTTACAGAAGGCTGGCCTTGGATCACTATCTGGCAGAGGCGACATCACCATTCGAGGTTTTGTCACAGAGAACCACAAAGTCGAAGCTCATTATCGATTACAGGATCCTGAGACTTTCGCTGGGCAGAAGGACACCAGCCAGAAGCAGAATTCTCTCGACATTGCGCCCAATGATGTGTATTCATTGCTAGTCGCGGAGGTGCATACGGTTGTACCACAACCGGTCAGACACCCTGAAGAAGCATTTCTCCTGGTGCGATACTATAGTATTATTGGCCCCTGGTTCGATCTCTTCGACGCAACCCATCGCCATTGGACTAATACCATCTCATGTTTAGCATTGGCAAATCGCACTCTGTTTGCGGCAATTCTGGCAAGTTGTGCGAAGCAGTATGCTCTGGTATCGGGGGAGAGCTTCATGTCCGTAGCACTCGAGTACTACGATCGAGGGCTCAACACCTTGTCTCAGGCTCTCAGCAGCCCCGCCACTGCGGCAGATGCTTCTGTCTTTGCATCATGTCTGCTCATTGGCTACTGTGAGATGATTAATGCCCGTGGCTGGGACTGGCAGACTCATCTTCAAGGCACATATTCTCTGGTCCAGAATCATGACTGGCACGGTCAGTGCGGCGGCGTAGCTCAGTCCTGCTTTTGGGTCTACTGCCGTATGGACCTGCATGCTTCAATCGCGAGGGCCAGACGTACACTGCTCGACCCCTCGCTATGGCTGCCAAGTGGATCGTCACTCGGTCCAGATTGCTCATCGATCACGGAGTGGGAGCTGGATTCGTGGTGCAACCAGACAGTTGTACTACTAGCCCGAGCTCATAATCTGCTCTGCGACGTACGAAGCGCAGACGACCAGCGATTGTTGTCCATCACATCGCCTGCGTCGGAAAGAGAATCGGAAATGATGGGATGGTGGTTGGACATTTGCAAGTCTGTCCAAGCTCATGAGCACGTACGGCCTCTGCCATTCACCGCGGTAGCTGAGCTGCCACCACTAGATCCCAATATACCGATGCGACGAATCATCCACATATCCCCAGCCGCGTGTGCTGCCAGTCAGATGATGGATGTAGCGCGATTCTATTGTCTGCTTGCTCGTCCAGACAGCACTCAAGCTGAGCGCAAAGACCGCCTGTCATCGCCAGAAGTTTGCGGCATTGCGCTCGAATTGGCCCGCCGCGTCGTTTCGAACAGCATTACCAACCGATATACAACCGCATGGGTGAACGCCGTACAGCTGCTTTCCAGCGTGGGTCGTGTGCTTCCTGGCCAGGGCGAGAGGGCTGCATTGTTACAAGCTCTTGCAGACATACATCGGGAGACAGGCTGGAGTGTTCAGGATCTCGCAGATGACTTGCAGGAGACTTGGAAGCTGAATGATCATGCCAGTCAACAACAGAAGCCTCGAGACACCTTGACAGAGCAAGATGCTGCGCTTCGCTACGTAGGAGTTGCCCTACTTCGGTGTGCAGGACTATGACGAGGAGTTTCCGACACGCAGGTATTACGCAGAAGAGGCGCACCTGTTTCATGCTTCACGATGGCCTAGCCTTGTGGACTTCCATGCTGAGTTGCCCAGCGCGTTCCCGATCAATATTTCAAGCCCCCTGCAGGGGCGTGCGCCACTCGCCTACTCAGACGCGGGACTCCTCTGCGGACTTCACATCCATCAACGACGCGGTCGTCGACGCCTCTGTGCCCGCACAAACACAGTTCTGCAAGCATCCATCCCATAATTGCGTGCCCACTGGACTGAACCCAATGGGGCAGATCGAAGGGCTCCCGCTGCACTGAATCACGCCATCTTCGGCACACGCGCAGTTACACTCGGAGCAGAGAGTCAAGATATCGCCCAGGTCGCCGCACTGAATTTCCACGCTTGTGGAAATGGGCGAGGCTCGAGAGAAGGAGGGTGACTTCGAGCAGAGTCTGGCGAGCGGTGAGTTGCATGTTAAAGCAGCGCCGTGGCGATGGTAGTTCAGAGTGGTCGTTGATGCTAAGGCAGCGGTGAAGCGACTATCGGGAGTCGTTTGCATCTAGGTGCGGGAACTTCTATCGTGTTCTGTTCCAAAGTGCTTCAGAGCCTCGACAGCGTTCGAGGAGTGAGATTGAAGCTTGTCCTGGAAGAAATGCAACCCCCATGGTTTATATCTACATCAGCGACCTAGATTTCTGATCCCGGCGCACAGATCAGAATGTCAGCTTTTCTGTTAGCTAGCTTCCAGTCCGAAACAAAAGCGATGCGGCTGCAAAACCAGCTTGGCGAGCATTCGCTTACTGCCAACATTGTGCGACCGATCACACTTTGCGACCATTGCGCTTCTCGGGCAGCTTTGTGGCCAACAACTAGGGCTTGCTGCACTGGGAACGGTCTGAAGGCGGAGGCGAGATGAGAGAGGTGCACGGTCTACCTGAGTCCGCCAATTTGAGCAGTGCCGGTGTGTCGGCTTCGACTTCAAATGGATTGCCTTGTCATCCGGCTTGGCCTAAGTTTCATACAAGACCGGATGACGAGCTCCTTGCAGTAGTACCTTCCTTCCCAGACTCCTGGTGGGCAAAAGTGGCCGTCGCACGCAGTGATCGCTTCTTCTCATCTAGTCTCGTTCTCAACGCCATGAGCGGCAGGCACGTCACCTCGCGCCTTCCACGATCACGCGACTTGTCGACCGGCTTGGGCGTGATCTACGTAGGACAGGATGTCAAGCTGACCTCAAGCATCGCGATGCTCTCACATCTTCGACATGAATAACATCGAAAGGAGGCCATAGAGCTCACAACTGTACCGTAACATGCACAGGAAGCTCCCACACTCGATTAGAGCTAGGTGTGAGACGACAACTTCATCAGTGAGGACAATCATCAGACTTGTCACCAGGAAGCGTTATCGGCACTAAACATCGATGGAAGCCAGTATCGTCTGGATCATTATACGTTTCGAGATGTTCGCTCTCACTCTCGCTCCAAGACAGCTCTCAGAGCTTGACACTCCACACTCTGCACCATGCCGTCCTTGTCAAATGCGACGACCCATGAGTCTGTCGCTAGATTGTTGTACATAAGCGAGTCAGTCTGTACCCAGTAGTCGTTATCTAGACATAATGGTCAGCTCATATCCTAATATACGGCAGCAGCCAGGTCAGGGCACACTGTAAGACCGGGACAAGTACTTACAGACGCTCCAGAAGTCAGTGTCGCGGAATTCCTCGCCGTACTCATTGAACAAGAACTCCAAGACATATTTGTGATATCTGACACCATTCTCTTCGTAGCTCAGGTCGGTCGGAAACAGTCGATACTCTTTGATATTAGCAGCCCAGAAGACGTTGTTGATCATGTCTGTGCCGTTACTGATCCAGCTAGTAACACGCACACCTGGACCTTCATCGACGCCAAGGGTGACGGAGGAATTGAGCCCCGATGTCCCGCGATATGTGCCGGTGAAGGTGCCGTTGGCTTGATCTTTCATCGCGACCTCGATAGCATTGTACTGCGGAGGAACCATTAGTGAGATCCCGTACGTGTGACTACTCCTGCGCTACTCACGTAGATGTCAATCATTGTGGCGCGCACGGGAGACTCTTGGCCGCCTGGATGATCGCCCGTAGAAAGTGTGGAGAATCCTATCTCGTAGTCTGGAACCAAGCCGAAGCTTGCTGCATACAGACCAATATTACCACCCTTCGTATAGGCATCGACAATGCGCGAAGCATTGGTGACTTCATTGGTCGTAATCGCGGTACGGTAGATCTCCCACGGTGCCTGAAACTGTTAGCCACGAGTCTGTATTCAAGACTCTCGCAGAGCAGGCATACCCCGACAGAGCTCGTCCATCTTGACGTAGAAGTCACTGGCATGAGCCACTTTCTGGTCTCTGCGGCAGAGAGGAACTTGTTGGTATAGATCGCGTGACCCCAGGCCCGGAAGTCCTTCGTGGAGGTGTACTGATTTCCGGCTGGACCTTGTATGCCGATGTCATACGTGAAAAGCGCGTAGCTGTCGTTGCGAGGAATGACTGCGTCATAGTCCCCTTGAGGTACATGAGACGTAGTTGAAGTCATACCCAGCTTGTTGACGAACAAATCGTCGACTGCCTTGTCGAATGGGACACCAGTAGCTGACTCGTACGCCAGGGCAAGGATAGCGTATGCCAGATTGCTGTACGTAGGGGTGTACCATACGGGATTGACCGGAGGGTGATCAATAATGCCTTGCAGAAACTGGGCTCGGGTGCATTGAGGATAGATGTCGCCGTAGGAGTCGCAAAATACTATCGTATCATTTGCCAGAGGTGGGAACCCGTTGTCGACGACCACTTCTATAGGTGGCTGACCAAAAGATTGCGTGGCGAAGTCGCCGAGATGAACTGGAGGAGTCAGTACCAACAAGTCGGGATGTGGACGCTAACATACAATCACGTCCGATTCCAGACATCTGGCTGGCGAGCGCACCAATCGTCACTTCACTCCAGTTCGTGGACATAATCGGGTTCTTATAGGAAGCTTCTGCTGCAGCAAATTCCGGCTATCGTCGTCAATAGCGTTCAACGACATGGCATGGTACTCACGATGTACTTAGTGATGGGATCGTAGAATGTTGATTCACCCAGACCAACAAGCCAGGTGTACATGGTCGTCGCCTTGGTGATGCTTCCGATGCGATAGATGGAGTCCTCGGTGATGCTTCCCTTTGTGAAAGACTCCTTAGGTAAGGCCGGGGCTTCATAGTGATACTGCCAGAGTGACTCGCCGGTTTTCAGACTGAATATGGATGCTGAGAAGGCTGTGTCGTTGTACATCGTGCCGTACTGCGATTTTTGTGCGGCCAACCCATCGTCGATGGCTTTGGTCATCTGTTCTTTGGCGGCGTTAAGTACAGAGAAGTCGGTCAGTGGTTGATAGATTCGACCTAACAAAGTCATCTCTGTATTCGGCATAGGCACAACGGCTGCCATTGTTGATGCGATGCTAGCTAGGAAGGCCCAGCCCGGGCGTCTCACCGAGTACTGCATCTTTGCCAACGTCTAACTGTGACGGCTCGGCGTGTTCGAAGGAGCAGAGAACGACGAAGTACCTCAGTGCTCGGAGAGCCATCCAGGTGGTCGCCAAAGGCTTGATTTATATCGCAAGTGTCTCCATCCAGACTGTCACGTTGTTCATGACCCCATCATCATCTATCTCCCTATCCACAAATTGATGATAATGTCTTGCGAAACTGCCACCCGCAGCAACACAAGTCATGCTGTCGTACGTGACCTTGATGCTGGAGGAAGCGCTTTCGACTATGATGGAAAGGTTAGTGCGCAAGCCCACTTCTTCGTTGGTACGTGCTTAGGAGCCATGTCGCCGGCAAAGCCTGGGTCGGACGGCCAAGGCAGCCTCGCTCGGCAACGTCGTCGCGCTTGCATACGACGTAGTCACTTGCCCCGCGTCTTCTGTATTGCCATAGACGTTCTCGGTTAGTTCTGTACGAGAAGAGTATGTTACCAAGTTCAGGCTTGGACCTGGATGGTAATGTGGGGGAAGAGCTATCGATCAGATTAGGGCGTAGCAACCGCCAGAGGCTTGGCCTGCATCTTCCTAAAGCTTCGAGCAACCGAAGCTGCATACCCTTGCAAACTCTCGCACGACCTTTCTTCCTCCCACCTGGGCATTCATGTTTTCGGCTTGCTGATCCTGAAAACTCGGACGCTCGCCTGATGATGCTAACGCACTGGCAGAATACGTCTACTAGCACTCTCTTGCACAGTCCAGCGCGCTTGCACCTTTCCGTCGAAGCGCGCATCCCACTTTTGCGAAGGGCTCATGATCTTGCATGACAGGTGCAGTGAGATAACGTCTTTCGCAGACCACGCGATCTTCTTCACGGTTGACGAATCAGCGCCGTTACTAGACAGAGTACTCAAGTAACGAGCTATGTCTCTGGACTATCTTGCACCGTCGTTTGCTTATCATGGACACGAGTAGTCCTCGACCTGTCAGGGACCAGCCCAGCCTCATATCTTCAGTCGTGCCCGATGCCAGCTAGCTTCCATCTTCCTTCCCTCATTCATGCTCAGACATCAATCTCGCTGACATGGCAGACGAAGTCAAACACGCCGCCAGCGCGCGGGACGATGTGGTGGACGACAAAGAGCAGCTCACCGTCAATGCGGCTGGCACAGTTGTCGACCATGGTCTTCACCGTCAGCTCAAGCAACGGCAGATGAACATGATAGCGCTTGGTGGTGTCATCGGGTAAGCAGCGTCGGTTGTGCATCGATATCACCTGACAATCTCCAGAGCAAGTATCTGGTACGGGGTTGGTGTTTCGATCTCCTACTCCGGTCCAATAGGTGTCTAGCCCATACTGAGACCTGCCCTGATCAAAAACAGGTCGGCGCACTGGTCTGCTTCATCATCATGGGCATAAACATTTTCTTTGTAATGCAGTGCATTGGGGAGCTGGCGACTCTTTATCCCTCCGCTGGAGCATTCACAGAACACTGTGGGCGCTTCGTCGACGGCTCAGTTGCCGTGTCGCTCGGCTGGAACTACTGGTACCTCGTGAGTGCTGCACTCAGCCCTCGATTCACAGGCTCACATGAGTAGTGGGCGATAAACCTGGCGGCCGAATACAATCTCATAGCAGTCGTGCTTGGCTACTGGACGGACAAAGTGCCTGACTACGGCTGGATCTTGATGGCCTGGGCTTTCTATCAGGGAATTGGGCTTCTGGGAATCATTGTCTTCGGTGAGGTCGAGTTCTGGCTGGCTCTCATAAAGATCGTGTTTGTCTTGGTCACCTTTCTGCTCAGCATACTTTGCAATACTGGAGCCATCGGAGGCGACTACGTCGGTTTCAGGTATTGGTCGAATCCTGGTCCAGTGATCAACGGTATCAATGGCTTTGGCAAGTCGTTCGTCCTTTCTGCTGTGTACTACAGCGGAACAGAGCTTGTTGCCATCACTGCTGGTGAGAGCAGGAATCCGCATCGAGCCGTACCATCAGTATGAGCCCACCACAGAACAGTCTACAGGATGCTGACTCTTCTCACAGGCGATCAGGAAGACCTTGTATCGAGTTGTCTTCATATATTGTATGTCAAGCCACCCATTTCCGATGTCTCGACTAACCAGAGGTTCAGGGGGGATCATGTTCTTCGCATCAATTGCTGTCAGTGCAAGAGACGAAGACCTTCTCACTGGTACAAGCCGCGCTGGGGCGTCACCTTTCGCCATCATGCTTCAACATGCAGGCTGGAAACACGGCCCTGATCTGATCAACGCTTTCATATTCATTGCTACTTTCAGCGCCTCAAATTCCTCGATCTATATCGCCTCCCGAACCCTCAAAGCCTTGGCCGATCAAAGGAGAGCGCCGAAGTTCTTCAGCCGAACACACTTCCGCGGCGTGCCAGTATACGCTCCATAGCATCGAATCTCGTTGGCCTCATCGGCCTCACGACTATCTCGGAAGGTGGTGGGAAGGTCTTTGGCTATCTGACCACCTTGATCGGGGCCGGAAGCCTCATTGCATGGTCTTTGATCGGGATAACGCACCTTCGGTTTCGAAAGGCATGGCGTCTGCAGGGCTTCACCGAGAAAGACCTGCCATTCAAAGCCTTTCTCTATCCTTACGGGACTTGGATAGTTGCAATCTTCAACCCGTTCTTGGTCATTATTCAGGGATACGCCACTCTGGTAAGTTGTCTTCATCGGCTACAGGATCTCGCTAACACAGTGAAGCTCACGCCATGGAGTCCCGTGGACTTCGTCTTCTCCTACGTGATCCTGGTTCTCTTTGTGGTTCTGACGGTATTCTGGAAGCTGTATCACAAGACCAAGCTGGTTGACTTGGCTACGGTCAATCTGCATGAAGGGAGGAGAGAGGTGCTTGCCCAAGACGATGACGAAGAGCGACCGGGCCTCACTCGCCGAGCGATGAACGCTGTGCGTAGTCGTCTCTCCAGCTCCTAGGCAACAATGGTAATCCATAGCGTAGCGAAGTCGAAGTTCATGGTCTAAACTGTCAGGAATATTTTTGCTCCTGCTTAGCAATGTAGAATCCTTGGCTTGGGCAATGGGGCAAGACTTACAGCAAGCATATTTTCCAAGCGCACCCTCGTCGTTTCCTAGCTCGAAGCTCACTTCCTATCGTGAGTTTCATGCAGTTGCTGCGTCCTACAGCACCAGCACCCGGACTTCTTGATGTGGATCCGAGGCTCGTAAAAGGGTAACCGCTTTGGGACAGTGCATGCAGTCAAGCTAGAACTCGGTCTTCACGAACCTCATCGCATCCACCCTCGTACGTTAGCGACACTGGACCTGAACGGGTGATGAGGATCGCGGTGAACCCCCACGGACACATGTGGGGCAACGGAACAGCTCTCACTCCCCAACGATCAAGCCCATGAAAGGCTCCCCCTTCGCGGTAACTTCCCTATGTCCTCGGCCATCCGCAATGACATACCACAGTAGAGCGCGAAGGCCTCATCGCGGTTGGAGCTCGGCTGGTGACAAGATCAAGCCGTCCCGGCCTGAATGCTGCACTCTTTTAACGCTGATTAGCCCAAGCGGAGTTGCCCACACACGATGCGGAATTTTGCGAAGACCGAACCTAAAAGGCAATTTCATCTGCGAGCATAACTCGACAACACAAATGACCTTCCTCACTATCATATTCGGCTATTCGCGGGGTCATTGTACCGAGACTGCCATCACAAGGATCCCTAGTGTGCGTCGACTGAGCTCCAGCGCCGCGATCTGACCTCGAAAGGATCATCGTTGCGTTTTGACCTGCCCAGACGAGTCTGATAACGACATTCCTACCAGCTCAGCCTGATACGCCCGGGCTTCAGAGCACGACGGGGTCATTAAGCTCGACTTCCGCCAGATTCAAGTCATCGTTTCATCAAGTTCAACAACGAGATGTCCGCAAATGGGGCATCCTCATCTCCGGAGCCCAGCTCAAAGCGTGTAGAACGCCTGCTCAAGGCAACACCTTTGATCGATGGGCACAACGATTTCCCATTCCTGCTTCGCCAGCAGTTGCACCATCAAATCTACGATCATGACCTCCGCGACAATCTGGACTGCCACACAAGCGTCAAGAAGATGCGGCAAGGCATGATGGGTGGCCAATTCTGGAGCATCTACGTGCCCAATCCAGAGGAGGCGAGGCTTGTGGTTCCGGATGAGGATGCCGAAAGTCAGGAGAACGGTGCAGCCACCAATGGATATCATATGTTGAAGTCTTATGAGAAGAAGCATACCTGTGGTTGTGAGCACATCCCAGCAAACGGTGGACAGCGAGGGAAAGGCTTGGGTCTCAATGAGCCGAACGTGAGTAAAGTCGTGCAGCCTTTTCGATGCAGTCGACTGTGCAAGCCCTCCTCCTCGTGAGCTCGGCTCAGTAGACACAGAGACGCCCAAACTAACACCTCGTAGCACTGTGTTCGCGACACGCTCGAGCAGATCGACGTAACTCATCGCCTCATCCGCGCATACCCTTCGGACTTCACACTATGTACCAAGCCTGCAGCGGTCCGCAAAGCACATGCCTCCGGAACGATTGCATCCATGCTCGGCATCGAGGGCGGGCACTCCACAGGCAACTCAATACCTGCACTGCGTCTCTTCTTCGATCTGGGCGTCCGGTACATGACCCTCACCCACAACAGCGACACCGCATTCGGCACGTCCTGGATCACAGTCGATCCGCAGGTTCCTGGGGCCGAAGACAATGGGCTGTCAAAGTTCGGCGAAGAATGCGTGCGAGAGATGAACAGGTTGGGGATGCTGGTCGATCTCAGCCATGTTAGCCACCAGACGATGCGAGATGCGTTGAAAGTCGCCAGAGCGCCAGTGATCTTCAGCCATAGCGCAGCGTACTCAAAGACTAAGATCGGGCGTAATGTGCCGGATGATGTTCTACAGACTGTGAAGCAGAATGGAGGTGTCGTCATGATTCCGAGCGTGCCGTTTTTCTTGAGGGAGTCGACAGAAGGGCAAGGCTTTACCGAGATCCGTGCTACTGTCGATGACTATCTGGATCATGTTATTTACATAGCAAACCTGATCGGCTGGGAACACGTGGGACTGGGAAGTGACTTCGATGGGTGTGAGACCACAGCCGAGGGCCTCGATGTGAGTGATACTGCTTGGCCATGTGATATATCATCACACTGACACACCTTGCAGGACACTTCCAAGTGGCCAAACATGCTTGCAAGACTGATCGAGCGCGAGAACGTGACGGACGACCAGATTCGAGGCCTCATCGGCGAGAACGTGCTACGAGTCTGGGAGCAGGCGGAGAAGGTGGCCATCGAGATTCAACAAGCAGGCGCGAAACCTACCGAGAAGCATTGGGAAGGCAGGATATGGGAGCCGGAGAACTTCGACGTTCCTAGGATATACGCTCGTAAATGAGGTGAGAGTTGTATTTTGAAGCTTACTTGCAGCACGTGGTCGGTGCTCTGTCCATCAAGTCGCGTACCTCTCTCACGCCAGCTGTCACCGATCCCTTTCGCGGTTTCTCTCTGCACAACCTCTTCGACGCCTCTGTGCGTCATCCTCGGTGCTGGAGCCTTTACTAGGATTGCAACTTTGCCCTTGCTGGACAGTCTGCCTCCTGAGTACTCAGACTCCGCATCGCTTACCTGCTAGCGTTGCCTGGTTGCCTTGCAAACGTTGTGACTATATGACGCAGTGAATGCTGGAACTCATTGTTTGCATCCATGATTTGACTCGCTCAGGACCGACGACATCGACACGTCTGCGTGACCCCGTTCACAACGCCGTGTATGCAGATATTCCACACACAGTGTCGCCAAAAACTACTTGCCTCAGGACGAGAGTATTGACACCGCTTCCGGTGTACGGCAAGATTGGCGTGTGGTTAACCGGGCGACCAGACCTCGATTCGAGTGGCCACCATCGCAACTACACCTGCCCGAACACTCACAACTTTCTCTGGATCATCCTTCTCAATTACACCCTGTCGCCAACCAAGCACAAGCTTCAACACTGCGAGCATTTTCTGCCTGACGATATTCCTCCATCACACAAAGCAATCGACACTCGTCCCCCTCCGCGACTAGAGCCGACTCCTCCCGACAATGCCGATCGTCGAATCTGAACCCCGGCGCGATCAGCGTCTACGAGGGGTAAGATCGCTACGGCAGGTATGCCTCGATCGCACCATGGATATCATGCTTGAGGAGCCGGCTCCATTTGAAATGGTCGCCGCGCTACCTTGGAAGCTGCAACAAGATCTTCTGACACAAGTATCGGCGGACCGACGCGAGAAGCTAGATTCCGAGAAGCGCAGAGGCCCCGTTCCATTGATAGACCAAGAACAGCGGGACAATAGGGACGCCAATGCAGAGTTCATCGAGAAGCATGCAGAGCACTTTGTGAAATGGGGTCACCCGGACTTGGACACAGCAGACGCTTTCTGGCAGAACTTCCTCGGATGGGCAGACAGTCTTCAATCTTCTGCTAACGAGGGTGCTGACGGGGTCTACGACGATCCGGTGCTGCTGGTCAAGAACTCAGATGATTCCCTGATTCGCTTCAGCATCTGTCCACGCTTCGTCAACGAACCATCGGATTATGACTGCGGACATTTCGAACACTTCAGTCTCTCCGATCTGATCTCATCGGAACTGATGGTACGTCGCTTACCAGCTCTGGCCGATGCACCGGGCGGCCAGTTCTTCGACCATGGGGACCTGTACGAATGGAGACATGGAGAACTATCCGTGAGAATCGCTGGTGACACTGAAGGACTCCAGGGACCGGGTATGTGGTGCGATTTCATAGGTGACAGGGACTGTGTGAGAAGTGCAGAAGTGTACCTCAACGCGCTGCTGAGCCCCATCGAAGAACAGTACTGGAACAATCGTCGAGGACGGACTGCCTTCGCTACGCGCTATATGAAGTTGTTCGAATCGGTCGACATCGGATCAGCTACGGGATGAGAAGGCCATGCCAGACCACGCGTTCGTCAACATCGATACGACGCTCAAATTACAACTTCATGAGAGTTCCTTGCTTCATCTTGCACTACAATTGGAGCGCCCGGCGAAATTGATTCGCAACGAGAGGATTGCTATGCGGCGGAAGACGGCAGAAACAACGGCTCATATGACGCCTGCGGACATCATGGGTCTGCCGACATGCAACGGACCACATCGATGGTAGTGCTGGTCAAGCTGGATCTGATGAGCCCGGATGACGGGCAGCATGAGGCTGCCTTAAGAGACATACCCTCAAGGTAGCAGTTGCCCAGGCAGGACCTTCAGTCTCAGCTTTCGCACCTTTCCATACGTGTCGTTTGTCACATGACAGAGTGGTCAACGTATTTTCATTGCAGCCTGATCGTCTTGTTACCCTGCCTACCAGATTGCCTTTCAAGTGACCATGGAAAGTGACTGCAAACGGAGCTGGCGGGACAACTTCTTTTCCCAATTCCACGATAATTGCTGCTCGTTTCGATCGCAATTCCAACCACCGACAAGCACAATTGGCAACACCTCAAGCTTCGCCGGACGACGGCTTCGACAATGCCGATCGTCGAAGCTGAACCTAAGCACGATGAACATTCCCGGGGTGTAAGGTCTTTGTATCAGGCCAGTCTCGACCATGCTGCAGATACCCTCTGGTCCGAGCCACGCCCACGCGATTTGTTCGAGACGTTGCTCCCACCATTCAAGGAGACTTATTGGGAGCCCTACTCAATGATCGACGCAAGCTTCAGGAGACAGAGCAACGGCTGACAGAGCTGGAAAGCACAATACCTTTGATGGACAGAGAAGCTCACCTCGGTATCGACAAGAATGTACAGTTCATTCGACAGCACCCAGAGAGCTTTGTGGTAGGACACCACCCGGACTATCGCAGCGAGAGAGATTTTTGGTACAACTTTTTGGAAGCAGCAGACGATCGACGATTCCAAGGCGGAGGGCAGAAGCTGCGGAATTGCGACTGGGTCTGGTTGATCGAAAACTCGGAAGACTCGCTGATACGATTCAGCATATGCCCAACGTTTAACGCTTGGGAGGATGTATGCAACTGCTTACACCGACAACACTTTGAGCTGCCGGATCTCATCTCATCAGATCTGCTGATGCGTCGCTTGTACATTCTGAAGAATGCGCCGGGTTGCCGTATTGAGAGGGATGACAATCTTGGAGAGAATGATACTTTCGGGCTCACATGGTTCATAAAGACTTAGTCGTGGAAATGCATGGGTCCTCAAGAGGCCTGAGTGCAGGTGCGAGCTTGCGCGGCGATCAGAACAGTATCAGGATGGCAGAAGCGTATCTGAATGCGTTGCTGAGCCCGATCGAATCAGATTATTGGAGCAGCCAGAAGATGACAGGGCGAAATGCCTTCGCGAGGCGATACGTGAAGTTGTTCACGCCACCGGAGACCTGGACGACCACTGGACCAGGCGCTCCTCCCAAAGCGACCTGCACAACCATCGATATGGATTCCTACTGAGAGCCGACAGGGGAAAAAGCAAGTGGCGAGGTTGGACCGTGATGGCAACGCCGTTGCGACGGTCAAGAAACGAGAAAGAATGGCTCTTTGAATTTGTGCTGGGAGCGACCGGCTCGTATATGAATGGCGGAGCGTATCGATGGTGGTCATGGTCAAGCTGGATGGCATCCGCGCAGATGGAGGACGCAGGCAGTATGGGGCAACATAGCCAGGCACTCGTCAGATGGAAGTGGTTAAGACAGGTAGCACCACCAATCTCAGCTTCAGGTCTCCCCACAGCTCCGTTCGGTCTTCCACATCACGGCGTTTTTAACCTGTAGGGGCACTGGCGTACTGTCCAGAGGTGGCAGAGTGATTGTCTTGTTGCTCCAACGGTTGTGTAGATGTCCCTTCAAGTGACAACCAAAAGTGACTTCCAACAAACCTCGCGAGACACGACTTCGCTGAAACATTTGCAATTTGTCCACATCACCTTGCAATAATTCCTCTCCACGCTCATCGCATCGATCACCAACTGGCGCTACCGAACAAATCTTCAATTGCTTAGCCCTGGCCGCGACGATGCCGGTCGTCATTGCAGAACCGAAGGACGGCGGAGATGGCGAACGCAGCCAGGGTGCAAGATCTCTACTACACGTCTGTCTTGATGTCGCCACAAACGTCTTGCCTGACGAGCCGAACCCATACAGCCTAGTGAGCACACTACCGGAACTCCTCCAAACGAAGATGGCGGTACACCTCCTGAGTGATCGACGTGAGCTGCAGAACGTCAAGACCTACATGGACAAGATCCCGTTGATGGACCAGGAGAAGCATCTCACGATCGACAGAAATGCCAAGTTTGCAGCCGACCACCCGGATATATTCGACGACCTCGATTACTCCCTCGGAGAAGTTCTTCGCGCTGCTGGGTTGCTTCCTCGTACAGCCGCGCCGAGTGCTGCCAGATGCCTTGATGGAGAGGTGCTCCTGGTCGAGAATACAACAGATTCTCTGCTCCGGTTCAGTATCTGTGCGACCTTCGAGCATCGTAGGGGCAGATGTCGGCATCGCAAACACTTCAAAATGGGAGACCTCATCTCACCCCAACTTCTCGAGAGGCGATTGAAGCTCATGAAGAATGAAAGAGACTGGAAGCTTGAGGACACCAATTACGATGATCCAACAACTTGGACACACGGAGATCTCAGGTTGGAAGTCTACCTTGAGGACCATGACGAGGAACCCGACGTGACCTGTGTTTTCAAGGGTGACATAGACTGTGTTAGGGGTGCGGAGATCTACCTCAACGCATTGTTGAGCCCAATTGAGAGGATCGACGGCAACAGTAACTATGGGGAAGAGGCTTTTGCAAGGTGTCTCAGCAAGCTGCTGGAACTAGCAAAGGTCGAGAAAGACTCTGCCGCAAATGGGTCTTGATCCCAGACATCGGAAATCCTTGGGTGCGCTGGGATGATGGAATGATTCGAGTGCTAGCGTGCAGTCGATCAAGGACTCGCAAGTGACGATGCGTCGGAGCAGCATGAGACACAGGTATCGACAGACGTGAGTTGCAACAGATTGACTGCAGCGAGAGGTGGGACGTCGAAAGGTCGTCTCGTTGCTCACTGAGAATATCGCAAGGTCTTCAGGCGCTGAGTTGCGCGACTTGCAGGACAGAGGTTGTCCATACCAGCAATAGGCCACCTTTCAGTCCAGTGATGCGGTCGAGAGTGCTGAAGCAAACGTCCACGACAAGAGTCCAAGCAAGGCTCTGTAATGCTAGAGAGCCTGAGCTGTTGTTAACGTCTATCCAGGAACACAAGGACGGCAAACCCATAGTCACAAACAGGAGCGCAGCAGTCTGAATTCTTATCCTTCTTCAGACCACTCAATTACGCAGCATTGTCGCTTTTCATTGCTGCAGCGCATCTCCATTACTGCATTTTTGATCAGAGCAGTGCTTAAGCAATATTGTTAACCTGTGCGCTGTTAATCTATGCGAAACGCTGCAAGAGTCTCCAATAGCGCCAGCAAGGTAGAAGCTAGCGCAATGTGTAAGAGCTCATAAGACAACAACAGAGACGCACCAGGTTTTCGACCCCAAGCAGACAGCGAACCACCAAGACAATGCCTGTCGTTCTAGCAGAGCCCAAGGAACGCGAGGTTCTCGACCATGGTCGCAAAGGCGCACGAGCTCTCCGCCAGATTGCTCTCGAGAATGCTCTGCTTGATGAGCCGAGTCCACAAGCCCTGGCTGAGGAAATCCCCTGGTCTGTTACAAGAGATATGTTGATACACCTCTTGAATGGTCGACGGCAAGCCGAAGCAGAGGTCTCGCTCCTCAAAGACTCCATGCCGTTAATGGACAGAGAGCACTTTCTCGGCATTGATAAGAATGCTGAGTTCGTCAAGGAACATCACGGCAGCTTCAACGTTGGCCTGCTCGACCACCAAGTACCCGCCAGCACATGGGAGGGCGTCGTCAAATCAGCCAAAGAACTCAAATCACTTTCAACTTTCGTATCGCGACGTACAAAAATTGCCAGAACTTTTAGAGATGTTAGGCTGATCGAGAATTCGGGCAACTCCCTGCTTCGGTATAGGATGTGCAAAAAGATCGACCACGAGGCGGGCACCAGATCCTGTAAGGATGACAACCACTTCAAACTTGAAGACCTCATCTCTCCGCAACTCCTCAAGCTCCGCTTGGAAGTCCTGCAATCCGAATGGGAGTGGGTGGACGAGGGCAAAGACGATGAGGGTGACGAGCGTTGGAGTCACGGAGACCTTCGCTTGACCTTTGGTGATGGGTGGTTCGATGTAGATCATGCGGATCTTGGCGGGTTTTCACCAGTGTTCTGGGCCCATTTTGACGGCGATGAGGACAGTATCATGAGTGCAAATATTTACCTCAATGCTCTGTTGAGCCCAGTGGAGGCATCAAGTTACGGGAATCTCGAAACGCTGGACGCTTCGCAGTTCGCTATGGCAAGGTATTCGAGCTGCTCGACAAGGATAAATGAGCATTTTCAGCGTGGCCTTTGGATCCCAACATTTCGAATCAAGGCGGGCTTTGAGGGCTGAAATTGTTTTGCACATCGAGCCAGGAAATTTGGGAGGAGTCTCACTTGAGCTCTAAGTCGGAGAATCAACCTATTATCAATTTCCCTGCCAGGGAGGTCGCTGTTGGAAATCTGGCCTGTATGTTGAGGATGGAGCAAACGCTCATTTCTTGGTTGAACAGCTTCGGGGGATTTTCATAGATTTGTAAAGCCTCGCTGGCTCGTTGTTGATGCTGGAGCTTCGAGATTGACGACAAGTTGGGCATGCAAGCTCTTTGGCTTAATCGCAGAGCGGCAGTGGGGAGATCGGAGCGGAACCCAGGTCGCCTGGAATTTCTCTGATGGCATGCCACATGTAGAGACAAGCGCTCGTTGTACTGGGAAAGGATGACATAAGGCAGCCAGCAACCTCAGCCCAGACTGTGGTCTCGATTTCGCTGATACGGAGGTTAGCGCTCAACCGTAAGCTACGACCTTCAGCTCGGTCGATCGACCCAAAAGTCGATCTCTGAATGCTTCCGGAAAAGTCAGTGACAAAAGGCGTACCACATTGCTACAAGCCGTCGAGTTTGCAGCAGCTTCGAGTCCCAATGCAAAAGGAGCAGTGAGGGAAAGTGGAGCTGCCGGAACTCGCCGAGACCGATCGACCTTGGCATTAGGCAAATTGATCGATCGATCCCGGACTTTTTCACTCCTCGTGGTGCCCTGACCATTACTAGAACATACATCCAATGCTCCAACATGGGCTCAGTCTCACCGGCTCACCCTGCCGATCACAACTCACTACCAGCCGCCCAATCAGCCACGGTACGCCACATCTACGACTTTGTGGAGCAATTCTTCCAAAATCCCCAATTCGACGCGTCGCACGACTTCCGGCATGTAAGACGCGTGACCAGGACGGCCATTGAGATCTTCGAAGCAGAAAGGACTGCCAATCCTGACTTGGACCTATACACGATCATTCTGGGCGCCTTACTGCACGACGTCGAGGACAAGAAGTATGCCCAATCGAAGGACGCCATCAAACTTGCCCTGCTCGAGGTTGGCATGCCGGAAGCAGAAGCTTCTCGACTGCAGAGACTCGTAGAGGGCGTTTCGTACTCATCGGAGATCAAAGATTCGGAGAAGGTGCGCCTGCTGATTGCGGAGATCCCAGAGCTCGCTGTAGTGCAGGACGCAGACCGGCTCGATGCCATCGGCGCCATCGGGATTGCTCGGTGCTTCACTTTCGGAGGCGCCAAAGATACGAGGTCCCTTGAGGAGTCGGTAGAGCATTTCCACGACAAGCTGTTCAAGCTGGAAGGCATGATGAAGACTGAGACTGGCAAGGTGTGGGCCGCTGAGAGGACCAGGGTCCTTCACGACTTCGTGGACTGTTGGAATCGTGAGATCAGGTGATGAACTTTCTCGAACGTGCAAATCAACTTCGCAGTTCCGAGAACCGAGCTGAGCGTTGAGGCTTGGGCTTCTGCGAGACTACCGGGGCCAATACTGAATAAGGCTTCATACTGGTGAATAAAGCGGCTCAAGTCTCCTCTGCATCGCCAGGCTCGCCTAAGTCTTCAGGCTTCGGTTCAGCTGCTTCAGATGCCTCCACTGAAGCTGGTGGTGCGGCTCCTCCAACTTTCGGAGGAGGCGCTTTTGGCGTGCCATGACGCGATGGAGCGAAATCCTGCGCAGCACTCTTCTGCGCTCCCTCCGCAAACATATCGTCGAAGCCAGCATTAGGTGACACTGCTCTATGTGCTCTCCCCTTCTTCGCTCTGGAGCCAACAACTGGTGGTGGAGCATTTGGATTCAGCATCGGCGGTGGCGCAGCGTTCGGATTCAACATCGGTGGTGGTGCTATTGGTGCAGCTTGATACGTCGTGTCCGCAGTGCCGTTGTATAGATCAATACTTCTTTTTTCCGCACTGGCGTCGAACAGATCTTGACCTGGTGCCTGAACCTCCTCTCCGATACCGACAGGGAGTCGATGTAGGGCACCGAAGCCAAGGACTGCTCCCAGTGCACCCTCGCCGCCCCAGCCCCTTCGTGGCACTAATTCGACCTCTCTTACCACGTCAAACTCCGAATTATACACCCAGAGCATGAGGCTTCTGTTTAAGTGATCTTCGACTAGCTCGCCGAGAGCAGACTCGCCCTTGAGTGTTCCGCTGGGTGATCCGAGGACGTAGTCGCTATGTGGCAGGAGGCCAGCTAGGTGAGCGGGCGACAGAGGGGAGGGGATGGTTAAGATGTGCCACACGTTAAATGTCGAGTTGAGAGGTGAAAGCTGCAGTGACAAGCCGAGGCTGTCAGGCGCTTGCGGTACTGGGACCGTGAGCTGTGTTGTCCGCTGTCCCTTTGCACTCCATATGTCTAGTGTGCAGTATCCCCCTGCGCAATTCTTGAGTTCGGTTGCAAATAGGGACGGGTCCGGCGATTCCTGCCAGTGGTCAGCATTCACAGAACCACTAATTGGGGCTCACATACAATGAAGTGGCCGTTGATACCAATGATGAAGTCAAACCATGGCTCGAGAGCCAGTTCGGTGTTCGTGTTCCTTAGAACCTGGAAACCAAAAGTATTGTCGCCAGGGTTCTGCGCGCCTTGCTGTTGTGTTGGCTCGGCGTCGAGCCGCCCGATGAACCGATTGAGCGCTCCAAACATCGTGAGCGCGTCACTTTGGGCAAAGCACGTCCATGGTGGGTTCGCTGGTGTCGCGACTGGAGCCGACGTGGTCGATGTTGATACTCGCAGCCTTGTAAGTCACGTGCAAGGCTTTTGTCCTGAAACCTTCTGGTTGAGAAATGGCATCCATGTAATTCCAGTCCATCTCCTGCAAACACATCATCTTCCGTTATGATAGCAACCTTTGAATTGCGGGTAGATATGCAGGCCCGGGCTCGTGCCCATCCTGCAAGTCTCACCGCTGCGGGCCTCATAGCGGTCGCTGATATGCCGCAACGCGGGTCATCGACTTAATCGCTGGCCATAGGCGCTGTCATTGGCAGCCTTCCTGGCTTATAGCACGGCGGCGCTTGTTGAAACCGAGAACTACTTCTGGATAGTGCTTGCTTCATGGTCGGTTGGGGCCAATGCCCACCGTGCCTGACAATTTGTCGTGTGAGCGGTCTGGGCTCCGAACTCCCTGCTCTACCGCCAACATCCTGACCGCCGCCACCACCAAGAAGTGCGACATAAGTATTATGACAGCAAGTTCTCCATGCCTCGATCTGACTGGCAGTGTAAGTCCTCTACCGAACGCCGAGCTGACAACAGTGATCCTACGTTACCATAATGGCTTCTTGAGATGCAGGCTCTCATCTCGAGATGGAGGCAAGGACCAAACGATGTGCAGGCCACCCAGCCGGAGAGGAGTCCCGCGACTGGGTGGAAGTCGATATACTTACGTCGACGTAGTCTTGCAAGTATGATTGCAGTCAGCTTGTTTCTTGGAGCTGTTGTGGTGCTGCTCTACCTCAGGTCGGACGGCGACAATGGTTTTTCGCTCATAATAAACAGTCATTTCGTTTGGACCTACGCGCCGACTGCTGTTCTTGTCTTCATGGTGGCAGTGTGGCGACAAGTCGACTTCCACACCAAAGTCGTGGCTTCGTGGGTTCAATTAAGTTACAGCGGTCAGCAACCAGCTTCAAAGACGGTTCTCCTGGACTACCTGTCGCCAATACAAATTTCCAGCTTCAAGAATGCTATTCGCAACCAACACGTGGCAGTAGTGCTTGGTATAATCGGCTCCATTTTGTCGAAATTGACTGTACTCGTGTCTACAGCACTGTTCGTTGCTTTACCGATCTTCCAGGACGCACCCGCGACCGGCCTAATGCGAACAACTGCATTCGATGGCCGCTTGGCAAACGTCGATGATATCCCTACTCTCAATGACTCCTCGCTGGTGTACACGGCCTACGCTCGCTTCATCAGTGCACAACCTGAGGCGGCTGCGGCAGCAACCGAGAGCTGCACATATGAGGCCTCAGGCCTGCAGGCGTCCGATCAAGCGGGTGTGAGAACTTCCCTGCAGGCTGTCTTCCCCGAGTACCGATGCGGGGGCATTGCAACTTCAACCATACTTGACCAGAACTCCACCGAGCAGAACCCGAATCACGTACTACGAATTGAAGATCCGACCTGCCAATTCCCGAACGGCAGAAAGACGATTCAGCTACAAGCACTGAATCCAAGAACTTTCCGCTGCCCACCGGAGCAGATTACACCAATATTTGAGCGCCTTACATGCAATGGCAATGGTACAAATTGGCACTTGCTTGGCCTGATCGATTTCAGATATGAGCAGTCACTGACCGATATTGACCAGGACGCCAATCTTGGCGCGCCTGTCGAAGCGATCAACTCCTCTACGTCTGCAAACCGAGGTGCTACAATAGCTTGCGAGGTGACATATTCCATGGTCAATGCGACTCAGACCTGCAAGCCTGCTGGTACAAGTCCGCCGAGTACACTCTTCGCCAACAGCACATTGCTTTCAGAGAGCGTTATCCAAAAGCTCGATGGGCTCAGCGATGCTGACCTTGCCAGGCTGTTCCTCGGCTCTTTGTTCGCCGCCTCCGATATGTTCGGCAACGTTCTGGACGAGGGCTACGCACTCGAGTACCCTAACACGATGCTGAAGTTCATGGCAAAGACCGTTTCAGGAGGCAGGTACGACGGCTTGTTCGACGAAGACAAGATGGCAAGAGCAGCACAGTCAGTGTTTCCCAGGATAGCTGTCCCGCTCTTGCAGAAGAACTTCATCGCGAACGCCTCTGTGCCGCTGACAGCGAACGGGCGCTTTCTGGAGGAGAGACTCTTTCTCAATCCCGTCGCCGTCTGGCTAATGCTCGCAGGCTTTACTCTGATGTCAATGGTCGCAGCATTGCTGGCCTGCAGACGCCCGATATTCACAATCTGGCAAAATCCGGAAAGCACAGTCACAGCAGGCCTGATTCTGGCGCAAGATCCTGAGGTCGAGACGTGCTTTCGCAACGACGGCGATCCAAACTTGTTCCAAACCATCACGCAACACAAATTTGAGCTGGATACAAGTGCTGCAAGACCCTGGAAACGCGAGCAGTACCTGCTTCTATCGTCAGGACCTGATCGCCTGGACAGGTCTGCACCCACAGATACGCCACACTGGTGGCGATCGCTGTTTCTTCGACCATGGATATATACATCGTGCTTGTTGCTTCCTTTCTTCTCGATCGGGGCGCTAGAGATTCTGCAACACTTCTCGGATCGATCGCAAGGATTCGGGACCTCGAGTCTGTCCGCCGGAAACGTCCTAAAATTCGACCTGCGCAATGTCTTTCCACTGGTAGCCCTCCTCATCGCGAGCCTCGTCAACTCCATAGACTTCAACATCGCTGCACTAGCGCCCTTTCAGGCTGCGAGACGTGGCTGGGCTGATGCCCGGACACTTGCACCGGTCCTTGGCCGAGTGCCACTGACTGCTATACATCACTTGATCATAACACAGAACTGGGGCCCATTCCTTTCTGCAGTCGCTTCCTTCACTGCTGCGTTTCTCACGATCGTGGCATCAGGCCTGTATAATGGCGTTTTGCAAGAAATACAGTCCAACTCCACCATCACTCTGAGCTACCTCGATCAATTCGAGCCAATATGGAACAATAGCGTCTTGGATGATGGCAGCGCTGTTGTGCTCGCCAGCATCTACGAGACTTCGAATTTCTCTTACACCGCGCTCGCGTATGATGAGCTGGCGCTTCGCGCACTCTCGCTATCAGACTCAGACCTTCGAGACGTCAACAATGCCGCAAACAGCAGCTGGGTAGTCGAGACACCCGCTCTTCGCGCCAGCCTCGTCTGCGAAGCGGCGCTTGCAACCCAATTCAACACCACCACTACCACCATCCAACAATCCGGAGCAAGTGTGCTCATCCAAGCAAGCCTCCCCCTTCCCTCCAACTGTCTGTTCGGTGGCCCAAACGGCACCGACTCCAATATCGACTTCACCACGTCCTTCAAGCTGCCTACGGGCGCCAACACAGGCACGATCGGCAAACTCATCGACCTGCACGTCGGCCCTTTCGATCCCGCCCTCGCTTCATCCACCGACGAGATTAATCCCAGCATACAGCGCGACAACCCGCCCGGCTGCCCGTCCCTCGCGTTCGTCTATGGACACATGGACGTGTTCAGCGAAGCAAGATCCCTCGTCAACGTTCTCATGTGCTACCAGCACCTCGACGAGATCCCTACGCTCGCATCTTACTCACTTAGCCGCCTCAACGACGGCACCATCATTCCCGCCGAAAGCATTTCCCCACCAGGCCCGATCCCGAACGGCCCCACCACGCCCATTCCCGTCCCCAACTCCCTTCCCAAACAATACGCCTTTCCCTTCCGCCCCCAACTCCATCTAGACCGCCGCCTCGCCATCTTCAATCAGACGCGGTTCCCCTCTTCCAACAGCGGCGCCGGCGACGGCAACAGTCCCGTCGACCCGTTCTTCCAAGCTGTCCTCTTTGGACGCAGATCCGTCAGCGAAGACCATCTTCGCTCCACTGACCCGGCGACGATGCTGGCCGTGCAAGACGCGATCCAGGGCGTTTACCGCCGGTATATGGCGCTGGTTATCTCTGCAAAGATGCGTGTTCCTCTTCTCAGCAACAACAGTGCTGATGGCACTGGTACAGACACTGCCGCCACCGTCCAAGCAACGCTAACACATCGCACCCTCCAAGTCCGCCTTACCCAATCCTCTACATCGAAACTCATCCTTCAGATCCTCCTTGGGATTATCACCATTACGATGAGTCTAGCGCTGTACCTCACCGAAACCCGAGAGGTTTTGATGTATAATCCCTGCTGTTTCGCGGGCCTGGCGAGCCTGTGGGCGGGGAGTGCGTTCGTCAAGAGGGTGGGGAAGGATGCGCTGTTTCTGACGGGGGAAAGGGAGTTGCGGGAGAGGTTAGGGGAGTGGGAGTTCAGGCTGGGGTGGTGCGAGGGGGATTTGGTCGTGCATGGGAGGAGGGGGAGGCGGTGGGGGCTGGAGGGGAGGAGGAAGGCGAAGCAGGGAGAGGGGACCGTATTGCGAAAGGAGAGGCTCGAAGAGAGTAGTGGATGGATCTAGAGGTTGTGTTGAATGTAGCGAGGAACATGTCGGTCATGAGTAGTGGTGGCGCAGCGGCTTCATGTTCCATAAGGAACTGTACAGACCAACGCGATCTTGCTCTTCGAAGTCGCGACTCGTCACATTGACTACACCGTTTGCAGAGGCACTAACGACGGATGCGACGAGAAAGTGTTCAAGGGAGGAAGACGTTGTCTTGTTTTTGTCATCATTTATGATTTTCATATTTTGTTGCATGACATCCGATGCACAATGCACAGCTATGCAGCGTATGCGTTGCCATATCTTATTTTGGACCTTTTCCTATCTATCAATCATAAGGCTGGTGTTTGTATCTCGACCGTCGCCTGTCGCAATAATGCCCTGCTTGATGTCCAATCGATCCCAAAATCTCATCCAAAGAATCCATCTCTAAAAATGCTGGCTATAATCACAAGAATCGAAGATGTTGTCGTTTGTGCCACACTTTATTGGCCAACATAAGCCTTCCCAGCCGCACTCAATCCACTCCCGTTCAACAGCACACCCTGCGCAGCCATGAAGTAGGCATAAAACTCAACCTCAGGCGTTGCGTCGAGGAACGCGGTCGCCTCAGATATGAACGTCGCCGCGTCACCACCAGTAACACCAAACTCAGTGATCCACACCTTGGACACACCATTCGCCTTAGCGAGCTGAATAGCGTCGTTGACGTGAGACTTGAAGTATGCAAGGTTGTTGGCATTGTCGTACCAGTGAATGACGACTGCATCGACCTTGCACTGCCCGGCACAAGCGGTGAACCAGTTCTGGAGGAAGGCGAGACCCATTGGGGAGCCGCCGTTGGTGACTGCAGGAGAGCCGATGACGGCGCCCTGGGCGGCGAGTGGGTTGACAGCCTTGATGTGGCCGTCAACAGCTTCTTGGACGGTCATACCGGCTTGTTCGGCGAGGTCGGGCTCGTTGAAGGAGAGAACGTGCTTTGCTCCTGCGGCATCTTTGGCGAAAGATGCGATGCTGTCGCGGCCCCAGCACATAGGGAAGAACTCGACGCCGGCGGGGAGAGCACCATTCTCGGTCGACGCCCAGTTGTAGGCCCAAGTCATGCCAGTGCCATCAAAGGGGGTGAGGATGTTGGCGTCGTTGAAGGAGAGGCCACGCTTGCCGCCGCTGGACCCTCCGCTGTTGCCGGAGCCGATGCCGCCTGAGCCGCCTGTTGGGACTGATACGGCGCCGCTGGTGGTTGCCGAGGGGGCAGCACCATAGCCTCCGCCATTGCCGGCAGCAGGCGTAGTTGCCGTTGCGAAAGTGGTGGGCAGAGCAGGGGCGTAGCTGTAGCCATCTGACTGGCCGCCGTGTTGACCTCCGTAGCCGCCAGTGGGGCGGCCGTAGAATTCACCGCCGGAGGGTTGTTGGATGTTAGTGAGGGAAGCAGGCGCATCGGAGGAGGGAGAAGCAGGTGCTTCGCCATCTACGGGAGGAGCGTCTCCACCTGCAGGTGAGGATGGTGCACCGCCAGAGGCAGAGCTGACTGTGACAACTTCGTCGACGGTTACAGTGACTGTGGTTGGGGTGCACTGACCAGCGCCGCCTGCTGGGGGAGATCCACCGCCAGGAGCACCACCTGCAACAGGAGCATCACCACCGGCGGGAGCAACACCGGAGCCACCATCTACTGGCCTGGTGGCATCAGCGACAGGAGTCTCGGTGGGAAGTGCTGGGACGTTGTTGTTGACATCGGGAGGAGAAGCACCACCAACAGGGGCTGCAGCGCCGCCAGTTGGCTGCTCCGGCAGAGGATTCACCGTAATGCTGAGGACTGGAGGAGAGCCAGCTCCTGTGCCAGTCGGGAACGGTGCATCGTGCCAAGTGCCATTGCCCATCGGAAAGCCATGTGGACGACCACTTCCACGTGGGCCACGAGGGCCGGTGCCGTGGGGAATGTGTTTGGGGACATGCTGGTGCTTATGCCCGTGTGGTGTAGCGACAGCCAAGCTGGATAGAGCCGCGAGGGCAAGGGACTTCGACGAAACCATCTTGATGATGAGATCTAAATGATTTCTGATAACAAGGACGATGGGATACGAGTAAGCTGATTGGCTGGAGATGGAAGGATCCGAGAAGGATGCGAGATCGGACTGGGGCAAGGAATGAACGGTAGCGAGAAAACGTGACCACGAGCTTAGCTCAAGTGTAATGAATGGCACAAAGGGCTAGCCTTTGGTTTGGGGTGAAAAGAATGGGAGAGGTGCGGTGTGCTGCACCAAACGTGTGTATGTCGACGTCGAGGAAAAGATGTCTGGAACAAGAAGAGAAGCAGAAAGTAGCAGAGCAGGAGGTGTTATACGCACTCTTGGGTGGCACCGTGGCCCACAAGGCTCTTGGTGAGGGACAAAATGTTTCAGGGTTGTGGACTTTGCCCAGAACATCCAAGCACAAAGAGCTATCGAGTGGTCATTACATCGCCAATCGATTGACCTGGGCAGCCGTGCTGGCCAAGATCAGGCCGGGCTGGAGCCCAGATGACAGGTCAGACGCTGCTGGTTTTCCAAGGCGAGCCAGGTTGCGGCTCTCTGCATGTGGATGTTTGGCTCAATCAGTTTGCATGGTCGATCCATGTCCTGTGCTCGCTTTTGACAGCATGGCGCCGAGAACTGATCGGTGTCGGCGTCAAGGTTGGAGACGTTTGCAAGGAGGGGCTGTAAATTGATTGAAAAGGTGATGGTGGACTTGAGGTTCGAGAGCGCGAAAAGAGACAGGGGATAGATCGAAGCTGGAAAAGGAGAGTCGTTCCTGCATTAGCGCCGTTTGACATCGGGTAGCCCCTATCCACTTCCGCACAGTGCAGCGAATGACCACAATCCCGAGATCTGTGCTTGACCCATTTTCGGCGGGACCAAGCGGAGCCTAAAAAGTCAACCTTGTTTCATCTTCAATTCGGCTTCCACGTCCTGCTCTTGGTCGGTCATGCAGGGGATGCTGATGTAGAAATTCGTGATCGGTACGAAGAGCAGTCCAGCATGGCAGGCAACTGTACAGGGTATATTGCTAGGATCTCGCGAGAACAGAGCGCAGAAGTCGCAAGCGACACGGCCCTCGGCCAGATCAGTGGAGGAACGTCGTAGTACAACATCATGTAACCGAAGGTGACGAGTGCAACGAGAGCAGATCATTGACAGCTTGCGCGTCGTTGGAAGGCATCAACGACGAGGCTTAGCCAGTGCCCACCAGTGTGCCTCGTTGCGGAATCCTTGCTGCTGTCTCAGGCTTGCATGTTCATGGACGACTTTTTTGCAGCCGTCAAAACAGGTCAAAAGGACTCACCATGATTTCCAGCCTCACCCACATCAGTCTCCATTTCAATGAAGATTTCACTGTGTGCAGCTCCTTGTCGATGTCTCGAAAGCAACTGCAACTTAGCTTGGCAAGGATGAGGATTGAACCATATCGGATCAGTTGCAAACTCCGAGACCAGTCCTCGATTGGTTCTTTCCAAACTTTGGTGGCAGTCCGTGGTGAAATTGTTTGTTGAAAGCCTCTCTCCTGCGGCGACCATCATCATTTCTTAATACGACCTTCGAGGACACTCATCACATCTGCAACATTATCCTTGTCGCCCTTGCGTTTCTTGCCACCACGTTTGCGTGTGGCTTTGGCCGCTTTGCCGTCGTCGTCCCCTTCGTCGTAGATTGGAGCGTCGTCGTCGTCATCGCCATAGTCCCTGGTACCACCGAAGCCGAGGTCCAGGTCTTGCTGGTCCTTGCGTTCCTGTTCTTTAAGCCTCGCTAGAAATTGTTTGCTTTTATCTGACTGATCAATGTCACTCTGCTCGGGCTTTCTGGAATCATCTTGACGCATCGCTGCTGCTTTCTGAAATGCTGCCATCAAGGTGGCATCGCGCTGTTTGGATTTCTCCTGGTCTTTGAACTCATCCGCCTCGGCACTTCCGAAGTAGTTACGTGAGACAGGCTTCGACGATTCCTTCTGCTCGTCCGCCGGTCGTTCTGCGGGCTCATCTTCAGCATCAGAGTTTATGCCCGCCAATGGGTCATACTCAGCGCCGATACCCTGGAAAATGTCGTCGTCCTCATCTTCTGCAGCTGCTTCGGCCTCACGCGCCTTCTGCCTCGCGACAAGTTCTGCTGGCACTTCCATACCTAGCGGTTGCTGCTCTTTCTGCGCTGCAGGCTCTGGGTCGAGCCATCTTGACTTGCGTTTTGTCGAGCCGTCGGCCTGTGTGACGAGCAGGACCTCTCTCCTGCGGCCATTAATGGCCTCAATGAACTTCTTTTTGCTGGGCTTGTCGGTAGGCTGGACCTTTTTGAATCGATCTCCCAGTGCAGGCTCTGGTGCAGGCTTTTGTGCACTACTCCTACTCTCCTTCAACCTGCGTAGGATCTCGTCTCTGCTGAGGGCCTGCGTCTGGGCTGTATCTGTTCCTGCTGCATCGCTAGTTTTCTTGTCTCGAGTTGGCGCAACCACATCCTTCTCCAGAACATTATCCAGTGCCTCGTCAAGGTCGCCACCTTGGTCCTGCGCCGAGTCCGCACCTTTTTGTGAAGTGTTCAGATCTTCTCCCTGCCGCGCACGTTCCAGCAGCTTAAAGTCAAGTCCTTTCACGAGATGAGTTGTAAAGAGATCACCACCGATACCCATCGCTTCTCGCAACCTGTCAAAAGTAGCCTGGTCGATCTTCTCGTCCTTGACCATCTGCTCCAGCTCTTTCAGCTTCTTGACCTTCCCATCTTCTTCGCCGGCGTCGTTGCGCGATGTAGCTCTGTCAGAGTAGCCCTGCGCGAGCTTCACTCCGCGGGGTGTTGCAATTGCCTTGAATCGTTTTGCAGGTGGACCGCCGTCGCTGTCTTTCTTGCGCTCAGAGGAGGCTTTGGCAAAGAGATTCTGTCCCGATCTTCCGGCGAGTGACCGTGGTGCCATTCCCAGAGCGCCGCGGGACCTTGAGCCCAAGGCAGACTTGGCTGTCGCCTGGGTGCCATCTCGTTTCGCAGACTCTCCGGAACTTGTTGCCAGACTCCTGAAGTCAGAATTGTTCATCGTTGTGGTGCTCCGTCGAGGGTGGTCGCATGTGCAAATGTGTATGTATGTCATCCCGAAAGAAATCTGGGGCAGATAATTTTACCCCAACTTTCGGAGACAGGAATTCTTGTCAACCGGCTGGCATTCCGTTGTTAAAGCAGCCATACATGGCAAGGCTTAAGTGAAGCCGGGCGACAACGATTCTTCACACCACATTATCTTCGCGGCCATAGTTGCATCTCTCCATATCGGTTTCGGTGCAGCCGTTGGCAGTCCCACTTTCTGGGAGCAACCATAATAGTCGTTCGACTGCGTGACAACGGTACATTAAGTCTATTTGGGTTTTCTCCTTACTGGACCGGCAGATAAAAGTGTGCCCCGTCTTCTGCACAGGTGATCGGCAGAGACATCAGTCTACTTTCTTGCCAGGTTTCAAGCTCCAGCACTGTCTTCTTCCGCAGTCTTCCAGAAGCGCCACCGCGTCCGAGTCTTGCACCCTCAGCCCAATCGCACTCAAGGGTTAGCTGTCGGAAGGCGTAAAGGACACCGCTGAACCGAGACGACCACTTTTCATAATCGACCATGTCCAGAGACAAGAAGCGGAAGCGACACCGTAAGTCTGAGGAAGGCACTTCAGAGCATGTGGCAAAGAAGCAGGCTACGGAACCACTACCAGAGGGCGTCCACTTTTACCAACATCTATCAGAGGTGCCCTGGGATATCCAAAAGTACGTATTCAGCTCCGACCGCTCACCGACGCTAACATGACCAGATATTGGAAGCAAGGCTACGAGATCTTCTCAAGATACGACGAAGGTATCTGGATGACGGATAATTCATGGTTCGAAGTGACACACGAGGCCATCGCCAGCAAGATTGCCAATCATCTCGGCCAAGGAGCACCGAAAGAACGAGTCGTGGTACTGGATCCTTTCTGTGGTGTCGGTGGCAACGTCATTGCTCTAGCACAGTCCGATCGATTCAAGCGGGTGTATGCGATCGAGAAGGACCCGGTAGCACTGACATGCGCCAAACATAACGCTGAGATCTACGGCGTAGCCGACAGGATAACGTGGTTCGAAGGCGACTGCTTCGAGCAACTAGGCAAGGATGACAACTCAGCCCTTGTGAACTTGATACGAAAGCACGGCGTTGTGATTGCGAGTCCACCTTGGGGTGGTCCTTCCTACAAAAGCGCGGACGTCTTCGACCTAGAAACGATGGAGCCATACAAGCTATCAGAGCTTCATAAAACGTTCACGGGGATATGCGACTATGTTGCTCTTTACCTGCCCAGAACCAGCGATCTCAATCAGGTGTCGAGATTGGTCGGCCGTGGAAACTCCCAAGTCATACACTACTGTACAAGAGGCATGAGTCGGGCGCTATGTGTCTACTTCGGCGACTGGGGCAAGATTGAGGAGCGAATAGACATCTAGCGAAAGGAGATACCACGAAAGCCTCGAGCATGTGGCTCCGAGCAATGACTAAGGCTCAACTTCCCTGGGGCGAACCTTAGGTGAGGTCGAGTGTCTGTACAAGAAGTAGTGGCATGAGAGTATGACTGCAATGCAGGACAGGCAGCAATAGATGCATAGTCCGCTTGTAGCCAAGGAATGAACTGCTATGCCCACTTGCTGCCTTGTTGCCTAATTCCGGTTGTATCCGTGAGGCTTTCTTGATGCGATCTGCTGCATTGCGATCTTGCTCTAAGATTATTTAAACCCTCTCTTCCCCAGCCCTCAGCAACCTGAAATCAAGGACTCATCTGCGAACCTTCCGACCGTCTCAAGGTCTACACCAGGCGCCCTTCGCAATCACACTATCGATCGCAAGCGCAGCGACTACGTCTGCGATGCGCCGACTGCATTCAATATCATAAATCGAAGTGGGGGAGTGAAGTGGTGTTGTGAGAGGTTTCGAGAGTCTGCGAGCCTTCGGGGCGGGCTTCAAGATGGAGGACTATCAGCCAGCGACAGACGATCTTTTCGATGATGACATGGGCGACCTCTTCGGCGACGATGGCAATGACTTCATCGACAGCAATGCGACCGGTTTCGACGGCGGCTTCGACGGCGCTAATGATGTCCCCATGCTTCCCGATGATGCACCTGCGCCACCGCAAATGGCCGATGACGATGTCGCTGCAGCGCTCAAGGCATCAGGTGCAGAGTCTCTCGACCAAATGCTTGGAGACGTTCATTCGCGACCTCTCGAGCTTGGCGACAAAGCAGATGATGCAGTCGACTACGAGGACATGGATGACGATGACCTGCCAGAGGAAGAAGAGGCCACAGGCCAAGACAACGAGAACGCATACGGGCCGCTCATGGGCATCGAAGAGGCTGCGGCTGCAGATGATGCCGACCAAGTCGATGACAGCGATCTCTTCGGAGCCTCCAGTCCCTTTGGAGGCAATGAGGATGTTGATATGGGCTCCTTCATCGAAGCGCCTGCGCCAGTAGCTGCCGCTGATGCGGTCGGTACCCCCGCGGCTGGAGACGAGGACGACAGAGGCTCGCTGGCTTCAGATGACGGCGGCACGAATGAGCTATCAGCAATGCCAGATGCCGAGTCCGGTGACGAAGAAGAAGGCAGACTGTACATTCTACAGAAGGCATTGTTCGAGGGCGCTACCGTTCCGGCGACTGAAGAAGAGAACCTCGAGTCATGGATACGCTTCGAATTTCCTGACTACAACAAGGATGAGACCCCCTACTTCAACCGCCTCTTCCCACCGCCTCCTGTCAAATGGCGCGACGGCAAGTATCCAGCCAAGCCTCCGAAGACAATACGTCCAAACAAGGTCAATCTAGAAGTTGAGCTTGATCAGCGCCTCCTATTCAATGCCGCAACGGCGCCTGAATCCGTCGAGCCGCCCAAGAATCTCGTCCAAGTCCACAAGGTTGAGCAAGAGCGAGACTCTGATGATTCTTCTGAGGAATCTGACGATGATGAGCTGCTGCCTGGCGGCTACTCGATGCAGGATCTTGAGTTCATGTGTGCAGATCTTGACACGTTGTCCCATGGGGATGCATCGGAAGATGGATTCGGTGGGTTGCAAGTACAGATCCACGACTCCGACGATCTTGGCTTCGACGACTTTGAGCATGCCCAGAAGAAGCGAAAGCTGGGTCATAGTCCTCACGAAATCCTGTCCATCCATCGAATCAATGTGCATTCATTGGACGATCCAGAGCGGCAGGTTGCAAAAGTCGCTCGCAAGCCGGTCCTGGACTTCAACGATCCCAATCTCCTCATCGAAGAGATCGATCCAGAAACCGCCAAGCTCAAGACCAAGTCTGGCGCGAAAGATCGTGGCGTTCAGACAACAGCCAGCAGACTCGCCGGTCGCTTCAACCTATCCAACGATAAGGACTACGATAACCTGCAGCTCAACGCGCAGCAGAGCCAGCGTGGTCAACTCGGTAACACCAAGGTCGATCACTCGATGCCAGCTCTGCGATTGCAGTATCCATACTTTCCCGTCCAGCTGTCGGTACCTGAGCTTCGCCACTGGCATAGGAAGAAGATGCTCTTCAAGGCCCCATTCACATTCTCCAAACCTAACAAGCAGAAGCGCAAGAACTTCAAGGGTAAGGCAACGAAAGAGATCTACAACGAGACCAAAGACCTGTCGATGGGCGACAACTCTACTGCTGTGCTGTTCGAGTACTCCGAAGAGCATCCCTTGATGCTGTCTTCCACAGGCATGGGCAACAACGTGGTCAACTACTACCGGAAGAAGACACCAGACGACACATATCGGCCCAAACAGGATATCGGAGAGCCGACTGTACTCCTCAACGAGGATGCTTCGCCATTCAATGTCTTTGGCCATGTTGATCCCGGTCAGGAAGTTGCTGCCCTACTGAACTCCATGTATCGCGCACCCCTGTTCAAGCAGCCCCTCAAGAACCAGGATTTCCTGATTGTCCGCGAGACCACCGGTCTGGAAGGCACCCGCTACTACCTTCGGAATGTCAACAGCTCATACGTGGTCGGACAAGAGCTTCCCATAAGACGAGTACCTGGTATCCACTCACGAAACGTCACCACAGCCAGCAAAAATCGACTGAGGGCCATTGCATACCGACTTACTCGCCGACGAAAGAACAACCGCATCCGGGTCGAGGAGGTCACTCGCCACTTTCCCGACTCCACCGACATGCAGAATAGGCAGAAGATGAAGGAATTCATGAGCTATAACAAGGAACACAAGGTGCGTGCCCCCAGAGCCCCCAAATCCCTACCCTGGATCAGACATACTCTCAAAGATGTCGGATTCAAACCCGTATATGGAACTCCTGCTAATTGGCGTCTTCAGGAGTGGGAAATGGCTCAAGGCCAGGTCCTCTTCACCGAAGAACAAATCCAAGGCCTCATAACCCCCGAGGACATTGCTACGCTTGAAGCCAAGGATGTTGGCGCGCAGTACCTCCGCGATGTAGGCTACGCTGACGATGATGCTGGCGACGATGACGAAGACAAGGTTGGAGAACCCTTCGAGCAGTCCATGGCTCCGTGGAAGATCACCAAGAACTTCACCCTCGCGCAAGACAACAAAGCTATGCTCAAGCTCTATGGAGAAGGCGATCCCTCCGGCCGTGGCGAAGCGATCTCATTCCTCAAAACTTCCATGAAAGGCGGCTTCCGAACCATGGGCGGCGCCATCAACGACACTGTCCTGTCCAAGAAAGAGCTCGGTGGCCACACCTACAATGTCGCGAGGCAAGAGGCCGACTACAAGGACGCCCTCCGCCACATCTGGAACAAGCAATCAAGTGCTCTGTCATCGCGCGAAGCCCCTCCCGATCCGACCCTCGAAGGCGACGTCGATACCCGCGAGGACAACCGACAGAACAACCGCGCTGCCTCCACAGGCACTCCCGATCGCCGCCGCATCGATGACGAAACAGGCACGTCCTTCAGTCGACGAAGCGGCACTAGCCAGCAAGGCCAGAAGTGGCTCAAGATCACTCGTAGAGTCAAGGATGGAAGCGGATTCAAGGAGCTGACCGTCACCGAATCCGACCCCGATGTGATCAAGGCTTACATTCGGCGCAAGCAGCTGCACGAAACTGCTGTCCTTGAGTACGCTATTCCCCCAACGATTCCCGGTGAATTTGCTGACATTGCCTGCAGCATCAACAGTCTCAAGCCAACAGGCGACGCCGACGTTGACGCCAAAAACCAAGAGCGGTATGAAATCGAAAACCTCACATCCCCCGCACCTCCAACCTACTTCCTCAAATTCCTCCTACTAACAAAGTCCCCTCTCCTCAGCCTGCAAACCGAACTAGCCCGTCTCGAAGCAAACCAAGCACGAAATAAGAAGCGCGCGAGCAAGAAGAAGGCTACCACTGCCAACCCCGATGGCACGAATCCCGACGGTGACGACCCTGGCTCGCCCAATGCTGGCTTGGCCACACCCGGTGGAGCCGGCAAAGAAGTGAAACCCACTGTTCGCAAATGCGCCAACTGTGGGCAGGTGGGCCACATCAAGACAAACAAAAAGTATGACCCCAATGCTCCTAAATGCTCAGAGTGTGGACTCAGCTTGGCTGGGGCGCGAGCACAGAAAGCTCAGGCTTTGCTGGCGCAGGCGACTGGAAAGGCGCTGTCTGCTTTCTCGAGCTCTACTTTGGGGCTCGGGACGTGAGCGTTTCCTGGCGCTGTGTCCGTGGTTGCGACTTTTACTGCTCTGCGTTTTTCGTCGTTTTCTGCGTCATGAGTCCGCCCCGAGGACAGGATAAGAGCTGATCCGATGAAATTTCACCTCCATTCATCGCGGTCATCATTCGTCTGTCCGACTCGAGGACGCTTTCCCCAACTTTTTGCATTCCCTTGCTATTTGGAACAATCTTACTGACTTTGGCCCTTACGAAGACTCTGTCCGCTCCTCAACGGAACGATGAAGCAGGACGACATGACCAAGTCGACGGCGTTTATGGGTGCTCCGCCACCGAGCAGTGCGATCTAGGATGGAGGGAAGGACAGGAGGGACAGCCGAGGCGGTGGGCAGTTGAATTATTGTACATCAAGCACTGGCGTTCCGGGGTGCCGAAAGGACATCACAAGGCACATATTACGAGTGTCTTCATCGTGGAACGGAACATTGCATTGGGATGCATCGCTCATGGGAGTACAGCGAGGCGCAATATCGTTCCTCGAGGGAGGCCTCTGCCATGGAGAACACATTCACTCGTGAAGCACAAGATTTCAAGCTTCGCAATCATAATTCCCTGATAGTTTGGTTTGGAACACTTCTTTCATTGTGATTTTGACTGTCGATAAAGCTAGCTACATACTCGGGTCGCCGTGGCGCCCTCTGCAGACACATAAAACGCCAGCCTCTGGCCATTGATTGCCCGGAATGAAAAAAACTTTTTGACCCATGACTCGATACAATATCCTCATCCCTGGCTATGCACACACAAGAAAGCCCGACGCCGCGCTATGTATTTGGTATGTGCAGTCATTGACAAGTCGGATATCATTTTGCTGGTTTTGGTGCAAGAAGATCGAAACGCCCGTGACCTGACCTGACCTGATCGGACCATGACAGTACAAGGAGATGTTGACGGCGAGTGTGATGTGCCGTGTCTCTCGAGCTCACGCTCATTTCACACCGACGCACTTGACGTCGAGCGCAAGACGCTGTTGGGCGGGATGTCGGGTGGCGCGCCCTTCTTGCCGTAGCCCATCGCTGCGGGGACGGTGATGCGTCGCTCGCCGCCGTTCTGCATGCCTTCTAGCCCCAGATCCCAGCCTTTGATGACCTCGCCCTTGCCGAGAGTGAAGGAGAAGGGCTTGCCGGTCTTGTTGGAGTCGAAGACTTTGCCGTTGGATTCGAGCTTGCCGATGTAGCGCATGCTGAGGTGGGAGCCTTTCTTTGCGAGGGGGCCGGTGCCGACTTTGCGGTCGTCGATTGTGATACCCTGGACGGTGCGGACTGAAGGGGTAGTTGTGGTGTTCGCAGCGGGCTTGGTTTCGGCGGGCTTGGCGGCGGCTGCAGATGGTGTCGGGCCTTGCTCGAGGTTCTTGGCGAACTGGACTTTCTTGGTGTCACCGTTGGTGGTAGGCTTAGCTTCTGCTGAGGCATTAACGGCTGCGACGGGAGCATCAGCTGCAGCGCCGTCATTATTCTTGAGCTTCTTCAGCTTTTTCTTCTCGGCCTTGCTGAGCTTCTTGGTCTCGCCGTTGGTGGTGGGCTCGGCTTCGGTGGTAGTCTCAGGCTTGATGGACTTGGCCATAATCGCATCAAGAGTCGAGTCCTCGTCGGCAGACTCCTCTGCGGGACGCTTGTTCTTGCCTTTCTCAGCCTTAATCTTCTTGGTGGGTTCGACCTTGATCTCTTCCTCGACGACTTCGGTGATGCGGGGGTCTGCGAGGTCGTCGAGAGCGTCGAGCTCGGAGTCGGCTTCGCTATCGCCGGCGAGATCTTCGAGACCGTCCATGAGGTCGAGTTCTTCGTCGCTGTCGAGCTCTTCGTCCTCCTCATCGCTGTCGATCTCTGGGTCGGCGTCGATGATATAGGTGCCGGTCAAGCTGACAGTGTGAGTGCCAACAACGCGGAAGTAAACATTCTCGCCCTCGCCGATGGTAAGGTCGAGTGGCTGTTGGGGAATAGCGGTGGGGCCCACGAGAGTGCAGATAACATGCTCAGATTCTGCGATGCCTTCGTCTGAATCCTCGTCGGAGTCCTCATCTTCACCTTCTGTGGCTTTGCCTTTGCCCTTGAGAGACTTCTGCAGCTTTGCAAGGACGGCCTTGGCTTCAGCCTCGTCGCCAGAGTCGTCAGAGTCATCATCGTCGGAATCTTCAGCATCCTCGGCTGCGAGAGCTAGCAGAGCCTGCTTCTTGGAGAGTTTGGCCTTCTTGGGATCGCTTGGGCCAGCGCCGTTGACGTCCTCCATTTCCTCGTCCGAGTCCTCGTCGGAGATGTCCTCGAAGTCTGAGTCCTCGGAATCATCATCGCCGTCGTACAATACACGGACGAGCTTGAGGGTGGCCATTTGCTGCACAGTAGGGATATCAGTAGCATTATCAGCTGCTGGTGCTGTGGGATCAATGGCAGCCATGGTGATGCGGATCTTTGCATTGTCAGTACTGTGCTGTGCATGCAGTGGGCCGGGACACTTACGCCTGCAGGAATACCCTGAGGTACTGCGGGAACCAACATTCCATCAGGTGGGATCTCTAGGGCGTATAGCCCGGCATTGATGGTTGCTGACATGGCGATGTGCTACAGCAATCCCTCTTTAGTCTTTTTATGCTTTAGTGAGTATGCGCGCAAAGCTATGTTCAGTATTGTGAGCAGACGAGATGTGCGTACAGTTGAGGAAGAAGTTCACGGCGCAAGCCTGATGTCTTTTCAGAAAATTCTCTCCAAATTTGAAGATCCCTGATCATAACGTCTGGTCACGTGGACAGTCTTACTAGCGTGTTATGTCATGGCTTCAAGTGGAGGCAAATAACTTCAGAGACGCGACTGCTGCCTTACAGGGAGCCTTGGGACCAGCAGACAGTCCGAGAACGCCAGCGAAGAGTCATGAGAGCGATGCACAACGCGTTATGACAGTAATAGACTGCCCACCATGGGCTCCCGACTAGAGAAGAATTCAGATGCTGTACGGAAGCGAATCCAAGGCCATGCCTTCGATGATGAGGAAGGTGAAGAGTACGAAGGCAGCACCTTCGGAGGCTTCAGCGACTATATGCGCAGGAAGAAGCTCAAATTACAGAATCTGGATGCCGACCTCCGTGCTCAGACAAGCCAGAATCCTCAGATCTTTCGAGGCATAGTTGCACATGTTAATGGCTATACGCAACCATCATTGGCCGATCTCCACAAGCTCATCGTCAGTCATGGCGGCGGTTTTCTGCAGTATCTGGATGGCAAGACAGCAGTCACGCATGTCATCGCGAGTCAGCTCACTCCGAAGAAGAAAGTCGAGTTCGCCAAATATCGCATTGTGAAGCCGGCATGGATCGTGGACAGTGTCAAAGCCGGGAAGCTGCTTCCGTGGAACGACTATCGAGTCGTAGATGAAGGTGTCAAGCAGAAGGTGTTGGGTTTTGAGAATGGTAGCGTTGTCAGCCAAGCAAGCACCCAGCGCAGGGGCTACCGTGATCAGACGGAAACTAGCTGGTACACCTCACAGATGAGGCATGAGAATGGTGACACCGAGGAACCACCAGAAGCACCGCCGCCCTTTGCTCCGGAGCCGGGCAAACCTCGAGAAATGCAGAGTCCGGTGATACCTGCATCACCTGCGGTCGAGGCAGACGACTTCCCAGGAGTGTCGAGCATTGGAGAAGCAGATCTTTTGGCGGCAATGGAAGACGTGCCAGACGCGGATGCAAGCTTTGACGAAGACGACGATGGTGAGCTGATGAGACCGCCACCTCGGCTCGACCCTGTGCCTGCTCGTTCCCAATCAAAGCCTGTGCTGCCCCCAGTACAATCCGCAGACGTACCACCTATCACTCAGAGGAGACCATTAACGCCCGAAGAGTATAACGCGATGTTATGGCAGGACGCAGGCGGGCAACCTAGCGCTCAGAAGAAACCCCTCACAGCCGAAGAACACAATGCCATTTTGCTGCAGAATCCACACATGGCCAAATCAAGCACAGCGAACCCTGATTTTATCAATCAGTACTATCGCGAATCACGATTGCACCATCTCTCGACCTGGAAAGCTGATCTGAAAGCTCAGTTACAAGCTCGTGCTCAGGAGAAGTCATCGACACAGCGAACGCGGAGCAAGGCACCTGGTGCACGCCGTTACGTGCTTCATATTGATTTCGACAGCTTCTTTGCGGCAGTCAGCCTTCGGCAGAACCCGCATTTGGTGGACAAGCCGGTAGTGATTGCTCACGGTAGCGGTCCAGGGTCCGAGATCGCCAGCTGCAATTATCCAGCGCGGAAATTTGGGGTCAAGAATGGCATGTGGATGAAGACAGCACTCGAGCTGTGTTCAGAGTTGAACGTCCTACCATACGACTTCAAAGCATATGAAGAAGCCAGTCGACACTTCTACGACTCTATTCTTGCGGTCGAAGGCGTTGTACAGAGCATCAGCATCGATGAGGCACTGATAGATGTTTCCGAGCAATGCATCAAGGCTGGCGGCTCTGATGGGAAAGGAATATCAGAAGGTTCGATCTATCGCGAGCAAGAGAAAGCTAAGCAGATAGCATCAAGCATTCGTGATGCCGTGCGAGACAAGACTGGCTGTGAGGTCTCTGTCGGCATCGGTAACAACATCTTGCTTGCCAAAGTCGCTCTGCGGAAGGCCAAACCAGCCGGTCAGCACTTGATCAAGCCAGAAGAGGTACTCGCCTTTCTGGGAGAGCTTGAGGTCACGGATCTACCAGGTGTAGCCTGGAGTATAGGGAAGAAGCTAGAAGAGATCGGTGTAAAGTACGTAAAGGATATCAGGGAGCTTAACAAGGAGCGGCTAATCTCGGCGCTGGGCCCGAAGACTGGGCAGAAGCTGTGGGACTACTCACGGGGCATCGACAAGCAAGAAGTCGGCGAACAAGTCATACGCAAATCAGTCTCGGCAGAGATCAACTGGGGCATTCGCTTCATCAACCAGCAGCAAGCCGAAGACTTTGTGCAATGCCTGTGCGATGAGCTCTCGAAACGACTCCTCGAGAATCTGGTGAAAGGCAAACAAATGACCATGAAGATCATGCGTAAAGCAGCCGATGCAGGCATGGACCCACCGAAGAATCTGGGACACGGCAAGTGCGACACTTTCAACAAGAGTGTCGTACTTGGTGTGGCTACTACAGACAAAGCAGTCATCGGCAAGGAAGCCATCTCGATCTTGCGAAGCTACGGCTTCTCCCCTGGTGAGCTGCGCGGATTGGGTGTTCAGATGCAGAAGCTGGAGCCTCTGAAGCCAATGGCAGCCAGCACGAGCACCGTCGAAAGCAGCCAGAGGCGGTTGCAGTTCAAAAAGCCTGCTGCTGTACCCGCCACAACACCGCTGAAAACGACGACCGAGACCGAGGAGTTCAAATCCTCGCACAAGAAGACTCGACCAAAGCTGGCAGATGAGCCAGATCCGATCGAGGAGATTGCGAACCCGAAGAAGGAAAGAACTGTCCGTCTGATGGAAGGACCGATCCCTCTTCCACTAGAAACGTCTGTCAAGCACCGACCTTGAACTTGGCTGGGACTCAGTTCATAATGCCCTCTCAAGTAGATCCGGCTGTCTTGGCCGAGCTGCCAGCGGATATCCGTGCAAAACTTGCACCGCAAAAGCGAAGCATCTTCGACAATGTCAAGAGATCAGGCTCGCCGTCGGCAGAAAACAGATCACGCTCAGCGTCACCGCAGGTCAGTGACGCTGAATTTGTTCTGCCAAGCCATAGCCAGCTCGATCCTGCCATTCTTGCCGAACTTCCAGAAGACGTAAGGCAAGAAGTTTTGCAACAGTACAAACAGCCTGCAACTCGAGGTCTGCCAATGTCGCCCAAAAAGCCAACCATTAGTGGTCCGAGGAAGCTGACTACGCCTACGAAGAAGCAGAAATTTCTGGCTGCGACAAAGAAAGGCCGCTCCAAGAATTCATCATCGTCCACGTTGACACAAGCCAACTTTGTAGCGGCTAGACAGACAAGCAGCAACGGCAACGGCAGTGCGGATACTGAAGAGATCTCAGAATCGTTCCTAGCTGAGCTCCCCGCCGACATTCGACAGGAGATCTTGGATGAGCAGCGACGGAAGCGAATGCAGGCAAAAGGCGGGCTCAACTTGGGCACGATCCGACGAAGAGTGAAGCCTCCTGCTCCTGACACAACGAAGCGAGGCCAACAAACGATACCCCTCCCACGTCAGCCTCCAAGACCGACCTTCACTTCACGGAAACTCAGCACGACGAAGGAATTGCAGGACGCAATGGTGGCGTGGGTCACGGCATTTTCTGACGAAGGTGAAGTTGGTCCGTATGAGGACGATGTTACAGCACTCGGATTGTATTTGAGTAGAGTCGTGACGGGAGAAAGGGACATGGAGAAGACGGCGACAGTATTGAGGTGGCTGCATCAAGTGATTGATATGCAAGAATTTGAGAAGGGCAGTCCATTGGAGGTCGCTTGGGAAGCTGCTACCAAGAAATTGGAAAGTGCTGTGCAGGACGCTGTTGCCAGCCGCGGTCTTGCACCTCTGAATCTCGACTCTGGCTAAGCAGGTGTAGGGGAGCTCTTGCCATAATTGTACACCACAAGTGACAGCGACGACTGATGATGAGATATCCAGGTAGGAAGGCACGACGCATACATGTTTCAGCTATTGCTACTTCGATGCTCACATCTGGTCCCTCTTCCTAGCGCACCTGTCAAGCAGGCTTTTGGACTGCATCTATTCTGTTGTCTTGCTTATTGCATCCATTATTGCTAGTCACTGTTATCCAAAATGCCGTTCGTCAATCCTCTCACTCGGAAGCGTGCTCGGTCGAGCTCGCCACAACGAAAGTTTCGCCATGTTCGCCCCAAAGCTGCCCCTCTCACCCAGGTCCTCTACGACGGCACCGCTTCTGCTGCCTCGGTCGATTCGGACAAGGACAGACTTCTAGCAAAGAACAACTTCGGCACGAAAGTTCGAAATGGCTTCTCCAGCATCATCGGGCTCCTTAGCTCTGAAAAGAAGTCTGATCATGGGTTCACGATCGAGTCAGACGGTTCGGCCATTGCTGTCACTCGCACCGGCCTTGGTGCTGGGCTAGTACACAATAGCCAGTCAACAGGCAGCGTCGTCGTCAAGAAAGGATCAGTCTTGCGGCTCGTAGGTGCCTCATACGAAGAGGAGACTGCAATGCCCATGACTGCACCAGACACACCACAGGCTTACACCGACATTGGCAGCAGTCCTTCGTCCATGTCGATGCACAGCGCTGACTACGTCCATCACCGTCCATCCACGCCCACTCTGGCCAACAAGATTCAACACAGACTGCAGCAGACTTTCAGCAACCATCCCACAGTGGTTCACCGGTCCAATCTCAGAACACGCCCGAGCGTGCATACCTTGCAGACCGACAGTCCGGAGTGGATGCTGTCCCAGGTCTCTTCCTCTCCATCAGCGTATACCAGCGGAAGCGGGTCCTCCCCCAAGGATCCGCACAAGTCGACACCTGCAACTTCGAATTCAGAGGGTTCTCCTGCTACACCAACTTCTGTCCGACATTATGAGCCTATCATCATTGCGGACAATGATCAACTGATCACATTTGGCTACGACGTCAACCGTCCAGCATCACGAATGTCGACCATTCCTGAGTCCACGGCTGGACCATCACTGTCAGTCAAGACAGTCGAAGCTACAGCTGCAGCCAAGGTCTTCTTCGAAACACATTTCAATAACATGCTGAATGGATTCTGTCCACGTGATAGCCGGGAGAAGTCACTTATGGCACGAATGCGTGAGCTCTATGTACCCTCCATGTTGCACGAAGAGGCACAGAAGTTGTTGCAGAAGTACGAGAGTGACAATCTCCGCCTCCGCCGAGTGCTGAAGAGTCATCTGCCTGGCAAGCCGAACCCGATTGCCGTCGGCGGCTTTGAGGTTGTCAAAGTCCTCGGCAAGGGGAGCTTCGGTGTTGTGAGACTCGTCAAGGAGAAGGCACATCTCGGAAGCCATCTCTAGGACTGATTGATCTGCCATGCAGAGTGTTCGAGACCCGGACTCAGCATGTGCGCCGTCAAGTGCTGACTGGTAAGAGAGAAGTCTGTGCCATGAAAGTCATCCGCAAGTCAGACATGCTCCGCAATGGACAGGAAGGTCATCTACGAGCAGAGCGAGATTTTCTGGTTGCGGCAGAGGGATCTCGCTGGATCATCCCATTGCTTGCTGCATTCCAGGACGACAAGTTTCTGTACCTTGTCATGGAATACTGCATCGGCGGCGACTTTCTTGGCCTACTCATTCGCAAGAATGTGCTCAACGAAGATGTGACCAGGTGGTACATTGCTGAGATGATTTTGTGTGTCGAAGAGGCCCATCGCATGAAATGGATTCATCGCGACGTCAAGCCCGACAATTTCCTGATTGGCGCTGACGGTCACCTCAAGATCTCTGATTTCGGCCTAGCATTCGATGGCGAATGGGAGCATGATCAGAAGTACTTCCAGAAGCACCGCGCTGACCTGGCTGATCGTCTGGGTCTCGAAGTCACAGGAGATGAGCAAGACATCGAGGATGACGCAAAGCTGGACAATGCACGAAAGGTCGCAGAAATGTTTCCGCCACCCGGTTGCAAGCCTCTAAAGAAGCATGCTGTCTCGTTCTCGGAAGATGTGCCGGAGGAAGAGAACATCATTGATTGGCGCAATCGTGCCCAGAAAAGAAGGCTCGCCAGATCCGTTGTCGGAACGTCCCAGTACATGGCGCCAGAAGTCATCCGCGGAGAGCTCTACGATGGCCGTTGTGACTAGTGGAGCATCGGTATCATCATGTACGAGTGCCTCTTTGGGTACACGCCTTTCGCGTGTGAGGACCGCCACAGTACCAAGATGAAGATTCTGAAGTACAAGACTAGCCTTATGTTCCCAGACATCGGGCCAGAAAAGCAGCCACCAAGTTTCGAGGCTATCGATCTGATTCGGTCTCTGCTGACCGGCAAGGAGCGTCGACTTTGTTCACGCAAGTACGAGCTGAACGACTACACGACACAGCTCATCGCTGGGCGACCCATTAGGTTTCCTGCGGACAAGAGCAACAGGAATTACCAGGGCTACTTCGTCTACGCTGACGATGCTGATGACCTGAAGTGTCATGCGTACTTTCGACACATACCCTGGGACGACCTCATTCATCGTCGACCCCCATTCGTACCAAGAGTCAATGGATGGGAAGATACTCGGTACTTCGATGAGGACCAGCCGATCTCCGACATTGACGAGAACTCTACCGAAGATGAAGAGGATGATAAGGAGAACCAGACTCCAGTTGCGGCTCCTGGCTCGAAAGCATCAAGTCAGCATCAGCAGGAAGATCAGCAGATAGTGCCATCTTTGGCTCTCAAGTCTCCTCCGGCGACACCACAGGAGCAGTTTCAGAATCCTCTTATGACACCCCCACCCACTGCTGGGAAGCTTCCAGGGTCGCAGACGCTTGTCGATAGCCCATGCAAGTCGCCGCGCAAGATCAAGAAGGAGAAGAAACGTCCTCGTGACAAGATTCTGCGTGATCCCAAAGTCGGCAAGGAAGCTTTGCAGGCTCGCAAAGAGGGCGCGTTCATGGGCTACTCGTATCGCAAAGCAAAGGGCATTCAAGACGTGCTTGATGAGATATTGGAGGCACAATTCCCGGGCTGGACTCTGGACGAGGCCAGTGAGAATGTCAAGCATATCGTTGGCGGTACTGCGAAGAAGGAGACCGTTGGCCTCGATACTGGTGCAACGGTTGGAGAAAAGATGTTGCTGCCTCCTCCGATGCAGGCTGGTGGTGTCACTGTTGCTTAGGTGATGTGCTAAAACGTCATCGGGGATCAACGATGGCAAGAGCTGGGCGAGAGGGTTATCGAGCAAAGATTTGGAGACGTCGGGGGGACTTCATGAACAAGCAACAATCCGCATTCGGTTTGACTAGAGTCTGGGAGGACTTCATAGAGTATAGACAAACGTCTATACTTTGGAACTGACAGCATTGCATCGAACACTATCAAATTCCTGGCTCTTCGCCTTCTTCATTTTGGGCATTCTCGGACCGGGAGTCTTGCCTTCTCCTCTCACTTCGAGACTAGTGGCGGCGTTGGGCCACACACGCTCATAGTCTCTTCTCCGATCGGATTCCATCTGTAAACCTTGCGTGTCACGGCCTTGGATGGCCTTGGGTCGCTTGTCTGGTAGGTGACACAGCCGGCGCAGGACCAGCGGTTTGACCGATGTCTTCGCCGGCCACCGAACGCATGCGGACGAGTGATGGTCGAATCTTGACACTCGTCGCCGCGACAGTCGCACGGATTGCAGCACGCCTGTTTCTGCTGGTAATGCCGAATCCACTTATTCCTGCGTGACCCTTCTGGCGATGCTGCGTATGAGGTGGAGGATTTGGTAGGAGGCAGAAAGAGAAAGGCTTCAGCCCACGTCCTCGAACTCCTCCTCGCTGTCCCCATCGTCACCCGCCTGCTGCTGCTCAAGCTTGATCCGCTTGTCATCTCTCACGTCCGTCGGTGGTAACGATGCCGGCGTAGCCGCCTCCGAGCTATCATCCTCAAACTCCCTCTTCAGCCCATTAACCGCCGTCGTCGGCGCGCCGCGGCAGCGACACCGAAGCCTGAATGTTATTGTCCTGACTGCTGTCGATCGGCGTGCCAGCCGCAGGCGTTCCCGTGCCGGGAACATCCTCAAACTCATCGTCATCGTCCTCGTCCTCTTCGTCTTCTTCCTCGGCTTCCTGAAGGCGTTTCCGGTCGGCTTCAGCTTGCTCGCGCTGCATGTCGAGCATGTACTGCTCCATGATGTCTTGCTCGCGTTGTTCCTTGGTTTCCGCGGGTGGGATGCTGGGCTTGGTGTCCTCGTCAGCGGCGGTTGTGGGGATGATGGGTTTCTTCTCGTCGGAATCCTCTGCCTTGAGTGTTGCAACAGGGAGGCCATTGGTGGTGTTTCTCTTGTTGCTTCCGCCGCGGATGTCGAGGGAGGAGCCAGCTCCGTTGACGACACCGCCGGCGTGCCAGTCGGGGAGGAGGCTGTTGTTGGCGATGCGGCGTTTGCGCTCGGCTTCCCTCTCTGCTTCCTCTTTTGACAGAGCGGCTGCGGAGGTGAGGTTGAGGTTGATGTCGTCCTCGTTCACCGCACCGGCGGCCTTATCGCGCTCCCGACCCTGCTTGAGATCGGCCCAGTTGTCCTCTGTGCGCCCGGAGATCTCCTTGGGGACGGGTTTCCGCCGGCTGAAGGTCTCGTCGAAGGTCAGCTCTCTGAAGTCGCCCCGCGCGATTTTGAGATCGACTTCGGCGATTTGGGAGTTGAAGGGGGCGAGTTGCTCGTTCAGCCGCATGATGCCCTCGTGCGAGTCCTTGTCTTGGGTGGCGGCGGGGTTGATGTCCAGTTCGTGGCTGCATCGCAGACACAACATGTTGCCTTCGGGCCCGGAGGGGACGATGTCCAGTTCCTTGAACGTGCTTTTACATCGCGGACATAGCCAGAAATCTGGTCCAGCTTTCACCTGGTATTCCGTGGTGATTTCCTGTCGGAGCTGGATGATGCGGTACTTGATAACATTGACTGCGTCGGAGGACTTGCACCAGTAGTAGATGCGGTCCTGGGCTTTTTGGGTGCGCAGGTTGAATTCCTTGTGGATCGAGCTGGTGACGAAGCGGTTCGCGATCAGGGGCTGGAGGTAGGAGCGGGCTTCTTTGTTTTGGAGACCGGTCAGGTCGTGGATGTCGTCGATGTGGAGGCAGCCGTGCGTCAGGATGCGTCGATGATGAGGATCTGTTTGGGCTCGGCGAAGAAGGAGCGGACGGCCATGCGGACTAGGGCTTTCGCTTCTTCCATTTTGGATCGAAAGAGTAGCGGACAACTTGAGGGTGAGAGGATGGTTCAAGCCTGGCTGATGAGCGAGAGATTCTAGTGAGCGGTACCATGGGTGTGTCTCCGACATGCAGCAAAGCTGTCAGAGGAAAGACAACGACCACGTATACTCATATCTGACTAGGCAAGCGGTACCACGGTGCGCACATCTTCGGAAGAACAGCAAACGGAAATTCGAGAACGAAACGAAGGTCAGTGCACAATGTGTTGTCAGTAACAAGGCTGATCGCCAGCCTTATCGTGTCATCCGGCGCTGGTCGTCCGCGAAATGCCACGCATGACAATGATGCGCGTAGATACACACACACAGCATATCCCACCATGCTACGCTATACTGACTTCGTCAACTCGTACTGTCTCGTCGTGCGGAACTATGGCGACCTACAGCGTGAAAAGAATACTGCTTGTGCTCGAAGTGTGTTCTAACTCTATTCTTTGAAGTAATGGTCGATCGTATCGACCTATGCATGAGCCCGTCACCCTCGTCTTGTCCCATCCACGCGTGCACAGGCGGAAATGGTAGCAACAACGTGTGCGTCGACAGTAGTCTCGACGCCCTCGATGTGACATCTAGATCAAAAGCCCTCCTGAACGCGCTGGTACTGCTCTATTCCCACAGTCCAAGCCAGAATGCAGGCAAACCCAACATGAAGATTGCTAGCAGGTACAGAGTGCTTGCGAATACCTTTTCTGCCTCAGATGTAGTCGTCGTCGCGGAAGGTGGAGGAGGCTCAGCGTTCCCTTGTTCGCCACCAAACGGGTCCTGTGGTGTGTGTCTTGGACCCGTATCGGTCGTGGTTATCGTCATGTTGCTGCCGCTGGACAATGTCATGTTGGCATCGCTGGGCGCGCTGGTCTCTGCACTCGGTACGCCGCCGTTGGTGCTTGTACTTGTGACAGGCACGATGCCGTTCCATCCCTCAGTCAACAACAACGGCCCAACCCGATCCAGGGCGTCCTCCTCATCTGAACCCCTGGAACCTGTTCCGTCCATTACAAGGATAGTGAAGTTCATCCCTGGCTTGAACGGGCGTTTGTCTGGACTGAGCTCATCCAAAGTCACCTGGCCCCAGCTCGTCACTACGCCGAGACGGATAGGGCTGATGGGCGAAGCATTGACATCGGTCGGTTCTTGGCGAATGATAACATTCAGGACTGGAGGATCGGACGAGGAGTACACCCAGTGGAGTGATGGGAGCGGTCGAACCTGCAGAGTACGAGCTTGTGGGGCCGGTTGAGTGATTTGAATCTTTGCTTGGATTCGGGAAGCGAACGTGAGGAACAGGACGGTGATCAGAGCTGCCAGCATGGTGACGTTGGGGGACAGCGATGAGGCCAAATAGTTGAAGAAGACTCTGGGTCCTGTTGAAAGGTAGCAGTGTAGCGGCTAAACGAGCGACAAAGGCCTCCCTGGTTTGCTGAAAAGAAAGTGAAGTAGACCCTGGATAGCTAACGAAAGTGCAGCAGAACCGAATCACTACAGCGTCTGCATAAGTTACACAACTCTAAGAGCGACACAGCGACATCCCTTTCTTCCATGTCTTACCTTTCCTGAGCAGGCGCAGTTGCATGTTGCTACTACCAGTCTACATTCGAGGTCGCACTTGCCTCGTTCGAGGGCGCTCTGCGGTATCTCGTGGGTCGGAATGCCCCTGGGAAGTGCAGCTGTATAAAAAAGAAACGACCACAAGACATGCTGGCCGTCAAATCATCTAACAGAGTCAGCCGCTGTTTTCACTTGCGAACTTGCAGTGGTTGCAATGAAGTAGACTGAAGTGAAGAAGATCGGAAGGCTTCACGCTATCTAGCCTCTTTAGGAAGTCACTGATCGACCTTGACGCCAAAAGGTACTATTGAAATGGACCCATCATTAGGTAAATACTGCCCGACTCTTGACGACATCCATCAGAAACGTCTCTGTCGCAGCAAGATGTGTGTCGCTCAATCGCACAAGCAACAACCACCGTCCACCATAGAATGAGTCGCAGACTGCAGCAATGTCGATGAGCATCATGCAACACGCATCACAACGGCCACACAGCAAATGACAGACTCCCCACCAGATCTTGACGCGCTGCGAAAGCAACATGGACCACTTCTTGATGACAGCGTCGTCTATGCTCTGGCTTCGGACTATGACTTGACGAAATCAGACGAGGAGTTGGCATTTATTCAGCTTTTGGAGGAGTTGAACAATGGTGCTGCCATCCACGAGGCGGCAAACGACGAATCGTCTACAGCAGATCATTCAACGACCGATCATGACTCGAGAACGACGCCGGAGACCGACCTGAGTCGCCGCAACATCGCTAGTGCGACGTCTGAGTTCAGCAACCTCAATCTGAGCACGTCTGGTGATTCTCTCGACGAAGATCTTGAGCATCTGTCTGAAGCTGACAAGCGAAAGTATCTCAATGATCTGTTTCCTGGCACAGGGAAGGACCAGATCAATCAGGTTCTGTCAGCGAATGGATCACTACGAGGCGCAATCGACGAGCTTCTCAATGTCGCGTTCATCAGCGCGTACAACCATGACTCGGAGGACGCTCGGCCCGCCAACCAAGGCATAGAGGCGTTTGCCGAAGAGCTGAGATCAGAACGTGGCAGGAAGCAGAAAAGAAGGAAGAACCGGACCACGGACGCTTCCAGGACCAATTCAGCCAGCTCATTGCGAACGCACACCCCAGCAAACAGCAACGCCTGGAGCAATGATGAAGTCAACTTCATCTGCTCCCGGACAACCTTGAGGGCCCAAGTCGTCAGCTCGGTGTACCACTCTAAAGGCGCCAACCTGTCCCGGACCATCCAAGAACTCGCGACACGCGAGAAGACCAAATTGCCCACCTTCGCCGAAGCAGATGCCCTTGTCCAGGCGCAAGTCGAGGCCCTGACAGAAGACTTCCCGAATGTCTCCCTGTCCACGATTCAAGCCCTTCTCCATCTCGCCCAGAACATTCCATCAGCGACCGGTGAGCTCCTCGAAGCCATGCTGGCACGACACGACCACGTCGACGACCCTGTCCCACATGGTAAACTCAATGGCGTAGTGCAATATACGCCACTAAAAATCGACGAGTCCGATCACCACTTCGTTCCCTCACCTACCTCGACCACTGCCAGCAGCAGCATCAACCCCTATGCGAACCACTCCCACGCTGCCTCCCAAGCCTTCAGCTCCGCCTCTGCCGCCTACCGTCGCGGCAAGTCGGATCGATTGATGGGCGGCGCTGCCGCGTACTACGCTGGGCTAGGCCACGAACACGTCCGTCGCGCAAGAGCTGAGACCGCGGCCGCCGCCGACGCGCTCGTGACGTCTCAGTCCTCACATAATATGATCGATCTGCACGGCGTGAGCGTTTCGGATGCTGTGCGGATAGCGCGGTCGGGGACCACGGCTTGGTGGGAAGGCCTGGGTGACGCAAGGTATATAGGTGGGAGTAGCAATAGAGGCTCGTTTCAGATAGTCACTGGGGTGGGGACGCACAGCCGAAACAACGCACCGCGGATAGGGCCCGCGGTGGCGAGGTCGCTGATGAACGAGGGCTGGAAGGTGGAAGTTGGTAGGGGAGAGATGTATGTCACCGGAAAGGCGCGGCGGTGAGGTCAGGCTAGGTCGTGTCTGGCCGCACGATGAAGAACAAGTTTTTAAGCGTCAGAAGCAACGAATGAACGAGATCATGTGAGCGTTCCGCAGGCACTGCTATACGTTGTTGGAGCATATAGAAACTGCGACTAGAGATCTGAATCGTTGGAAAATACCACCTCCATTGTGGCTGAGTTTATGTCCGGGTCAACGACAATACCAACGCTGAATCATCTCCCCACAGATCGCTTCCAACCTAGCGAAAACGAAAAGAGCATCTTTGACTATCATGCAGGAACCAATCCCCTCGCAAAGTTCCCAAGAGGAGGAACGCGCAAAATATCTCACACGTTTGTTAATCAATAGCCCAGTTCTACCCGCATCACCGAGTCCGAGCGATTCCGTAATCGCACGCATTTCCGTGCAGATATACCCTACTGACGCCCCTCAATGCCATCATCATCACTGGCCCCGAACTCCACCAGAATCTCAAATAACATCACTGCCATCGAGGCATTGCTCCTTACTAGCACATACCTTTCAGCATCTTCGCAAAGTCCCTCAAGCCATCCGAACAGCCTCACAGACATTACATATAAACATATGCGCCTCCCGACCTTTTCCTCTGTGATCCGCACGTTCACGCTCTTCACCAACGCAACCAGTCGATACTACACACCTCACGCGCAGCGAACACTTGCGCCACCGAACAGCCTCTTATACAAGTCCATGCCAACAATCCCATTCCTGAGCTCCTTCTTCGGCACCTCAGCAAAATCCAGAGACATGGCTTCCTACCCCGACCAGCGCTCCGACGATGAGTGGCGAGCGGTGCTCAACAAAGGTATGCTTCTCCCTCCTACTCCCTCAGCACTGCACACTACACCCCCACAATCCGCCTAATCGAGACGTCTACTCCTTCGATACGCATCAAGCAACCACTAACGTCCCACACAGAACAATTCCGCGTCCTCCGCCAACAAGGCACAGAAGCCCCCTTCACCGGCGCCTACGACAAACACAGCCCCCAATCCGGCACCTACACCTGCGCCGGCTGCAACGCGCCCCTCTACACCGCCCAGCACAAATTCAAGTCCGGCTGCGGCTGGCCAGCCTATTTCGACAGCATCCCCGGCGCCGTCACCCGCCACACCGATAGCTCCTTCGGCATGGAACGCACGGAGATTGTGTGCTCGAATTGTGGTGGACATCTGGGACATGTGTTCAAGGGCGAGGGGTATAACACGCCGACGGACGAGAGGCACTGTGTTAATAGCGTGAGTTTGAAGTTCAACGAGGGGGATCCCAAGACTAGCGGGGGTAAGGAGGAGGCGAAGTAAGATGCGGAAGTCGAGAAGGGACCGGGCAATGTCGTTACAGCAGGAAGGATATCTCTGAGAAAGCAGAAAGCGGAGAGCTTCGAGCTGTAACATCTTCGCCGTAGCCAATTCTGAGATTTCTCGATGTATCACATGCACCATTGTTGATACATCGTATTTGGTAGATTGAAGAACCCTCTTCCCTGCACACCTGGTGCTCATCAAACATCCAGGCTCTGTCCGGGACGTCTTCTCCTCCCACCAATCCCATGCAATAGGCGTTGCATCTCGCTAGAGGCTTGACTTCGGCCGAAGAGGGCAAGCTGCCCACGGGAGGA